TGGTTGATTGCGAATTAAAACTAAACTAATCAATCTTTTTTAATACTGTTTGCGCCAAATGAAAGCTATTTTAATTGTCCACACATATTCTGAAGCTTAAGTCTGTAAGTCTAACACAGCCGACACAGCGAGGTCTTAATCCTAATCCTTATTACAATCATAATATTACGTGGTCAATTATTAAAAATGCCTTCAAATCTTAATCTAGTATCTAGTTTCATTCTATTCTAGTCGATTAGATGACGTTGGAAGTGCGTAAGCAATTAGAATTGAATAAAAACCACTGTTTTGGTGTCTACAATACTAAAAATAATCTTGGGTTTCTTAACCTCTGCAATTCTTTGACTATAACATTAACATATTTTATGCATAATGCCTTTTTACTTATGTAATTTACACTGTAGCTCATCTAATGGGCCTCAATCAATTTCCATTTCGACCCATGCTCGAGACGCCCAGGCCTTGGTTGATTCAGCCAGAGAGCACGATAATGGGGAGGAATGGAAAAACACGTGTAATTCGTACAATTTAGCATGTGAAAATAGACGGTCTGGGTACTATTGGTGTGTTTTGCCTGTTGATGCGCCATGTAATTACAGCACTAAAGCGCCTAATGCGCCTTCGGAAGGGCAGAAAGATGCGAATGTATCGCGCATTTTCACTTTCCGACTGCACAGCCGAAAATCTAACCGTCGCCCAATTGTGAGGCCAACAGTTCTGCTGAGAGTTGATGTACGCGAATTGACGCGCCCGAGGCGATGCCGCGATGATGATATCGCTGGGCCAGAATGGTCTGGGAAAAGACACACAATTCGTGTGCTCACACGAGGTCCTCGACTTTGACAAATTATCGCCCACCCGCCCGAAATCGATTCGTGGACACTCTTGCGATGCGCCAATTTGCAATGCAATCATGCGATGAAAAAGCCATCCTTGCTTTCCTGGATGGCAAAATTGATTCCCGTGACAAGATTTGCCAAGCGTGGGAAATCAGCATTATTGCATTATTGCCACTTAGCCCCATCGCTCCAATTCCCATGTAATTGTCATGATGCTCTCTGTGAGCATTTTTCTCCGAGGCCCTTCATGAGCGATCGCGGTGCTCTCGTGACGGCGAAAGAGTGCCTAAAACCTCACCGATTCTAAGCATTTCAGTGCGCAAATGATTGAAGACGTTTGGGAAAGAATTCCTGGGCACAATTTGTGATCTTCACGCATTCGCGAGCTCGTGTGATTTTGTGGTTCCAATTCTCTGGACTTTCCACTGAGACGATCGCAGATCGCGATTAGTCATTTCAATTGAGGCGAGTGCGCAAATCTCTTAAGTCACTTTTAATTGCACGCGATGCAAACAAGCAGTGCACATGGCGATCATGTGCGAGTGAGCGACGAATTACACATTTCGGTCGCGGCATTAAGTCATTGCGGGCTTGAGTGAATGAGTGGGAAAAAGGTGGTGAAGAAGGTGAGTTCGGTGGAAGAGCGCCGAGAGAGTGTGCGCAATGTTAAGAGCCATCCAACGATGAGAGATTCAAATCTCACGATCCCAGAGGCAACAATTGTGCGCAGATAATTATTTAAATTTATTTATATGGACGAACGGCACACATCCGAGCGAAAAGTGCCATCGGGAAGTGTAATAATAAAATACTCTCCTCTCTGTGTCGAGTGTGGCTTGGCGGAGGTGAGGCGCAAAAGAGGACATGACCATCGTGGAGCTTTAATGCCATGGAAGATGACGATTATCGCTTTAGCTCAGGGCACACGCAAATGACACGTTGTCGAGTGGGTAAGAAGTGTCACGGGTCCTCGTGGAAGTGGGACTCTGCGGTACCCAAGGAGACACAATCTCTCCGCTGACTTCTGCTGCACACACGCAGCCTCGTCCATTAGTCACTGGCAATAATCACCATTAAGAGTAATTGAGAGAGCCACGGTGCTCCAGAAAGCACAGCCTCCAGAATTCCTGTCCCCGCAAAGGGGCGAATATCTCCTCAGCGCAGCCACAACTGTCCAGCGCGCCCTCCCAGATAATTCCCTCCTGCTTCGCAGTGACAAACGAGCTTTCATGCCAGCGCGATCGCCCAGAGTCACACGTTAATAAGCGCATCACTATCAGTGGCTCAGCCATCGATTGGGCATGAATTTAATTGAGAAACAATTACCCAGGTGAGAACGAGAGTGTCTTCCACACGCTAGAGATCGACCCAATTAGAGACCTCAGCCTTATCGAATCTGCTCGTTTGGCGCGCGTAATTGAAAATCCTCCGGAATTTTCGCCAACGACTTCTCCGAACGGGACAAAAAGCGTCGCTCGAAGACGCCAAGTCGGACGTGCCCGTGAGGCGGGAAGACATGTGCACGCAGTACATAAATTTACCAGCCCTTCTCTCGTAATTATAAAATGTCAAACGTGCCGATGCAAGACCCGATACAAATGGTCGCCGCCGGCGCCGCCTCGGGCCGCGAGAGACAAGTCTGCGCGGATATTGAGCGTCCCCGCACGGCCCTCGCCCATCTGTTACCCCCTCGCCTCACGACATGATCACTCTTTTTCATGCACTCTCGGGCACGTTTGCTTGACAGTGTATTGAAAATGCGCACAGCACCGGAGCGAGAAAGCAGCAGCACGGCAGTTTCTTCTGCCGAAGAACTTGTTCTGCAGGGTAAAGAGATGATCTCTGAACGCTCTGCCTTCGAGGGAGCCACGCCCTCTCAAGTACTCCGCCCACTCTTAGATTATCACACCAGTTCGAAACACAAATAATCAATATTCACAGGGAAATCTTCAAGTGAGTTCTTAGTTTGTTAATACAGCTTGTAGATTTACAATATTTCAATTAAAGGTTTGATTGTGTAAATCCCAGTTGTCGTTAAAAGGGCTCTTGCCCTCGATGTTGAAGGAAGCCACGCCCGTTCAAATGCTCCGCCCATTCTTAGAATCTCAGTGCAGTTTCAAACACAAATAGAAGAGGAGTGTTTCTTTTAGTTTCTCAATACAACTCCTGATTTTAGCTTTGACTGCATTAAATCCAATCGTCGTTGAAATGTTTATCTACTGACTCAAAGGCTTTTGCCGTCGATGCTGCGTCTTGAAACGAAAGGAAATGCTGTATTCTCTGCATTATCGCTGAAATTCCATACTTTTGCAGCGGCACGAGCGTTTCTCTGACCAGGCGCTGTAATCCACCAGTGTACGCATTATTTTTGCAATAGGTGTTCATGGGCAGAAGAAGAAATAAGCGCCGCGGGCGAGCTTCGGTCTCTCCCTGCCTCGCTATCACTCGAGAGCGCTTGCGAGGCTCTGTGAGAATTTCAGCATTGATAAAATCATCTCGGAATGTTCCCAGCGTGATTTTTCCATGTTCCATAATTCCCAATTTGCACTCTAATTGCCGCAGAGACTCGTGCTCGAGACACCTCTCCTTGCAACACTTGCAAGTGATATGATAAACAATTGCCATCGCAATTGATGCGGAAATTTCACATGCATGGATTACAATCAGATGCACTTTCAAAGGGGGGCGGAGAAATGTGGATCAGAGAGGCAAATCCTCCAGTCAAGTGGAAGACAAGTGAATTTATCAATTATTTGTCAGGAGCAAATGATTAAATTTCCAATTGGATTTGCATTACATTGGGAAAATTTGCCCTGTCTTGAGCCAATTTGCACACCGAAAACCTTTGATACGTCAGTGGCAAAGTCCATCTGGCCATTTGTATTTAATTGACATTTTAGAATAAACATTTTTCCGGGCTGCACTCACACCCCGCCGGAGTTTTGTGTGTGCGAGATCTTGGCCCGAGTCCACTCTCCGACCATGGGTTCGTTGACGTTAGATAAAGGGAGAGTGTGAGGGCAAATGGAAACGTCCCCGGTAAAGTGCTATCGGCTGTTTTGAAGAACTACAACCCTGAAAGCTACCCATCGCGTTAGAGGGTGAATTTGAGGTCGATGGGGAAATTTTATCATTTCTCTCTCACTCACTCCCCTATCTCGGGCCAGGCCTGCGGGCCATCGTACACAAGCGACAGGGAAGGAAATTATGCGCCTTCTATAGAGACTTCCTTCTCTCTTCACTTTTTCTCCCGACCAGCCCTTCGGCCTCTTGTCTGCCTCCGCCCCTGCCCTCCACTCACCCCTTTCGCACAGGAAGACGCTCGCTCTGGCCAGGCACAATGCACACTCCGAGCGTCATTTGTCAGAAATCATCAATTTCGCGGCTCCTTTGCCGACATCATTCTTGTTCTTGCGACATGATCTCGCCTTGACAGCAACAAGTGTGTCGCGAAGTGGTCACAAGTCAAGGGGTGAGTAGCTCTTGCATCTGTCCTTTGCAGTAAAGACAATAGGAAGCGGCCTTTCGCGACAAAACTTCGTTACGATATTTTTAAAAATTGTTTCTTAAAGCAAAACAATTTTCCTTGAACTCTCTTTAGTTTTTCAGTTTCTTTGCATGATTTTATTAGTTGAATTGTATTTAAAATAGTATCTTAAAATCTCAACTAAGGACTGAACGAAATCTATTAAAAAGGGAAAAACTTGAAACTTTTCCCGCCGAAACTCATGAAATTCTTCATTTCTGACATGAAATTCATCCGTGGAACGCAATGAAATAAGTGTTTCTTCTGCAGAGATTCACCCCTTGAAACGCTTGAAACCGTCTTTGAGCCGCTGAGAAGTCGCTGGAAAGCCCAAGAAGAGACTCCACGTGATTTTACACTTGAAAGGCAAGTGAACAGGAGGTGAACGGACAAATCCTGCCGTCCGGAGAGATTATCTGCATTGAGGAAGTCACAGTTGGGCGAAGAGATCATTTACGGCCTCTCATTTCTGCATCTAATTGGCTGCTCGCAATTAAGCTCACATGGACGGTAATTGCAGCTCTCGTGTCGCGGACGACACTAAATCGCCGCAGTCAAATTCACCAAATGACCATCAGCACAATCAGCGGCGACTTAGCGGTGGCTAATTGCATTTTAATTGCACCCGGACTCACCTCTTGGGACACGTGGAGGACTCCATGGACGGCGGCGGGCCTCGTTGATCCACGAAGCCGGTCGACTGAAAGACGTCGAAGAGGAAAATCTTGCCGGATGGCCACTGACACGGACAGGAGGCTGGGATGTTGCCAGGAGCCGCACTCACATGAACTCGAGCGAATCTCCCGCCGACGAGCGGTGTTCACGCCACGGAAGCCAAAGCAAGACTGACTGAGCGAACAACAGAAAGCCCACCTCAGAGCCAACGCGAGAGCGAAGCGCGCCGGAGAGAAAATGCACGAGAGAGAGAGAGAGAGAGGCCAACAAGTCTCGTGGAAAGTCACTCCGCACATTTCCTGGCAAGAAGTCCACAAGGCAGGAGAGGGAAAAGCGAGAGCTTTTCTCTTGCAGACGCACGAAAGCTCGGCACTCAATTGAAAAGTAATCGAATGTGTTTTGTAAACAACACGATAGACTGTCGCACTGTCACGAGTCGTGGCCCAATGACCCCCAAGAGGCCCGCATTTCCTGGTCCGTCTGCGGCGGAAGCGCTTCATCTTGAGCACTTTTTGCACCTCTGCAATGCATTGCAGCTGAATAAAGTGATCAGTTTGCCTCTATGACACCAGAAGTAATCTCGTTAGTCATATTATTGCACTAATCAATCAGTGCATGTCCGAAAAACAACAATTACTGGCAATTAATGGTCAATTAGGGATATTAAACATTAAATTAACTACTGTAACAATGTCGGTTTTGGGTGACAGCAATGTTTATGGAAAGTATTCAAATTGATGCATTGAAATTGCAATCTTTTAGCAATTATTAGGACATTTCCCATGTTATCAAACATATTTTAGGTTCTACAAGTTTATAAAACACTCAAAGTATTAGATTAATTTTAACACTTCGTATCTCAAGAATTGATTTTTGATTAATTTTTGGCTTAAAGATGCAATTTAGTTGACTAAATCAAAAGCCTGAAGCAAGTGTGGTGCAAATACGAAAAAATACGATTTTACAAATATGTCTTTAACACGCTTCTCAATGTTCTGCATAAAGACGCTGCTTTCGTCTAGCTGATTGAGGCAAGCGAAGAAAAGAACCCAGAGAAATTTCCCTCAGAGCTCTGGTCTCAATTTTGAAGATCGGCCGATAAGACCTCGTCTGGAGTCTCCTAAATCTCTCATGCTAATTAAATGATTAAACGAACTTACCAAGTGAAGTTCTATCATAATTGTACGAAGCTCCTCTTCCGAGATGATCAACTTTGTAGTCCTTCTACTCCAGCCGATTTTGCACACGTTTCGTAGATAATTTTGAAAAATTATCCGCCACTTATCCAACAGTGGCGCTGGCGCTGCCGCGAATGTCATTATTTTAAAGTTGTATAGGCCGTAACAATTATTTAGGGTTTATAAATATAGGGAATTCTGGGTGGGTATGATCATCTCGGAAGAGGAGCTTCGTACAATTATGATAGAACTTCACTTGGTAAGTTCGTTTAATCATTTAATTGTACTCCGCTCCTCTTCCTCGATGATCAACTTTGTAGATGTTCAACGCGATGTTACGGCCGCGAAAGATAAATTATATCCATGAAATTTGATTATTGATTTTATATTTCATAGATTAACTTCAGCTTAGATCTTATTTCTAACAAGATTTTTTCTTTAGAAATTCATCCCTGTAGGATTACATTGGCAAAGGATTCCTTGTTGTTTGCCAATGGTAAGTTATAAAACTTGACGAAAGTATGTGAATTCATTGTCCACCCAGCAGTCTTTTTAATCACTTCAATATCTAAACCCTTTCTATTTGCCGCCGAGGTGGCAGCATGACGTGTAGAATATCCCGAGAAAACAGTAGTGTCGATCTCACACTCTTCCAGGACATTCTTAACCCAATGACTGAGAGTTTGGGCGCCTACTAATTTATGTGGACGTTTATGTGATATAAAAAGTTGTTTTTCTGCGCCTCTTAGTTCATTTGTTTTGCTCAAATAATGTTTAAGAGTCGACGCCACACATAATTTGGGTTCTTCATTATAGAATGGGATGATTAATACAGGTTGAGATCGGCCAACACTTGACGTCTTGATTCTCTTTGGAATCCTTATTTCAATTCTCTCTTCGGTCTCTCTAATATCCTCGATATTTATCAATGAGAAAGTCTGCATTCGATGTCCCGTAATAAGAGCCAGGAGGATTATCAATTTAAATGATAGATCTTTAAGAGTTAATTCCGCATTGATGGGTTTCTGCCTATATAGCTCTAGCACGACTTTAGGATCCCACGTACTATCGTATTTTGGCTTACTGGGCCTGATTCTAACAACTCCTTTGAAGAATCTTTTTAATCCTTCATCTTGGGCCAACCAAGATCCAACTATCATCGATAGGGCTGATCTATATGAATTTAGCGTACCATAAGAGACTCCCTTGTTAAATTCAGTAGTTAGAAAACGAAACACACTTTCAGTATTCGTTTCAAAGGGGTCCAAATTGTTGTCTGTGCAGAACTCCCACCATTTCTTCCATCCTGTGTTGTACTGCTTCCATGATGACTCCGAAAGAGATTGTAGGACTATCTCATGACTCTCCGACGGGATTCCTTTCCTCTCGCAGCTCTGCTTGACAAGACTCCTGCCACCAGGGTAACTCCTTCCCAAAATTGCATTTGCCTGTCGACGGAAATGATACATGTATCAGCTTGAAATTCTAATAGTTCCGAAATAAGCATCGATTGGAAGATCGGAAACCATGGCTGAGTTGGCCAGTAGGGTACAACAACGATCCCTTCGGCTTTATCATGCTCGATTTTTTGCAAGACTCTCAATATTAGAGAGAATGGAGCAAATGCATAAAAGAAATAATCTTTCCAGGAAATTGTAAATGCATCTACTGCTATCGATTGAGGATCTTTCTTCCATGACACAAATTTCCTGCATTTTGCATTTACTCGTGTTGCAAAAAGGTCAATCTCAGGCTGTCCAAATTCCGCGACAATGCAATTAAACGCTGAATTCGACAATTCAAACTCTGTGTTAGAATGTAATTTACGTGATTCTGCGTCAGCGTCTGCGTTATCTTCTGAGCTGATATATGATGCGAAAATCCATAAGTTTCGCTGCTCGCACCATCTCCAGATGTTCTTGGCCAAAATGCTTAAATCTGTCAATTGCACTCCGCCCATTCTGTTGACGTAGGAAATTGCTGTAGTATTATCTACACGCAAGAGAATCTGACAGTCTCTTTTATCCTTTACAAAGCATTTTAGTCCAAAAAATACCGCTGTCAACTCTAAGAAGTTTATACTCTCTTGTGTTTCACGATCAGACCAGAAACCACTTGCTCTTTCTTCATTGTAAATAGCACCCCAACCTGATTTGGAAGCATCCGTGAAAATTACATGATCGTAAGACGGATATCTGATGGGATTTATGCTTAGTGAGCCCACAGTTGCCCACCAGTTGAAATCTTCAACCACCTCTTTATTGATAGTTAATCTTCCTTTGTAACTACCATTGCTATTCAAAAGAGCGTTAAATTTTAACAGTTCACTGGCCTTGGTGTAGACCAAGCCGTATTTAACTGCCTGGCAGCATGATACAAGAAAGCCTAACGTTTCAGCAAATTTTTGAATGCTATACGTCTTATTTTCCTTGAAGTTACTCGTTAAAGAGACAATTTTCTCTCTCTTTGCCTCTGGAAGTTCAACTGACATCCTCCTTGAGTTGTAAAACACACCGAGAAATTTGCAGTATTGTGATGGTTTCATCTGGCTTTTCTCGTAATTAATTACGAGACCCAACTTGGTCAGGATCTTCTCAGCATTCGTCATATTATTTGCGCAAATCTGAGACGATTTTCCCATTATTAGAAGATCGTCAATGTAAATGACTAGTGGAATCTCCAAACTTCGCAAATAATAAGCCACGGGCTTCATGATTTTTGTAAAGACGAATGGGGCTGTACATAGTCCGAATGGCAGACACGTGAATTGATAGAGATTGCCATTAAACGAGAATCGTAGGTATTTTCTATCCCTCTCATCGATCGGGAGTAAATAATACGCATCCTTCAGGTCTATTGATGCCATATAGCAGTTCTGCGTCATGAGTTTAGTGACAGTACGACCGTCTTCCATCTTGAAATGCGGAGGATCAATAAATTGATTCAGTTGTTTGAGATTTATAATAAATCGATACGAGCCATCAGGCTTAGGGACAAGAAATATCGGAGAAATAAATTGCCCCTCCTCCGCAGAACAAATCTCGATTGCAGATTTTGCTATTAACTCATTAACGGCTAAAGTGATATTCCTGAATTCACTTTGAGAGAATTTCTTCTCATTTGGCGGTCGAGGTTGATGTACATGGCGAGAAAATGGGATTCTGTACCCATCTAGCCAAGAGAGAATTACTTTATCTGAAGTAATTTCACTCCAACTCTCATAAAAGTCTCTCAACCGACCAGCCCGATGACCTACCGTCTCTAACGCCGGCGTCTGGAGTCTGACGTGGTGCGACTCTTCTCCCTGGATTTGTAGTGGGTCTGCTTCCTCGACGAAGTCTGCTTCTTTGCCCCGCTGGCCGCTGTCGAAGTCTTCTGGGTTCGCTGATGCTGTCGCTGCGGGGCTTTCCAGTTTTTTGTGCGTGGAGTCGACTCCTTGAGATCCTTCGATGCAGCCTGGAGAGTTTTGGTATTCTTGATTGTCTCCTCCAGTGCATCGCCAAACAGAAATTCTCCAATTTCTGTTTCCTTCAGAGTATCTCGCATGGAAGCACCCACATTTGCCACAATCAGGGTCCTCCTGATTAACGCCTGGTCGTGCTGTACATCAGAGATGATTTTATTGGCATCGGAAAGAGTCTCAGCGAGACTCTTCCATTCCGGAGGTTTAGACGTCACCACCACAGAAAGCGCTGTGGCGATTGCTGACAAGGCAGCAGAAAGCTTCTCTTGACGTTTCACAATTTGATTGTCACGTGAAACGACTTTCTCAGACATAGTAGCCTTCACAACTGGGTTCAGTTTTGATGGCTCGAATTTGCCGCAGTTCTTTGGCGGAGGATACTTTGCAGTTAAGATCTTGAGCACATCATCGGGAATTCCCTTGCCAATGATTTCATCCCAACGCACGGCCATTTCGGGAAAGATTTCCGGAGCAGAGTCTTTTTCCTGGTAAAGACGCTTTCCCAGGACTTCAATAACTTCACCCGCGGTGAGAATATCAGCCTCATCGTTGTCGATGATAGCCAGATCTGGTGGAGGATCTTCCTCACTCTTGTGAGAATCGCTTTCAGCCTCATTGTGGGACTGAATTGAAGGAATGTCGTCCTCCTTGCGCGACCTGTCGGGGCTCTTACTGCTGCTCAGCGAACTCCTGCTCCTCGTCCTGTGTCTGGAGGCGCTCCTAATCCTGCTCCTGCCCCTTGAGGTGCTCCTGTTCCTCCCTAAGTTCGTAGGAAGAGAAAGAATTTAAGGTTACCTTCAATTCTGAGATGTCAATGTAGACGCTTTGAGATGTCAATGTAGACGCGAGATTGATGTGGGCAGGAGACGATGCTAGCCTTGCGCATCAATGAGAGATATCGCTCTCAACCGGAAGGTGCTTCTCCTTCGAGTAATGACTCAGAAGGGACGTGTGATGCACACTTAAGGCTATGCTTATAGCCTTTAAAGCACGCTCAAGTGAAAACTAGAGCTTTCCGGGGACACAGTGAGCATGGCTCACCTCAGACAATGGCTGTCCGGAAGCATAAAAAACAGTAGAGCAGACCGCGCCTGGCTCAATAGCTTTTTATGTGTGTCCAATGCGCTGTGGTCAGGGCATGACCTGACCACGATGAGTGAAAACTCATCTTTTGGCTATCCGGAGTGTGGTGTCATAACCTCACTTTAGGTGTCTACAAAGAAGCAGAAAGTTTTAGTTCTATTCTTACCGTGACGCTTCTGCTTCTTCTTCCGCTTTCTCTCCCTCAGCTTCCGCTCCATCCTGTCGAACCGCTTCGCCAATTTCTTGATTTCTTGCTCCATTTTCGAGAGCAAAATCACGAACACGTGTACTTTATTCAGCACAAAGCAAAAGAATGACATTCGCGGCAGCGCCAGCGCCACTGTTGGATAAGTGGCGGATAATTTTTCAAAATTATCTACGAAACGTGTGCAAAATCGGCTGGAGTAGAAGGACTACAAAGTTGATCATCGAGGAAGAGGAGCGGAGTACAATTGGATTTATCTGCTGTCACAGGGTCGCCCTCCTCTAATTACAGTGGAAATTTCGGGCGGCGCGGAATGCAAATTTCGTGTGAATTTGCGGGCATCGTTGCCATTAAAAATTGAATCTCTCTCTCCCGCCGCTCTGTGCATCGGCGGCCACTCCCCGGCCGCCCGTCCCGCGGCCTGCGGTGCTCCTCATCAGCCGGACGCCTTGCAAGTGGAGCGCGCCAGAGGCGTTGGCGGTGCAAACAAGATTTTTCATTTCACATCACTCACCTCTCCTCTGCCATGGGGCGCCCGCGGCGCCCGGGCGACGCAGGGAGTGTGGGCCCTCCTTGGCAGATGCACTCTCGGGTCCTGAGATGCGTGCGGGATGCGGCTCTGGCCTCTCTCACACATCATGGCAGCCAGGAGGTAAATTCATTTATCTGCAGAGCAGCATATAAACATGGAGCAACAACATGAATATGTTGGGTATTAGCCCTCCAACCATGCACAAGATACTTTTTAATAAAATATATAGCAGTGCACACAATAAGAGATATTTTTATGAGATGCATCATCAAGTTCGCCTCAAGACGCTTCAGGGGCAACTCTCTCTCTCTCCTCGGCTCTCTCGATGCATCTTCAGCGGATTCCTCATCTCTTCCTTCTCGTCTTTCGGGGCCTCATTCCGCGCGCGCTTAATGAGGGATTTTCCCCGGCCGGGCCCATCGCCCAAATCGCCCAACTTTCACCCATCTGCAGACGCGCCTCAGCACCTCGCCCCGCAATCGCACTCCCACGATTCAACCCCAGCCAGTCCCTCATTATTCTAATGCCCACATTCCGCACTGCGACTGTCCGTGAAAAATATGGAATTTACCGAAAGACGCCCGCCGGCGATTCATGATTCAGTCTGATGCATCCGAGCGGCCGGCCCGCGGCCACTCCACTGAGCTTGGCAGGCGCCCGCGGCCAGAGACCAAATCGCACCCATACATCTTGGAAAACATCATGCCTGAGAGTCTGTCTTTCTCCCATTTCACCCAGCCTCATTGTGCGCCGCACCGAGTGCATCCATTAATCACAATCGAGCGGCCTTTTCAAGAATGCCAATTTATCGGCCTTTTTTCCACCTGCGCCGGGCGCCTTATTGTTCGCACCATAATGGATGTGCATTTGAAGAAATTAGATCCGCGCAGATCTCGCGAGGCATTTGAAATGGATATGCAAAGCGATGCAAATCGCGGCAATAAGTGCGCTTGAACGCAGTTTCAAGAAATGCTTTTTGCTGTCTTTCCGTGTGTGAATTTAAAGCATTTTGTAAACACTTTTTTCCCCTCTAAACTCACAGTACAAATGCACATCATTTTGTGCGGAGAGTTCAATGTAGCGTTTTATTGGGACTTTATGGCAATTTGTCCATTCAAGTTTCATTTAGATGAGGCTTCAGTAAACGACGGTAAAAAAAAACTTTGTGAAATGTCGAGTACAATCATTGAAACTCTAAACATTTTCAAAATTGTTACCTGTTTGTGCTTGGCTTCTTTTCTCTTTAAAATTAAAAGTAAAATATAATTTAAGGGTAAAAATAAAAGTGGTATGGATTAATCCAGTTCTTTAGTTGTCGATTTGAACAAATCGCACATTTATACAAATCGTATCGATCAGTGTCGATAAGTGTCGATAACTGCAACACTTTAATCGTCAAATGAGATTAGGAAACCAATTTTATTATTACTTATTAATTGACAAAAATTCTAAAGACAAAAAAAAACTTATAAATCCTTTCGAAAATAAAACGTTAAATTTAAATTTTATATCTTCGGTTTTTTTTTAATCTGTGAAGCGTCAATAAATCCTCATTTCATAAAATGCTCAAAGAAACTAAACGTGAATGAAGACTTTTCTTATTAAATTTCCACGACAAAGAGTGTCTTAAGAATGCATGATAATGTATTCTTTATAAATAAATTCAGCAAACGATGGAAAGGAAATGTATGGCAAGAAATTTCTCCAGCAAACACCAAAGAAACTATTGTCCACTGGAGTTGACTGAAAGAGAATTTTAAAGTGTCTCTTAAGCAGTGTTTCAATGTCAGCATCTTAATTAATCCTGAAGGGCGCTTTTATAAGGTGTTTTCCCCCTTTAACGGCCGAGAGAAGATGAAAGAGCGCCTCAGAATTCGCTCAGCGGCGAAACCGTCTCGCCTGGGTGCAATTCGGCGACCGTGCACTGTCGGTGCGGCGAGAGGAGCGCCGGCGAGGGGAAAGCTGGCGAGCGGGTGAAAAGCAAAAGCTTTCCAAGCGCCTCCGGACATGACGAGATATGGCAACTCGTCGAGTGCCGGCAGGTGTTATTAACCCAACTTTGGCCTCGAAAAGCTCACACTGTGTGCGATTTTGCAGTCACACAAATGAGTGTACAACACAAAGCGCTGCGCCCGCGGCGTAATTTTGGTCAACGTGGGATGGAAATTCGCCCACCCGGAACCCAGACTCGGGTCGGGCGGGCTGGAGGACTCGGTGGCACGTCGAGTTGATTTTTAGTGGAGCTCTCTGTGTCACTGGATTACGGCGGAACTTTGCATATTTGCACTGCTCTCATCGGGAGGGTGTTTTTTCTCCTGCAAAAAGTGCCAAATCTCACGCAATATTTTCTCACTCCTCTTCGCGACACCGCAGAGAAACTGAGCGCCGATTGAACTAATCCCGCGCCGTGCGTCCCGAGATGGTGGTGGATTGGGGGTGTTTTCCAGAAAGGTGGCAAACTATTCCCCAGAAATCCCTGGCAAAGGGCTGAATTTTCAATTAAACGCCTCTCCCACAAGTGGCGCGGCTTGTGGAGTCTCGGAAAAAGCCCGGAGCAGCGAGACTTTCCCACCGAAATCCTTGGGAGCTTTGTGATTATAATATTCTTTGACTGGGCTAAATAATACATTTAATATCCCAGCGCGCCGGTATCGGAAATGCCCCGCGGGCGCCTCTGCGTAGGTGGAAACTGGCGTTCCTAATGAATACCCCTCGGGCGCTCTTGGGAAGAAATTGACTTGGGCGGATGGAGACCCACGTTCCTCTCGGCGCTGTTATTTTGCGATTTACCCCAGCAAAGGAGTGAGCCGAGAGGGTGGTCGCCTCTCCCGGCCTTCCAGCATCTCGAGAGGAAATTATTCGGGGTCTCTGGGGGGAGAGCTTTTTAATTGATTGCTTACTTGCACATAGACGAGCCACGCAGGGCGAGAGTCTCGATTGCCACACGTTCTCGGGATTTCGAATTGATTTCTGATCAGGAAACTTCTTATGCGCTGTCTTACCCCCTTAGAACATCTGTCTTTTCGACGCAATCTACAACTGGAAATGGTTTGAATAGAAATACAGAAGCCTAATTAGAGTTTAGAGACAGAAATTGAGACAGTAATCTACACTTTACAGTCCAACAAGCATGTTAAACTAATAAAATCCGTCTTGAATTATTGATTTTTCATTAAATTCAAATCTTATTAGAATCGCAATTATTTTTAAAAGTCATAGTCATTCAATTCTCTGTTTTGGTTGGCGGTTAAAATTGCAAAACTACGTGATTTGTTATCAAAATAGGTGTTTTTCTCATATTTTATGTCTATAAACAGCTGACATTTTAACTGAACACTATCAATATACAGTTTCAACTCGGCAAGACGACGAGTTAAAACCGAAAGAATCATCACTGAATTCTGGAAAGACAATAAATATGTACAATAAACATGTTAAAATATTCAAATCAAGCGAGAGCAACAGAATAATTAACTTTGGGTGAAATATTAAAGTTATATTTTTCTCGTACAAAAAAAACATGATTATTTTATATGTTTATTTGCTCCAATCAACAACAATCATCATGCACCAAAATTAAAAAATACATTTAAAAAAATTACAAATTTTTATCTTCCCCAATTTTCGATTTAAATATGCGCTCTTTTGCCAAATGATTCGATGAAAATACTCTTGTGCTCAGGGTAATTTATATATTGGGGAAAAGTATATAATTCGCCGCGTGGGAGACACACTACATAGTGCATTATTTATGTGAACAGCACGAAATTTATTTGCTTTGGAGCAAGTTGCCCGGGGCGCATTTATGGAAATTATTATGCACTACGGGTGGGAATAAATGAAGGGCCTGCAGCTTACAGAGCGCTCATTTTAATAGTGTGCATTCCTATATTGTTATTTGCTGGGTTGTTGAATCGCTGGCTCTGGGCACCGCGGAGTTTTTGTGGTCACCAATAGATGGGGCTGCGGCGCGTGGGCACGCCTGTCCCCTGGCGGTGCATCCTCTGCGGGCGCGCGAATGGCGTCTGATTACCCGAAATGTGCTTTTAAAATGCAATTAAAAGGCAACTGCCATGGCGAAATTGGCCGCCCACATGATGAAAGAGAAGCGGCCGCGGGGCGGGCGTATTTGCAAAATAGCTTCTGACGGGCGACGGGGGGAGTGTTTAATTAAAACGATTGGCAACCATCGATGTCGAAAATAAATGAAACAAAAATAAAATGTAATTTTAATTAATCAAATTCAGCGCGGAGAAAATTAAAGAGAGAGAGGGAGAGAGAGAGAGAGCTTTCGCGCCGCAGGCTTTGAGGGCCAAAGTCTTGGAAATTTCTCCGCCCCCGCGCGCGCACCCCGCTGGCGGAGCGCCCTTCGCGGGAGAAACCACTAATTACGAGCAGAAAGTTGCCTCACTTTCCCCTTTTTCCCATTATAAACAACTTAACAGCGCCCAGAGCGTCGCGAATGTACACCAGCGCCGCAGCTTTTCTCTCTTGCGCTCAAGAATAAAGTGGGTGGTTCAATTTTCGAGCTTTTCCACCTCTTCACAAGTCGACGAGAAGCAGCAGCTTCATGTTCAGTGATTTTTTCATCTCAAGATGCTGTGTTTTTCCAAAAATCTGCCTTAAGAAAGATGAGCTTTATTTTCATTAAGATGGTGTAAGTAAATGCTCCTTGAGCACAAAGACTCTTTGAGTTCCTGCTTTGAAGGAAGTACAAAATAGTGGGAACTTGGATTAAATGTGTATATTTTGTCTTATTCTGATTTGAAACATTGAAAATATTTGTATGAATGGATAAAACTTTGATTTCTCAAATAGTTGAGACTAATAATTATGATTTTAGATAGATTAGGAAGTACTCTAACACATTTCTAGCAATCATACGATAAAATTAATTAGTAACTTTAATGTGAAACAAGAAAACTAATAAAAAGTGTATAACGAAGTTCTTTAATTCCTTTGCTTTCCAAACCACACAAAATTTCCGTGGAAACATCATTTGAACGACGCATTTCCATTAAAATTCTGCTGAAAGTGGTGGAAAAAAGCAGCCCATTATCCTTTGTGCAAATTGCAATTCCCATCCAGGCAAATCCCTTCTGCGAACAGCGCATAATTGAAATCCATCCAGGCAGGATTTTTATGCATTCATCCGAGAGCGCAGAAGAGGCGCCAATCGAGAAACTATCCCTGCAGAGAAAGACAATTATGTTTTCATTGGAAAAGAAATTGTCCGCAAACACATTCTTGGCTGTGCGCGGAGGGTTTGCGGAGCACCTTGTGTGCGAAAACACGGTGAGAATCTGGCGAAAAAATCTCCGAGTAAACAGCCCCGGGGGATGTTTGAAACTAAGAGCCACTCAGCTGAGATTCTTCGATCCCTTTTCCACCTCCTCCCTGTCACTTCCACATCCCTCGGCGCCAATGAAAAGTTTGTCCACACTTTCGCCATCGGATTTATTGCAAATCGGGCGCACTCGCCGCCATGTGGGTCGCCGGCGCGCCTCCCCCGGGAGAGCCGCCGTGAGTCTCGGCGGGAGATTAAAAGTTGAGCATTTTCATATAAATGACGCAAGAGTCGCTGCTTTATGATAAGAAAATTTGTTTTTCAGGCGCCCAAGGGGCTCGGCAGGGTGAGTGGAAATAATTCAGGGAGTGGATCCCCAAAGAGACGCCCGCCGCGGGCCACGAGAGCGATAGACTCTCCATCCCAGAGAGCTCTGAGTATTGCCAGTGCGCCGGCGGCGGCGCCCGCGGCCACTTCTGGGATCTTGTGAGCACAAGCAGAGTTTTCCTTCTCCTCATATCGCGCCCCCGGGCGGCCTGGGTGAAATGATAGAGAACGACTAACTTAGGGGGCTCTCACACACACCATTTTTTGCCCCACTCGCCTCTTCGCCCGGAGTTCAGCAGTTCATGCTCTGACTCATGCGATAAGGAGGATGTCTAACAGCGCAGATTTCCAATTAATAACATATTGCATAACTTCCGATGCACTCCATTTGACTCATTTTTAGCGCTCCGGAGAAATTCACTCTGAATCTGAACTACTGTGAACGATGTCAAGGCGAGGCGAATGCACTGCATTGTACAGCATCTCGAGCGTCTTAGAGATTTCCTTCTTCTCTCCTCCTCCGCACAGGCCAAGAGGCTTTGTCCTCACCGTCCTCTCCAGAATATAATAGATTAATGAATGAAGTCTTAAAGTGTGTATTTGTCCAGAAGACTTTAATTGAGGTTGTTTCAATTATTGCGCTTTTCTGAAACGTGCCAGCTTTAAAAGCACTTTTTCGTGTAAATAATTTCGCAGTTTTAATTAATTGAAATGGTTTCATTTCTTTCTAAATTTCTTGTGATACATCAAAATTGAACAAAAATTGCTTAAAAGAATAACTGGATTAAATGAAAGCGAAAGATAGAAGATTGAAATGTCCTTTTCATTGGGATTACAATAAATGTACTAACTTTGATACTTTCTAAGAATTCTCCGAAATATTCCACTACACATTTTTGCCGCTCTCGCTGCGCTACTCACGAGCCCCTTGTCGTCAGCGACTCATCATCTCTCAATTGGGGCTTTTGTGTGAACAACAGCGCGACTAAAGAGGAGAATGTCAAGTTCAATGTGACTGAATTGGGGCAATGAGGCGGCCGCCAAATGGACTAATTTGGCGGGTCAATCGAGGCGACCGCGGAAGGCGATTGTGGTCGGAAAAGGAAGCCAAAGGAGTTGCGGAAGGACTTCGCGTCTCTCCGGAGTGAGAAAATGTGAGCGAATTTTTGGTGTGGCGAAAAGAAAGGGAATTCAACCCAATCCATTATCGTCATTTTCATTTCATTCCGCACTCCAATTGCCCGCCGGCGGTGTTCGTTTCCTCTTACAGAGGAAAAGCCTCCCGACGCTCCTTTTCAGGGCAATGCCTGAATTTCAACTGTGCCATTGAGAGCCATACAGTTTTGCTATGTTTTATACATAACACTGCCGCCAGCGTGTAGCCATCATTCTTCATTTTCCTATGGCAACCGACCATTGTCGTCATTACGTACACTTACTCACCCATCGCCTCCCCGGGGAGGCAGGAAGGGATCTTCTTGGGCCCCGAGAGGTGAATTTCCCAAGATTTGAGCATCCGATGCACAATGGAGCTCTGCATTTTTCAGAGGCACTGCAGCAACAGGGCGAGACCGCTCTGTTTCCTGGTGTACTTCTGTGCAATCTACAATATCTGCTCACATTTTCTCTATTTTCTCTCATTTATGTATCAAATATGGAAATGAGTTGAAAGGGCCTTGGCACAAAATGCCCTTTTTCATCAAAATCTTACTAGAATTTACCATTTAAAGTACTCAAACTTCTAGAATTCGTGATGTATTACCGAAAATTACTTTGAAGTGTCTATTTAGTGCTTTCAATAACGAATGAAGCAATTTCCTGTCGATTTTTAAGTATTTTCTAACCAAAAACAGTCTTTAAATGATAAATTTAAGGAGTTTCATTCGAAACACTTTAAGAGAAAATTCTCCTGGCCTGTTAAAGCGCTAAGATTTCAAATTTTTCGAATACTTTCAACAATGTTAAGGAGTAATCACACTGTTTTTTGTCTTAAAATATATAATGGATAATTTTCTATTAATTTCTATAACATTAAGGAAAATATTTTGGTGTTCTTTATCTATCTTAGAATATTTCCAGTTGAAAATAATGCTGAAAAGACAAATTGGAAAATCAAAACGCGTAATAAAGGAGGTGAGCTAATTGACTTTCTAATAATTGACTTGAATTAAATGCAGAAGGAAAAACACTCTCTGCGTTTCCAATTTCCTACCTTTCTCACCTTTATTCGTGATTTCCTCTTATTGCGGCGCTTCCAAGAACTCATCCGCCCCTGGCTTCACAAATTGCGCCATTCCAGTGAGTGTTGTGCGAATTTAAGAAGGCGAAAAGCAATCGCGACAGAACATGCTGACCTGCGACCCCGTGAAACAGAACTCTCTGTCCTTCTCTCTTTGTCACATTGGGAGTGACTGCAAGTGGAGTCAGATGACCAATTAGGCGCCAATTCCCGAAGCCCATCGCGAATTTTTTGCCTTTATCAATTCCTCGTGATTGTCTCACTTTGGGGAATTGTGTCAACAGCGATCTTCGCTGTGTGTTTACAAACAATCCAACAATTCGGATGATCACACGCGCTTTTGATAAAAGTTATTGCCAAAATATTTTCTAGTCTCTTCCACAGATTACACGGATGGCTTTTGAGCTGCAGAATCCCAAGTGAGATTTCCAAGTGGCGACAAAAAATCCCCAGCTGACCTTCACATTACGATCGATAGGGTTTGAACTCACGGATCAGAGATGGATTGTCACAGAAGCGCAAGTGTTCTGCGCTGTTGTTGTCATTCGCAGCTATCAGACATTGACTGAGTGACTAAAGAGGCTAAAGAGTGACATAAGAGTCGTGTTTAGCGCGAAATATTGGGTCAAATCAGCACTACGATGACTAATATTCCGGATAGCAGAGTATAGAATATCACAAACAACTCCTTCGGTTTAAAGTTTATTCATTTGGTCTTACATTTCTTACTCCTATAAATCTAGAGAGATAATAAATTAAGCGATAATGTGAGATTGATACCATATAATCGACGCTCCTTTGGTACTCAAGGGAATCATCTTGCCGGACTCTGCCTTAGACGAGGATGCAGCACACCTGCCCTGGACAGTCCGTCGCCGGCGTCTGGATCCTAGGATGGCACCTGTCCATGCAGACGCCCAACTGATTCACGCACGACGTCAGGCGACTTTTCACTGTGAGAAATGATCAGAACACAGAAGAACAATGCAAACTCGCTTCTTTGAGCCTCAATTTGGGATTTATCAACTCACGTTTGTAGCAACACTCTACGCCCATCGCCTTGTTGGACGGGCATAGGCCTGCAGTAGACGTCACGTGATCGCAGTCGTCCTTGTGCACGCAAAGACCGCCGACCATCGCGCATTCGCGCTCAATCTCCCAAACTCTTATGTCACCTTCTGCAATTTGAAACGGAGTGGCTTCAATTGGATTTGAATATGTTCATAATGCACAATTATCCGTGTGATAAGCACGTAAGATAGCAAATGTCGTAAATTCGCTTGTAATTGCAGTGAAAATTGAGGCTTATTGACTATTAAGCAGTGCAATAAATTAGCAAAATATTCCATTATCACTTCTAATGCCATCGATTTTTCACTCTCGCCGCAGCAAAACTATCATTTCCCAGATAACGCCACGCATTTCAGTCTGAATTCGTCGCTTTCCAGCGCGCATTGCATAACTGCTATGCCGAATTGTGCCCTCGAAGTGGCAGATGCGCAACAGGTTGCACTGTAATTTCGTGTGGCGCTGTGAAAAGGGCGCGCGAGCAGGTAAAATTGCCGCCGAAGTCAACTTTGCCACCACGGCAGATTCCCAGCGCGAATCACGAGAATCGCCAGCAACTCACCATCGAGCGTCTCGTTGTTGTCGATTTGCGGATAAGCCGCCACGAGAGCCACACAAACTGTCGCGATAACGGCAATCCTGACCACCTTCAGCATCGTTTCCTTCAACTCTGGCGCGCGCGAGAACACAGATCGTCACTCTCCTGCTCGGCTTCACTGCTGCCACTTGGACTATTTCGCAACGACTGTCCGTCCGCGCGGATCAGCGGCTCTTATATGCCCTGCTGGCGGCGCCGCGAGTCGAGCGGCGGCGCGCCGCGCTGCCGCCGCACGTACAGTTTTCCTCCACGAATTCAAATGGAGAAATTTTCCCGAAAAAAGCGTGCGCTTATCGCTAACGCTAAATTTGCTTAATCACTTCACGCACGAGGCGAATTGACTCGACTCTGTGCTCGTCTGTCGTCACATTTATTTAATAATCACTATAGAGTTGACGCAATGAACTTGAGGTAATTCCAAATAGTTTATCGAATCATTTATCGAGTCTAGTCAGCATTTATTCTTCAGATGTAATTCTACTTTTATCCAAATCTAACCTTTATTCTTCTGGTTGGAAATTGATCAAAAACGGCTTTTTATCAGTAAATGCAATTAATCAACTGGCATTGGAAAGAAATTCAATTATTCCCATGTTAGAAGTCAAGAAAACTGTTAAAGTGCTCAGATAATAATGAAAGCATTGTAAATAAGTTGTTTTAAAGTATTATGTTTCAATTTTTACAATATTAGATTTTTTTAAATACTTTTTCCTTGACAATTATACGTAATTATTCTTAAATTTATTTGGTCTTCAGTAATCAAGATTTATTAGCTCAGTAGCCAATTATAATTAGAATAAAATCTTCCACATCCGTCGTAATAACTTTCCAAGCGGATTTTTAGAAGACTTTTTAATTATTTTTTAGGTTATGACCGAAAAATTTATGAAAATTAAAGGTTTTATGTTGATTTTTCCAGAAATGTGGAGGAAAAAGCTCAAACTTTTATCTTAAGTTTGGAATCCAGTGTATAAAAAACCCGAAGTTTAAGCGTCTGAAAATGGTGTGCAAATTTGAGCCAAATTATCTCCCCCTTGGCAATTTCTTATCACTTATTCTGTACATTGTCGCACGAAAAGCAGTTCAAACTGACTTAAATCCACTTCTATTGCCAGAACTTCAAAGCACGCCAATCTTACCTCAACTGAGAATTGCGCGCAGTCAATCAAATCTCGCCGCTTGACTCTGTCGCACGGCGAGATCGCACCGGACGCAAAAGTTTCTCTTTTTCCCTCACATGATTCTATTGCGTATCCCACAATTCAGTTCATGGGGGCCCACATTTTTCCGCTCTCCCGACGACGTCACTCCTCCCCTATCGCCAGCATTCGCAAGACTCGCGTGGAAAAGTGCATCTTTATTCCCAATTCCATCAATACATGAGCGGCGGCTCAGCGCCTGTCCGTGCCGCCGACGCCGCGCTTACCGGAGAACAGATGCTTGGGCATCTTGTTGCCGATGAAGCGGTCCGCCTCGCCCTTCAGGCCCATCTTCTTCACCTTCAGCGAGATGGACTTCCTGGCCATGAGCTCGCCCTTCCTCTTCATGATTTTATCCCGCACGCCGAGCTCGTTGCGCGGCGGCGCCCGCTTCAGCGGCCGCCCGGTGGCCTTGCAGATCGCCGACGACTCCTTGTCTGGTTTGCCCTTCTTCCTGCCCTCGGCGGTTGTCAACGCGGATCTGCGCACACTCACGACGCTCTTCGTGAAGTTGGCGTTCTCCGTGCCCGACATGTCCACGCCCAGACTCTCCATCTGACTCTTCAGTCCCGCCACGCTGCGCTCCCTGATCTTGGGCTGTTTGTTCCTCGGAATCGTCGGTCGCTTCTTCTTGCCGTCCAGCCGGCGCGCGTCCTTCAGCAGGAACTTCTTGTAGCGGATCTGCTTCGCCAGCTCGCGGATCTCCAGCAGCGTGGCGTCGAGGTTCAACTGCGGTGGTTCGTAGAAGCCAGCCTCCATCTTCAGTCCCTCTTCGCGTTCCAGCTCCTCCAGCTTCTCGAAGATGTCTGCATCAATGTAATCCGCGATGTTGTGTCCGTCCCAGAACTCCGGGATTGTGTCGTGGCGCTCCTCCTCGTCGATCTCCGTGTAGTTCTTCTTCAAGTCCAGCACGTAGTCTTCCTGCAGCTCCTCCTCCAGCTCTCTCTCCAGTTTGCGCTTGCGCTTCTCCGCCGCCACGACCTTCTTCACCTGCACGGACTCAGGAATGAAGGCTGGGCGCTCCTTGTTGTCCCTCTCCTTGGGCATGGCCACGTGCAGTCGGTTGAGGATCGTGTCCACCTTCTTCGAGCGCACCTTGCTCTCCACGCGATACGACAGCAGGCGCTCGCACGCCTCGTTCTTCACCTCCATCACGCCCTCCTCGGCCAGCGTGCTCATCTGCATCACGGGCACCTCCGGCGCCACGTCCTGCAGCCTCTTGAGCACCGCCTGGCGCTCGCCGGTCAGCTCCTCGGGCTTCACGATGTCCACCTTGTTCAGCACCACGATCAGCGGCTTGTTGGTGAACAGCGGCTTGATGCTCTCGAACAACTTCATCTGCTCGGCCAGCGTGTGGCCGCAGTCCTCGGAGATGTCCATCACGTAGAGAATGCACGCCCGGAGATGCGCCAGAGCCGTGATGGCCTGCATCTCGATCACATTGCGCTCCTCCAGCGGATGATCCAGGATCCCAGGCGTGTCCAGCACCTGCCAGCGCAGGTATTTGTAGTCCGTGTGTCCCACATAGAGACTCTTCGTGGTGAAGGCGTACGGCTGCACTTCCACGTCCGCGCGCGTAATCTTGTTGATGAAGCTGCTCTTGCCCACATTCGGGAAGCCGCACAGCAGTAGCGTGCGGTTGTACGGGTCGATTGAGGGCAGACGCGAGAGATGCTGCCGCACCTCCTCCAGATAGGCGAGATTCGACGCCTGGCGCTTGATAATCGTCGCCATCCTGCCCAGAGCGGCCTTCTTCAGCTGCTTGCAGCGATACAGCGAGTCTCCGTACTTCAGCAGGCGCACGTAGTCCTTGGCGACACTGAAAAGACACCCGGACTCGTGAGAAAACCCTTCCGGAAGTCAATCCTTGGCTTAATTACTTGTCAACAAGATGCCTGGCCGTGTTCAGCTGTCCCAGGGCGAGCTTGTAGTGATCCTTGTCATACAGGACGTTCATCAGATCCGCATAGAAAGGATGCACATCGTCCAGCTTCGGGAAGTCCTGGATGATCTGAGACAGTCTATCATGCATATTCTGCTGCGTGTATTTCACCTTGCGCATGTAAAAGCTTCGTATCCTGGAGATCTTGTAGCCTTTGTGCACCACCGTTGGCGTCTTCCGCTGCGTCTTGGACAGCATTATATCGATAAAGTCCTGGAAAAGCCAAGAAAACCCCCAACATTTTAGGTTATATTGACCAAAACACGATTTCTAATCAATTTCCTCAGTGATTCCCTGAGATTTTCACTCACCTTTGCCGGCGGAACCACCATGATCTTCTTGAAGTTGTACAGACTCATCTTGGAGTGGGATTTCCTCGCGATTTCCCAGGAAAAGTGGCAATATTTACGTTCTCAGTGCTCCTTCACGCACGTGCACTGAGAATGAATGAATAGTGGGTTTATTGTGGCTTGCGGGCTCTTGCCATTCGCCACTACCAGTAGCATTATACAGTTGCTTGTCTTATTTATATAACAGTTTTGAATTTGCCTTTCTTAACAGTTTTTCCTTCTTCACTCTTTCTTATTTTAACAGTCTTGTAACCAGTAGCGTTTTACCGTATACATTAGGAAATATTCAATAGATTTATGCGGGGACAATCTACCTGCCCATTTCTACGATGAACCATCGCACCCCAAAGGGTAAAAATCGATTCAAAACATCCCTTGATTTTTCATTCCTCTTCCTGTTTTTACGGCTTATTTTCTTCGAGATTTTTAGAAAACAGAGCCAAAGGCTCCTATCTACGATGAACTAACACACCCTAAGGGTCAAAATATAGTTCAAACGTATCGTAACCAGTAGCGAATCTAAACATTTCACAGACATGTGAAGCGGAATCACAAATATTTCTCAACAGACTCACTTATTAAACTATCTCCCCAACATCTTAAGCTCAAAACATCTAATCATCTCTCAATCGTTTTTAACAACTAGTCATCACATAATTTAACGTCTAATCTACTTTCAGTCGCCTTAACAAACAATAGGCCATATGGGCAAAAATACCCGTGGCCGTATTGACAATAAAGAAAGAAGAAACTAACAGAAATCTCAGACTTCATAATATAAATGACAGTTCTTGCCTTAAATCTCTAACATATTTCGCTTAATTCAAGAAAAGAGATATAAATTCATTTAGCTTCAGAATAAATTCCAATTCTTTAAAACTTCTTAGATGAAAATTAAAATGACTTCTCAATTATGACACCGGAAGGGTGAAAACTCAGAGCATATCAGATACATTGCCTTTGTCATCAGCCAGAAAATCCGTTATGAACTTAATCAACGCACTCACTTAATTCCAACCGTATCAGCGGCTTCACTCTTGGAGTAACGGTGATCCTGAGTCGATTCGGGTCGATTGCTCCGGACACCAGGCACTTTCTCCAACCTGAGCGATTTCCCAGAGCGGGAATGTATCACCTTGCGAGCTTTCCGCTTCGAATTCTTGCTGCGAGTCCTAGCACTTTGTTCACTGCCTTCCTCCCTGGCGGTGGACGTCTGGCTTTCTTCCATTCTTTGATCCTCCTCCATTGTCAAGCAATTCCGATCCACATCCAAATTGGAGATCGTCCAACCTAAATTTGAGATCGGCGCCGGGATAACTGAAGAAGTCGATTCCGCATTTGCATCAAGACACGCATTGCTCTCCTCCGTTAGTGAATCCACAGCACTTGAAGGAACAAATGACTGCAGCATTCTCTCTGGTTTACAGCGACTGCATGTACAGGTACACTGGCAACTTCCTCCCACAGACTCCGTCGAAGGATTCATTCCTCTGGCGATTTCCTCCACCATCGTAAGATGTTTTCCCGAATAGTTTTTAAAAATCCGCTTGGCCGTGACCAGCGGAACTCGGAACGAGACCGCAACTTTCTGAATCTCATACTGCTCTTTGTACACTGGACAAATTCGCCATGACGCAAAATGAGGTCCTCCACAATTTGAACAACGAATTCCTGATTTACACGGATTCGGACGGTGCTCCGCCTCCGAACAACGAACACAGATAGCCGCATTCTTACAGGATGTCCGGAAATGCCCAAACTGCTGGCACTGGAAGCAACGGATCGGGTCCGGAATGTAATCACGTGTCTCAAGCGTCACATACCCTACTTTCAGGAATTGAGGGCGACTTGGCAAGTTGAAAGTCACGATGAACAGAGGAGTGGGGTACCACCCCGACTCACTCTCTTTATCTCCTTCCAATGGGATGCCACCGCGGGCAATCCTGCGTCGGGACTTGATGTTCTTTATCGCAATCACACCCTGGCTGGCGAGGTTTTCCAACATCTCTTTTTCACTCCAATAGATCATATCCTCGTCCCGGACTATCGCCTTACTTGTGTTCATAGGTATATCCATCGTAATCAATACTTCGTGACCCGAAATTGAGGTTAGCGTGGCTAACTGCTCTGCTTGATTACGATTGATCGCCTCAATCAGTATTTTGCCGTCCGCTCGTCTGATGATTTCGGTAACCTCTCCAAAGACGTTGAGCTCCTTTTCGATCACAAACGGGGAAATCTTAGAGAGGCTTTTCTGATCTCTCCTGCTGACCAGTAAAAATACGCCATTTTCACCTCCCGCGTTCGTACTAGTCGCGCAATCTCCCAATTCATGAGAGCACCCTGGGGCACTTGTCCCCTCCATCGGTGGCTGCCCAAAAAGCATTTCTCACAGAATTCCTCAAGTCACCTCAGCAGAAAAAGCGGCTTTGACTACAAATACGTTATATTTTCACGCAGCAAAATATAACACACGTCCGTTCAGTATGCCAACCCAGTAGCGAAAATGCGTGCACTGAGAAAAAGACAGAAACATCGAAAGCCATTTCACAACACATGAAACGTGTTTCGAAGACGTTTCTTCTATGTTTCATGTCTGCATACAAACAATTTATTGTAACGATTTATTTGGTGAAAAATTCTCTATGATTTTCTAAATAGAGTGAGACGAAAGGAAAAGCATAAGAAATACTTTTTTAACACCTCCTCAAGCTTCAAGAAAGTCTATTGCTTCAATTGTGCAGGATTGATTTACAGAAAAGCTGAAAAACTGATTCAAGCAAAATTAACGTTTATTCGACATATTTTGCATCGTTTGCATCTCTTAATTTCCCTTATCGTTAATCTTTTCAGCGATTTTCTTTATAACAACACATTTTTCCTCCACAAACTGAAAATTAATTGATTTCTAGTTATTTTAGTTAATTTTATTAGCTCTCATTGATTTTCTATGCATAATTAGGTCATTATTTGCCAGCAGTGATAATAAATGCATAGAAATTAATTTATAAATTCTCATTCGATAATGCTTTTGCATGATTGCAACTCGTGAAAATTGTGGGTGGGATTAAAAGCTTAGCTATAATTACTCGTTTTTGAACTTAAGCGCAATTCCAGGAATTTCATCCCATGATAAAAGTTAAATTATCTCATGATTCCGAATTATTGAGTGGTTGAATATTCAGAGAGACTTTCACAATTCAATTTAAGGCTCCAGCCAAAAATTGTGTCGACACACTAGAAGGAAAAGGAAAAATTCGACTGCTGCGCCGCTCTTTTGACGAATGCAAATCACTTGTTGGAATTTTCATCATTTCAGCCGCTCGAGTGCTATTCAGAGTGAAATTCCTCAAGTTCAATTCTTCCACACGAGAGTCAATATCATCCTGGGATCCACGTGAAAAAGTGTGCGAAGAAATTGAAGGGACTTTTAGTTCCCATGCGAAAAGCTCTCGCATTTCCCACCTCGGCGTCGAGGGCGAACGAGAGCTCAGGAGTGGGTTTTGCAGCTCTTATAAATACCCTCGGGTTCCTCATCCAGCAGCGTATTCGCAGACGGTCAGCCGAGGCGCGCACACGGACTTTTCCCGCCAGTGACGAGCGAGTGGAAAACTCTGGCATTCCTGTGTTCTGTGCGGTCAGAGGTGGAAATGTGAAGGTGTGCGCGGTTTGCGTCCCTTTTGGGCTTCTGTTTGTTGAATTCTCCAAACGCGAGCGAGATGAAAGTATTCCTGATCCTTGCAACTTTCTGCCTCCCAGCCATTCTGCCCGCTTCCAGTAAGTTCACACACAAGTTATCATTAATTCAACGGTGCGACGCCCCCGCCCCTCGGGCCCTTCTTCACCTACTTCGGCAGCGGGGGCAAAAAGGTCCTGATATGCCATCCCATAAAAGTGCCAAAGTTGAGAATTTAAAGAGATGTCGGCGAGGGAGAGCGGAAAGCAGGCGGAAAAAATGCCATTGTTGCAGAAACGAGGGTTTCACCCCCCAAATTCTCTCGCCCTTTGATTTATCATAACGCGTCAGCCTCTGAATAAAAAGCGAAACATTTACATTTTCTGGCTGAGGGGAAATTGCCAAAGCAAGACAATCAGGTGAAATTGAGCAATTAGGACTTGGTGTTTCCTTGCGCGCCCATCGCACGAAGGATGATTGAAAGATGAGCCTGCAAAAGGAATTGCACGCTTTGTGGCGCTTTCTTTGATGATTTTAATTAAATTGTAGCCCAGAGATTTTCCACCATCGTGAATAAGAGATGTTACCGAATGAAAAGGCGCGATTTTGCCACTCTTCATTCCGCGAAAATGAGTAGAAATTTCAAGACGAGCTCTAATTTAATCACATCTGAAGTTCACTTTTCTGAGAAAACTATATAAATTGGGAAACGAATTACAGTAATGACGAGAAAAATAAGCACAACTTAGGAGAAAACGGAATTAACATTAAGAAATTGCAGATTTTATTTTATGTCTTAATAAGAGTACATAATTTACTTTTTATTACAATAAAGTGAGAAGTAATAATAAATTGTTGAAGAATGTTTCGAGGTATTACAATTTTTCGTGCTCCTTCTGAAAAGAGCATTAAATTAAATAAAATTTACATGCTTTATTCGCATAAAAATCGTTTATTATGGTGAAAACACAGCATTTGTAATTTGTAATTTGTCCACGATCATCTCTTTCTTCCCCTCGCGTTTCGTGTATTTTCCTTCCTACTCGCACAGTGGCTGTCTCGACATGTCAGAGTCAGACGCTGACAGAGTAGGAAGGAAAATACACGAAACGCGAGGGGAAGAAAGAGATGATCGCGGACAAATTACAAATTACAAATGCTGTGTTTTCACCATTATGATTCCCATTAAAAATTATGCGAAAAATGAGAAAGTTGAAAATTAGGAAAACACAAATTTTACACCTTTTACAGAAGTGAAACAACATAAATTCTTTATAAATCATTAAATGTCTCCTTAATTCATCCAGAAAACGCTATGTTTGCTATATTCTAGTCACTTTCATATTGCTTTCGCCAATGTGTATGTAATTATGTCCTTCACTGTCTCCAATTTCACTATACAGGAAACTTTTAAGAGGCTCTTATTACGTTAAAAAGATTGTTAAATAATTAATCGCTCACTTTGCCACTCGAGTGCGCGCTGGGAAAGTTTGAAACTATATACAAAAGTGGAGTGTTGAATGTGTTTTCTACCTTTTGTTGCTCAGGCACAACTTACAAACCGGCGACAGATCAAAAATCATCCCGAGGCGACAATTTTGCAGATCCCTATCAGAGATTCTGAGGTCGAATTAAATTCCGGTCCGAAGATTGACACGGTCGGCTCAATTAGGGTGCCAATTAAATGTGAAAATTAATTTCAAACGAGAGCAAATCACCCTGAAGCTCAACCCATTCTCCCTAATTGAATTAATTCTCTCACTCTCTCTCTGTGTAATTTCGGTTGAGTTTTGTTGGCACATTTTCCATGGGCAAATTTGTCTTTTCCACGCCCCAGGAAGAGTCATCGCACACACACACACGCATCGATTGGGGATGGGAAAGAGTGATGCTCGGCCGTCAGCGTCGTGGAAAATGAAATACTTATGATTCCTTGTGGAAATTCTCAAACGGATTCCAATCATTCCACCAAGCTGATGACTTTCTGCTCACCAGCAACCGGGCTTGGAAACGTGATGGAATTCCCGAGCACACTAAATTGTCCCTCGTCGGCGGGATGGAGAGAGAGTTTTAAATGAAGACCCTCATCCTGATCGATAAATTTCTCTGAGCCCCTTTCTCACCACCCCTTTCATCCCATTCTGCCCCCGCAGAAATCCCGATGACGAAGCTCCATTCGCACCTCCTGGACGCGGATGCCATGAAGATGAGCTGGCTGATTGATTGGCAGGGCGAGGAGGTCTTCTTCCACGTGCGCAACGCCTTCCGCGGCGATGACAACTGGTTCTACCTGGGCTTCTCCAAGCGCGGCGACCTCGGCGAGGCCGATCTGTGTGTGTTCCAGCTGAAGAACAGCCTCTTCAACATCGCCACGGACGCGTACACGAGCCCAGACAGCCGGACAATCTTCAAAGACGCCAGCCAAGATTGTGAATTGCTAAGGATTGACGACAACTCGGTGGCTTTCAAGAGGCGCTTCAACACTTGCGATCCACAGGATCTTAAGATGCACGTAAGTCTAATAAAATTATGATTTTTCAGCGAAATGACGCTTTGTTTCGTCAGAATCCTTGTCCTTTTGAAGACTTCTTTTCGAATCCTCTTTCCTATTCGACACAGAATCTCCTAATCATGCAGTGTAAGGAATGAAAACTATACAAACAGACAAATTGGGTCAAGTCTCCAATCTTCAATGAAAGACTTCTTCGCATAAAAATAAATAATTTTTAATATAAAAATCGCCTAGTCTAGCTACTGTTAACGACCGCCGCCGTCAGATCACTCACTTTCCCCGTCAATTCCTCTTGCAATTTGTCGATGTTGGACACCCTGAAGTAAACGTGCTGCCCAGGCTGACTGTCCGGCGGCGCCACGCGCTGCGGCTCCGGTTCACTGGCCGCCGGATACACCGGCAAGTAGCTCTGGATGGTGGCCAAGCCCTCAGGCGTGGATGCGTAATCGCGGATCTTGGCAACTGCTTCCTCTGGCGTTCGTGCGCCCAGAAACGCCATCACTTCCTGTGGCGGCGGCAGTGAGCTCTCGGGAACGCCCAGAATTTCAGCCAAGTGCACAGCTTCCGGTGGCCAGACGGACTTTGCGTCCACAGGAACTGGAGCCAGTGGGACCGAAGACACTGAAGACACTGCATGCACTGGAGGCAGGGCGGGCAGGATGGGTGTCAATTGGACACCCTCGAATCGGTGGATTCGCCAGATAATTGGCGCGAGTGGAAGGCCGGGAGCCACGGCGGCACGGCCGGCACTCGCGGCGCCCAAGAGGAGAACAACACTTAGCAGCATTTGGCACGAGACTGGAAAAATTTGGGCACTGTGAAGACTTTATAAATGCTCATTGGAATGTCCATTAGTGGTCAGTTATGTCAGGTATTCTTCAGGTAGCTTTCTAACCGTTGCGTTGACAATTAGTGCATTCTGCGTGAGGAATTCTTGGGATTCAATCATTCACTCCATAGAGAATTGCTGGGCTTTTTGGGATAACAGACATTGAGTTCTCCTCTTCAAACTCACACACATGTTTTAAAGTTGCGGTGGAAAGAATATATATGCAAAGTCCAGAAGAAAAGTCCATTGAGAGGCAAATAAGTGGAATAGAAATGGACGTGGAATTCCTTCAGCATATCAAATAATTTCCCAGAGGAGATGAAAGAGCGCCGGATTGATTGGCATATTTCTCTCATGGCAAAGGGATTATACTCTTTATGCATTCTCAAAATCAATTCCCTCTCTTCTCGCTAAAAATCTCGCCCAACTCTCTTCACATGATGTTGTGTGTGAGAGTCCAGAAAGACTTCCATCACTTATTCAGGAAAACACCGAGTCGAGTTTGGCCGTGAGAAAGTCCCATAAAGCTGCGAAAGTGGAGGGCAAGAGTCTGCCAGGGGAGAATTATTGATGGTGGAAGGCAGTAAAATTAGTTCTCTGAGACATTTCCTCCGTCACAGGAAATTACCCTCACCATCACACAGCCGGGAAAATCCTTCGGCGCAAAGCCACAATATTCGTGGTAAACAAATGATTTTGGTCTGGAGACAAATGAGTGGCAAAGAATGGGAATATCTTCAACTTTTACAGCTTTCATGCCGTATTATTTTCGCCTCCCCCCGCCGAAATGCTTTAATGGAAAACAAAGTGAAACTTTGGTGAAAAACAGTTGCGCAAAAAATATCTTTGCGTATTAAAAAATATACCCTGAAGTTTAATCATTTTTTTTCTCTCTGTGTTTCACTGCACACAACAATATATATAGGACAAAAGGAGAATTGTTAGGAGAATTGCTAGAAGAATTGCAAAGAATTGTTCAAACAGGAGAAAAAATCCTCCTGATAAACCTCATAAACGATTTACGGAGCGGAAAATACAATAAAGGACTAAAGGCTCTGGAGAGAAACTTTATCAAATTTCCCATCAATAATTCAGCTCAGACTCTCTCTTTTTTTCTCTCTTGTGCTATTTCAGAGGGAGTGACAACAATTCCCCAACATTAATGACTCCTGAAAGTCCTTCTGCAAAATTAATGCACCAATTGAAGTTTAAATTTATTGATTTTTCTGCCAACGATTGGGTTTTGTCCACCTCAAACTTCCGTTTTCTTTTTTTTTTTGATAAAAACTTATCATATAAAAGTTTTCTCATTGCCTTCCGGGAAGATTCGTTGTGGAATTTTTCACAACTTCATTTCAAAACCTCTCAAAGTGTCTCTAAAAGTGTAAACAAACACTAGTGGAAATAAGAAGAGGTCAAAATAGTTGGAAAATATGATGAGTTTGCCATGCTTTTCCAGCGAAATCCCATCAAAATTCCTATTACCATTTGATGAAGAGCTAGAGAAAACAATAATAAACCATCCAAAATTGCCCTGCTTTCCTCTATACTCTTCAGCGGAACACTGAATTCACCTGAAGTGACTCACAATTTCCTCTCTCTCACAGGAGGGAACAATGTACATCGCTTGGGCGCGCGGCCAGGATGACTTTGAGCTGCTGGAGTCCATCGACATGGACTCACTGCATCCCGCGGCCAGCGACGTGACGATGATGCAACTCCTGCGCGCGGACAAGATCAACATCCCCGAGAAGACCGTGGAGCACGTGGAGATCGCGCTGGACAAGGTGACGATTCCCAACAGAGAGACAACTTACTGGTGTCTGGTGCAGAAGTTGCCGGAATTCCTGCGGCATCGCAAGCATCACGTCGTCCAGTTCGAGCCCATCATCGCCGCCACCAGCCGCCCCTTCGTGCACCACATGGAAGTGTTCCACTGCGACACGGACGCCAGCCTGGAAATTCCCTCGTACAACGGAGATTGCACGGACGCCCCGCCAGAGACGAAGGTGTGCTCCAAGGTGTCGTCTCTGTGGGCCATGGGCGCCAGCACCTTCACGTACCCGCCGGAGACCGGGCTGCCGATCGGCGGCCAGGACTACAATCCCTTCATGCGCCTCGAGGTGCACTTCAACAACCCAGATCTCGTGAACGGCACCGTCGACAGCTCCGGGATGCGCCTGAAGATCGTGTCGAAGCTGCGGAAGTTCGACGCGGCGGTGATGGAGCTGGGATTGGAGTACACGGACAAGATGGCCATCCCGCCGGGTCAGGTGGGCTTCCCACTCAGCGGCTACTGCATCGCCGAGTGCACCAAGGCGGCTCTGCCGCCGCAGGGCATCACGGTCTTCGGCTCACAGCTGCACACGCACTTGAGAGGCGTGCGAGTGCTCACCAGACACTTCAGGGGCCTCCGAGAACTGCACAACCTCAACCGAGACGACTTCTACTCGCACCACTTCCAGGAGATCCGCCAGCTGCGCCGGAAGCCCGTGGTGAAGCCGGGCGACGCCCTCGTCACCACGTGCTACTACAACACGCTGGGGTACAGGAACACGACCCTGGGCGGATTCTCCATCAGCGACGAGATGTGCGTGAACTACATTCACTACTATCCGGCCACGAAGCTGGAGGTCTGCAAGAGTTCCGTGTCTGAGCGGACACTCTCCGACTACTTCCGGTGAGTAGGCAATCATATTTATGTGGCAATCTCGCAGTCCGTGAGCACTTTAACTGCCAATTTTCATTTTTATTGCCCTCCTCAGGGCAAAAGGGATGATTTTACAGTTAAAAATTCATCACAGAATGACTCTTATCGTGGGAAAATCGCGTGGAAACTCCAACTACAAACCATTCTCTCCACCCTCAGCACTGCGAATCGTGAGATATGAATATGATAATCATAACATTTTATTGCCAAGCATTTGAACAATCCCCAAAAGACACCCCTTCGCGTCCCTCTGGCCGATCCATAGCGGACTGGGTAATAAAATGATATCGGGGATGTAAGAAATGGCGGAAATAGCACAGGTCAATGTTTTGTACGATGATTTAACTTCTCATCTCCCAATTTAAGAGCCTTTCTATGCAGTTCTAATGCTTCAAATACTTTTAAAGCATTCTCGTGGCTTTTGAGCTTTTTCCCATTCTGTCTTCTTGGGCAGAAACATTCGCTGCTTCGCATTCATCCATAAAGAAATTGATTGGGTTGAATATCATTCGCATCTCATGCTAATTTGCAACTTTTTGCCCTGAAACACGTGCGCTGCAAACTTTTCAAACTCAGAGAGCAAGAAACAGCGAATTAAGGACGCAAAAAAAGAGTTATGATGGAAATAATGAGTTTTCTGAGATGTGAGTCTTGTTGGGAGATTTTATTTCACCGCATTTGCCCAATAAAATGCCGCAGCAGAGTCATTATTTGACGAAAAACAAGGACACTAAAAACTTCTAATGCGAGGACTTCAACAATTGTGTGCGCGGAGATGATTTCGCGCCACAAAATTACCATGTGAAGCTCATTGTTTTGCCGCCAAAAATGCGTTTAGCAACTCTCACTTCCCTCGCTAAAAACCAAGCAGAGATATTCCTCTTGCCTTTCTTCGTTGGAAAATAATGTGAATTAGCTGGAGGCAATGGGAAATATCCGCTTGAAAAATAAACACATCCCGACGAGAGAGAAAAGGGAGTTTTCTAAACTTTTTCTCCGTCATCCTCTGCACACGCTCGTCCTGCTCGCGTGTCCCTGAGCGGGCGGTGAAGCTGATGGGGTGGCTTCGCAAGAGAGAGACGCAAAAGGAGTGCCAAAGAGTATGAATATAATCTGTGGCATCACAGGAATTTTCACCTCGTCCGATTATCATCTGGATGCGATGGGAGAAGTTCACTGAAATCACGCAGGAAACGGACATTTGCATACATATTAATTCCTCTGCAACTCATCAATATTCCAATAAAAAGGATCGTGTCGAAGAGTGCGGAAACACTTTCTGGGACGCTTTTAGTCTGGCTGCACAAATTGGGCGTGAGTTTATTTGCTGATCACCTAAAGCGTATTTCAAGAGCAACAACAACACGAGCCGCCTATGAAAACAACCTCTTCATGATGCGAGCAAACAAAGACGACTGGAAATCACGGTCGATTGGAAATTTATTATTTCAGGCTTCTAATTAGCCATTATTTATAAATGTCTCAATAATTCAGTTGCGAAAGGCGAAATTTGCTATTGTTTCCCAATTATTTGCTGAACAATCAACGATTCCTTCGGTTTATTATTAGGATTTCATTCGGAATTGCCTTCAGGATTTTCCAAATTCAAAAGCTTTCTGGAAGAAACTCGTCTTATTTAATATTTTCTCAAGCATTTTCAGTTCAGAACAGATGAATTCGAATAGTGATTACAGTGAAAATCAAAAGAAAACTTGAATACCTTTCTGTGATGCGACAAATTTAACAACAAATCGCAATTTCCGCAATTTCGATTGGAAAACGTGCATGATGATAAAACCAGGTTGAATTTAACCATATTATAAATCAAATTGTGGTCTCAGAACCCCATCGAGGCGAAGGGATTTCGCATAAATCGAAGGGAGGCTGGGAAACGTGACGTCTCTCGCTGTCCTTCGAGACACGAATAGCAAAGTGTAGCATAAGTTTCTGAGAGCCACATCGAAGCGCCTAACGAAGTCGTGTCCTTGATTCTCTTCCTCTTCAGCTACATGCGGAAGCGCGAGCACCAGAAGCTGGACCACCGCGGCGCGCGGTCGGACAACTACCGCGCCATCCAGTGGACCAAGGCGCGCGTGGACATCCTGTACACCATGTACATGCGCGAGCCGCTGAGCATGCAGTGCAACCGGTCGGACGGACACCGCTTCGAGGGCTTCGCGTGGGAGGACGCGCCCGTCACGCCCGTGCCCTTCGAGATCCCGCTGGAGCGCGAGTCCTGCTCCTTCCGCGACTTCTGGACGAAGCCGCTGGCCGAGGGCCAGTGCGACCTGCTCGGCGAGTGCATCTACTGAGCGCCGCGCCCAATAAGTACACACAACACTCATTTTTAACCCCAATAAATGCGATACTGACGTGCCCTCGCTCAATTCTCGGCTCCTTCGGCCCCCTTTTGGGGCTCTGCACATGACAAATTGGCAATTACAGCGACCCAATTACCTGAGCACAGCTCCAAGGGCGACAAGACGCGTCGGAGGGAGATTTGCAAATCACCCCAACATCGCTTGACGCTCCGCTAAGGTGAGAAGCTCTGTATTATCTTACAACGAGGCTCTTGCTCAAGTTCCCGCCTCAAATTTCAAAGCATGACCACCAAATTGATACTGAAATCTCCAAGGGAAAGACAGTTGGTTGAAATCTGTACACCACTTTGACTTCTCGCGTCGATTTTGCATGAAGAGTTTTTAGCATTTCCTCTAGATTCCTTGGACAAATTTAAAGCCGAAAATTGACTTTAAATCTCTCAAATTGACCAGAATTGTATTCTATATTATGTTTTTGAGGTTATGTTCGAATCTAGCTTCATTTCTAGTGTTCTTTTGCTTCCAAACATCTTGAATCACGATTTTTTGTAGTGAAAATGCTCAACTCATCAAATTAGTGGAAATTATTCAAGCTTAGATGCAAGAATTGAAGTTTTTAGATGTTATTTTTGCTTTAAATTAGCCACATAACCTAGAAAATCATCGTGAAGACACAAACTTTAAAAAATAACTAATTTTTCTAACTAAATTTATCCAAAGAACTCGAAAGTATAGGAACACATCATCTTCTTAACACTTCTCTTGAGCTGTACACCACTTCTGGTCAAATATTTCCCCTTGACATTCACATAACACACAAAATTCCCTTCAACATTCAATAGAATTAACTCATCTGATAATAATTTGCACTGATTTATTTCCAAACACCAGCACTAATCTCAATTAATCCATCTCAATTAGTCGCAATGCTCGGTTTTGCTTCAATTTCCACGCGATAAATTGCAAACCGCGACCAGGATTGAGTTTCTGCAGTCGCCGGAGTATAAAATGCATGCGAATCTCCACTTGAGCCTTCGCAATGGAGATCTCTGGGAAGAGTGCGCTCATCACGGGCGGCGCGAATGGCATCGGCTTGGCGATTGCCGGACAGTTTCTCACCTGTGGCGGACGGAAGCTCGCTCTGGTGGACGTCCAGGAGCCGCAGAGTGACTTGCTGGCGTCCTGGAGGTCGCAGTATCCGGATTGTGCGGTGGAATTCCTGCCAGGCGACGTGACAGACGAGCAGAGCCTCAGGCGGATCTTCCGGAGAGTGTCTGAGCAGTTCCAGGGAATCGATATCGTGGTCAACAGCGCCGGAATCTTCGATGAGTGCGACTTCGAGCGGATGTTCAGGGTCAATGTGTGCGGCGTGATCAATTCCTCCCTCCTGGCCATCGAACTCATGCGCCAAGATCGCGGCGGCAGGGGCGGAAGTGTGCTCAACATCTCCTCCATCGCCGCCCTGAATCCCGTCCTGGCGGCTCCGCTGTATTCCGCCACCAAGCAAGCCGTGCTCACGATCACTTCCAGCTTCGCCGACGACTTCTTCTTCAGCCGCTTCGGCATCCACTTCCACACTCTCTGTCCAGGCGCCACGAACACGCGCCTCTTCGTGGAGTCCTTCGACGCGCGCTGCCTCTTCCCCGAGTTCGCCACTCTCTATCACGCCGCCATGGCGAAGTACGCCGTCCAGGACGTTCAATGCGTGGCTCAGGCCGCTCTGGAAGCGCTGCGAGATCACAGAAATGGCAGTGTCACCGTCATCGACGACGGCCAAGTTAAATGCAGTCAATAAAACTACTCGTTCTTCTTCAGCATCGCCTCTCGCCACTCCTCCGGATGCTTGCGCTTCTGATGCGAGTATCTGTTGGCGTTGCTGTTGAACATCTTGTCGCAGAAGTTGCAGGAATAGAGCTGTTGCTGGCCAGTGTGCGACGCCATGTGCTCCTGGAAAGACAGAGACGCGGTAAGTTCACTTGCGCTGCTGGCCAGGAGACTCTCCATTACCTTGAGATTGATGGGCCGCTTGAACTCGCGGTCGCAGAGGTTGCACTTGAGCGGCTGCGTGGTGTGGACGTACTTCTTGTGCATGTACAGCGCCCGTTTGGTGGCCGTGGTGCGGCTGCACAGGTCGCACTGGAAGGCCTGGTTGGGGTTCTTGTGGCGCAGCATGTGGCGCAGCAGCCCGGGGCGCTGTTTGAACTTCTTCCCGCAGTATTCGCACTGCACTTTCGGCGGTTTCTCGGTCATGTGGTTGATCTGGTGCGCCACGAAGGCCTCCTTGGTCTTGAAGATGCGCGCGCAGAACTCGCACACCTTCGTCTGGCAGCGCTCGTGCACGATGCGGATGTGGCTGCGCATCACGGAGCCCGTGGAGAACGCCTTGCCGCACTGCGGGCACACGTGCTCGCGCTCCTCGTGTGGCACGTGCACCTTCTGGTGCGCCGTGAGGCGGCACAGCTTCGTGTAGCTCTTCGGGCACTGGTCGCACTTGAACTCGCGCTGCTCCGGCGGAATGTGGATGTTGAGGTGCTCCTGCAGGTGGTTCCGAAACTTGAAGCCCTTGCCGCACACCTGGCACTCGAAGCTCTTGGGGTCCACGTGGAAGTGCACGTGCTCCACGAGCCTCTGGCGTCGCTCGAAGCGCATGCCGCAGCACCGCACGTAGCCCACCTGATCGTGGGCCTCGCAGTAGTGCTCCTTCAGGTCCTCGAACACCCGGAAGGACGCCGTGCAGAGTTCGCAGGTCAATTTCACGTACTTGGCGATGATGTCGTTCAGAGACTTCCTCTTGGAGGAGTTCCCTCGCCTGGGCTGCGTCCTCCGGCGCCTCAACGGCACATCCTCGATGCTCTCCACGTCTTCTGTGTCCTCTTGAGCCTCTCCAGAATCCTCCTCCTTCACCTCTGCAACCATTTCCACGCTCTCTTCGTCATTCTCCGCCTCTGGAACTAACTCCGTCTCTTCCTGCACCTTCTGTCCCTCACCCTGAGGCGCTAACTGCCCACAAATGCCCTCCAGAGTTGCTTCCGAAGCCTTCACAGTGCAGTAGAAGTCATGATAGTCAGTCAGCTTTGCATAACATGACATACAGATTCTCTGCGGCCACTGATCACCTCGATGCACCTGCAACAGACAAAAGAAAGATTCTATTGCTGGCCAGGAAGCCACCAGAAGCAGAGAAATTCACCCAAGCTCACCTCAGAGGTGAAGAGAAGCTGCATTGTTTTGCTTATGTTCATCTCCTGACCCAATGACCCGAATATTTCCAGTCTATCACCGGTGGAAATGAGGCACAATCGACACAAATCCTTCACTCGACACTCTGCAGGCAAACTCAGTGCATTTTCACTACTGAATTGTGTGAAAATAGCTGAATTTTGAGACATTTTCGATGAGGGCAAAAATCCTTGTTTTGGAAATGAAACGTCATCCAACCGACTACAGCGCCAACGGGAACATCGGGAAACCAGATCAAAAAGAGCGCGAAAAGGCGAAAACATTACAAAAAGAGAAAAATTACCCAAAATCCACGCAATTTTATTACAATTCTTAAGTCTCCGCATCCCTCAAATAAAAATACTCCATAAACACAACCATAAAGGCAAGATTAAGTACCCTATGGAGAACGGATTCCACGATCCGAAATCGTCCATGGAATATCTTCCACTTTTGTTCCTATAATAGGAATAAAATCCTCGGAATTCCAAGCTATCCTCCATGGATAAATTCCACTTTATTCCAAGCAAGATACCATGGTATAATTCCATACATATTCCTTTTGGCCATCCATGGATATTAGAATGGAACATTTTCCATGGTGCTAAATCCGCGGAATATCCATGGGTTTTCCACGGAATAATTCGCTCTTTGCACGTCCCCACGCGATTACGTAAGTCTTGTGAAATTCTTCTCATAGGAAAGAACGCGTAAGTATTTTCTGTACTTTTCAGTACTAAAACCTTAAGTTTTTAATGGTAAACACTCTAAGTTTGGTGATATTTCCAGGAAAAGTGCTGAATGTATGCGATGGAGACGGCACAGGGACCCCACAGTCAGAGAAGACTCGAGGTTTCCGGACAACGTCAAAGTAGGAGAAACAACTAATGTAAGTATGGAATTACCGAAACATAAGAGATATATCCTGTTTTCTATACTGAACATGTCTTTTTTACAGGAAAATAGGATGCGGAAAAGCGGTTACCGGAGGATCTACTTATCCGACAGAGTGTGACTCATAACAAGGTAAAAAATGTTCTTCATGTTCTCGAATTCCTATGGCGAAAATCCATGGAACATCCTATAAATAACCATGGAAGATTTCCATGCTAGAATTTCATCCATGGTGAATCCCTTGGAACTCCGTGGATCAGCAAGGAAAATCCTTGGAATTCAGCATGGAAGATTCCATGCTGAATTCCATAGGAATTTAGCTAGGATGATTTTCCATGGATTATTTCCCACATTGCTTCCAAATTTTCCATGGTGACTTTTCCCATATATGGACGATTTCCATTGTGATTCCATTGACCAATCCAAGGACGATTACAAGGAATACCATGGAGGGAATACCATGCAAATATACGATCAGTAATTTGTGTATTCTATTTTCCAGCATTTCTCAAACATATCCGGACCGGTGCGAGAAGACATCAAAGAGCATCTCGACATCCGGCGACCACGGTAGCAGTCGTCTAGAAGAGTAGCAGTCCCTGGGAAGCGGCATAGCAGCCACCAAGGCAACGCGTCATAAAAATTTGATACACATTTGTAAGCTTGATAGTTAATATTTAATAAATACAAATCCAAATATAAATGAGTCTTTTTTTTGGATATTTTGGGGCGGAGCGCCGGGAATTTCTGGGAGAAATTTCACACATTGGAATTTCCTCCATGGTATTCCTTGTAATCGTCCTTGGATTGGTCAATGGAATCACAATGGAAATCTTCCATATATGGGAAAAGTCACCATGGAAAATTTGGAAGCAATGTGGGAAAAAATCCATGGAAAATCATCCTAGCTAAATTCCTATGGAATTCAGCATGGAATCTTCCATGCTGAATCCAAGGATTTTCCTTGTTGATCCACGGAGTTCCAAGGAATTTTCCATGGATGCTATTACGCGGACTGCATGGAAATCGTCCATGGTTATCCATTGGATATTCCACGGATTTTCGCCATAGGGTACTAATAAGACAGATTTTCTTGAGCGAAGAGCTTCCGGAAAGAACTTCAGTAGATTTACGAGCTTTTAAGCCTTTAAAAATCCACGTCACCAGTTCCAGGAAGCTCTCCACAACCCACAAATCTGCCTCAAACTACACTTCTAAGATTCTAAGGCCATCCTGCTGGATTTCGACCACGGGAACAGCGGAAATCTCCACAGAACCCACGATCCAAGCGTCTCTTGAGGTTTTCTCCTTGAATTCCTGACAAAAATCCTGGGCGAAATCCTTCGGCAGGGCGATCAGCAATCCTCCTGAAGTCTCCACTGCCTTTCCGATAAGGAGCTTCTCTTGACGCCCCAGAATTTCAGCCATTCGATTGACATTCACGATGATCGGGAGAGTGTGAATTATGAATTTTAAAGGATTTGTCTGGAATTCCAGGAGATTTTTGGCATGTCCAGCCAAGCCGAACCCTGTAACATCTGTAGCGCAATGAGCTGAATATTTGTGCATCAATTCGACAGCGGATTTGTTCAGGAAAGCCATGGATTCGATGGCTTTGAGGTAAGTTCTGCGAATATCTTCTTCCGTGAACTTCGTTTTCAGCTTCTGCCAACTCTCAGACTCGTCCAGCATCCAGTGAAAGGCATTGGTGGCCAACTGAGTGCCCAGGGGTTTTGTGAGAACCAATGCGTCGCCCGGAGAAGCGTTTGTTGGCCTGAAAGCAGGAAAATCTTACAATCAGATAAGAAACATTTAGTGATAATGATTCTCACATTATAATCTCTTCCTGTGTGCAGACGGACGTTGCAACACCGCCCAAAATACACCACGGATTGATGGCGATTCCGCCCACGGTGACTTTGCATCCAGCTTCCTGGCCAGCTTCCCGGAATCCCTTGATCAACAGAGGCATGATAATATCTCTCTCCTGCTCACTGAACGCTTCCGGGCAGCTGCAAATCATCGTCACCTTGTCCAGCGTCACCACTCCTGTCGCATAGACATCGCTGGCCATGTTGGCGAAGGCTATTCTGCCCATCATCTCCGGATCATCGATGAGAGGATAGAAGAAGTCTACCGACTGAACAATTGACAAATTGTGACGCTCCAGCGGAATGACAGCGGAATCCATGCCGGCCTCTGGACAGAGCAACACCCCATGAATCTTTGCCATGCAAATAGGATGCTAAGAACTCACCAATTCTGCCCTGAGGGAGAGAATTACGGCCGGCAATCAAATGCACTCCCACAAGAAATTTGGTTAAAACTTCCTGTGGGACTTTGCAGCCTCATCCGCGCAGCGTTGAGTACCTCGTGAGGCGGAAGTCCCTCGCGAGGCCATGCTCCTCCGGCCTGAACATTGCAAGTCACTGAATTGTGGCCAGAATCGCGAAAATTTTCCCAAATTCCTAAATCAATAAAAATCACCTGATAACGCTTGAAACGCGATGTTTCTGCACCTGGTGGCGGACATTGGAAACTGAGCTTTCAGTCACATAACCTCAATCGCGTGGGTGCTCCTCCAGGTGGTGCGTTTTCCGGCAAATATCCATCAAAATGAGCTCCAAGACCGCATCCTCCAGCAAGGGAACTTTCCAGCCAGTGAGACGGATCGCCCCAATTAGTGGAATGACCCAAAAGTGTCATAATTCTGTGGTATTTTGCAGGATTCCGATGTCCACATTACATATGAGGATCAGCAGAAGATAAACATCTTCGCGAAGCACAATGCCAAGCTTGAGGATCTGCGGGAGGAGCTGAAGGGGAAGCAGAATGACTTGAAGAATCTCGAGGAGGCCAGCGATGAGATTGAGTTGTTCGATGAAGACGAGCAAATTCCCTTCCTTCTCGGCGAAGTGTTCATTTCGCACAATCTGCCCAAGACTCAGGAGCTCCTCACGGACGCCAAGGAGAAGAAAAAGAAGGAGATCAAGGAAATCGAGTCGAAGTGCAAGGAATTGGGCGATATCATCGGTGACTTGAAGTCGCAGCTCTACGGGCGCTTCGGGAGTCACATTTACTTGGAGAATGACGAGGACTGATGGCCCAAGGGCACTTTCCGGGCGTGAACAGCTTGTATTAAGGATCATAAATAAAAAAATTGGAGCTCTCATAAGCATAAAAAGAGAATTCTAGAAGTCCGGGAACCCAAATTCACCACTTTTCTAGCAGTTTGTTTTGACGTTTCCACCATATTGTTTACATTTATTTATTTCTGTTTATCAACAGAGAAATAATCCTCGAAATCTCTCTTGAAAAGTGTTCTTTTTGTTTAAAAGCATGTCTTCAGCACTCTATCTTGAGCACTATTTGGATGGTGAGTGGAAATTCGTTGAAATCTGTGGAATTCCGTGAGAATTGGTAACATTTTTCAGGTTTAGAACATCTGCCAAATGAACTACAGAGGAATTTTAATCTCATGCGGGATCTGGATTATCGCGCCCAGAACATCATGCAGACGATTGACGAGAAGTCCCAGGAAGTCCTCCAGAGCATCTCCACAGACACCAGCAAAGAATCTACGCGGCGGGAGACTGTTAAGCAAATCCAGGAGCTGTTCAACAAGGCCAAGGAATTTGGGGACGACAAAGTGCAACTGGCGATTCAGACGTACGAACTGGTGGACAAGCACATCCGGCGCCTGGACTCGGACCTGGCACGCTTCGAGGGTGAGATCCAGGACAAGAACAGCATAAATCGCGGCAAATACGAGGACGTTTCCAAAAGTAAGTCTAAAACATTCAACAGCTCGGCGCGTCCGGAAGTCATGAGAACATCTTTTTGTCGATTGCAGAGAAACGCAAGGGAAATGACACGAAGGCTTTGGGTAAGAAGAAGAGGCCACAGTCGTCTGAGGACGAGGCCAAGTGGAATAACACAAATGCCAGTCCGCATGTTGGTAAACACAAGAAACAAAAGGTAATTCAGGAAAAAGATAATCGCAAAGGTCCCAAGGTAATTCATCCACATCCATCTCTAACAATCATTGCTATCGAGCCTCAGGATCGGCGACTCTGGCCCAGAAGCCTTCGCGAGCTGGTTCCCCGGCGAATTTATTGCAAATTGAGCCTGAGCCTTAATTTCATTGTCTTTTAAATTGAATTGATCCTTAAACGATTTTGAACATTGTGATATTTGAGACGTCTCACAGCCAGGCCAGCTCGCAAGGCTTGCCAGTCCAGGAAGTCCTGAGGCTCGATTCTATCATCGCATGCCATTTGTAATGAAGAAACTGCAATTTCTGCACGTCTTTCTTGAGCGAAAACCCTGAAAATTCCGCCTTGAGCTAAGCAAGCGCTTGTTTTCCGCAGAAGAACGCCGACATCGAGGAGCGCATCGCGGACTTGGATGGCCACGCGACGCCGCACCCGAGCGACGTGCTGGATATGCCCGTGGACCCCAACGAGCCCACTTACTGCCTGTGCCACCAGGTGTCCTACGGCGAGATGATCGGCTGCGACAATCCCGACTGCCCAATCGAGTGGTTCCACTTCGCATGCGTGGGCCTCACGATCAAGCCCAAGGGCAAGTGGTTCTGTCCCAAGTGCTTCCAGGACAGGAAGAAGAAATAAAACAACATTCTCACTCCACAAGCGCCTTTGATCTCAGTTCTCTGTGCACTTCCAAGACATCCTGGCTCTCTAGCTTCCCTTCCACAATCATTCGCTGCAGCTTCATGGCGAGCGCACAGAGTTTCTTCTCACTCAGCTGCTCAATTTCCCTCCACTGATCGCCGAATTGCTGCCCCGACGAATTGTGCAGGGCTTCCAGCTTTCCGTAGAAGTCCGCGAGAGGACTTTGCGCAGCGCCTTCGCTGGTGAAGATTACACGCAGCGGAAAGGCGAGAGAAAAATGCTCGCCGTCGAGGCTGAACTCTACGGCAATGTCAACTCTCAGCGGGAATTTCAGCCACTTCTGAGGCAGCATGAAAGCATAAGAGTCCGTGCTTGGCTTGAGGGCGAACTTCTGGCGGAAACACTCATTGAACACCGACAGGCTCCACTGGGAATCCGAGACGTTCATCTGTGCGATTTGCTCGCTCGGCGTGATCGTTAGCTCAACATTGTCGCCCAGACTCTGCCTCAGCGACACTTTCAGCGTGACGCTATGCGTGGCGACGGAGAAGTTCCTGAGGAAACCCAAGCAATTGAGGATGTGCGCGTCCTCTCTGGCCTCAGCCATGATCCTGAGCGATTCATCCGTGAGCGCCGTGATTTGTTTCCTGAAGATCTCGGCATTGCTCAGCAAAGTCTCGTCGATTTTCTTTCCAGCCTGAGATTTTGTCCTCCTCAGCGCGTAAATCAGTCGATTCTCCGTCATTACGACGTAGCACCGCCACTTTTCGTGATAAATGCCATCAACGACTCCCGGAAGGTTGACTTTCTCCGTCAAGATGAAGAAGTTATCCTTCTTAGCGATTGTTAAGAGATCCAGAGACGCCAAAGTGATTCCCAGCAATTCATCTTCACGCACAATCTTCGGCACAGTCAAATACTTCTTGCCCAGGAACATTGTCTGTCTCTTTATCAATCCGTCCATCAGGAAAGTCACTTCCAAGACTCTCAGCGACGTTAGGACGAAGATCGCCTGGAACTGACCAGAAAACCAGACAGATTCAATGCTGTTGGCGTAAGTTGAGTGCATTGAAGCGTCCCACTCGTCCTCCTCATTCTTCTGCACGACATTCAGTGCACTTCCGGCACTGATCAGGACAATTTCCCTCCCAATCGACGCTTCGCTCTCGTCGATGTTGAGAAATTTGCTGAGAAAAGCCACATTTTCGGCAGTTATTGTGATGCATTCGAGCTGACTTCCATTGAAATTCAATTCCTTGATGAAATCCTCGGCCAAGAAGTCGTTCAAGTGGATTTCCTGCTCAAAATCTCCACAGTTGTCACAGAAAATGAGATAATACTCCTCTTCAAGCCTCCTTCTGAAGATCAGAGATCCGTTTTGTCTCTTCGCACAACCCAAAACTTCCTTATCTTCGAGATTTTCAAGCTCTTCCACACTCGGATTTGGTTCATACTCAGGATCTCCACTGAATTTGATGATCCTCTTCGAGTTGCTGACGGAAAATCCTTCGCTGTGGCTGGAAATGTTGTCTGGCATGAAGTTTTCGGGCATCTTCCAGTTGCTGAGCGTCTGAATATCCATTCTATCTGCAAAGATTCGTAAAGATTCGAAATAAGTCCCTAAATTTCGTTGTTTTATTTGCCTAAAGCAGAAATGCCGATGGAATATACAAAATAAGATGTGTTTAAGAGAGGAATGCGAGGTGTTGCGAAACCCCCGAAATCCGCCTGCAGACGCGATAAAAGGCCTCAAATCTCTGTTATCTCGCGGTTTATTTGTATAAATAATGTGGATGAATGTGAGTGTAATCTGTAAGAAAGAATCGTGTGAGTTTATCAGTGGAAAGGGACGGCGGACAGCCTCTGAGGGTCTACCAGAGCCCGTAATCGCTGTCGTCGTTGTCGAAGAGCAGAAAGTATCCCAGCAGCGTCACGTAAACCACAACGTTTCCGCACAGCGTCAAGTAGCACGCGCCGGCCTTGATCTGCAAGACAGGGAGCGTCAACCGGGCGCTCACGGGGCGCTGGACAAGACGGCTACTCACGGTTTCCGTGCGCGTGAGCACGATGGGCAGGGCGAAGCAGCTCACGATGAGGCCCATCGTGAGGAACACGGACAACTCGACGCAGGACGTCGATTGCGACTGCTGCGCATAGCGCTTGGCCACGATCGTGGGCAGCGGCGACAGGACATAGAACAGGATGACGAACAGCGGCCACCAGAGCTGGTACTGAGGCAGAGCGCAGGCCAGGATCACGAGTGTCATGCCGATGGATCCGGCGAACGCCAAGAGAACCAGCCTGCAAAGAAAGCCCACAGAGATGAGTCACGCCGTCCCATCCAATTCGCCCAGCGCACAAAGAAGGCTCACTTACGCTGCTCTCCCAGACACGATGCGAGTGCACAGAAGAGAGAAATTGCGATTAATTCAGTGAAACAGCATTCTAACTTAGTGGAAAACAGTAAACAAGAGAATTTTGCGGAATCGTCCATTGGCTAGACATCGCGAGAAATCATCAAATTTCGGGGTATTTTGGGTGATTTAACATAATTTACTCTTTACCTTTCACACCAGCCATTGTATTTTCACGCCTTTTGTGGTTTCAACACTGAACAATCACAAGGAAAATCGAAAGAAATTAATTTTCTCACTCTCTCGCAGACGAAACAAACTTGTGGTGAATAAAACGAAATGTCATAGAAAGTCACCACTTTGGGATACTCAGGCGATCGTCTTCGCATACTTTTCGCATTTTTATAATCGAGCCAAGCGAAAGCTCAGAATCAAGCTTTTATACAATAAAGACCAGACATGGCTGTTTATAATCTTTATCAAGATTTTTAATCGAATCTGACATGGACCACAATTTTGGATATAAATGCCGTGAATTAATGAATAAATTTTTAATCTCTACCATCTAAAAAACCAACAAATTACATCGCTATTATTGCTATCTTGAGTTAACTGAATTATCTTAAGTTTCTCATTACTGATGAAGCTGTCGATCTCAGGTGATAGTTGAAATTTCTCTGCGGCAATTTTGAGTGGCTCGACTCTCTCGGACAAAAGCGGCAAGATTCCTCTGATAAGATCATCTGTTATTTTATAGCGTCCACGAATATGCAGAAGCCGTAATTTTTGGTAGTTTCCGATTATTGCTATGAGGAGATCATTGGTAAGTTTACAATATGCAAAGTGTAGCTCTTCAATAGTGTTTTTGCATGCCAACTGAAGCAGTATGTTGGCATTTAGCCCTTTTTTCCACTGTCGGAACTCCAGCTTCTTTAACTTGGAAAAGGAAGAGGTAAGGCAGGAATGCAGTTTACGTGTTGAGGCACATACGAATTCCAAAGGCTCGACCCATTTAGAAATCGCTAAATCCTTTAAGCAAGGCAAGTCGCCGAGCAAAGAAATGCTAGATGCATTATCATTTCTATAGCTGTTGTTGATCACTAGACTCCGCAGGTTCTGAAGTTTCGCAATCGCAGCAAGGCACGCGGAAGTGATGAATTTACAGTTCTCTATGTTGAGGCTAGTCAGACCCTGATTGCGACTGAGGAACAGCTCAAAGTAAGAAGCTTGAATATAGCCGCAGCAGGTTAAATCAATCTCCTGAATATTCTGTAATTCCGGTAGGAATTGTCCGCGGAGTTCGCTGTTACCACGTAGATTGAGCGTCTTCAACTGCGTCGGTTTTCGCAAGCATTCCGCCAATTCGAGCTCAGATGATTTTTTCATAAAACAGTCTAATCTCCGAAGACGAAGCTGTCTCAAATTTCTGAAGTTGCTCAGAAAGGATTTAAGACCTTCATACACATTTTCAAAGTTATTGCAATTTGCCATTAAAGTGCGGACGTACGGACCGATTCTCATTGATATGTCCTGAGTTTCTTCCTCACTGAATTTTTCGACACTGGTCATCAACCATAGAAGTCGTTTCGTCTTATAAACCATCTCAGCAACTTCCTTAAACCACTGACACACCATCTCCATTTTCATTAGCTCCCGGATATCCAGGTAAGAGAAGATTTCAAATAAGCAGTCGTAGTTCAGCCTCAAAATTGACTGCGTCTCGTCAATTGCCTCAGTCGTATTCTTGAAACGCTTCATCAACTTGCACAGCGATATTTCCATCTTCTTGTCCTTTTTCGCGTTCTTGTCTGTAAAACAAGAAGCCACTTTCTTCAACCGGGACTCGTCTTCAAGAATGCGAAGTGAAGATTGGGAGAAAACCACAGAATGCATGTGAAATTCGATTTCAAGAAACTGCAGATCGCAATTAAAAGTTCTACTTTCCTCACGGAAGTGATGTTTTACTCTCAAATACTTACAGAAATAGCTTAAATTCTTCACGAGCCTCGATGGACGCTACTTTTCTCTCTGACTGTCACTTTCCAAATGACCGCGCGTGTCACACAGCTCGATGGTCGTCCTTCAGCCGGGTTTGGGACACTGTCACTGAACTCACCACAGAAATATCGCTCACGTCAAGCGCTCATTGTGAGGAAAAGCGGCTCGCGGTAAAGATTGATTTCTGCAAGCTCTTCAACACGTGGATCTCATTTTACAATATTATTCTACAAAATTTACCTGCAATACGCGCACTTTTGCAGCTTTATTGTGCGACCAAGACACTTTCCTAAGCAGCGGAAGGAGAAAAATCGGTGAAAATGAATTGCCACGGTGATAGAAAAGCTGTTGACTCGCGGGATGGCGTGAATTGTGCAGAACTCTTTGGCAGCAAAGAGGGAATCACGTACAAGTGAGTGGATTTGCCGGGGGAAAAGTGTGATTTTCCCGCGGGTGTGACGACGTTTTCTCTGATTCTGCTTGTAGTGACTTCCTGATCCTTCCCGGCTACATTGACTTCACCTCGGACGTCGTGGACATCTCGTCGCCGCTCACGAAGGGCATCACGCTGAACATGCCGCTCGTGTCGTCGCCCATGGACACCGTCACGGAGGCAGACATGGCGATCTCGATGGCCGTGAGTATCCTTCGCGCATGTTTTTCGCCACTCACGCGATTCGCCGACCGGCGAGAGTGTGGCGCGACTCTTGGCAGACGATTTATTGACTCAGCACGTGCTCGAGTGGCGAAAACAAAGAAAACGCGAATCGCAGATCCGTTGATAAGCGTGTGTAATGCGCTCTCGTTCTCCGCAGCTCTTCGGCGGCATCGGAATCATCCACAACAACTGCTCGCCGGAGTACCAGGCGAACGAGGTGAACAAGGTGAAGAAATACAAGAGCGGCTTCATCCGCGACCCCGTGGTCATGGGGCCGCGGCAGCGCGTGTCGGACGTGCAGGAGGTGAAGCGCAAGCATGGCTTCACGGGCATCCCCATCACGGACTCAGGGCGGCTGGGCGGACGCTTGCTGGGTATCGTGACGTCGCGTGACATTGACTTCCGCGAGGACGAGGGCGAGACACTGCTGGAGGAGGTGATGACGGGCATGGAGGACATGGTCACGGCGCGCAGCGGCGTGACACTGGAGGAGGCCAACAACATCCTGAAGACCAGCAAGAAGGGCAAGCTGCCCATCGTGAACGACAGCGGCGAGCTGGTGGCGCTAATCGCGCGCACGGACTTCAAGAAGTCGCGCAACTTCCCCAAAGCGTCCAAGGACAGCAACAAGCAGCTGTACGTGGGCGCCGCCGTGGGCACGCGTGAGGACGACAAGGCGCGCCTGGCGCTGCTCGTGCAAGCTGGCGTGGACGTGGTGGTGCTGGACTCGTCGCAGGGCAACTCCGTGTTCCAGATCGACATGATCAAGTACATCAAGCGCACGCACCCCACGCTTCAGGTCATCGCCGGCAACATCGTGACGAAGCAGCAGGCAGAGAACCTCATTCACGCCGGCGCTGATGCTCTGCGCGTCGGCATGGGCAGCGGCAGCATCTGCATCACGCAGGAGATCATGGCTTGCGGCCGCTCGCAGGTGAGTTGGGCGAAAGTGTGGCCGAAATCCAGTCGATTTCGTCGCTTATTCCAGAAAATCCTGGCGAATTTAGGCCGTTTAGAGTTTCAATTGTTTCAATCCTGGACGGAAGAGACTGAAATCAAGAGTTTTTCGACTAATTTTTAACCTTTCCAGTAATTTCTCAAACTTAAGGGACAAATTTAACTTATTTTCCTCCTTAAATTTGTCTTTTTCAAGTTGATGAGACGTTTAGGATATTTTATTCCTTGATTTTAGAGTTGCGACTCTTTGATGAAAACTAAATGCCAATTAGTTTTGTATCGAAAAATCTAATTTCAAGTCCCTTTTGACACTGAAACAGTGTTTGAAATCCTATTCCACGTTCTTTGATGGACAAATGCTGGCAGTCCCACTTCTGACACCAGTCAACAGCCGGTTTTTCACGTATATTTCTGCTCCAGTGCAATTGCTTGCGAACTGAAGCGTTTCATGGCTATTTCTGGACGGAAATCCATCGCGAAGTCTAGAGAGAAATGTGCTAATCTGCTCTCGTGACGCCTCAATTGATCCGTCAGCCTTGAGCTCCGCGGCTAACTCTCGTTCTCCGCAGGCCGAAGCCGTGAACGCGGTGAGCAACTACGCGCGCCAGTTCAACGTGCCCGTGATCGCGGACGGCGGCGTACGCGATGTGGGCCACATCGTGAAGGCGCTGGCGCTGGGCGCGTCCAGTGTGATGATGGGCGCAATGCTGGCCGGCACGTCGGAGGCGCCCGGCGAGTACTTCTTCTCGGACGGCGTGCGCCTAAAGAAGTACCGCGGCATGGGCAGCCTGGAGGCGATGGAACGCAATGACTCGCGCGGTTCCGCCATGGGGCGCTACTACCACAGCCAGATGGACAAGCTGCGCGTGGCGCAAGGCGTGAGCGGCAGCATCGTGGACAAGGGCAGCGTGCTCAGCGTGCTGGACTACCTGCACAACGGCGTGCAGAAGAGCTGCCAGGTTATCGGCGCGCGCTCCGTGTCGGCGCTGCGCGAGATGAAGTACACCGGCGAGCTGCGCTTCACGCACCGCTCGCAGAACGCCCAGATGGAGGGCAACGTGCACGGGCTGTACAACTACGAGAAGCGTCTCTTCTAACAGCCACCGCACGCGCCCCACGCCTCCACGTGCGGGTGACTGCAATTCCGAGAGCCAGAGAGAGAGAGAGAGAGAGAGTGAATTTGGAGTCTGTAGCGCAGATAGCTAAATGTTTTGTCGATGTTTAGAGGAACTTCCGCCGCCAAGGCGCATAAGTGTCTATTTTTAATGAGAAATCTTATCTGTTTTACCCCCTCAAATTATACATAAAGTCTACAATTCTACATAAATCAATAAATGGTATTTTAGAGGATGTTCCGCTGCTTTCACTTCCCTCAATTACAGACACGAACGCAAATGATAGAGAAATCTCTTCGCGAAGATTACAGAGCAATCCATTTGACCAGAAAATCGCTGATATTGATCGATGAAACGACGCAAAAACTGTGATGGACAAGAGAAGAGGCAAGTTATTGAATCGTCTTCTTGATAAATTTCTTATAAAATTTTAAACGAATCAATTTATTGCGTATTTCAAATGAACGGAGTGAAGTTGAATAGATTTTATGTGGAAAAATGTGCGCAAGTTCTCGCGGCTTGAGTGACAGATTGAGAAAAAAATCAAAACAGCTTCCACCGGAGATTTGTGAATCAAATATCTATTCTATTTCCTTCCCAAATTCTGTAAGTATTTCAAAAACTTACATAAACTTATCATAAGACGATCGTGAATTTGTAGGAAAATAATCTGGGCGATCAGCTGCTTGGCCCACATTGTGATCGTCACACAAGAGTCTTGATTATAAATAGGACTTGATGCCGGGGAATATGGATGAATCACCATGCAATTCGCACTTTGGAGCTGTCGCTGAGGAAATCGACGAGACGCAGTCAATCCTGAGACTCAACGATGACTGCCTCTCTTCAGTCTTATCCCATCTGAGCATCATGGATTTGATGATAATGGAGAAAGTTTGCTTGAGATTCAAGTCAGTTGTTCAGATGCTCTACAAAACGGAGCACTTCGCCCTACGATTTGATTTACTTGGCGAGGCTGACGAGAGAGACCAGAATGTATTTTACACACGACAGGAGATACAGGATATCTTGTGTCGAGTGGCTCCACGCATTAACACTGTGAAAGCAATGTATCAGGCATTGATGAGTCAAGATGAGGATGTTGAATGCATTTTGACGAAGTGCGTCAACCTGGAGAATCTTTATCTTCACGGAATGTCTGGACACTCAATCTCCAAATCCACGTTGAAGCTCTTCTCGAAGACGTTTGTGAACCTCCGAGTAGCCTACTTGACTAACATGAATTTGAATGACGATATAATGATGGAATGCTTGCTAGGAGCCACGCAGTTGAAGACGCTGAATATAAGTTGTAACTCTTCAATCCGCGGAAAATTTCTGCCGGAATTGCAGAATATTCAGGAGATTGAATTAGGCTTCTGTAAAAATATTCAAGCTTCTTATTTTACGCAGTTCCTCAGTCGAAATCCAGGACTAAAAAGCCTCAGCTTAATGAGATGCAGCTTTATCAACTCCTCTCATTTGGCTGCAATTGCGAATCTTCAGAACTTGCAGAGTCTCGCGATTCACAACTGGTACAGAATGCATAATCCAGCGAACATTTATTTGCTCGGCGACTTGCCTTGCTTAAGGCATCTGAACATAAGTTTCTGGCATGACTTCAATATTGATCCTTTATTGGAGAAATTGGCACAACGCAATACTCTTGAGTCTTTGGAGATCATCAGAGAGACTTCATTTGAACCAGAAATCAATATTCCCACTTTCTTCTCCAGACTGAAAGTGATAAAATTCTTCAAGTGGTGTAATTTGACTGACGAAATGCTGTTGAACTTGCCATCCAAAAATACCCTTCAAGAGCTTCACTTTCAGCATTGCAATATCATCCCCGTTGACGGCATCATAGCGCTGATCCAGAACTGTCCGGAACTGAGGCTTCTCAGCATTTATGGACTCTATAAAACAAACACGAATAATCTCATCAAAGGAATCTTGCCAATTCTGCCCGAGAGACTCAAACCACTGGAAGTTGTCGTGAACAAAGAACTATTTTCACCTCCTGAAATCCTCAGCCTTGTCAATAATAATCCAAAACTTCGGATGAAATACAAAATACGTCTGAATCCATTATGGTATAGCCAAATTACAAACATCAACTAAGAGCCCGAAAGTGTTTTATTGAAGTCCAATTTCCGGCTGACTTCGAAAAGGCGTCAAATTACGCAACGTAGAATATAAAGATCTCAAGCCTTTGCGCAAAAAGAAACACAGAGAAAATGTATGGTTAGACGCAATGTTTTATTCAACAGAGCTAATCCTCATTCATACTGCTTTTTCCTTCCTCTTTTTTCTTCCATGAATTTTTTTCTCATCAGCTAAATTCGCATGAACGGTATAGAATGTTAATATTGTTTTTTTGTACAAAAAAGTTTTCTTAATTGGTTTTGTATTTTGTTGTTCTTTTGGTAATACTTTCTAAATAGAATACTATTCCATATAATATAATATACTCAGTATATGAATTGTAAAACAGTTATTTTAATATTACTTTTTATTGATTTTTCTTGCATTTTTTTTCACCATGAATTTTTCTTTTTAAATAATAAATAATATACTGTCGCGTATTGTGTATAATTAATTTAATATCATTATAGTGAGATTAATTTTGTTTTTTTTCTTCATTTTCTTTCCTTAAAATTCCTTATACGAGTAGTAAAATTGAAAGAGTACAATAGTTGCTGCTTTTTCAAAACCCACGAAGATTTGCCCATCTTCGCACTGAGCTTAGATAGAGAGAGAGTAAGTAGAGATTTTCCTCCTATTGCATTTTCCGAAGAGGCTCCATTCTTTACTGAAGATCCGCAGGATTAAATTATGAGTCATAGCTCGAGTGGTCGCCACTGAGAGACGGAGGACTCGAGAGGGAACTGGAATTGTTGCTGGCGACGCTCTTTCTCGGCGCCGATTGCATGTCCACCACCTTTTTCAAAGTGACAAAGTCAGCAAATTGCCCAGGAAATTAATGAAGAAAAGGACACTCACCTTAAGGATGTCATGCAAAGAAGACATACTCCCGAGTGGACTCGGCGAGACGGGAATTGATGGCGGTTGTTCCTTTGGTTTTTGCGGCGCCATACGTTTTGTACCTGAAAACGCCGAAGTGAAGAGCAATTAGTCACGAGTCCCACCGATTAATAAAGGGAGAAGAGATAATAGAGATTATTGAGTGAAATTATGAGTTATTCACGCGACAATGAAGAGAAAAAGACAATAATTGAAAGGCTTTTATGAATACCAATTTCCCGAAATGATAGAAAAAAAAACACATCAGAAATTAAATTATCATTAATTGGGGCCATTTATCATTTGTACAAACAACCAGACTTGTTCTTTTCTCTTTGCATTTCTTTTTTTTTACTAAACAATTTCTATACTATAGAGAATCTCTAAAATGTCTAAGGCGTAATCAGAATTTGCTGAGAAAAGATAAGGGCAGAATATCATTTGTTTATTGAGTTGCTAGATTAGTTTCTGATCCATTTTTTCACACTTCTTATCAATCGTATGACTTTTCTGTATGTGAGGAAAAATAACATAAATTCTCTGCGATATTACGATACAAAATTGGGAAAAATGAGAGAAATACAGTTAAAGCAAAATTGTATGCAAATTGTCCATCTGATTACGCCCAAGACACTCTAAACACTTCATAAAATCTCCCTAAGAATTTGATCACAAAACAATGCATTCAAGTATTGTATAATAAATTTCTTATACTCAAAAAACAAAGTGTCGCATTTTCCCAAAAAAAAATAAACCAACACTAAAGCGAAAAACCGGCATTTTTGTGAAGCCAACACAGCCTGAAAGTTTTGCATGAGCACATTGTGATCAATTGACTTTTTTAGTTAGCATCATGCAGAAAGAGAAAGAGAGAGAGAATCGAATGGAAAATGCCTGTAAGTGTGAAAGTGAGCATTGACCTCGCTATGATGGCCCCCTTAGATTTATTCCCAAAGTGATCACCATTCAGGGAAAGGGCATGATCTAAAAGAATGCAATAGACAGAGTGGACAGAGAGATGACTTGAGGCGATGGCGCAACAGTGGGAAAGACTCACCGCTAAGCGAAGCCAGAGCGCTGTTGGATGAAGTTGGAGGCGGTGGAGCGGATCTGTTGGTAGTCTGCAAGACAACGACAGAGTTCAGCAACGAGATACTCTTAGTTTTCCACCCCTTCGGCATGGGGTGGAATTTATATGATGGAAAACAAATTGCAAGATGCATGAAACATGCTTTTCATCTCTTACAAAAACACTCTTTTAAGATATCTAAAAAATACTACTTCGTCTCAGAATGAATAACATTGAATTACGACGCGATTTTTCATCGATGTTGATTGTTGGCATGTCAACAATTTAATGACAAGCGAAGAAATGAAAAGAATTTCACCTTGCGAGCTGAATTTCTTTACACTCTTCTCAATTCTTTGGCAAATTTTACTGTTCAGAGGCAAAATGAGGAAAATAATCAACTTTTGTTAGATAAATTTCGTTATTTGATTACAAAATTTGCCATTTAACACATTGAAACATTGAGAATGTTGTCGCAAATGTAAGAAAAAATCTGTAAATTATTTCACATTCATCACGAAGATGACCACAAAACCATCCCATTAATAATTCATCGCGTGACATCAGCGCGTTTTATGAGGATTTTTCTCTCTCTGCGGTTTACGAGCCACACTCAAATAGAACGCGACAATCACAATCTGGCGATTTTGCTTGAATTCCACGCGCGGACAATGAACTGCACACTATCAGAGCTTGATAAAGAAGCCTCACCTTTTGTTGTTGCACAGTCTGATCGGCAGTTTCGATTGTTGTCGGCAGATCCAGCAGTCGCTGCTTCTGAATCCCATCGCCAGGCCCCATGTGAGAGATATGATTGAAGTTGGTCGGCGCCGAGATCATCTTTGAGCGTCTATCCGTTCTGCAAAGCAGTAAAAAAAAATCCATTATAAACACGCCGTGCAAAGCACAATAAACACTCTCTTTCTTACGTTCTGGCATTTCGATTGCCCTCCCGGAAGGAAAATCTCCGTTTAGGCTTCAACTTTCCAACAGGATCAGAGTTGGAAATGTTGATCAATTCCCCTGTGAAGAAACATTGCATTAGAATCGATATAGAGCATTGGAAATTACACATTTCGCTCACTTGTGTGAATATTTGCCAAGTATATGACAATGGGAGAGTCAACTAAGTAACTGAGAGCAATGTTTCCATAGCAATTGAGCGGCATGGATCGCTTGAGGCCGATTGATTGCACCCAATCGGCCGTCTGGCAGTTGAAAACGTCCAAATGAGTCTCGCAGAAGAGGAGTAAATGCCCATCAGAATAAGCTATAGTGCAAAAGACGCAAGAATCAGTCAAAATCCAAGAGCAAAAGCACACAAATCAACTCACTAATATGAGTGGGAACTGCAGGATACATGATTTCTCTGTCTCGAGACTTTCTCCCATTGAGATCCACATAAATCGCCAGGGTCTGGAACACTAGGAGCAATTCACCTGCAATTCAGAGAGACAATAAGTATCTTATTGCACTAAATTGTGTGGCTTTGGACACTCACCAGGAGATCCCTGACTCGATTGAATTTCGATAACGCGACAAGCATCAACGGCTGAGTAATTGAGGAAAGCACAAATCTGATTTTCCGGATGAACCAGAGCTGAAATGCAGACAAAAACACATTAAATTTCTTCTGAAACAAGTCAAGAGTTTCAGGAAATGTCCTCCAATTTTTGATGTATTTCTTAAAGGAGCATTTTTCTTCATGACGAACGTCTCTACATAAATTCAAACACTTACACATGGCTTGAGCATCTCCGTGCAGGAGCAAATAGGCAGTGAATCCACTCTGATGACCCACCACGAGCCGAGCGTCCGTGAGAATCTGCAAACTCTGCACAGTGAACGAGACGGAGAACTCGCAGACTTTGTGGTGGCGACACTTGTTCCTGTTCACCTCGTACACGACAATCTGCGAGATGTTGTTCTGCCGTTTCAGCGCAATCACGATGCTGTACACGTTCTGCGAGAAGCGACGCAGCAGACCCGTGCACGCCGTGATGCAGTTCTTCGACTCCGCCACCTTGATCCACTCCACGTCGGGCGTCTCGAGGCCCCTGATCGGCAGCAGGCGCATGTGACGCTGCTTGCCGCACAGCACGGCGATGATCTGCTCCTCCATGATGTACCACAGCTGGATGATCTTCTTCGACTCGCCGATGCGCGCCACTTCGTTGCGATCGAGATCCACACAGAAAAGCCCGTCTTCGGTGCCGACCAGAAGGCGATCAGGATCGATAATCACGGCGCTCAGGGCGTTCCGGATGAGCGTGAGTGAGCTGTCGATGACTTCGCGCACGCGGAAGATTGCCGTGTTGGGCAAATTGTTGCGCTTGAGAATGCGATGGAGCTCACTGAGCGCCACCACCCACTTTGCCTTCTCCGACTCCGAGTCCGCCAGCATCAGCGTCTGCAGCCCTGATCCGCCGTCCAGGAGAGAGGTCGTGATCTGCAAAACACACACTCAATCACTCTGCATCCCCTTCACATTGCCCTATTCTCTCCACTTACACGAAAAATACAAGGAACATCTCGTTTCGATGCATGAATAACGTCACTTTCGCGCACGCCGGTAACCGTAAATTCCGGGTCTCTCATGTCCAAAACCTGCAATAGAAGACGGAAAAGCGTGCACAATTAGGGAGGAACTGGATGGAGGTGTGAAGGAGACTCACTTGAGACACGTAGACACTTGGTAATGCACTTTTGTCAGCTGATATATCATAGAGGAAGAGCTTAAAATCACATACGACAACAAATTGACGAATCCATCCCCTTTTCACCACGCCACTCTTGGGAACCTGCGATAGAAACAAGAAAAGTTAGCCACAGAGTTCAGAATACGCAGACCAATTTTGAATTAACACAGGAAATCTTCAATCTGTAGAGATTTCACGTGCCGATTCTTATTCTCACCTTCACGTATCCTTCGTAAGCTGTGCCGATTCCTCGTGTTGGATCAATTCCGAGGGGACGCTTCGTCTGATCCGTGGGCACGGGACACTGAATCGGGACCTTCTGGCAGCACACCATGTGACAAGCGAAGCCGCAGAGCTCGCAAACGACGCCCTGTCGCGTTAGGCCGACCTGCAAAATGAGAAGAAACATCAGTAACTCCATTCAGAAGACGGAAAAGCGTTTAAAATCCCACCATGAGAGATGTGCAATGATTGCACTTCGTTGGACTGCTGAATGTTCGCACGAGGAACTGATGGATCTTCGCCGATGGCGTCGTGCGGACGCTGCTCAAGTAGCCGCTGTGCTGATTGGAGTTCTCGCTGAGGTCACTCTTGGAGCTGTTGCGACTGTGTGACTGATTGTCGTAACTCTGGGCGCTCTCAGTGGTCTCGTTGAGATACGTTGGCTCCGTGTTGCGATAGATCGCCTGCGATTTCGTCTTGCCGCCACTTTGCTTGCTCAGCAACAGCGAACTCATGCTGCCATCGGCAGGAATTGACGTTGTAGATTGATGCTGTTGCTGCAGTGATGCGTTGATGGGGGGAGAAACAAGAAAAATAATTAAGAAAAGGTCCTTTTAGAACACCTTTCGCGAGGTGAAATGAAAGCGAGAAGCAAAAAGACAGGAAATGAGACTGAAAATGGAAGTTTTTAGAGAGAAAGAAGAGTGTTGAAAAGTAAAACTAAACTCTAAGTGAATACGAACCATATTTGAAATGAGCGTTGAAGTTGTATTTGGTGTAGAGCTTTCAGTTGATTGCCTCAAAAAGTGATCCAAATAGGCCATTTGCATGGACTGACGATCTAGGACTGGAGTTCATTATCATTGATTACTGATCAGATCTTCAAGAGAAACCTTAGATATTTGCAAAAAAAAACTCCTCCTTAAACTACTGTTTTTTTTGCTTTCTAAACTCTCATCAACCTTTTTCCTCAAGATGCACAACAGTAAAACAACTCATTTTCCATAAAGTATAATGTAGAATAAAATAAATATACCTACACTTTATTTGTTAATTTATAGATATTCTTTGTATCCAAAAAATATATATTAACTACACAATATAAGAAGAAAAAAAAAGACTAGAGTATTTTGGTAAAAGGTGTGATTAAAGTGTGTTTCGTTGTAAGAATTTGAAGAGATAACAATAATAATTATAAATCATGCAACTATTATGCCTCACATTAATAGAGATTTACAGTGCAAAAAAGAGTAAATAACAAAGAAAAAAAATATTACAAAAATTGCCATATTCACAGTCTCTTTGAATAGTCATCTTTATCATCCCATTCTTCAGTCATTGCTGCTTCAAAATACATGCACGAAAAAAATCATCCTCAACCAGTTAAGGTCGATTTTTTTTCTCTATATGTTCACCACAAAAAACAACATCCAGAAAATCAACAATTTTTCCTTTTCTCATCTTTGCGCTGTACAAAAAATTTCACATTGTTTTCTTTCTTTCTGTCTGTCTAAATTTGTTTTGCTCTAAATTGGAAGAATGTGTGGATCTGGTCCTTCTTGTGACTTTCTCGACATCAACACGAGTCAGTTCTAAAATTGGCAAGAAGTTCTGCGGATCCCGAAAAAAGGAGAAAAGAACCGAATTAACATCAAAGTCAATGTGCGAAAAATATCACCCATTTTGCGCTCTATCAATTTTTTTCTCTATACTCTCAAAATTATGTGTGAAATTTTCTCTTGTTCTCTCATGTTTTTTTTTATAGGATGTCAAAGAAAACAAAACTCTCAACTAACAAAGCGCAATGATTTGATGTTTTTATTCTCAAAAATTAGTTTTGCAGCACGCGCGCGCGTCTCTAAAATTCTCGCTCAAGCATCAGATCAACAGCTCAAGAACACAGATAAACTTCCAGGGCAGACAATTTCATGAATCTCACATTGCTTTCCAATAGTTTCAGAGTGACCAAGACGGGAAAAAATGATTTTATGAGTTTCTTCACTGGTGTCAGAAATGGGATTCCAATGCTTTTACCGTTAAAATCGTGTCTTTCAGGTCACTCTTGTGCTATCGAATTGAACGAAAACATGTTTAAAAAGGACAATTGCAGCTGAATTAGTGACAATCAATTGAAGGAATAATTACGGAAAGAAAACACAAATCAAATGTAAAAGAATAATTAAATTGAGAGATTCAGTGAAGAGAAAATTAAAGAAAAAATAAAACAGTCACGAGACAAACAGAAATCGTTCAACAAAGAAAGAAAGAAAAAAAACTTCATCTGCACACAAAAACAACCTTTTCCATCACTAATATTTTCTTTTTCAGCTATGATTAAAACACAGACAAAGAAAAAAAAACTACACAATCGCTGAGATTGTGGGCTAAACAGGAGACAATTGTAGGGGAGGTGAGGGCGAGACAGAGTGAATTTCTTCAGACACACAACAGTTTAGAGATAATTGTCGGAAAAGTACAGCCAAATGCCCCAAACACAGAGAGTTAGTCCGAAACAGATGGAAAACTTTCTCTCTCGCTTCACATTGAAGAATTGCACAAATCGTGAGAGTTTCTCTGTGTAAAATTTGATTGTGGCGCAATTTTGAGCTTTCGGCGACTCCTTCTTCTTCACCTCCCCATTCATCTTATCATCGGCGGCGCCCTTTCGCAGTCCACCCAGCGATATAAAACCCCTCCTCCGACCCGCACCACGCCTTTCGTGGCCCGACATTGACGATGATTCTTTTGCTAAAGACACACCGGACGATTTCATGCAATCTTCATCGTCATCGAGATGCAGAAGTCGCGATGACATCTCGCACATCTCCGCATTATCAACTGAATACGAGACAACAAGACATCAAAATGGAACACATTAGAAAGAAAAGTTCGTTCAACTTCTGTCTCTAGACATTTAAAAGAAAAGAAAAATCGTGTAAAGAAGCCACTCAAAACACAGAATAATAATAATAAACAATAACAGGAATCGTTAGGGCGACTGAAGGATTCGGTGCAAAAATTCCTAATCTACGGATTATTGTACAATTTGGCAAAATGCAAAACCCAAAAAATAAATCGTAGACAAATTTACTCTTATTTTTCTTGCTTTCAAAAATAATGTCAGCTTTAAAAAAAAATCATGTGGAAGTCTTCAATGGCCACATTTTGTCATCCAATATTCTTCTTAATCGCGCTCTCTTAGGGGACAGCGAAGCAGTTTCGGACAGTAAATTCACGTTCAAGAATAAAGTTTAGCCAATGAATCTACGCTAAAACCCCGAGAAAAAGTTCGGCGCTGATTAGCCAAATCAGTTTTGTACAAAATCACAATCGATACTCAGCAAACACTCGCATTCCGCAATCTTTGGCATGTTTTTACATTTCATTGCAATTAATTTATTTCGTATAAATTCAAGTCAAAATGTCGATTAATTTTTGTTCCCTTTCTGATTATCAATTGAACTAATAAATTCCATTACTGCCCCGCTCTTCCCTACTAAAATTCAATGTAATTGAAAGAAAATTCATCCCAAATCGATTTACTGCAACTTTGCAGAATCCAATTAAATTCTCTTATTGACTGAAGAAATTGTGATAAAGATTCAGATAAATATTATTTATTTTACATTTCAATCAAAGAATTTTCACGTCATCGTTGCAGGTCAGACAATTGACCTCTCAGATGCCTTCAGAAGTGCACAGATCAATTCAAGCTATCGAAGTGAAGTGTAAACAAAATAATTCACTTTCCTTCAATTCAGTATTCAATGATTTCATAACTGAAGCATAAATGGTTTTCTGCTTCACTGCTTTTCAAGCAACATAATTCACTTGATAGTTGGAAAAGTGAAGATAGAGGAAATTGAAATCCATTGAAATTCCCATGAATTAATTCATTACATTGAATTTTCCCCCGAACAAAAGCCCCTAAAGTTCTACATAAAGCTCAACAAGCAGCTTAAGAATGTCCAAACATGTTAGAAAGCCTCGGCGAACAATCCTAACTGATGTACAGACAAGTATTATTTACCACAGAATTGTACCATAAAATATGAGTTCAACTTACATCCTCCGCCCAATTCTGGCCTCTGCTGAATGTCCTGCAGCAGCCGATCCTTGCGCTTCAGCTCGTTCTCGATGCAGCCGAGTCGATGGCGAGTCTCCTCAAGATCCCTGCAAAACAACACAGGCTTTAGTGTGCATCTCTTAAAGGGAATGAAGCAGCAATTGGACTGACTTTTGGGCCGCGATCCAATCCGCGCGCGTTCGACTCAGCTCCTCGGAAATTGCAGCTTTCGCCTGGATTTCGCACTGCAGCGAACTCTGCAGATTCAGCAACTCCATCTTGTCCAGCTTCTGCGATCTCCTGTTGCGCCAATTCTTGTCGTTGGTGTTCTGATGAATGGCACCGGCGTGCTTGAGGTATTCGAGTTCTTCAGTCATTTTGCTCGCCAGCGCCTGCAAATAGCTCCTGGCGTCCTTCTCGTCCGTCACCCACTGGATTATCTCCGATATCTGATGCTCCCACTGGCAGATCGCCATGCGTTTATTGCTGAAAAGACATTCCGCACACATTAATTCACTGTTGTCACAGCAAAATCCAGGGATAAATATTTATACAATATTTTAATGACGCTGTGGTTTGAAGAGTTTCAACACTTTAACTACTTCCCTTATTCTTCAATCGTGTTTAGTTAAGAAAACTTGCAATTGTTGCTTAATGGAAGCCAAATCAAATTAGACAAAATCTATTTAGACACGTTTATGAGTCATAATTTCCAATATTTTGATCATTTCCCTTTATAAATAGAAGTAAAATGATGTTTTGTTGAGTTTCTGACTCAATTTTTTATCCATTCTTGTCCTAATTCAATGCAAATAACTGATTTTCCCCTAAACAGAGTCAATTTATGTCACTCACCGTAAGTCTTCCAAGCTGCTGTCCCTCTCAATCCGCTCCTCCTGCATTCGGCGCAGCGTCTGATTGAGAATATCCACCTCGGACAGCAGCTTCCTGTTGTCGTCCTGCAGCACCTTCTTCTCATGATCATGACACTTCTTCATCTCCGTGATGATCTCCTCGCTGTCCGTGAGCGATTCCAGTCGCGTGGCGTCGACCTTCTCGCGCGCCTGCTGCAGTTCGCGCTGCAGGACATTCACCAGGATCTCCGCTTCGTTGAGTTGCTCTCGCAGTGACGAGAGTTCGATGTTGTGTCTTGTCTGCTGCTGCGTCAGTTTCTCCGTGAAGTGCACCTCCAGACGCTCCATCTCCATGCGGATGCTGTCCGACGAGAGTCCCAGCGACGAGGAGGAGCCGAAGTCCGACGAGCTGCGCGCCTTCGCCTCAGCCTGCAACTGCCGGCAGTACTCTTCTGAGCGCTCGCGCAGCTTTCGCTCCTGCAAAAGCAGAAATAAGTCTTTTATTTCTTTAGGAAATCTCTTCAAGATCTCACCTGAGCAATATCGCCGACGGCATTCTCCACTCTCGACTCCAATTCACGCCGCGTCTTGTCCATCTTCCGCAAGTCGTTGCGCAGATTGTCGATCTTCTGCATGGCCGTGTCGAGTTCCTCCTCCTTGTCTCTCACCTGACGTGACAGCTTCTGCTTCTGACTCCTCAGATCCGACAGTTTGTCCGTCACCTCCGTGTATTCCTTCATCGCGATCTTGCGCTGTCCTATCGCGTCCTGCAGCTCCTTGTCCTGGATTTTGAGGCGATCCAGCGCATCCAGCTTGTCCTTGCTGACGTCATCACGCTCCTGCTTCAGCGTGCGCAACTTCTTCTCCAACTCCTTCACGCGTCCCGCGAGTTGGTCGTTGATTATGTCATCCGATGGGCGTCCTTGTTGCTGCTCGAAGGACTTCACCTGGCTCTCGAGCTCGCAATTGCGCTTCGTCAGCACATTGATCTCGTCCTGCAGACGTCGCGTGCTGTCCGGACTGAGGCGCTTCTCCTCCGGCGACACAACAGCCTTCGCCACAGTCTGCATCTGATGCACCAGCACGCCGTCCGTGGTGCAGATGTCATAGAGACAGCCAGAGAGATCGGACAGCCGGCAGTCTTCCGTGTAGGTGAAACCGATGAAGGGCAAATGGTGGCCACTGAAGGCGGGATTCGAGATGGGCGGCAGGACATCCGACAGCCGGATGTCAGTGTCATCTACATCGAAGTTGGACGTGTCAGTTGGACTAGATACTTCAGGTATGTAGGGCGCCTGGCCCTCTCGCAGCGTCTCCCAGTCAATGCCCTCGAACCACGGGTGCTTCTTAAAGTCCTCAATCCCATTCTGCCCCAGCCGGTATTCCGGCGCGCAGATCAGCCGCTTGATGAGATCCTTGGCATTGTCACTCACAACCACCCCACTCGCGTCCTCCGTGGGGAAGTTGAAGCAGTTCTTGTGGTTCATGATCTTCCCATACGTCTCCACCAGACTCTCGGCATAGAACGGCGTCTCGCCATACAGCATCTCGTACATGCACACCCCCAGAGACCACCAGTCGCACTCCGGTCCGTATCTGCCCTGGCCGTCCTCCATCGCGCGCAGGATCTCCGGCGAGATGTAGTCCGGCGTGCCCACGGCCACATTTGACTGCACCGTGCCGCCGGCGCCCAGCTTCAGGCACGAGCCGAAGTCTGCCAGCCGGATGTGGCCGCTCGCGTCCAGCACGAGATTGTCCGGCTTCACGTCGCGATGGATGTACTTGATCTCGTGAATGCTGGAGATGGCCAGCACCATCTCGGCGATGTAGAAGCGCGTCATGTCCTCCGGCAGGCGATCCTCGAACTTACTCAGCAGCGTCAGCAAGTCGCCGCCGCAGTAGTAATCCATCACGAGATACAGATTCGTCTCGTCCTGGAAGGCGAAGTGAAGATTCGTGATCCATCGCCTGTCGCCGTACACGAGCACATCGCGCTCCTCCTTGAAGCACGCCGTCTCGGCTCTCTGCAAAGCAAACACACCCAATTAGCACCACCCAAAAATACAGCGAAACCTTCGACATTGTCAATTAGCATTTATGAATTACTACTTTCAATAGACACACATTTTCACAACCAGCCAAGAGAGGAAGAAAGGGAAACACAGACAGTGGAAAATTTGAATGAGAACGAAAGGGAATCCAGCAAAGCACTAAGTAATAATTCAACAAGTATATTTCGAAAGGAAAAATAATGTTGACTCTCTGAAGCGTTACCAAAACACTTTGAGACATTCCGCTTGATGCCTCGCAAGCTCTTTTGAAATCTCCAACGAGAGGAAGAAATTGCAATAATTCGCAGTTTGTAAATTTCTTAAATTCCCTGACTGTGTGACAATATCCTAAGAAATTTGTAAAAGAAAGAATTTAGAACGTTACTAATCAACTTTAAGAGATTATCGTTTGGAAATATAAACGTTAAACTACAAAGAATGAAAACGTGAAAAGCTTCCAAAATGATTCTCTATAATAAGTCCTTTAAAAATCATGACTTTGCAGGAAAATCGAAGAATCCCCGCGACTATTCTCAGCTCATCTGCCTCAATTTCACATCACCATTCCGCCACTGAGCATAGACAAGATTAGCATGGCCATAAATTACCAACTCACATTAGCAATTCTATGCGATGTCATTCTCCCTCCGAAAAATCTCCACAACAATGCATAAAAATCAGCGTTCTGTGACTTTTCGCCCACATTTTCCAACTCATGCTTGCGAAAGTGAAAATTTTTATGGTGTGTTTACAAACTCACTTTGAGCATTTCCCATTTGTTGAGAATCTTCATGGCGAAAATCTGATTCGACGCGATCATCCTGACGACGCACACTTCGCCAAACGCCCCGCGGCCGATCACTTTGAGTATCTCGAAGTCCTCTCGACACAGGCGCAGCTGCTTGATGACCTGGACGACTGGCTTGACTGCGGAGGAGAGTTGAAATCAGTCGCTCTTCCTCGGCAAGGAAGCATTGATATAGTTTACCTAGTTCTATGAAATCCGATACAGTCTTCTCGCGGCGCAGGGACGAATTGCAGCACTCGTCGTAGAGCGCCAGCAAGCAGTCGAGGAGCGACTCGACGGACAGACCATTTGTGCCCTCTTTCGCCCCATTCGTGGCCACTTGCTCGGGTCGCGGCTCGCCATTGTCGCTGATGATCTTCTTGGAAGCGTGGCCATTGCCCAGAATCAACGCCTCCAGCTGTCCGAAGCGACTGTGATCGAGAGACGTCCCTGTCGAGGCACATGAGAAGTTTATTAGACGGACCAAATCACACACCCGCCAAAGACAATTTCCTCACCTTTCCCGTGAGATTCCATACCGCCAATGTCGTCACCAATACGCGCTCTTTCCCTCTATCGACTTTCTCACAACTGTACAAGAAAGTTGCGGTGTAGTAAAAACACACATACAGATTACAGTTGAACTCCTACAGACATATTCTGAAAATAGATTGCAGAGAGAGAGAGAGAGAATTTACATGCTATTTTTCACGCTGGGCGAGAGAATGTGTGTGGAAAATGCTGCTCTGGCAGAGCCCCAAATTATCCGGAAAAGGGATGTCGCACGCCAGAAACTCCATCGCCAAATCTGCAACGCATTTTCCTCACTCGCCACACGCACTTAAGGTCACATAATGCGACATTCTGCGAGTTGGAGAGAGAAAAGCTGTGCACAATTTGCCTCGTGACGGATTTTATATATTGAAAATCTGCTTTTAATGGACTCTACACTGAGGTGAACGTGTTTTGACTCAGAGGCTAATTAATTGCTCAATCAGGGAGAGACGCAAAACGTTTTATGCCTTCTTCTTTGCTATTCTGGGCTTTAGCTTCAAAGGAATTCAATGAATATCAATGATTTGTCACAGAATATCAAAAACTATCTTATAAAAGATGATAAAACTGAAGGATTTTAGCTTATTTTGATTAGAAAATACACTTAAATTGCAATTTAACGTCTTATTTTTGTGTTTACACAACCAGAAGACCCAGAAAATCATTGTCAAAGCCTTGCTTAAGACAAACCAATAAAACTCAGGTAAGAAATTCATCGTTTTGCCTTTGGATAATGAGCTAAAAGTACCTCAATCGGCGTCAAAGGGTTAAAAACAAAGGAAATTTCGACCCAATACAGATAAAATCGCTCTTCGACTTTTCCTATTGGTTTTCTATTTGACGTTGTGAGTCTATCTTGCTTTGCGGCACTGTAATAATTCTTTGAAATATTTTTGGCTGAACTGCGGGAAGAGAAATCGGGTCCATTCCCATTCCCATGAGCACTTTCAGCAATTTTTCCGCACTCGCAGCACCCGAAAATCCGCCTCCGCCGCACCCCATCAATCTGCCACATCTTGTTCCCGCCGCTCGGTGGATTTCCCGTGGAAAAAGTGTGATTTTTCCACCCGAAAGTCACTTCTTTTACCCAGAAAAAGCGCCCTACACCGTGGAGGGAGAGATATACACGCGCGCGAGCGAGACACCGCAATCGGCGCGCCGCGCGCGAGAGCGGGACACAATGCGGAGGAAGAGAAAGAATGAATGAATGAAAATTAATATGGCAGTCTTATTGATCCACAAATCCCAGACAATAAACTCCCCATGTCTGACTTTTCCGCGGCCTCATGCGACACTTTTCCCACTTTCACGCGCTCGGCGGCCCCGTGGCCGTGCGGAGCGCGGGCGGAGGCGCCCGAGAGGCCGCCAAGAGAGCTGATTAGGTGAAAATGCACGCAAAAAAGTGATTTTGGCGAGAGTGTTTTTTGTCCTGAGGTGGGGGCCAGTGAAAAGTCGATTTTCCCGGACACCGCGCAGCAACTCACGTTATTTTATTGTCGCAATTGTTTCATTAGCACTAGGACATCACTTTTTCACTAAAATCAATACTAAATTCGTTAATATTAAACAAATATTGACTATTTTTGCTGCGGATTTTCACTCGGAGACGACGGCATAATCAACACGCACACACCTACGTCCTTCTGGGGTTGCCACACTCACTGTGGTGGCGCTGTCAGCAGGCAGCCCGGCTAGAAATGCGCCGTGAAATTGGCCGCTGAGCGAAGGCATATTATCAACGGCACGAGTCGCGATTCTTCGGCAGATTTTTACACACAATTGAAAATATGCTCAACTAATTGATTTTATTGTATTGCAAGGTATTTTATTTAGAAAATGTATCCCCACAAATGCCCTGCATATAGTAAAAATAATTCAATATAAAAATTTTGGAGATATGTATTAATTAAATTGTGTAATATAAAAAAAAAGTCATCAAAAAGTCTGTAAAAGATTCTACAAATTTGTAGATCGATTTCAAAACCTTTCATTTGAGCCCAATTTGTGGAAAATTGAGCGAGATGTGAGCACAAATGAGAGGCGAAGTAGTAGAAAATAGGCTCCAGGAGGAGAACTTGAGGGTCTAGAGGGACAAATAAGGTATCGTTGGAAAGGATTTGACCCAAGGAATCTGAAAAGTTGTTTTACGGTAATAGGGCAAACAGAAGTGTACAATCGAGATGATAAAAAAGATTCTCCAGACTGAAGAAGAGCACTTTTCTGTCACTAAAAAAAATTCACCGGCAATAATAGACAAAACATTTAGTTCTCTATATTTAACAATTTTCAATATTTCCCAATAAAAATAAAATCTCGAGCCTCTTTTTCTCATTTTTCCACCCAATTTTCATGCACTGTGATATTTGAATTTCATCTGGGGCTCATCCGCCGGGTTTCTAGCAGATCTGGCGGGATTTCTAGCAGTAGCGCCAAGTGCAGTGGTATTTGAAAATCAGAGTCTGGGAAAAAAGGTGAGAAAAAGTGTGATAATATGTTTACGAATGACGGAGGTGATTTGTATGTGTTCCATCGCAGGCAGTGGATTCTCAGTCTTCTCTTTTACCTCACACCAGCCCATGTAAAGTGCTTTCGTTGTAATTCAACACAGTTAAGTGCTACTTTTCAGCGGCTCTGCTTACACGAACAACCAGTTCATTCAGCTCGTCTCCGTCACAGCGGAAGCACAAAGACTCCCGTCTTCCCAGCGTCCAGCAGGGATTCCCGAGCATCTCCTGGCCACAGAATTTGTGCCTCCAGAGTGTCCAGTGTGCGTGTGAGTGCAGTGAGAGAGTCCGGAAGTGATCAAGTGATTTCCACAGCTGTGGCTGCACTCGATGTGTGATTGCGTGGAAAAGAGCTGATTTCGCAGGGAATTGGAGCCTTACCTGACACTGTGGCGCTTTCAAAAATCACCTGGGCAGTCGCACAGCGAAGAATTCCAGCATAACGGTAGCTTCCAGAGTGCGAAAGGTGGAGATATTTGGCAAAACCGAGCATCGTGCGAGAAAGGTACACTGACACACATTAAGGGTGAGGCCGCATTCCCGCTCCGGGAGAGCCAGATTGGGCACAGACCTCGCCTGGGGCCCCGCGGGCGGGCGAGAGTCTGGCGCGCGATGGCGATGGATGTGGTGAAGATGAGTGGCAGAGGTGGATTATCGCTCATTGATTGACCTCTTTTGCCACCCATCGCTGTTACTTTCTTTATGTGCTCGTCGTGTTTCTGTCATTATTTCGTTACTTTTTACTTGAAAGTGAGGAAAATTCACTCAAGAGTCACTTCGTGGAACACATCAGGGCAATTAGGCAGGAATTTCACTGCGTAATCCCCTCAGGAAGGGTTTTCCCGCCAAATCCCGTGAATCACACTGTCGATTTTCTACATGTACAGAGTGCAGTGTATTTTACATATGAGAGGAAAATTTTCTGATCAATTTTCACTGTGAAATTAACCTAATTATTTCACCGGGAATTGTGAAAAGAGAAAAAATGCGCGCTAATTAAATGGAAATGGATTAAAAACAGCACTGAAATGTAGTTAATTTGCGGTTGTTGCTACTGATTAGATAACATATCAAATGTTCTTATTCAAATGCTAGTTTAGATCTCACGTTCATGCTGGAAATGTGTCAAATTCACCTGCAAAAGCACAGTGTGACCCAATTTTAGTGTCTGTGGTCATAGCAAAAGTTCCCAATTTCCACTCAGAACGTTCTTGTTGTGGACAAATTTGCATATTGTGCCGTTTTTCTTTCACATCACCGGTACTTTTAACCCAAATTCTGGCCTCAGAACCCTTCTGTCGCACCTCCTGATGCGCCTTTTTCGGCGTCTTGACCATCCGGAATCGCGGAGGCGGAATGATTTGATCTTGACTGTGTCGCAGAGATCTCAATCTGTGACGAAGAGTTCATCCAACCGACGAAATAGTTTCAATACTTTCACCTGCCTTCGTCGCATCGACCAGAATTCATGGCACACATCCACACTGGACTACACCGATGAGGCTCATCGGTTGGAGCACTTTTTTCTGTGGATTTTGAGCCACGTTCGGCCTCCTTCTCGCACAGCCTCCAAGAGTGGCATCTCCCTCAATGGGTTTTTATGTAATAGAGGTCTTTTCTCTCTGCGGGCCTCGTCAATAATGCACGCACACCGTCAAATGGCGCCCCTTTTCATCCACCTCTGACCACCGGGAGTTCATCAAATATTCACCTCTTATTAGGAATTATGTAAACGCTCCCCTCCCACTCTATCCCTGCCATCCCGGGAGTGCATTTTCTCGCCATGTGCGCTTTTCCAGCCCGAACATTAATGCGCCATCTGCCCAAAAATAAACCCCTGAAGCGCTCTCGCGCCGCCCAAAATCTCGCGGAATTCATGACCTTATTTTGATGACCTCTTTTCCCGAATCGCCAAATTATGGCGCCTCTTAGGTGCCTTCAGATGAACTCACAAAAAGCCGAGATAAATGTCCTTCAAATGCAATGCAAATTTAGCGGAAATTTGAGACAAAACGCTCGTTGTTTTCCAGATCATTTCCTGTACACACGCGCGTATATCGAAAATGTTTGTTTCCATTGAAGCATCGCTGAATTGACTTTCAATATCAAATCCATTAATTCGAATCGATGCTCACATTCTAAAGTGGCGAAAGTCAGATTGGGTTGAAAATTGAGATTACTCAAATCGACTCGCACAATAAAGTGCCATAAAAACAACAATGAACTAATACACTTCACTGAAATTACGGTAACAAGATTGTTTTGCCCATCTTGTGGACTTTTCTTCTTCTTTTACGAATGATTGCATAATGAAATCATTAAAAATGCGCTTTTAACGTGTATGAAAAGTGACAAAATGAGATGGTTAAGCTATAATTTACGAGAGTTTGTCATAAATCTTCAATTATTGAGAATCAACGATAAGAAATGCTTTTTTTGGCCATATTTTCTTTAACATCATCCTAGAAACATTCAGTGCACATTTTTAATAGAAAATAAGATCAATTTTAATTTTCTATCCTGTATTTTTTACGTGTGAATAATTCTACACTCTTCCAATATTTGTTCTTATATTAGCGTGAAAAACGCTGATTTTAATGCAAGAACATCTCAATACAATTCTCTCTTTACTTCTTAATCTTCATGATTAAATGCGGAGCCGCTGAATCATATCCGAATGCGACACTTGTGCATGCGATGCGCGATCTTCAACTGGGAAATTAACTCATTCTATTTGTTGAATTTTTCGCGCCAGCAGATCCACAGCATCGCGCAGGCAGTCTAGCATTTCTCTGCAGCATATCAATCGCTTCTCAGTGAATGCATTAGCATTTTTTCCATGAAACATTGCGAAACATTTATGTGCAAAATGGCTTTTTCCGCCTCATAGTTGGGTTCTATATCAGAGATTTAATGCCTTGTGCTTTCTGTCTATTGTGAATTCCTCCTGGGTCGCTGATGCGATAAGTACGTGCGAGAGATTAGCTCTGCTCGTACGATTAAGAAGACAGTGGGAGAAACTGGAGGGATTACATTTTGCACCAGTGTCAACTCTCCATGCGATGCTGTCGTGGAATTTGGAGCGAAAGTGATAGGCAGAAGATGTTTATACAATTCCGAACGTATCAATTAATGCTGAAAATAAATCTCGAGGCAAATTGATGAGGTCAATTCGCAGTGGCGATGAATAGGAAAGATCAACTTGAGGCAATTCTCTCAGCTGACAATTAAGGAAGACATATTTTCCCTCCATTGCGTCTCTGACGCTGCGTCTCAATTGTTTCTACAAATATATGGCGTGATGAAATGCTCACTGGCAATCTCTCTTTCAGTTCTCTTTCATGGGTTCACTTGTGATACCGGAAACATAGCAATATGAACTTCTTGAGCCGCTTCAAGCTAGTCATCTTGAATTTAGTGATATACAATTTATCGAAAGGTGAGTCAAGTGCACAATTTCATTCCAGCAACACTTGTTGTGATGATTTTCAGGCAGAAAATGAACTTATTTCCGATACAATGCGCGGCATTTTGCAACAATATATCAAGCAATTCTCGCAATCACAAAGCAATTCAGCCGCGAAGGGTCACACAAAGATATCTCGGAAGATTGCAAATGTTTACCTGGTGGATAAATATGAGAGCATATTAATTCCGTTGAATATTTATTAATAGAAAGTTTAAGTGGGAATAAATTAATGAGAATAAAGCATTTTCTGCCTCGATTTCTGCTGAATTTCGCAAAGTGTTGAGCGCGCATTGAGTGATCTAACAAATGGCACGCAATTATCAGTTCTACAACTCTATTTTCATCTCAAATGGAAATGTTTACTGATAAACTTTTTGTCCATTAGCGCGTGATTATTATTGCTTAATGCGTAAATTGATGTTTTGATTATTACTTGCTTCTCTCAAAAATTGCCTGAGTAATAAAATTGATCGGAAAAACCATTTTTATTTCTGTATTTTGAAGTTCAATTAATAATAACTGATGTAATTGTCATTATTTGACCGTGATTTCTCAAATCTTTCGAGTTTTACATTCAAGTTTCATATAATTACGCTTTAATTTTCATATGCAGTTGATTTTCTACGGAATACAACGCTAAAACGCTAACATTTTGAAGGGATTTTGCGATCTGAAAATCACATTCAAGACACATTCGCTTCTTGACTGCTTGAGAATCTCTCATTCAGCATTTTCCTCATAACAATTCTTTGCGCAGATTCGCGATTAACTCATCACTCTCTTGCCTTTGCAGTCTATTCCCACATAATTGTTACTAATTATGGCAATCTGGAGGGCGATCAGGACGTGCTCTGGAGCTCTAATAACATCTCGAGTCTGCCGCGGAGTCTGACGCCGCTGTTGCAGAGTAGCAATCGAAGCCACACGCCGCCGCCGCGGCCGGGTGACGATTACGACCTTCTGCGGCGGCTGAAGGAGGCGGCGCGCCGCGACGACGTAGGCGACCAGCGCATGCTGTGGAACGACGCCACGCAGGAGACGTCGGCCTATCCGCCGCTGGTGGAGAAGGCGCTCAAGTTGTTCAACCTCAAGCAGGTGGCGTACGAGATCGAGACGAGCGTGATGTCGAAGGTGTCGTGCACAGCGTGCAAGGCAGGCGCCGGACTGCTGCAGCACTACATCAAGACGGGGCGCAGCAAGGAGGAGATCGTGAAGACCATCTTCCAGTACTGCGTGTACCTGAAGATCCAGAGCAGACGCGTGTGCGAGGGCGTGAGCCAGCTGTTCGGCGTGGAAGTGATCTACGTGCTGGAGCGCATCTCCATCGGGCCCGACGAGATCTGCAGCTTCGTGATCGGCGACGCCTGCGGCGACGTCTACAATCCCTACCACGAGTGGGAAGTGGCTTTCCCGCCGGTGGCGAAGCCCGACCCGAAGGAGATTCCGCTGCCCAAGGAGGGCGCGCCGCTCTTCAAGGTCCTGCACCTCTCGGACACGCACTACGATCCGTACTACGCACAGGGCAGCAACGCCGACTGCAACGAGCCGCTGTGCTGCCGCATCACGAACGGCATGCCGTCGACGCCCAACGGCGCGGCGGGCAAATGGGGCGACTACCGGAAGTGCGACACGCCGCAGCGCACGATCGACCATCTGCTGAATCATATCGCCACCACGCACACGGTAAGCAGCAACCTTGACCGTCGGTTTAACCAGTTTGCTGAACTCACGTGAGTCAGATCTCGTGGTGGGGAATTCTCGCGGGTGCGTAAAATTCGGTGTGTCGCCAAAAGAGAGAGGCTGGAAAAGACAGCTCAGCTCAGCTCGGTGGCAATGAACCCTGAAAATGAGTGGGATTATCAATTGTCTTTGCACATAATCACGTAATTCCACAGCTCTTATCACAATATTTTCAGAATGAAGGAAAAAACAGCTAAATTCATTCCCTCAATGTTTATTCGACACTTTAAAGCTTCCCAAAAGCTCTTTTTTCTCGGTGAATTTCAAATACCGAGAAATATTTGTTTGATTTTCGTTTTCTATTGTTTACTTACATAAATGGTTGTCTTTCGAGACGATTTTCATGTCGATGTATACAAAAGTATAAATGGAAAAACCAAATGCATTAATTTAATTCAAAATACTCTCTAAAATTCGTGTTAAGCAGATTTCTCTGTGTGTATTTTTTGCTTATTCATAATAACTATAATTTGGATTTTTAAATTTCTCACCCAACTCTAAAACGACTTCGAAGAACGTGAAATATTTTATTCACATGTTCTTTCCCAAATTTATCACCACGGAAATTCCCTGTGAATTTCGCGAGGCACTTTTGGAACTTAAGCGAATCACGAAATTTGTCACTAAATGTTTGCTCATAAAAATTGACTAACCATTTAAATATGTTTTCACGCCGTCCATAAAACTAATTTGTATCGTTCCCGGTCATTAATTGTTGCGAAGCAGAATTATTGTGATTGAAATCTCAAAAGCTATTCACACCGTTTAGCGTTACTTTTTCATTAATGACGGATTTTCGATGCGCCACGCGTTCTTGTGTCGTCATCAAGTGACGGAATTTACTTCCCGTTGCTCGGCCATAATTCACGAGCACTGAATGGGAAAAACACCGCTGCCAGACTTTTCCGACGGCAGGTTTGGAAAAGAGGGAAAAGTCGGTTGCGCTTCATTAAAAATCACATTTACATCTAATTTATCTCTGCGGTGGATTAATGTCTTCTCAATGGCCCCACTTTTACCCATTTACACACCCAATTTGTCAGTTGACCAAAAAACGTCCCGGCCTTAAATGGATGGACTCTTTAGTGTGGCTTTAACGGATGAAAGTTCGACGCGTGAAAGTTAGAAAATATTATGGAAATTATATGGAGAAAATATTGGCAAAAATATTGAGGATGTTTTTTTTCTTCACAGTCGAATTGATGACTTTAGAATTAAAATTGGATAATGACGATTTAAATGACGGCTTCAGATGCTTTTCGATGGGAAGGGAAAAAGCACATTTATTGTCTCGTAAATTCCTCTCTAAGCGATTTGCGATAGTTTCGGGGTGTGAGTGCGGGAAAAATGTCAGGAATAATTCAATCGCCCGCCTGACAAAGTGCTAACTGTTTTTGCCTGCTTCCAGGACATCGATTACATCCTGTGGACGGGGGATTTGCCGCCGCACGACGTGTGGAACCAGACGAAGGAGGAGAACCTGAAGATAATCAAGGACACGGTGCGACAGATGTCGGAGAGCTTTCCCGGCATTCCCATCTTCCCGGCGCTGGGCAACCACGAGAGTGCGCCCGTGAACAGTTTCCCGCCGCCGTACGTGAATCAGGTGGACACGTCCATCTCCTGGCTGTACGATGAGCTGGACGTGCAGTGGCGCAAGTGGCTGCCGAGCAGCGTCTCGCACACCGTGCGCCGCGGCGCCTTCTACTCCGTCCTCGTGCGGCCGGGCTTCCGCATCATCTCGCTAAACATGAACTACTGCAACAACAAGAACTGGTGGCTGCTGCTCAACTCCACCGATCCCGCCACGGAGCTCCAGTGGCTCATCTACGAGCTGCAGAGCGCCGAGTTCTCCAACGAGCGCGTGCACATCATCGGCCACATCCCGCCGGGCCACTCGGACTGCCTCAAGGTGTGGTCCAGGAACTACTATCGCATCGTCTCGCGCTACGAGAGCGTCATCACGGCGCAGTTCTTCGGCCACACGCACTTCGACGAGTTAGAGATCTTCTACGATCCCCACGACCTCAGCCGCGCCACGAACATCGGCTACATCGGGCCCTCCGTCACGCCGTACTACGACCTCAACCCCGGCTACCGCATCTACTACGTCGACGGCGATCACGACGCCACCACGCGCCTCGTGATCGACCACGAGTCGTGGATCATGAACTTGCGCGAGGCGAACCTCTACGACTATCCCATCTGGTACAAACTCTACTCCACCAGGGCGGCCTACGCCATGAAGGGTGAGCTGAACTGAATTACCTCAGCAGCGGAAAATGCCTAAAACTGAACTGCATGAACCGCGGCATGTTTAAAACTCTTCAGCATACATTTGTAGTGTTAAACTTTCATTTAATTTGCCTTTTTCAACATAATTTCATGATTAAGAGCGCGACTAAAACAATAACTGACAAATGATAAGCGGAAAAGTAATCTTTACTTTCTCATAAATTTTATTTTCATCAAAATTTCATACAAATTTACAATCTATTAACATATTTGTACCCTTTTTTCCTGTGTAATCACTAAATAACATTTTGACGTCTATTTATGGAGATTTCTTGTGGTTTTTGTGGATATAACAACAATTTCACGCTCTTTACGAGCGACTTTTCACATAAACTTCCCATAAATTTCTTTTGCGGTTCAACAATGAAAACAAAGAGTTCTTCCCTGAGTCGGAAACAGCATAACTTTGCCATAATTTCACCCATTTCAAATGTTAAAGGACTAAAAGCGGCTGAATAATTTGAATAGTTGCTGAAAGGTTGTCAAAAAGGTCCGAAAAAAGAGTTTCTTTAAAAACAATCACATCAAAATTGCATGCGAATTGATTTAACATGGTGCTTTTTAGATAAAGCAAATAGTGAATGTGTGTGGTAAAATGGGTGAAATGTCTCTAAAGTGTCCCTCTGTTTACTTGGCCTTATTTGCAGGTCTGCGACCGACGGATTGGGATGAATTTGTGACGAAAATGGCAGAGAATCAGGAGCTGTTCGACCTGTATTACAAGTAATGCCATCAATTGAAACACCTTTCATACCGGCTGAGCGCCGCTTATCCTCATCAAATATTTCATGCATCTTTTATCTTCTTTCACCCTCTCGGCAGGCACTACTGGAAGAATTCAATTGTGCGGCCCCAGTGCAATTTTGAGTGTAAGAAAAGGATTTTATGCGACGCCAAAAGTGGTCGGAGTCACGACAGGAAGCACTTTTGTGCGGAGGTTGAATCCAAAATTGACGATTACAGCAACAAAGGTTGGAGATCTTGGTTTTATCATGGATTTAGCGTATCGTATGTATTTGATGAATTATTTCAAATGACAACAGAAGAGGTTGAGGACACCACACGGCAGTTGTAACCCACTTTAACACCCTGTAAAGGCTGTAGATAGAAAAGACACATGGATATGGGCGAAAGTTTGCATATAGCATTTCTTTAATGTGGCCGCTCTCCACTCTTTACGGCGCTGGAACGGTGCTCAAATGAATTTTTTACTACCAACACACTTGTTCTGTTTCAGGGGGAGGCGAAAAACAAAATAACCTGTCTATTTTCCGCCTCTTTTCATCCCCATTTCCCACCGTCTTCTCACTGCTCACTCTCATTTTCCCGGTGCTCTTTTATTGGGCAACTTCATTTCTCACTCTTATTGCTTTTATTGACCACAGAGTTGCAAGTTTATTAGATTTAGCACTTTAGGAGCTTTAAGCGCTGCCAGAACTTTAAATATTTCCATACATTTCCTACTAAACTTTCAGCTCTGTCGTCTTATCTTGGCATTGTTCTGTGTTATTTTAATTAATACTCGCCCTTCTCGCCATTTCATTTAGCTTCTCTCCTCCTTTCTCTCTCTCTGCAGAATGAATGTCCTTATGTCGATAGCGAAATTGCCAAAGTACGTCATAGGGCTTGGATAACAGGGCCAGAGCGGAGAGACTTCATCCCGAGGATTGTGCCGAGATGCCATTTGTGTTTTATAAGATTTGCAATAAATTTAATTGACTCGACCACAACACACAATGGTCATCAGTTGAGACTGAGTTTCAGCAGGTTGAGCGATAATATCATGGATGGAAATTGACAACTTTTGACTTGGGACTCCGAACACTCTCAATCCCTCGTTAATTTTCTATTGCTCTCAAACCCTCCGCACCAAAAGCCAGGGGATGTTCGGCAATTTGAGAGGGAAAGAATGCAAACAATGTCTCACTTAATTGTAATTTTTGGTTATTCTTTTCACACTCAATACACTCCGGATGGATTTGTCTGATTTAAATGCAAATTTGTCCCATATTAATTTCTATACGCCAACAAACACCCCAAAAAATACTTCTGCCAGCACTTGTTCTCCATTTTTCCGTGGCGCAGCACACAATATTTTGCGGATGATATTGGTGGTGAACAAAAAAAAAGGGAGAGAGGAAGTTCCTGAGGGGGGAAAATTGAATATTCTCCCCCCTCCTGTCCCCGCATCCTTGACATGGTGTATAAAAATAAAAATAAAAACTTTGCACCTAGTTGAAAGTTTTTTGCCACGAGGTTGTGCTCCTTCCACCCATCTAATGTCTCGCTATCTTGCACAGGATTTTCCACACGCTCGCAGGCGGACAATTTCCACATTTTCCTCCTCACCGTTGTCACTGTGCTTTTCACGACTTCTTTGACACTTTTTTTCTGGGAAAGATAAAAGGAGAAGTTGAGGATAGGGTGACAGGAATGACTTTGAGATAAACACAAGATAAGTTCTTCGCGAACATATGTCAGAGAAAATCATGAAATACGAGTATAAATAGAGAGAGATGAAGCAGAAAAAACTAGACTATAGTTCCAGCACTTCCAAAAGCACAGAAAGAAAATATACAATAGGATGAGAGAATGAAAAAACTTACAAATGATATAAGTAACAATAAAAAGGTTTTGAAGAAAAAGAAAAAAAAACCAGAGAGAAAAAAGTTTAGGAAGGAAAGAACACATATTTAAATGGAAGAAAGAAGCTAAGAAACTAAAAAGAAGCTGAAATGCAGAGAAATAACATTTAGAAGAGAAGGAGAAATGGAGTGAAAGCAAATGAAAAATACCCTGACTGACATTTCGCGACGCCAAGTGTCTTGTCTTAAGACCAAGTCGCAGTCTCAATCCGGCCACGGAGTGAAAGCAGAATCATCAGGCAACGAAGGTAATTCCAGTGCAAAGTTATTCTCATGACTCTAAACCAATTAATAGCAACTTTGCCTGCAAGTAAACAATTGTTGGTAACTTGGTGTGCTATATTTCAAATTCACTTAATTGCCCATTATCGCCCTAAGAATAGTTCACAAGCAATAAAGCGACTTATCGATGATTCTCGATTGGAGGCTGACTTTTGTGTCCCAAAATCCCTATTAATCTCTCGAGCAATTTGGCAGTGAATTGAAATAGAGTCGTCGGAATTAATGAAGTGCCATCGAGTGCTCTGTGCGAAGGGGTGCCTTCGGGGCGGAGGGTGCTTTATGGCCATAAAAATCTGGTGGAAAGTCAGCGCGCTGATGAAACGAGAGGAGCTGAAAATGATAGTTTTCCTCCTCCTGCGACAACAGCGAGCGCGGTGGCGTTTTTTGCCACCGTGCGCCGAGGGGTGGAGGGATCGCTGAATTATCCTCGACCTTTCGCCCCCCGCCCTCCGTGCGCCTCAATCTAAATATGTAAGTTCGCCCCGCTGCAGGGAGATAAATAATTCACCACGTATAACGACATCCAGGCGGAGAAAAAATTTATATATCTACACTCCACCCCACCGCCGTATGTTCAACTAACATACCCATTATTCACCATATTGTGCACCCCGAGCAGGGGTGCGAGCGGGAGCAGAGATGCTGCAGTCTGCTGAGGTCCTTCGGCTCGCTCCCTCTCGTGAATCTGAAAGTACAACAAACATACACAAACCTCCCATTCCACCCCTTCCACGGCGCCTTTGCAACACGCAAAACACATACAACTAATTGAATACAAAAATTTATGAACATATGGATTTAATAAGACTCCCAAATGTAGACATCCTGCCTCCTCTTTGCCACTCATTCATGCGTGGTCGCATCAATCATTTAGAGGAGGGAGAAGAAAGTTTTTCTCCAAACGTAAATTCATATTTTTATGCCGCACACCATCCATTTTTTCCATATTAATCAGAGTTTTGTGATATCTTCATGTTAAACGTGCTCAAACATACTTTTCCCAAAAGCTTTCACTCACAGAGTTGTCATGGCGGAGGATTTAGATAGAGATTTGCTGCTAAGTCTGGAAGTTGAGAGTATAGATAAGATGCTAATCATGCTTAACAGCTTCTTCTCTGTGAGGAAGCGAACATTACGGCTTTGAAGAAATCTATAAGCGTCATATCCCACTACCTTTAAAGTTATTGACAAACGAGTTATCGACAATGAATTTTAATCAAGTTTTAACACAATTTTAGAGAAAAGATAGTTAAAATCAACAATCTTAGGACTTATTAGTCCATATCAGCTCTATTTCCCCCTAAAATGGTGTCGAACAGAAGAAAATTTCAGGTATTTTGTATCGATAAGTGTCGGTAAGTTCAATAACTTACCGACAAATATAAGAATAATATCTTAGAGTTCATCTTGAATCTGATTCGCATTTACTGCTCTCTTGAAGATCCATTTACTCCAATATAATCTAATTAAAGTATGAAATGAAACACGTAAGAAAGTTTGTTGTTAGATAGGTGAGAAGTTTGTTTAGAATATCATAAGTATGATTATTGGGAATGCAAATATACCCAAATCTAATGTGATTTGATATCAATTCTGAATTTTCCTTAAATTTCTTCGTGAAATCTTTCGCAAATATAGTAAAAAATGGAGTTGTCATGAGAACAAAACGGTTTTGAAATGTTCACAGTTTCAGTTGACATGTTCAACAGAAAAAAGAAACAGATTTTTGCCAATAAATCTCAGTCTGCTATACATAATGTACACTTTGAACATATTCCTTCATTTAAATCATACTTTACGACATGCTTTCTTGTGCGGATGTTTAAAATGATGTTGCGCATTTATCAGGTAATTTAGGCTCTGTCACGAGATAACCTAAAAACCTCCTCTAATTGCTCCCCAAATTTATCTAGATGAAGAGACAATCAGCTTCCTGCCCGCACTTTAAGATAAATATCGCATGAGCTGGATAAACATTTCCGGCTCTCGCATATTCGCTGCAGCATAAACACACCCCCGGAAAGTTGGTGTCATTTTCCCGTGGTGTCTTCATTATTGCCGTCTTCCGCGCGCCCTCCTCATTTTGGCGCCTTATCTGCGGTGAAATGTGCGGAAAATTTTCAAGGATGGGCGGCCTTTAAATATTGCACACGCACTGCCAAGAGCCCCGGAATAATCTCAACGAGCGCCGGTGAAAAAGTTGCCAAAAATTACACCGAGGGGAAGCATGAAATGATCCAAAGTTATTCTTTATGCTGTGTCAAGTGGAAAATCCGACGGTGTTTTTACACAGAAAAACGAGGGGAAAAAAGGAAATCGCGAACAAGTTGTTTATGAATCATTCGAGAATTTTCAACTCATGCACATTTAACGTTTGCGTCTTCTTAAGCATCATTAAAATGCTTCAGCTGAAGATGTCTTTAAGGACTCTTTTGGCGTTTTATTATCTCTCGAGAATTTGGCTGGATAAATATTTATATCGCTCAGGCGGCAATTTTGGGGCGATATTTTTCTATTAAGTCCCGCACCGCATGAAAGGGAGAATAAAGTTGAATTTATTGAAGGTTATTAAACAAATTCCTCAAAATCCTTTTTGGACCACAAATGGTGCACCCAAAAAACCACTGCTTTTAATTGAATTTCACATCGTTTCAATTGAGCGCCGCGCAATTTGGTTGGCGAAACTGTTGATCGAAACCAAGCCAAAACCGCAGTTTTTAAACAAATTTACACTTCCATGACCTGTACAGCACTTCTACTCAGCGTGAACACATTTGTGGGGACATTAATTTGTCACATTTTGCGGTCCTCTTGGCCACAACCTTAGGAGATAAGGACACTTTCGTGGATGTGAGGGAAACCGAGAGTGCTTGATTGACACATTCAAGTCTGAATGTTGAGCGAAAGGAGAGGCTTTCAATTCCGCCAGACAAGAATCTTCTCACCCAATTCGACGCAAAGTCGAGTGTCGATTTCAGCACCAACTCGATTGTATCTAATAAGATCGTCTTAATGAGATTCTTAATGGGATTTCTTACTAGCATTTGCCCTTTCTTTCCCATTTCCCCGGAGGCGTTTCTCCCTCTCCACCGACTCCATGTTATTTGCATCGTTTCCGTCGGTGATAAAAATCGCCCTGAGCATCTTCCCCCGCAGGAAGCTTTCCGCCCCCATTTCGCCCCATCGAGAAACCCCTCGATTTTCCCACGCAATTTCGTGGTGTGGAAAAAGCACTTCTTCTTCGTCGGCGGTGGAGAGAGGCCGATACAATCTTTATAGTGGTGCCGGTGATATATTTTCTTACGCCGGGAGTCAATTAATTCAGCACGCGCCTTTTTAGCTGCCGTAATTTATAGGTGGGATATTTTCACGGTAAATAAACACACAGTGGCGCCGGTGTTGAAATATATGCGAAAATATATGAGTGGGCGGAGGCGGAAAAAATCACTCAAATTAATAATTGACTAAACGGCGTGAGGTAGAAAGAGTGGATCGCGATTGACGAGGGGTGAATAATCTGCGAAGCACTTGCAACTGAAAGTGTTGCTTGAATTAACGGGGTGTTCCGACGGATTAACAGACGCATGGAATGGGAGTAAGTTTTAAAAGGGTTTGCAGAAGAATAATTGATAGGCGTGGAGAATCTGAAACAGATTTCAAGTGTACTTGACTTTGTAAACTTATGTTCAATGATCCTGAGATTTTAATAAAATTTTTCGGGTCTCTAAAGTTACTGAAAGACTTATTTTGAGCAAATTTGTTTAAAATCTCATGATATTTAATTATATAAATTATACATTTTGTAAAACCGAGTAAAATCGTTAAATCTGAATGGTTTTGCATTTACAGTCAGATTAAACAATAAAAGACGATTGTAAGATTAATATCAAGTCTTAAATCACATAATTCAGTTAATAGTTACAGAAACTGAAAGCAGTTTTGTTGTGAGTTGATTTTTTCCAATTTCGAACTTAGTTTTTGACTCTTTAATTTTTAAATCTTCAAGTTCAAAATATATGAAAAAATGTCTCCTGTTTAAAAACAAACAATTTTCAACTCCAAAATGAATATTTGCATGGAAAATCTCGACATTGACGAGACACTTCAATAGGAAGATTGTCACAGAATTTCCGGTTTTATTGAATTTCTCCCGAATTTTATAATGTCACGTGTAAATTAATGATTCATAAAGTTTTATACCGCCAACATTGAGCATAAAACGTCACATGTTCAAAAGCACCCGCACTGGAATCCTAGAGTCGTGCGAAATCTTCAATATATCACTTTTCTGTCCATAAAAGAGGATTTGGCACACGTTTTCCGCGCGAATGTCGCATGGAAATTCGCGCAAAATTATCCCCTCGGCGGACAAATGTTAATGTCAGACTAATTAATTAGCGTGGGCGATGGGATGGTTCTTGGTGAACAGGTGTGAATTTTGCGAATACGCTAAATTTTTCACTAATTGCGTCAACAATTAATTCATCATAGTATGCTTTTGGTGGGTATGGAGAACTGCGTTTTGGGCCACAGGAGGGAATTTGCGGAAATTGATGCGATTGTTCTGTCGCGATATGCGTTTTGCCCGGAATTTGCGAGATTCTGAAATGGTTTTGCAATTATTAATTAAATTAAAGTTTATTAGACAATGGCTTATCGCTCTGCCGGCGTTGTCCTTTTTCACAGTGGCACAAACTGTTCTCCTCGACAGCGACCATGGTGGAAAATCCTTGCATTTGCCGTCGCACAGAGTGGAAAGTGTGCGAATGTGTGGCGATGCCAATGGAGGAGGTGAAAAGCCAGCGCTGGCGCGCAATTGGTCGGGCATCACGTGCTCTGTGGGGGCGTTTTTGTTTACATGCGCCAACGCGACCTTTTCCCGCTTCTGCACATCTTCGCCGTTCTCTCTCGTTTCCTCAGGACTCCGCATAGACAGCCTCCTTGCAGCGCTGTGCAAGATCTCCTGCACGGAGTCTGGAGGAAAATGTCCTGTTCTCTCCGTCTTTGGTAGAACCTTGAAAGCCACCTCGAAGGCACTGACCAGGTGCAGACCGCAGTTTCACATGGGCAGTCGTGGAAAATCCCCTGGAGATGCGTCTGGGGCGGTTCCCGGAGTCTTGAGAGTGTTGCGCGCCTCTCCGGGATCTCTGGAGGTTTGCCCGGAGACCGTCCTACCACGGAGGAGGGTGACGATGTGGTCTTGGCGTGATGACACCTCCGAGACCAGTCCCTGCCCAACTCTGACTGCTGTGTCCCGCTTTTCCGGAGCTCTTGGATCTGGGCCAAGAGGCCCAGAATCAATGCCCTGAGGAGGCCTGTGTCAACAAGGCGTCTTCGTCATTCGATGCATCTGAGGAGTGTGTCAAAAATGCAGATCGAAAGGGGCCAGTTTTGCGCCAGGGAAAATCGATAGATGCATCCCGAATTTTCTCTTCCTGCGGACATTAAAGCGACACAAATGCTGACTTGGTTAATATTGATCAAAACAAGCATTTATTGCATTCTTCAAATGAGTTTTGTGACCTTTTGTCCCGTTTTCAATGCGTAATTTCCCCATTGTAGCTATAAAAATGCCATTTTCAATAAAGAAAAAGCCAGATGCAAAGGCTTTAGGGACATCAATTGACACGGAGGTTTTAGCGGACCTTTCCACAAGTCACATGCAGCGTTTGCAGTGTCAATTCGTGTAATAAATTTTGGCAAAAACCTAATTTTTCCTGCGCTCCCGAAGGACTTCGGCGTGCTCTGTCTCTTTTTTATTGAAAGGCAGAATTGACCGCTGGCTTTCCAGGTTATTAACTGCTTCACCTGTTGAATCCGGGCAGCCTGGCTGCGGGACTTCAGGTGCGGCCATGAGCGCTCTCGGGAGTGAACTGAGCCGCGCTCTCGCCGTGCGGCGTGCTCAAGTGGAAGGATGTGCGATGTGTCCTTGGCGGGAGTGGAAATTTTGGTTGGATAGTGCTCAACCCTCGGGGTTCAGCGATTTGAGTCTTATCGCCGGGGCGCCGAGAGGCAGACGTGGGGTGTGAGAGGAGTGGAAATAAGGCGGAGCGAAGCAGGGATATTGGATTTGACTCTCGAGGAATGCTGCAGTTCAGCTGGGAGTTGTGTACTCTGTGGTGGGTAATGAAACGCTGTGTGTGATGTGTGTGTGACATCTCAACCTTTTTTCTTCACCCCCCGCGCGCCGGTCGTCTGCGAAGAAGGACGGTGGGAAGTTTTCCCAAACACACCCCAGAGGAGCTCCGCTGCAGACTTTCCGCCACTGTGCGCCGTGCGAGGGAGAGAGAGATAAAAATGCCCTCCTCAAATTGCTAAATTATTATTAGTATATATCCGGCGTGGTGCAACATCATGGGCATAAAGTAGTCAGTTGGGGTTTGATAGTCACTCGGGACGAACGCCCGCCTCTCCGGTGCAAAACTTGTACCACGTTCAAATTATTTCAATATATACCCACTCATTTCCTCACTATGTACATTCCTATGAGTGATACAAATCCGTGGAGAGTATTGAAATATCACCAATAGACCCCAAGTGCAGGAGGAGCCGATCGCCCGACGTCGGGGACGCCCGCAGGTCCTCCAGGAACAATTTCTGCGCCCATTCCCGCGGGGCTCGAGTCTGAATGTGGGGCGCCTTGCCACAGTGCGTGAGTGCGTGAAGTGACTGGGAAAGAGTGTGTTCGCATCTGGGCTGGGCCGCCACTTCCTCCGCTACGTGTTCAGTACGCGCGAAACTGCGATCGGACAATCAGCTGCCGAGCTTCAGCTCGGCCTCGCCCTGGTCCACGCTGGAGCTCGAATGGGGGCGCAAGCTGTACCCCACGAGCGGCTCCCGCGGCACCGGGGGCCTCATGTTTGGCTTCTCGCCCGGGGGCACGGAGCTCAACCAGCCGCGCGGGCCCTCGCTCAAGGAGGAGCCGCTCAGCGTGCGGGCTTGGATGCAATCCACGGAACAGAGCAAGTAAGCTTCCGTCCGCCGTCTTGGCTTCTGCCGCTGGCTCTAGAGCATTTGAATTTCCTTGCGATTGACTTCTCAATGCCTTTCGAGGCAAGAAAGCTCTGAAAGCAGTGTGAATTGTGACTAAAACCATTAAAACAATGTTTAGCACTGCTTTTTACATCTGCAAATTTCTTAAGAGCAATGCAGAAATGATAACCAATTTTTACACTAAGATGCAAAGGAAGTCAGTATAACAATTGTTCCTTAAGTGCAACTCTTATGAGAAGAATTTACTGTGAAGTCTTTGATGTTTAATTTTATGTACAAACCTGGCAATTCAATTGATTAAACTTATTAAGAAAGTGTTGTAAATCATCAATAAGAAATACTTTTAATTGGAAAACCAGTTTTTTTTTTAATTAAATATCAAATCTATAAACATCTTGATAAAATGTTTCCCTTTTCAATAAATATTTTTATCGGTTCATTATATCTTCCCACTTTTTCATTCTTCAGCACTTCAAAAGAGTATTTTTAAACAAAACTCTGCCAAAAGTCAATAAAAATCATAATAGAGAGCGTAAATTAAACTATTTGTCTGTATTTATGCAAAAAGCTCACTTGGCTCACATTCAATTGTTAATTTATCTTTATTGAAAAATCGCGAAAAAACGCCGCCAACAAATAAACTGAATTACGCATTGACAAAGAGGGTGAGTGAGCAATGTTCGATGTCAATTCGCATAATTCAGTGAGTGATCAAAGAGAGGTAGCATTTTCACCCTTTCCGCGCGCATTGTGCGCAAAAAGTTGAAAATATTAAAATTAATGTAAAATAATAGCGAACAATAGCGCGGTATCACATTCAATTGTGATGAATGGTGTTTTGCGGACCCCAAGCAATTTTCCTCGGGCAATGTTTTGCCGCTATGCAAATGAGATGTGTTTGTTTGCGCCCGAAAAACACAACATATGCTCGAAAGTGCATCATTATGTTCCTCTTCTGGTGTTACACATCGTGTCTGGGGGTGCTTTATTGTGACGATCGCACGATAAATCAGCGTGGCAAAGTGTGTCTAAATCGAATTTGTTGGCCCCCTGAATTTCTTTCATGGGCTTTTCGGGTGAAATAAATCTCTGCGTGACCCCCAAAAATTCCTGTACGCGCGGGAAAATTTGTTGAGTGCAGCAGAAGGAAAAAGGGCCGATTCGTATATCTTCTTCAACTCGCCCCAAACTTCTGCCTCTTCACCTCATCCACAAATCCTTCTTTTATTGTTGGGAGTTTCTTTTATGACGTAATTTTTCCCGCACTTAAGATTTGTATCTCCAACCGACTTTCTCTGCCTGGGTGTGAAAGTTTTCGGGGAGCTTTTCCACCCTCTCTCGGCGTCGGCAAAATGAATGTAACGAGAATTGGCACTGGAATTGCAGGAACAAATTGTCCAATGATTTCCATTGGCTTTTTGGGTCTCTGGCGCGTATTGACGGGGGGATTTTATTAAAAGCTTTATAGTCTATGACCGTCGCTTAGCATGCAGATACAAAACTGCCGGCAAAATGGACAATAAAAGTCCTTATCGAATTTCCCTAAATCATTTGATATCGCGCCAATGGCCATTCTCCCTCATTATCCGTGCCCGGGAAAATCCAAACGCACAGTCTATTCGCGCTTTTTTGCCGAAGATTCTCCGCACAGATTGAGGGCAGATTAGCAACAACAGAGAGCCTTTCCCCCGGTGAAAAGTTAAAGATATTAAATTCACCGTAAAATAATTAGCCAAATAATGTAAATTCCACCCCCAAAAGCGAACAAGACTCAGACAACATGCCGCAGAGTTGCGACTGCGGAGGAAACTTGCCCCAAACTTTGGCTCACAAGAGCCCTCCGTGAATTAGCAAGTCATCACGGAAAATCGAAATGGAGTCTCTCGGAGAAATTGATGGCCGGAGGCGGAAAAGGACTTGCGAAGTCGATTAAAGATTAATCCACCGGGAAGGAGTGGAATTTCCGGATAAATGGATACGGCAATTACATTTTACTCGTATTGTATTGCAAAGTACAGATATCGAGGTTACAATTCAGGATATGTTCTCCACATCCTGCAGAGTATTGTGAATTTTTAAAGACAAATAAATACGTATTTTTTCGAATTTCACTTCCGTTTTTCTTGTTTTTAAATCTCTAAATTATATTTATCCCTTGTCCAGATGTTTTAGGAGTTAATCTTATAAACTGTGCTTATTTTACAAAGTTATACAAAACTGCGATTAAACCTCTAAAACTGAGAGATTCTTTTTTTCAAAATTCTCATAACAAATTAACATTACGAATTTAGTAAAATAATTGACTTGGAAATTACTATTTATGACTAAATGCAGTTTGATTGTTTATTCACAACCCTTCAGTATAATTTCTTTTCGGAAATATACTCATAATTACAGTCCTTTAATATTAACTCACATAACAATAAATATTGTGTACAAATACTTAATAACCCTTAAATATCAGAACAGTATAAATTTTCTCTAGAAAGTCATAAACTTGAGCTGCAAACTCCATTTTCTTCCATTTCTCCAGCAGAATAAATCGCAACCACTCCTTGTATTCAATGCATTCGGTTTGCAATGGGACAGAAGAGAACTATTATTATCATTTATTCTCAATCCCATTCGATTTCAGCGGAAGACCTGCGAGTCATTGGGAAAATCTCTCCAAATCCTCCGGCTCAATCCCTCATTTTTTTCCACCCTATTGTGTTGCAGTGCGAAGTCTTGTCTTTCACCAGACTTCCCCGCCCTCGCGGAGGTCTTCTGGTATTCTCATGGTGGCCCCAAAGACGTAAAAGAGCCACTGGTCCGGACGTGGAAAGTGTAAAGAATAAATAAAAGATGAAACATGATACGTGATGTGATTGACGAGGCTCTTGGCAAAATTGATTACAAATTGATGGTGATGGGATGGAATTTATTCAATCCGTGCCATTCCTCACCAGCTCGTGAAACGGGGCCACCTCATGGGGATGTGATAAGATATTTAATTATGCAGTCAAATTGATTAATTTGTGACTTGCCTCGGGCTCTTATGTGGAATAATAACTCCGCTCAAATGCAATTACACTCCTGACAAGAGAGTGTCTGGCAAGTCGCCTCGCAATCACGCCCGGAATCCGGGAGTTCATGCAAATGCACGCCGGGAAGAAAAGGCAGAGCGACGGAGTCTCATCCTGAGCGACCTAACATCATTTATCCATTATGAATGCCTCTCGTGTGGGGTAGAAAAGGGGCTTTTGGCGCCATTTAATCAAGACGACAATTGGGATTATCCTTTGTTGCGCGGTTGGCGTTCAATAATTAAGACATGCCACGAGATGAAGCGAGAAATTCAGTTAATATTTTATGCTCTATCACAGCATTCTCTTCCCCTTTTGTGCCCAAATTTTCGCGCGCCTTCTCCACACTTAACTCAATTTGCTCTGCGGCAGAAGACATCATGCAAAATTCCATTACACCGGCTAATTGAGAGATCCTTCCGGATCATCCTGACGCTGTTCTGTTTCTCGTTTCAGTCTGTGCATCGGGCGGGCGCACTTTGAGAAGCAGCCGCCGAGCAATCTGAGAAAATCAAACTTCTTCCACTTCGTCATTGCGCTCTATGATCAAGTCGGGCAGCCGATCGAGATCGAGAGGACGGCCTTCATCGGGTTCATCGAGAAAGACCAGGTGATTGTAAGGAGTTTAAATTGTAAATTTGAGTGTTCTTGCTTGACATTCTCAAAATTACTATTAAAACTTGGTGAAATAATAATTTTTCCGTCGTATTTTATAAGATAAGATGTAAAATTTCGTATTTTTTATTTATTTTGGCAGAAGAAGAATTGCATGCTATATTTTATTTAAAACACAACGTATTGAAATATTTTCTTTGCCCTGTAAAACTCATAAATTTTAGCAACATAAACTATCAATAAATGCTGTGATTTTTTTCTCAAATTGCATCAGAATTGCATAAATAGCAAATATAATTATACTTTAATCATCACAAGACTTTTCATGTATTTGCTGTTGAAATTACTCATTGGGAAAAGCCCTCAAAAACTTGATTATCATTCTGTTCACTCTCTGAGTTGGAAAACTTACTCGAGAATCATAATTCCCATTTCCAACGTTAGTATAAATTATGAATATATAATAAAGAGAAATGTGATCTCTAATTTGCATTACATTTCAAACGTATCCCTTCCATTAACTCGGGTGAGTGAAGAATCGCAATAATCAGAAGGAGAATCCGACAGACCATCCCTCAATCTGCGATATCAGAGGAGATATAAAAATTTCGCCCTCACTCATCATCTCAGAGACGCAATAAATCCCCTGCTTTTTGGAAAAGAGAGAGAGCGAGAGGAAAATTAGATTTGGTATCATGCAGGGAAGTTAATTAGAAAAGGGTCAATTTCTCATGTGAAGGAAGTTTATCCTGAGAAGGAAGCAATTAATAAGTTGATTTGGCAACTTTTTTCCCTGGCACAGAGATAGAGAGAAGATTTTCCGTCGAATCGCACAATTTTGATGGATTTCCCCGTAACTTTGCAGGAAGTGGACAGCACAAAAACCAACAATGGCATTCACTACAGACTGCAACTTCTCTATGCTGCTGGTAAGTTGAAGACACGCCCACAATTTTCCACCTTCACCGCCTTTCCAGTGGAGATTTTTCTTGGATAGGCGACACGAGTGGAAATCCGCAGAGCGAGTTTCATGCAGAATTTCCACTCATTATGCCCAAGATGTGTAAACTACTGACAAACATTTTAATGGATTCTCGTGATATTTGCAGGTGGAAGGCAAGAGCAGGACATTTATGTACGTCTCATAGATTCAGTGACGAAGCAAGTAAGTCAAACAAGCACTCGCCTTTCAGCCCCCAGAATAAAATATAACATATTGGTCGGAGAGTGAGAGATGAATGTCCCCGAAAATGTACTTTAAAAGCATCTCATACTTGTAGAGTGATTATTTACAATTATAAAGTCACACATATCGTCTCGTTTGCGTGGCCTTTCTCACATGAGCCACTTCGGCATGAAGGGTTGGCCCTTGTAATATCCGAGACTTTAATCTCCTGCACAAACACACAAACACATTAGGTTTAAAAACTTTTATTAATGAATGTAATTATACGGTCCCATAATATTCAAATGACAAAGAGGATCCGCCAGCGCCCCCCGACTTTTCGACGGAGGGTGGACGAAAAAAGTGGGTGGCGGGGGAAGTTGTATTGTGAAATGCCGTCGGTTATCGCGACCAACCATGAACTCGCCGCCCCAGAAGAGCCTTCGACCCGAGGGGTTGGTCAATGCCCAACAAGGCTGAGTTTTACCTTTTCCGGACGGCAAGGAACTGGTCGAGAGAGTGATAAGGATCTAAGGAATCAAAATGGCCTTAAAAATACTTGTTGTTTAGAAATAAAACTTGTAGATTTAAAGAATTATTTCACGACTCTAGAGAAGAGCCAGGAAAGCAACGAGCAGAATCTGTCGCGAATTGTCGAAACCCTTCATCGCACCTTGACACCAGATGTCTCTACTGACCGTGATGCTATGAATTAGTTTCTCTCGACATATTTTTTTCTTAGTTTCAAATACCCAGACTAACATTAAACATACAAATAGTCCAGAAACAGGCTCAGGAAACAGACGACTTTGACGCCCCTGGAACCCTCCCCATTCGTTTGGATAATGCGTGGGTTAACTGAGTGAACTCCTCGGGCCCCTAAGGGTGCATCGCACCCATTTGCTTCTACATATTTTATTCGCAGCGCCATCAAACGCTGAAATATCGGGGTCCGCCAACGCACCGCCACACTTTCAATCTAGTTATACGGAATGACATAATTCCTGCCCCTGCACTTCGCGTGGCACGAATTGAATTTAGATGCGCCGCGCCCAAAGTCGAGGCCCGTGAAGCACTGGAGACCACCAAACGAGCCACTATCCGTCGCATTTACCGTGAATTTAGCTAATTGGCAAGTTGCGGCGGAGTCGCGCACACAAAAAATGTGTCAAGCTCATATAAATGCCGCCTTTTATATTTATGACGTGTGGAGTGTTACCAACTTGTTTGGCATCGTTAAGAGGAACTTTATTTACGCGCCATGAGGGCGTGATATTAAGTGTTGAATGGCGTAAATTCTTTTACACCTCACGCGCGCTCCTCACACCCTTAAAAATGCATGGGATGAGAAACCAAACATATCTCGAGTTGCCTCGTAATCTTTTATCGCCGAACTTACTCCTTAAGTTAAGAGTGCTGGCAATTGAATTTAGAGTCGGTTTTGCAGATGCAAGAACTGCATTTTATTGATTTCAAATTCAATAAATACACACAAAGAAATGTCGCTAATTTCCACATTGAGCTCAAAGTCTAGTTTTTTTCTGACAGTTTAGCGACCAATTAGCACATCGAATGTAAACATAACGACACGAGACTAGAGAATCACACTCCAAATTAAATAAGAACAGCAAACAAACATTGAGAATAGAATAGAAATTTAACTTTCAAGTCATTTTAGTGTACATTTTCTGTCTTTCAGTTAAGTTGAATTTAATATCTGAAAAACAGTCTCAAATGTGAGATTTGTTTCTTCTGACGAACACCTCATCCCATAATCTAGTCTGTCACATTTTTCGAATTGGCTGCAGAGCGAATAAAGAGGGTGTTTTTAGCGACAAAGATATGATTTGAAATATGTCTGTGTCTTTCCATTGCGGAGAGCCGCAAATGTTGATCAATCTCTCGGCAAATTGCTGGTGAAAAGCATCCCCGAAGACTGTCGCGCGGTGAAAAAAGGAGACAATGAAGGTGTGAGGAAGTGATTGAAGGAATTGGGCGCACTAATGTCCCAGTCATCTCTCGAATTTGCCTAATGGAAGTCTCCTGTCGAGATTGCATTGAGGCTCCTTGGCTCGAGGGTGGACTTTTCGTCGCGCAAGCTCGCCACAGCGCCCAAACACACGTCAGGGCTGCACAATAAAGCACCACTCTTGCCTAATTAATCACTCCGCCAAAATTTACAAGTACTCGGCCGCGCATGTCGCTCAAGGTACACACAATGCAAGGGGCCAGCGCGCCTCACCCCCTCGCAATTAATGCCCTGCAATTGCCTCCCCCTTTTCTCGCCTGCCGCACAAATTTGTTTATCCAGGCGCACACGATCGGAAGGAAAAAATTTATCGCCCATGTAAGGATTTGTGGGAACGCGGCACGGAAAGGGAGTGTAATGAGCTTCCGGGGTGGAACAGCCAGAGAGATTTAATTCCCGTCTGACGAGCGAGTCTCTTAATTATGTGCTATCTCGCAATACCCGAAAGGAATTGCTCATAAAGCTGCTGTGAGACGCAAAATTGGTGCGATTTTCTCTGTTGACTTTGGGCAAACAAAGAGAGTATCTTTTTGCCAATTTCACACGAACCACTGCGACTCTCTTTCTTCTGCTAATGTTGAAGTTTTAATGGAAATGATTTGCATTATTTTGCAATGATTTTCCAATGACTTTTTATCAGTTCTTCACCCCCTGGCAGAATTTGCAGAGTTTGCTGCAAGAGCATTTCTTCGATGGCTGATCAATAGTGAAATTGTGGAGCGCAAAATATCCTCGGGAGTATTTCGGGGGCGATTGAATGTGTTTATTCAGAGATTATTTGGTGCGATTAATGTGATTTTGCCGCGCGCGCGTGTGTGTTTTCGCTCCTTCTCGTCAGCATTTGCATAATCCTCACATTTTGCGCCCAACTTACTCACTCATTTATCATATTCTGCATTGCAATTCAATCCCATGTCACACAAGTGTAATTTTTTATTTGATTCCAGACCGCTTCTGGGGAAACTTTCGTGGGAGAATCACTTGTTGTGAAACGATTTTTCTCGTCAAAATGCAAATTGCGAGGCGATGTTGGGGAAGTGGTCAAAAGTTGGCCACATATATGGAAATTCCGTCCACATCTCACCAATCATTCTTCACTGGCGGCAACTTCTTGTGCCGCCCTCGCCGCACATTCGACTTTTCCCATTTGCGCCTTCCATCTTCATTTGGTATTCAAACAAATTTTCTTCCCATATGGACGTCTAATGCTATTTCAGGGGCATAAACATCGAAAGTATTTTAAATCTACATATGGACAGAGAAGTAGTGGAAATTCCCCTTCGAGCAGAGAGGCGAAAGGTGAATTTTCTATGGGCTTTTTAGTCATCTTTTGTGCCATCAACTTGTTCGCCACCGCACACAAACTCCCTGCCGAAATCGAAGGGCCTGTGCAGTCCCACCCTAACGAGTGGCCTATTCATCTCCAGAGGAGAGCGCACTGGGCAGGAGAGGGTGCGAAACAAGAGGCATCCGATGGAGAAAAAATAACGCATATGGTCCTGTCTTGTAATGTGATTACTAATCTTTTCCACCATGCAATGCATTTCGCATTCGGAGGCACATAAAAGAACAGTTGCCAATCAGATTAAATTTCCATCCCGGCAGTGGTGAGTGCACTCACACCCTTTCCCCTGCCGAGCACCCGAAGCCAAAAAGTGGAGGAACCTGAATGTGATATGCGATAGAATATCAATAGGAGAGATTTACTGATATGCCACTTTCCACTCTACATCTCAGTATTCATACGACACTTTTGCATTAGCACCAAACGCCTCAAACCCCGTCTCCATCCGCCCAAGACGCTGGCGAAAGAGTCTCAGCACTTTACGGAAATTTGGGGAATGTTTCACGCAGAAAACGCGAGAAAACGTGCAAAGAGATCAATGCGATTCGATACCAAGATTGTGAAAAATGCAAAATATCGCGTCGTTAAGTTAATCAGACAAGCTTGACATGTTCAGACGATAATAAGAGGATTAAATTATCTTTAATTAGCACTACAGATAAATAAAATCGGTTCACTTAAACAAATATATTTAAACAATTTACCTTATTAAAAGAAAATAACTCCGATTTTAACAATTTTTAAAGAAGTTTTTTTATAAGACTATTTATCTGAATATTTAATTGAACTTACAAAATTTCTAACACTGAGACTTATTGAATAGTAAAAAAAACGTTTTTTTTTGTAAAAATTTTTGTTTAGAATCACAAAATATGTAAAAAATGTAGTATTTCTCAAATTATTGTCTCAATTAATTGATTTTTCTATTTGATTAAGATTTTATTTAATGTCACATTCATCAATGTTGCAAAAATTACTTAGCAACCGGAGAAAAAAGTAACTTAACCTAATGTTAAACAGCACTGAATGATTGAAAAATCAACCTTCACTTCAGTTTGACTCTCTCGATACTCAGACTGCTGAAACATAAAACTTTGATAACGATAACCGGAATACATGGAGTCATGAAAGTTTCATGAAAATGCCAATAGATATTCTGGTGAAAATAACACTTCCGCAGCGCCGGAGAAGCGAGTCAAAGAGAAGCATTGGTGGAATTGAAAGGAAGAAGTGCCTTATTTTATTGAGGTTTACCGTCTCTCCTCTGCAGAATTCCACCCAGTGTCGCATTTACATAAATTTCAAACGTGAAAATAGAGCGAGTGTCGTAAGTTTCTATTTCTCTTCGCATCTTTTTTAGCACCTTTCCCGGCGCCGCAGGCGAAATGGGACAAATTTCAGTGGGTAAAAAAAAGAATCCACGAGGCATGCAAAAGGGGGAAAAGCACGGCATTGAGAGGAGAGATTGATGGATTGAATTGACATGGCAAGACCTACCCTCTTGGCTGCGCTCTTAAAATAATTATATTCTCCATGTCTCGGGATCATCCCTAAAACCGATGATGTTATCACGACTGGTCACGAGACCTCCTCACGTGGCTTTCCTCCTCGGTCACGTGTGGTCTGCATAAATCGCAGGCTTGTTACCCAAATTGCCCGGGAATTAATGCAACAATGCTGATCGATAAGTGACGCCAAACGAGCCCTCCGGGCGTGCCGGAAAAAAAGAGCCACCACCCACTTGAAATTGTGTGTACAAACTTGACGTTCCTCGAGTCCTTGAAAATTGCTCGACTGCCGCATGAAAACTTTCCAAACGTCAATCATGCCAGTTGCGGACAAACCTTCCGCTCTCCGGGGAAAAGTGCCGCCCAAGGAGACTGTCACGAATCCGCACCCCTCGCGCAAAAATATCCTGCCGGCCAAACCCCTGCGATTTTTCAAACATTGCGGCTTTGCAAAATGCTGCAGTATCATCCCCTAAATCGTGGGGTTAATGAGGGATTATTGAAAAATTATAGTCCTAATTATCGTGAGAGCGAATTGCACTTGCTCCCTTTGCTGTGCCCACGAGATCTATTTTCAATTTGCCGGGATTTGCGTCTCTTTGCAGGCCATCATCTACGAGGGTCAGGATAAAAACCCCGAAATGTGCAGAGTCCTGCTCACACACGAAGTCATGTGCAGGTGAGCATTGATTGGCTAGCAAAATCTTGTTGCATTCAGAAACAAAGGTCGTATAAGCATTTTAAGTTAAAATTCTTTCAGACTGTCTTTCTTTCACGTTGAAGTTATCGACACTTATCGATACGAATTACGTGCAATTTCCTTTTAAAAATAGGACTGATATGGACTAAATAGTCCTTTGATTGTCGTTTTTAAACATTTTTTCCTAAACTTGTGTCGAAAATAAGGAAATCGCACGCTATTCGTGTCGATAAGTATCGGCAAGTGTCGATAACTTGAAAGCAAAAAGAACTAAGTGAAATAGAGCGCTAATAATCTAACTAAAAACCTCTAAATTTGTTCGAGGATATGATGAAAATAAAATATTTTATATGTTCCTAACTTCAATAAAACATCGTTAATTGTTAATTAATGTAGGAAAATCCTTATTGTAGTACTTTTGCAACAATATTTTTTTCTCAAGAAGACTAAATAAATCAAGAACTGCATTAAAACCAGCCAACGACACAGATTACAATGGCTGTAAAAATCTGCATTTGCGACCTCTGTTCGGTGAAATTGAGGAAATCAGTGAAATGCGGTTGTTAACTCTCAACTTTTCAGTCGGTGCTGCGACAAGAAGAGCTGCGGCAATCGCAACGAGACGCCATCTGATCCCGTCATAATTGATCGGTGAGTGAATCAGGAAATCCCTCTCGAAAAGTCACTGCATTGAGTCCTTCTGTCGCTCCCGCGGCGGCATTATAAAGTGATCATCCGGCCAATTTGAGACTTTCCCTCCTGCGGCGCGCGAACAAAGGCCGCCAGGAGGAAATATCAAGTGCTGGTGGCCGGTGAATGAGGCAAATTGCACTCGCCCTTGCACAGTGTGTTCCAGGGGTGGAACACGGGTGAGAATTGTACGTGGAAAAGGGGTGGTGGCGCCCCTTTTTCCCTCACCCGAACAGTCAGAATATAATAACTTTGTGCAGACTGCAAGATAATCAATATTGTGGCAGGAGATTTGTATTTGCTCTGGTCCATCCTAGACCGACGCGATGTGACGGGAAAGTTTGGAAAAATTGCCACCAAGGCACCGAGGGTGCAAATGAGTGGCGGATAAGTTTCAGTGAAATTAATCAGTGCACAAGTCTAACGGACGGGAAAGATGCAGGAAAGACGCGCACATTTGAATGGAGGGTTGAGAAGGAATCCAACCAATACATATCCAGCCATTTCCAATTATTTCTTTGCTGAAAATTCATCCCGAAAAAGGGGGTGACTCTGCCGGTAATGCGATCCCACACCCTCACCCCATCATCATCCATTTATTGGACTTGTTCAACACACAAACCACCCTTCGTCTTCATCGCAATGATGCAATTTCTGCGTGTGAGGCACAATTCCCGCGGGATTCCGGCCTCCTCATTGCCATGTCTTCCATGTGCGCCTCCCGAATCCCAGGATTTGTTCTCTCTCTGTGTGTCTTTTTTTCTGCACCCACACAATATTGTTCAACAGCGCCAAATCACACGTGGAATGAAAGAGTGTTGTACATGGATTTTTGCACCATTTACCGTGCCGAAAACATCCTTTCACAGCACTCAGTGGAGTGTGATTGGGAATTTTTGCCACCGATTGCGCAAACATTAATTTCTATAAGTGTCCTCGCAGGCGGTTTTGAGGGTTGTTGAGGCATTCAATACTGTGAGGTTTCGGGACAAATAAAAAGGGTTGAGGAAGAATTGTTTAGCATTGATGGGAGATTCATTGAGTCTGATGTTTTTAGACAAATTTTTCGCTAAACACATTGGCAATCTGTCGGTTTCGTCAGCATTTCTCGTAATTGACACAATTTTAGGGTAAAAATAGTTAAAATCGTCATTTGAAGGACTAATTAGACCTTTTCCGATTTCTTTTAAACACAATTTCCCCCAAAATTGTGTTATAAAAACAAAATAGCACGCAATTAGTATCGATAAATGTCGATAACGTGAATAGAAAGTGGGATAACTCCTTTAAACTACAATCTTTCCATGAATAAATTGCTTTTTTGAAACAGGATTTAAACTGACGGCGACTTTCCTTGCAGGTTCTTCTTGAAGTTCTTTCTCAAGTGCAATCAAAATTGCTTGAAAAACGCGGGAAACCCTCGTGATATGCGTCGTTTTCAGGTGACCATCCATCAAATGGACATCCTTGTCAAATATTAATTATACTCTTTGTGTCTCTCTGCCCTTTTTGCCGCCGGAAAGCAGGTTGTAATCGCCACTCAAGTGTCAGTCGAGGGGCCCCTGCTCGCCATCTCTGACAACATGTTCGTGCACAACAATTCCAAGCACGGGCGTCGCGCGAAGCGTCTGGACGTGTCAGAAGGTAAAAGCGCGCGCGCCTTCTGCCCGGCATTTGATAAAACAATGTAATCCTTCAAGCAGGCATTTATCCGCCCCTTCCCATCGCCACACCCTGCATCAAGGCCGTGTGCCCGAGCGAGGGCTGGACAAGCGGGGGCGCTCAGGTCATCATCATCGGCGACAACTTCTTCGACGGGCTGCAAGTCGTGTTCGGCACGATGGTCATCTGGAGCGAGGTATGAGCCGAGGAGGAGTGATTTATCGGGCACACGACCATGTTGACCAACTCTCCCCCTGTTTCCCTCTCGCCCGCAGCTAATCACTTCCCACGCGATCCGGGTCCAAACGCCCCCGAGGCACATTCCGGGCGTCGTGGAAGTCACGCTGTCCTACAAGAGCAAGCAGTTCTGCAAGGGCTCTCCCGGACGCTTCGTCTACATCTGTACGGTTTTGTATTTGCGCCCTCCTCGCCACTATATTATTAATAATTTAATGTTTGAGCGCCGCTTTTTTCCTCCTCTCTCTCGGCCAAAATGTGCAGAGAAGAGCAAACAATCAAGCTTTGATTAGTGGCTTTCTTATTCAATTCCCTCCCTGAGGTCTGCTTTTCTTTTAATTTAATTTCACTTCCCCACGCACACTTCAACCTCGCATTTCACGTTAACTTTATGCCGTGGTCTTTTCATGAGAATAAAATAATATATATTGTTGTAAAGGTAAATTTACATTCATGCAATATTCTTTTAGCACATCGCCAGTCAAATCTGCTCCGGAAGCAGGAAAGGGAAGCGCTGAAGAGAGTCTTAAGACGCCTTTCCCATTGTTTAGCCAGAAAATTTGAAGCTTCAAGTCTTGAAGAGGTTTTTAACGTGAATTGTGAATAAAATATTCAAGCAAAAGTCTGTAAAGTTCGGTAAAAAATCACTGAAAATACGACAATAGCTAATGCAACCGTTAAAGCATCAAAAAATTATGTTTTTTCGTCTTTTTACCTTGTTTTGCCTATTCAAAAGCAATTCCAGAGCTCTGAACTTTCAACAACGATTAGCCAAGGAGCTCTTCTCATTGAAACTTTGATACAAAATGTCGTTTTCTCGTGGAAATTCATCAGGGACTTGACTTACGATGTAGCATTTAATTTTATCTCACACGAAAATATGTGTGGCACTTCAGTTATTTACCATAAAAAGAAGTCTCTGTGTACCATTAAATTGGGATTTACATATTTTCCCCATTTATTTTAATGGCGAGAGCTGAATTGGGTGCGCGGGGGTGGAATTTGATGGGATGGCAGCGATAGAGCCCCAAGAAAGTCAGTCAATAATTGCTGACATCTTCCCATTTAAGCACTGTGTGAGCCGACGATCGAGAACGGCTTCCAGCGCCTGCAGAAGCTCATTCCGCGCCACCCCGGCGATCCCGAGAAGCTGCCCAAGGAGATCATCCTGAAGCGCGCCGCCGATCTGGCCGAGGCTCTCTACTCGATGCCACGGTAAATATCTCCCGCAAATGCCTGACTTTTGACCAACAATCTGGCTTGCAATCATTGTGAAAGTGTCATTTAATGGCGAAGAATTTCTCTGTGAACCTACCACTCATGCTAGCTCATCCAACAGTTCAAGCAGTTTTCACTCGTACACCGGCCAACTGGCGGTCGCCGTCCAAGACGGAAATTCCCAGTGGACTGAAGGTAAGACAGCTCCCCTGGCCCTCATTTCCGGCCACCCCCGCCCCACGACAGGGTGCAATTTGGGGGCGATCCGATGACTGGCCATGCATTGTGACGAAGAGACTGAGGGACACTCTCGCCCCCGTTATGGTCAATTGACAGCTTTCACGGTAAATAAACTTTTCATTCAATGCAGAAGGGGAACAGCACGGCGACTCTTCTTTGCCAGCGATGAATAATGATCAGCTAATCTAATTGAATTCCATACAGAGTCCGCAAGTCGATTAAGTGCTTGATTTGAAGTAAATCCATGTCGAGCTAATTGTTCTAATGGCATTAACTTTGGGGGGGAAAGAGTGGAATTTGAACTGTGACGTCAAGTTGAAAGATTCATTTGAAGGGAATGAGCGGTATTTTTGGACCAACTCTGCCGATAATCGAATAGGAATCAGTCTCTCAACCTTTTTAGCAGCTGAATTGTGTTCACAGGATAATTCTGCTGACACAAAATAAGCCACAAATCTAGAGTAGAAGTTCAATTGCCACTTTAGCTGTGGTTTTCTCAATCTGTTCGTCTAAAATTGTCACTCCCAGCGGCTATTAAGGGTGAAATAAAACCCTATAACGTTGTTTAGAGAAGCTGAGTAGATTACATTAAAAAATTGAGAAGTAAAAATTAAATATGTGTTTTTGGAACGCGATTTTCAAAGGGGAAATCAAATTTTTTGATTCTGAGTAAAATTATTAATGCCTTTTTCATATTTTATATATTTTTTAAATTGTGAGGTGAAAAATCTTGAAATATTTCAAATTCTTGCAGAAGCTTAGTTTCTTGTCGGCAAAAGCTCTTTTTGGTATTTTTTTTCTTCTTTTTTCGTAAGATTATTCAATATTATGCTTTATTTTAATTAGAGTTAATCCTTGATTTCGTAACTCATACTTTTCAAAATGTGTTTCAAGACATTTTCCCGGTCTTTTGAACAGAATCAGAACATTTTTCCTCTTCTTATTCTTGAACACTGTTGAATGATTCCATCGCGATGCATTGGAAGCCCAAGGGCGGAAAAATCCCTCAGTCTCTCGTCAACCCTCGCTGTTCGCACCCTTTCTAGAGACACCAAAGCGCTCACGAGCCGCTCTGCTTGCAGATGAGTACCAGCGAGGCCAGAGCGTGAGCCCGCGGACGGGCTTCTGCAGCAACTCATCGACGCCCCACTCCACGGGCGGCGGCGGAAGCTCGTACAGCGGAACCGGAAACGGATACGTTCACGCCAGCAACATGAGCAACCTGCCCTCGTCGTCGCCACCGAGCGTTTTCGGCGCCGCGTCCAACGTGTGAGCGAGCCGCGGCGCGCGCCAAACCCACTCGAGAGAGAAGCATTGATAAACCTATTGTGTAATATTGTAATAATTGTTATAGAAAGAGAGAAAAAAAATAATGGTAAACACAGATGATAATTGTAATGATAATCCTATTTCAGTTTTCTGTTAGAGCTCTCTTTTACCATTGTCAAAGAAGTCATTGATTCTAAATGTAAATGTACTTAATTGTCATTCGCAGCATTTTTAATGAGCGCGCACACACACTAAAGTCCCTTTCACTTTGATTTCTGCGCCGCCGAGGCGCCAAGAGTGTGGCAAAATGGGGAGATTATTCAAATTATTAACATATATTGTTATATTGGATTTATAAAACTATTGAATGATAGACGATGTAAAAGTCACTAATAAAACATATCGACATTAACGTATACGCAATGAGGCGGACTAAAGAACAATTGATTGAACTGACGATTTGGGGTGGAATTCAATCAATAGAAAGAAAAATGAAGCTATTTCATAAATATTAAACTAAATTCTCACACACCAAGAAAAGGAATAAAAAAAAAATACAGGATCTTCATAGCGAGACTCCTTTGTCAAATTCTTCACACTGAAAAAAAATGGTAAAAGCAAAGTGTTTTAAAAGTATAAAATCAAATGAGAATCTTTTAATAAAATACAACTAATCATTCAGATAAATTAAATGCCTTTCGTTTTCATCATCGCGCCATTAATGATTCAGCAAATTGTGTCCTGAACTTTCACACTGTTTCGCGGCTTTCGCATCTCCGCGGCTTAATTACAGTCATTTGGAGTGTTGTGGAAAATTTCACGGGTGACAATTTCCACTTCGATTAATTAATCTCGGACACGAGATGTACAAAAGGATGAACGAGGAAATTATGCAAATTTGTCCCAATTAGCGTGAAACATTGCGCAGCCGGAGAAACACGCAAGAAACATCGAGTTCGACCTCTGACTTGGCGTTTAATTTCCACCATTTCCACCACTTGCCATCAATCTTGCGGTCGCCGAGAAGCTGGGAAAAGTGCTGCGGAATTTATGATGAATGGACCCTCGAAATCCATCGGCAAATCTCACTTTTTTACGGCCTTTCCCATCATCCAATTTTCCCCTCATCTTCTTGCCCAATCACGTGAATGTCCTTTTCTTCCGCCTTCCCGGGCGGGAGTTTTCAAACGAACAGGCAAGGAGGCGAAAAAATGAGGCACAAGTGCAGAATGATAATGTCCGAGAGTGTTGTTTCCAAGTTAGAAATAAATCATTATTCTAGACATTTTTCCATCTCTGGGGAATTTAAAGTTTCCCTCTTGGCAATGAGCAAAAAAATATTAATTTGCTCCGCTCGACATTTCCCATTGTTTTCCTCTCTTGTGGGCACAGGAAAAAATGCTGGCAGGAAATCCAACAAATTAAATTATCAGCCAGAGTTTTGCCGTATCGCCAAAAAATCACGCATATTGCGATTCAGACTGAAAAAGAATACGCAAAAATTTGTCGCTGTCAAAGCTTGTGACCCCACTTCTGGCACCAATTGATGCTAAGAAAAAGAATTTTAAAATGCTTCACAAACTTGTAGACCAGCAAATGTCCTTTTCTTTACATCTCTAGTATCTGCCAGAATCAGGAAATGGAGAAAACCGACTTTTCACTGAGCCTTCAGAAGATTTGTTAGGTTTGAGGGTTTGAAGTTACTTTAAAGCGTTAAGTTTTCCTTAAAAAGTCACTGTAGTTGTTAAACAAACTATAAAAGCTGTAAAAGCTTTCTGTAAATAGACTTTTCATACAATAATTTATCTTAAAACAGAAAAATTGAGAGAAATCTTTGACAAAAAGCTCTGAAAAAGTCCGAGCGAAGGATTTATTATAGTGAGAATATTCATACAGGAGTTATTTTGGTTGAACTAAATAGTCTAGCAAAGCTTGTTCTCAATCAACTGTCTTTGACTCTCCATGAAGCAAGATGTTTGAGAAATCGGCATTTGTAGATGATGCTTCGATTCCTTTGATCGCATTTACAGGCAAGCCACCATTCGGAATAGTCTTTGACATCTCCAATGGGCTTCCTAATGCCTTGCTGCTTCCCAAAGCAGAAAGGCCAGCACGTCCTTCGTGAAGTTTCAGCCGACTGAGTATCAGGAGTTTAATAAGATGCAGCGCATCACGGCCACGAAAACTTGTCAGTGGAAGAGCTCCATCTGAAGGACTACAAGTTGCATAGGAAGGGACTCTAAGCTATAGACCATACACAATAAACTTGTTTGAATCCTATTTTATTGTATAAAGAGAGGAGGAAAGCCGGGCGCGGGCTAAGCCGCTTCGCTCTTGGACGTGATGTCGTGCAGGAAGCGTGTGCCTTTCTTGTCCACCACAGCCACGTTGAATGTGGACAGGTTGATGATGAGACGCTTCTGGATCTCGGCCACGCACTTCTTCAGGATCTCGTACGCGTCGTCCTGCGACACGCCGGCGTTGTAGTAGCGATCGAAGATGCTGGCGCAGAACATGCCGCCGTATCCGTGGCCGGCGTAGTTCACGGACTTGGCGTTCGCCAGGTAGTCGATGAAGTGCAGCTCCGCGCCCTCCTTCTCGTCGTAGCCCGCCACCAGGAGGTTCACGAAGTACGGCGAACGCGAGCGCAGACAATCCGCCAGGTTCTTGCGCGTGAAGTGAGCCGCCGCCTTGGGGCCCAACTCGTAGCCGTTGCGCATCTTGTACAGGGCAATGTTCTTCGAGATGTACTCCGTGAACTGCACCGTGTCGCCAGACTCACCCGTCGTGGCGATCAGTAGATTGTCCGAGATTTGGCTGATCTTCCGCTCATCTGCAAAGCCCCAAAAGGTGGCAAAACAATCAATTCACGAGCGACGAAGATGAGTTTGACGGGCACTTTTTACCTTCTTTCAGCATAATTATCGAGTGTGCGTGCGTGCAATCGGCCGCAATCATCACGAAATCCTTCCCCTTCAGTCCAATTATCGTCTCCATTGGGAATTTCTTGAGATTTCACTGAAAAACACACAGGAAAGATCGAAACAAAAATGCAAGTAACGATTGAGGTTACGTTTGACAAACACAGGGTGCGGCTCAAATGCTGCACAGAAATTTACCGACACTGCATTATCGACAACGAATAACGCATAAGAGAATTTATATTGGAATGAAAATTGCTGGAATTGCTTAAAATAGCGTCCAAAATAGGGCACAACTTCAGTTTACCGAACACTCTCAAAACGCACTTTTTTTTGCTTGAAAGCTGATGACGTCACAAACATTTTACCGTTATAAAATCGAGTCGGACTCTAACGGTTCTCCCGCTAAAAATCGGTAAAGTTTGTAACCGAATACAAAAAAATTGTATTTTTGTATGAATGTATTTGTTTGTATGTTTTGTATGAATGCATTTGTAAATATATTCCTAAAAAAATCCAGAGCACAATTGAAAGCGGAAATAAGATTTTATCTTTAAATACTCACAGAATATCTTATTTTCTCCACAATCAATTGTTTCGCGATTCTGGAGAATCTCTTCTAAATTCACTCCGCCAAATGCGCCATGATTCCAGGGATTTTAAGTTAAGAGACGAAATTTCTGAATCAATTCTCAATCACAAGTGTGATGTGTTATCACTGAATATGTTACGATCTTCGCGTAGAACTGAAATAGAAAATATTGCGAACAAAGGTCATTTTCACAGATTGGAAATGAAACAAGCAGCATTTTTTTTATGATACTTATATTTGAATCATCTTCAAATTCCCAAATTATTTTGTTATTCAAAAAGATGTTCTTCCACGACTTCCTTAAATTTCCCATTCACAATTCTTCCTCACTTCCTTTCTATCAAAGCAAGTACCATCTTTGATATTACAATTGTTTTTGCCTGTGTGAGCTAAAGTTACAGAATATATTTTTCACAAATGTTTTCCTCTTTCCTTTTACATGTCTATTTAACCATTTTTTTTTGTGTAATGTGTTGTTCTCTTCCCTTCCTTTTTATACTTGATTTTACAATTGTATAATATGAAATAGTTTACAGTAAAAATACACAACGCCGATCTATATTTTCTGTGTGTTCCTTTAGGTTAATTTCGTGTGAGTGTTTTGGAGGAGTATGAATATTTTCTAGTTTATATACTTTCCAATCAATGTAGATTTAATTATATAAAACGGACATTTAAAAAGCATTTTATGGACCCAATTTTAATGTTTCTCCTAATCTCTTTATACTCTGTAACACGTGTATCTTCCCTTGCTCTCCTTTTCCTCAGCATGTACAAGACATTTATAAGTGTTTGCTGTTTGCTCAATGACGCAGAATTTGTTTCCTCACTTATTTTCTTCCTTTTATAAATATGTTTTTTGTTGTTTTACTTTGCATTTTACCAAATTATATATATATATATATATCTCAATATCTCTATATTACAAACATTTCTAATATTTTCTTTTATTTCATTACAAAAATCTTGAAAAAGAACGTCTCACTTCTCATCTACGTGATTATTTTTTTCTTCTTCTTCGTCTCCTTGGAAATCCTATTCAACTAGTTTGCAGATTGACATTAAATATGAACTCGCTTTATGCTTCCAATTTTCATTTTAGTGAAAACAGAGGAAATACACTGCATTTTGACACCCAAATTTATTGTTGTTTGTTTTTGCAAAGTGAAAAGTATCAATTTATTTATCACAAACTCTATATATTTTGTCAGTGTTTTGTGTGTGTGTGTGTGCTGAAAAAAAATCCAACGACTGGAGAGAAAGTAAGATATGAAATCAGTAATCGAATATCTAGATATGTTAGATGCTAGTTTACAATTAAAAAAAATAATAATAATAATCTTGAATATCTTGCGAGAAATTGAGAGAAAAAAAACTGTCTATCGTCTCGTTTTCACTGTTAGTGTAAATTAGTTTTCATTTCTTTTTTTGTTCAAATATATATTATTTTAATAAAATATTATATAAAACAGCCATTATGTTTGTATTTATTATTTTTAATTACAATCTTTTATATTCATTTCACCATTATACACAATTTGTAATATAATAATTTCATATTTTTCCACCATTATTTTGAATTATTTAAATTTCATGTCTCTAAACACACCAGAATAAGGTACAAATATTATTATTTATTATTATATTCTTTTTTTTTCCATTCTTTCCATTCCGAAAAAAATTCCCCTCTTCAGTATTATTCAATGCTCTGTTTTCCCTCTAACTCACTGTGAAGTCTGTGTTAAACCCTAAACCACTCTTGCTAAACCTCCTCTTGTCTCACCGTGTAAACTAATGGATTAATAATTAAGATAATTATGTATTTTGTCATCATTTAAATCAACTCTACGGAAATTATCTAAGAAAAAAAAAACAAAAAAAATTACGTATTAGTTGCTGTCTCGGATAATCTTGTGAGTGAAAAAAGGGGTTAAAGTAAATCCGTAAGAGTATAAAAGAAAAAAAAATCTGATAAGGGAATAAAGCAAGTAAACACTAAGATTGTAAAGAAAATAAAAATACTTAGAGGAAAGTCCTATAAAATGCTTCATACATTATCAAACTACCCCTGACCAAAATCGTATTCTGTACTTTGTTCAAAAATTTTACGTTTTATTCGTTCCTCGTCCAGATTAATCTCAAACTAGCCTTCCTAGAAAATGTTCTATCACTCTTTTTCCTCTTAGCAAATCGATAAATTATCGCCTACACGCCTTCGATCTACTTTCACTTAAGCTTAAAACTTCTCTCAAGAGTCATTCTTTTTTCTACAACAACTATTAATCACAATGTTAGGGTAGGTAATACATATTCAAAATTTGATTCTCCTTCTGCGCCACCAGTGAAATTGTTCGCCCCGACAAAACACGCGCCAGAAGATTCGGTAGTAAAATTCTATCAGGCTTTCAGTGCTATTCCCGAATCCCAGGCTCTTCTAGGCTCAAGTGAGCAATCTAGATTGGCTGTCTTGAGACGCTAAAGCGCTTAAGACTTTGAAAATCTCTGATTTTCAGGTCGATAAAAACAGAATTAACAGCATTTTTGATGGAATATCGTTGATTTTAGTCTGGCAAATAAAATAATGTTGAATTGCAGTGTTGAATTATCTCTGAAAGAACTAAAATTGTCTGCAGAAATTTTACTCTCTCAATCAAGATGTTGAAATATGAGGAAAACTGACGAATTCACCATGAATATTGTAGCAATCAAAAGTCAGCCAATTCAGCCTGTTCTCTTTTGCCATCACCTGAGCCTTTCTTAGATTTATTATGTGTTACTTTTGGTTACATTCAATATATTTTCACCCTTCTACGTTTTTGAAAATATACAGTAAAATGTCACGTTCACAAGCTTTGTGTCTTCAAACCACTAAAATACACGCGAACGCGTCTGAATGTGTTGGAAAAATCAATGCAAAATGTGGTCTTTGAGGGAATATTTTCTGCCAATTGATTGAAAGTCACTATAAATGTGTCACTAGACCTAAGGATATTAGTGTTGGTTAACACATTTCATCAGCAGATCTTCATCTTCTCGCACAATGATTCCTCTCTTTCATTCGACTTGCCTAATGTTATGCCAAACGAGAGGAATACAATTCGATTCTCTCGTCAATAACAGCGGTTTTCTTTGAAAAATTAGTCACACATCTTCTAAGAAAGAATTCATTGTTGCTCTTCTTCTCATTCTATTGAACAACAAAGCACAGCATTTTCTTGCACTGCACTTTGTCCACTTGTTAATTACAAACTGTGATTTCCTCCCTTTTTTTCTCTACACAACACACTCACCAAATATTCTTTATATGAAGTTATATATATAAATATAAAAGTATGCAAAAATATCTTATACATATATTTGTAGTCTGTTTCCTTTTGTAATCATATATGTCTATATATATCCATTATACATCCACAATATGGTAATAATAGTTTTTGTAGTACATTTTGTAGCATTAAATCAACTCCATTTTTTACACATTTCAAGCATGCAATTCTCAATAGAAAAAGAAAACACCATAAATGTTTTGTTTTTAAAGGAAATTCTAATGTCTAAGCGAAGAACAGAGTGAAATATGTCGAAAACTCTTGTGACAGAAAGTGACAAAGTGTAAAAAAACGACTTTCTGTGCGAGTTGATTCATCTTAGCTCACTTTCAATGAAAAATTCATAAATTACACACACATATTAATGGTCATCATCCTATAATGTGCTCGCTATTTATCCATAACACATGTTATAAAGTAGATTAGTAGTTATTTTGTCAACTTTTCTATCCATTATGTTGTTCTTTAAACTTGTTACTTCATCGATCCCTAATAATAACTATGAAATTGTGGCAGTTTTATGTTTTGTTTGTTATTTACAATATTCTTCTCTCACATCTTCAATCTTCTTGGTGTTATGAAAGGTTGTTTTTTTTATCAATGATTTATTGTAATGTGTTTTAATATGCTGTCAAAGGTATTTCTAAATATCATTCTTAATTATATTCTCTATCTTTTCTACTAAAATCAAAATAAAGAACGATAGAAATTCGGAAAAAGTGATTTATGTATAATTGTGTGGAAAAATGTCACAAATCATTTAAAAAAAAATAGTGAAGCGTCAAGTGAATAAAATCGTGAAAAACTATCACTATAATCATATCTAGAGCAAAACAAATAATTGAAAATAAACCATCGTTACACTAAATATGAATGACTTCATCGCAAAAATTAAAAACACCCACATAGATTAATATATTTTCCTCTTTTTCTTTCACTATTAACACAATTACTTCACTGTATTTTTTAGTTATACTTTTATTATCAATTACTAGTAAATTGTAAGAACGCTCATTACATATCATTTATCATTGTCCCTTCTCTTCTTTTGTCTATTCAATTAATAAGGCATTTATTTCTTTTTATATACTTTGTTCGTGTAATAAAAATATCCTCTATATTACGCTCAATCAATGTTAAGAATAGAAAATACACAATTACTATATATAAATAATTTCATTTAAATATTTGGAAAAGAGTTATTTGATTAAGATAATGACGTGTTTTTTGTTTTTCTCCTTACAAATTAAATTCTCCATCCAGAATGTCAATTATAATATGATATATAAATCAATACCAAGCGATAAATAATAATAGTAAAAATTTGTATGTGCAGAATGTTAAAATAACAAACTAATAATTATACTTTTAAGGAAAACATACAAAATGATAAACAAGCTAATCAATCCTGCAATATTACAATTATTATTTGAGAAGTATACAAATCGCTTTTGATTTTCATTCAATTTCCCCCTTCCTTTCCTCATCTATCTAAGTCTTCCTTTATGTACACAAAAATCGCTACACTTAAGTTTCATCTCTAGACTATTTACAGCATTCATATTAGATTTGTCTGTCCTCCTTAATATTTGATTGATTTTCTTTTAATATGTTTACACCTTTAGGCCTGTATATTTATAATGTATTATTGGCAATAATTATGTGCCTCACAATTATATCAAGCATTTTTTCTTCATTTCTTGTCAAACAAATGGATAATTTTGGTTAAAATCTCTCTTTTTTTTGTTTAAATTTCAAGTCTAATTTTCACTTTGTCCAATTTTTCATGCAGTAATTTCTAGCGAAAAATCCACAATCACATTTTTTTTAATATAATATTTTCTCATCTACAAAGTACTTTTCTTCTCTTTTATCTAGAATTGGTTCCTGTAGTGTGACAGTTTACAAATTGCACGTTAATTCTACTTAAAAGACTGTGAGTAAATTTTGGTGAACCAATTTCTTCATCATCTTCTTCTCAAAATAACAATTTTTCATTCTTAAAAAAAAAAGTCACACACTTTATCGTGTCCCATTATTTATGTTACTTTACACAACACATGTAAATTCTACTAGAATTCTAGGAAGAAACTTTAGCTCTCATATAATTAAAATACACCAAAAATATGCCATTTTCGTTAATTCAATCAGTAAAATAAACATTGAAATACTCTGCACTCCAGAAATTACATCCTTTATATCAATGTAAGAAAAGTAAAAACCATATAAACAATCGTCGAAGTGCAAGATCGTTATTTCTCAGGAAAAAAAATTGACAATTAAATAATAAACATTCCTCCTAATTCAATAATTAAAGTATTTTCAGTGATTTTTATACAAAAATTAATAATCATAGTTGACGTCTTTCCACCTATTCTCTCTTCTCCTTTCTCAGCAATGACAGAAGATCGCTTGTGCGAACACAAGAACGACTGTTTCCTATTCGCCGCCGAACCACAGATTGGCCGGCTGATAGTGGCCGTGCTTGTTGGACACCTGCGCCGGACTGAGCGGCCCAAATTGACTGTATTGCGTGGGGAATTGAATGTGAGCTGGCAAAGGATGCGAAGGCAGAACCTGCAATCGAAAGCGACATCGAATTACAGCCCATTCCAAGTCATTTCCCACGTTCGAATGTTGCGTTGTGATCAAAAAGCAGTTGATAAACAACCCTTTGACGTCTTTATCGAGAAGATTACTAATGAGAATTTCAAGTTCTTCACACCAATCAGTTTGATAAGGTTTGTAAACAGAACACAAACTGCGAATTCCTCACTAGAAACTTCTTCTTGAGCACCTTTCAAATTCATGCATTTTATGCTTTCATCGAATCTTCTGTAAAACGACGAAAATTCATTAACGAATAAAACGGTTTTGCGGCTAATTTTGTAAAGAGCGCTCTGATTATCTTCACAGAGGTTGTAAAACAACAAAATTCTCTGGAAAAGAACTTTCTCTCTGTATTTGGGGTTTTTCACCCGAAACGTATAAACGTTGTAAACGTATAAAACCAACATGAAATCAATGCTCATTAAGACTCATAAGACTGTCTCAATGAATGGCGAACATTAAGACAGCAATTCGCTTGAGAGTCGACTGCAAAATTAAGCTCAAATTGGTCTCAGTTCGTGCCCAAAGTGTATTGGAAAGACTAGACTAAGAAAGCACTTTAACAGTCTGAAAATTTCCTGTAAACAAATCAATGATTAGCCAAGTTTTCTAAACAAAATCTCTTTCAATTTACTGAATTGATCACCGCGCTATAATCGAAATTATTAACGATTTTGGCATAAGCAGAGATCAGCCATAACAAATCTTAATGCGTTATCCAATTTGCCTTTAATTTGGGCTGAAGTAATCGAAACAAGTTGCGTCTAATTTTCTTTTTAGACACAATTTTAGGGAAAAATTGTTAAAATCGAGTCTCAGGACTGATGCAATTAAGATAAGAAAAACTTGAAAATCGTGAGAAGGAAAATCGCCCAAATTTGACTGGATTTTTCAGCGTTCAGAGAGCAGAGAGAAGCTTGCAATGAAGCGTCAATGACTGACCTGTCGGCTGGATCCGTTGTGCGCCGGCGGGGGCACGACGCGGTTGTAGGTCTGATAGGGCGCCTGCGAGACGAACACCGTGGGCCGCCTGTAGATGTCGCCCTGCGCGTAGATGTCCTGCTGCAGCAGTCCGCCGGGCGAGCTGCCCAGCGGCGTGTTGGACGACTGGTGCTGCTGCCGGTAGACGGGCGCCGCCCACGAGGCGGCCACCGCAGCCGCGGCGGCGGAGGAGTTCTTCGTGTGCGCCATGGGCGGCGGATGCTGCGAGGCCATGAATGGCGCCGCGTCCCTCTTGTGGTGATTGTGGTGCGCCGGCGGTGCCCACGAGGCGCGCTTGTCCACCTGCGTGTAGTCGTAGGTGAACTCCGCCGGCTCCTGCTTCGGCACGTGCAGCTGGTTGGCCGCCGACGAGGCGGAGGACGAGAGGAAACACTCATTCTGCGCCATCGCCAGCAGCCTCTTCTTCTGCGACTGCACGGCGTGCGGCTCGTACTTGATGGACTGCGACACCTTGTTGCTGTGCCGCTGCTCGCCGCCGTGCGGATTCGCCACCTGTTGTTGCTGCTGTCCAGACTGCGCGTGCCCGTGCTGGTGACTCACCGCCGCCGGCGGTGGCGCCTTGTTGGTCTGCTGGGCCGGCGCCTGCTGGATCACCTTCGGACTCCGCACGCGCTCCTCGTTGTCACTGTCGCCCACCGTCACGCACGAGATCACATTCTTGCGACTCCTGTTGGACGACGACATGGACGACGAGGAGGAAGAGTTCGTCATCGTGCCCACATTCTGGTTCGTCGTCACGTTGTTGGAGTGATTGGAGCGACACGACGACGAGGACGAGTTGTGGCTGCGGTTGGTGTTCTTGCACGGCGCGCGCTGCACCTCCGGACTCTCGTCCTCGCTGTCCGAGATTGTGATCACGGCTGTGGGCGACGGCGTGTCGTGAATCGTGATGGTCTGCTGCTTCGCCACGGCGTTGTTCACCACGGCGTACGCCGCGTTGCCGGACTGCGCCTGGCCGCCGCCACCATGGCCATGATGGTGGCCGTGGTGGTTGTTGCTGTAGTGATGATGTCCGCCGCTGTTCGCCGCCTCCTGATGGTGCGCCCCGGACGACGCCGACGCCATGACTTGCTGCTGCTGCAGCGGCACGAGCTGCTGCTGCATGCCGCCGCTATTGCTGCCGGAGCTGTAGAAGTGGTGCGAATTGTGGTGATATTGCGGCGAGATGTGCGTGCGGTTGTAGCGCTGCTGGTGTGGCGGCGTGCTCTCCTTCACGCGCTTCTTCACCGGCGACAGCTGGTTCGTCTCCTTCTTGTCGTGCCGCGGCACGACCAGATGGTGCACCGGCGACTCCTTCTTCGGCTCGTGCCGCTGCAGGTTGAGATGGTGCTTCGGGTAGATCTCCTCGACGTTGAGGAAGGGCGTCGAGTCGACGATCAGCGAGTGCGGCGCGCCTTGCTGCGGCCACGACGGCACCAGCGCCACTTGTCGCCCGCTCTGCGGCCACGCGACGCTGTTCGTCTGCACGGCGTTCGTCAGCAGCATGCGCTGGCCGGAAGACGGCTCCACCATCGACACCGGCACCGGCACATTCACGTACTGCTGCGATGTTATCTGCAGCGGAGGCTGCATCGCAGCGCCGCCGACAACGACGTGCTTCGTTGGACTGGGCATGGCCTGATAGCCCGGCGGACAGAGAATGCTCGAGACCAGCTGATGCTGGAACGCATCAGTTCGCCCGCTGGAGTACTGACGACCGACAGTGCGACCTGCAATGCAACACAGACCATCAATCTCCCGCTATCTCCCGACTCCCCAGCCCAATTGCGACACTCACCGCCGTAAATCTGATAGAGATTGTCATACGTGGTGGGACGTTCACGCACCAGACGCTGCACCTGACTCGTTAATTGATTGTTTATCGTGAATGTCATATTTTCGGTGGTGTTGGGCACAAAATTCGTCACCAGAGTCTGTGCTGGTTGAACTCTGAAAAGACAAACAACCCAAAAAGACAATCAGTCAAGGCGATAAGATTGTATCAAACGCACACATAAGAAACTGTTCTTGTTCAAAAGTGATATTTTTGGCATATCAAATAGGGAAAATCAGTTAAATCTGTGTAATTTCAGTTCAGTTTCTGGCTTTTTCCATGAAATCTTTGTCATTAAATCCACAATTCACAGTTCAATGAAAATAAATATTTATTTTAAGTCTTTATTTGGCGTCTTTTTAACATCTTTAGCGCCTTAACAAAGATCCTGTTTTCACATTGTTAGCAAAATTCTCAACGTAAATCGCAAGAGTGATTAAAAACATTAATTGGGCTACAAAAATGGCCAAAAATAGGAGTAAGAAATGATAGATTATTTTCATTTTAGACGTGAATAAGAACAAGTGAGCAAATAATCTTCTTACAAAGTGTAAATTTGGGACATTCTTCTTTTACTTTCCACCATTTAACTGTCCATATCTTCTAATGTTCTTGTCCGATTGTTAAAAGTGGTACGAATTTGGAAAGGTGACTTCATCGCCTTAAACGCTCTAGAACATCGTGAGACCGGAAAATGACCACCAGATGACGCAAATGGACACTTTGGTCAAACCAGTATTTTATGTACTTTTACTCAATAAAAAATATTCATAGTAACGCCAATTTTTAGGGGGATTTTAAGAGTAAAGACGTTTTTGAATGAGGAAATGTTAATCTACAATTTTCTAGAATATGTTTCAACAATAGTGCGGCAAAAATTCATGGATTCTACCACATTTTAACATACAAAATACATGTTTTTACTTGTGTTTGAAAGAAAAAACTTACGTATGGAAATCACTTCGACGACACACTTCCATCATCTGAACCGATGCCTTCACATTGTTGCAATGAGCATAATCCACAAGATGTGTCAGAGTCGTGAAAGCGTGATTTAGTGCTTCGGCTGGTGTAATTCGTCGTTCTTGATCGATTGTCAGCATTCTCTTCAGCAGGTCTATAAACTCACGCCTATCCGTCTTCTCCGCCAGCAGCTGCCCGCCCTCGAGGTCCGTGGGCACGTTCACTTGTCCAATGTCGTCCAGGCAGTTGAAGATGTACTTCCGCGCCTCCTTGCTGCGCGTGTTCGTCTCCGCCTCGTGCTCCTCCGGCGTCTTCAGCCGCCAGAAGGGATATGTCGAGTCCACGTCGCGGTAGAAGAACTTGGCCGTCTTGCTGGCGCTGTTGAGCATGTGTTCCGTCGGCAGACCCTGCGTCTGTGATATGTACCTGCAATCCACAGCCATTAAGCGCGCCGTTCGCCCAATTTCCGCACACACACACACGAGTCTCACCTAATTTGATCATATTCCGATGAACCTGGATACAGAGGCCAGCCGAGAAACAGTTCCGCCACGACACAGCCAAGCGACCACATGTCAATCGCCTCGCAGAATGGCAATCCGAGAATAATTTCCGGCGCCCGGTAGTAGCGTGATTGCAAGTACGTGTTGCACACAGTCTTGCTCACGTGAGATGCGCTACCGAAATCGATTACTTTCACCCTGAAACAGACACACATTGCGATTCAGATTAGTCCAATACAGCAAGTGCAAATTCATCAATACATTCGGACTAGTTTACTAAGAAAAATGTGACGAAGAACACAATTTTCATTGCTTCAAATCAAATTAAACCTCATTTCAGGAATTATTAGCTTCAATAACACTTTCTGAGTAACCCTTTGTCTTCTGGAAAGGCGCTCTAAAGACTGTTTATGCATTCCTTAATACAGAAGATTTCCTATTAAGTGTTTCTCAAGAAATAATAATAAATTCTATGACATAATTTCTGCTAAATAGAGAAAATGACGTGATATTTTCAAAGTTTTCCAGCAACTTTAGCTGCAGAATCTCACTTTTATTATTACAAGAACAGGAATAAAGCATTTCTCAGTGAGAAAATACCCCATAAAATCAATAAATAGTCTGAGAATCATCACAAAAATCTCAAAGTCTTGGACACTGCTTCAATATTATGGCATAATTTTAGGTTTCTCTCAAAATTACTTGATTTTAGTCTCTTTTCTCACAGTATTTTTTCCCCCTTTAACGTCGATTGTGTCATATTTGACCTAAAAAATCAACGTCTTCTATTTAAATACACACAAAACATTGAGAAAAAACACTTTTCCTCTTCATTCTCTCACTCAAAAGCATGTAATTGTGAAAAGAATACACAAAACTTGAATCTAATCCATGCCATAAAGATGGAATTTTGGAGAATCTTATCAAAATTTACTCGGTTTCTCAATTTCTCGGCATTGATTTTTATGAGTGGATCACAAAGGAAGAATTCTGACGTGAAATCCAAGCTTGATATAGAGTGACTACAAATAGTAATGAGTAGTAAAGATTCATGTACAACGCGTACAAATTGCCACGAGCGTTGTTTCGTGAGTAAGTTGAGTTATGTATTATGAATGATATTCGTCCTCATGTGAAAGTGGCACAGGAGAGAAAAAAAAAACGCACAAACACACGCGCGTTCCTCCATTCTTTTACTGTTGCCACGTGAATCCTTGCAGCGCTCATATACAGTATTGTGTGTGTTATTTTTATATAGACCCCAAACAATAAAACCCCTTTCGGATGTGGACGTAAATTATAAAAAGAAATCAATATATATATTGTGATGGGAATAAAGGAAATCATTTTACCTGTAGGGCTGACGCACGGGGTCCACCAACATTATGTTCTCAGGCTTCAAGTCAGCATGAATCAGACCCAGTTGCTTCAATTTCAACAGAGCAGTCAAAACCTAAGGCCGAAAACAGACTAAATTTAGTTTGGCTGTTGAATATAAAATCAACTTCTAAGAGAGAGAGAAAAAAAAACAACAAATGGAATTATTGGGGGGAAAACTTTCGAGGCACAGAGAGAAAAATTTGTATATAAGTAGCATAACTTTTTCTCTTTCTCTCACACACCTAAGTTCAAAATAGCATGGAATATTTTTGGCTTTTACGCCGCAAAATTCGGCCACAAGAATTACTTCATCTTTTTCCTATAGCGAAAAGTGTGTGTGCAAATGAATTCTCTGACAAACATATTTGTGTTATAGAAAAATCTGCCATTATATAACAATCTCTCTTCCACTTATTTGATAAAGGAATTCCTCTTTCTGATCAATTCTTCTGAGACAAAATCGCCTTTCTCTCGCGCAAAAATGGAATTGACGAGAGAGCCGAGACAGAAGAGAGAGAAAAGCACTGAACAACACGGACAAATACACACACTCTTCTTGAATTACAGGCAAAACCGATTTCAGTGACTCACAACTGTATGAAAAGGTTTTCTCTTTAAATTATTATGCTTTTTTCCTCTCTCTCTCTCTCTCGTCATACACTTTACCTGCTGCAGAATCGGCCTAATGTACTTCAGCGGCAGCGGTGAGAATTTGTTATGCTTCAGGAAATCATACAAATTCTGCTCCAGCATTTCGAACACCAAGCAAGTGTGATTCTTGTGCTGGAAGCACTCGAAAGCCCGCACGAAGTTGAACTCATCGGCGTTCTCTTGGCTCAGGCGCGACAAGATGGACACCTCAATTTGCCCCTGTCTGGCGTACGAAGGGTGATTCTTCAGGATCTTGATGGCCACGATCTCGCTCGTGCCCTTCTTCCAGCACTTCACCACTTGGCCGAAAGTGCCGCGGCCCAGGAACTCCAGCACCTGAAACGCACACGCATCAATTAGGCTCACAACACAGGAAATGCGTTTCCTAAATAGTCTCGAAATCACTGTGAAACCCGCTGATTTTGAGTCTTTTTCGTCATATTTTAGTTTCCTTTTAAGTTTTTGAGTCTCCAAAATTTATGTGTTTTGTATTTCTCGCCTTCTTTGCCATTATTTCAAGTCTTTTTAGGCATTTCGAATTAATTTTACATCTAATTTACTTCTCAAATTCAACATTTTTCGTAATTCTAGGAAAACATTGAAATAATGCTTCAAACAGAGCAATTTCTTTATAGAATTCAATCAAATTTCTTTGTCAAATTTAATAACTATTTCAAAATTATTTACTAAAAACAAGGCATTTTCTCATTATTTCAAAATTTTGTCGCATACAAAAATTATGAATTTTAGCAATCTTATTTCAAAATACAAAAAATAATTGTTTTACCACTAAATTAACCTTAATTAAGCCTTAAATTCAGTGTTAACCAAAGAATTTAGACTGAAATCAAGGAATGAAAATTTTTTAACACTTCTTAACCATAAAAAATGTTAATTTTAAGCAAGAAAACAAGTTAAATTATTCCCTCAAATTACATTTCAATGTACTTTCTTTGAATTCTTCTTAAAAAGACTTGATTTAGTCTTACTTTCAGCAAAAAAATCTCCAGATTTGTTTCAATATTAGATTTTAGTCTTTTCCTGCTTAATATTGAGACTTTAAATGCCATCAACTGGTCTTTAAATCAACTTGTATGACGAAATCGACTCAATTTTCACATAGATTTCAGTGCAAAGTCGCCAAATGGAAGGAAATTCACCTCATATTGTGCTGACAGTGAGTAAAGAACCTCGTGCTGGACCAATTGATAGTCTCCGTCCGCTCCGCTGCTGGACCGTTTGTTGGGGGCCTGCGTCGCCGCGTGGCCCCCGGAATTCGCGACCTTTGTATGCGCCGTCTTCGAGCCGTTGGACGGGGCGGCGCTCACCGGCCCCGATGTGCTGCTCACAACTGTTGAATCAACGCATCCACAATCGCACTCGGCTGCAAAGCAGACGAAAGGACCTTAGAAACACATTCCTCGCCTTCCTCCACCCCCAAGAATTCCACGCCCAAAGCGATACATCAAAATGCGGGGACAGAAGCCGTCAGAGTTTTCATCACTTTTCGCGTTTCGACGCAAAAAAGTGTAAACAATACTCATGGGGAATACATGAAATAGACTTTTCAAAAGTACACACCATTCATTTCACAAAAAAAACCTCAGATTGCAACGCGAAGCCATATTAGCGATTGTACACATATAAAGAGAGCATTTTCTAAACTTTCTAAAAACACCAACTCACACATTTGTGTTGAGCGCGTTGGGGAAAAATAGCAAATAACACAACAATGTTTGTGTGGGGCTCAAATTGAGAGGCAAAAGCATCGCGCGCGGTCGATAAATATTCAGAAAAATAGCCCCATTTCATGTGTTGGTAACATTTCAACCAACATCACTGTATTGGAAAAGCCTTTACTCACGGGAATTTTTCATTTAGACTCTTTCGCTCTTTTTGCCAGTCGAAACAACTGATAAAATTGTATACAATCAGTGGAAAAAATTGGCCCAATCTACTTGCCTTCGCCAGTGAAGGTATTTTTGCGATTTCTTGCCGAACAATCGCACTTGAATTTAACGGAATTCATGGATTTCCCGGTGATTTTCAAACCTATTTTTCACCACAATAAGAATCTCACAAAAAATCTCTTGATTTTATAGGTCAAAAATGGCAACAATAAGCAATTAATGCAACATTTCGCGGTCTTTTATGTAACAATGAAGAAGTGTCCAAAATTGGACTGAAGAAGTCTTTAACATTTTCTTATTCAACAGAAAAAATCAACATTTTAAAAATACTCAGACACAAAAATGAGAAAACGATTTGTTTGGAATTATCAAACAACGGCTTTTTGTCTGCCAAAATAATTAAATTTTACTATTCAAAGAGGATTCTTTCAAAAGTGTCCGATTTTCATGTGAAATTTACATTTACGAATGCGACAGAAATTAGATTTTATTGGTTTCTGATGATATTTTCGTCGTAAAATGAAATATTCAGAGACGTCAATTAGTTATTTTCAAATTTTTCCCACACTTTCTGTATTTCAACATGAATAAAAGTTTTCGGTTAATAAAACCCCATGAAATTAATAGTTAATTTGAAGTTTATCACATTGTCTGGCGTTTTGCAATTGAAAATCAAGTAAATTGTGCAAATTTGAGACTATTTTTGAGCCCATCGCAAAGAGAGAGACTCAAATCTGACCTGCACAAGGGTGATTTCAGCCCTTAAAAACCCGTAAAACTGTTCAGAGACACATTTTCTTCCCACTGTGTGAATAACTCTGGCTCTCCCAGCGTCGAATTTTATCTCAAGCGATCGGAGCGAAGGTTTAGGACTGATACAGAAGTCTGCAGAGGGAACCCTCTGCGCTTGTCTACGTGACCTAATGGGGTTTTCCGCCTCTCTTCGCGCGAATCCGCATGAGTCACGCCAAGAATGCCTGCGGCGGGGCGCGTGGGCGGCGCGGGCTCACCTGTCTCGCGCTTCCTCTTGGCCGCCTTGCTCTGCTGCTGATACTTGCTGGCCGTGCTCTTGATCACGTGGTACTCTCCCGCGGCGTCGTGCGCGGCGGCGCTGGCTGAGCTGGTGAGGGCGGCCGAGGGCACTATTTCATACTTGGCCGCGCCATCCAGGCCGTACGAGCTGGTGGACGCCGACGAGGGATAGAGGCTGGCGATGGCTCCGCTGGTGGAGATTATGGAGCAGTCGTTGTCATACTGCTGGTACGTGGCGTGGAGCTGAAGGCCAGATGACGATGATGGGTAGTCGCCGCCCCCGCTGCTGCCGTACTGCTGACCCTTGTCGCGAACGCTCGCCTGAAGTGCTGCTGTTCCACCCTGAATCAGAGGGCGACCGGAGAAGTCGTAGTTGGCAGGGAAATGCGACGTTTTCATTTGTGTTGGCGCGTTGACGAGTTGAGATCCTCGGTTTTCCGCCTAAGAGTCCTCAAGAGAATTCTCATAGCACACTTTCTTGCCCTGCCGCACACAAAACCCCGCGCGCACTTTCACGTCGAACATCAATGAAGGGGGGAAACGAAGTCTGTCTTCTCGTGTGTGGGAGAGTTTGGAGGAGAAACTGAAAAAGGCTCGTCCTGCACTTCTCTACCAGGGAAGCACTGGAGACGGAAAATGCACTAAACACTTCACTGCAGATAGTTTTCTGGGCTTTTCTGTCCCATTGCAGCACACGAGAGCCTCTCGCCACATTTTCACTCAGCGCTTTATCCAATTTCTCTGCCAACCTCAGCGAAATATGGTCAGATTTCTTGGGTGTAACTTTTTTTTTAAGTTGGAAAAAAATTAACACACAAATTAGATTAGATGCTTCTTCTCTCGTCTCGAAAAGAAGCAATTCATTCTCTACGTCTGTTTTCACGGAGCGAATAAATAAAGCTTATGTGCAAGCATTATGTAGAAAACACACTATGTAAAATGAGGGCAGAAATATAAACTATTTTTAAATATTGAAATTCACTATAGGTACGTATAAACTCCTATTGTGCCTCCTTTATGCGCTCTCTCTCTGTTCGTCTAGCCAGCAGAAGTTACTGTGAAAATTACTGAAACGTCACATCTCTTCCATTTCCACTCATTCTACATTTCTCCTTGTCCTTTTTTTCTCAATGGTACTTTTTTCGACGTATGTTGTAACGCAGCGAAAATGTTGTTGCGTGGTGGAAATTTTGGGAAATACCTCAACTCCACGCTAATTCTACACCACCACAGTATCACTATCCACTCACTAAATGCTTATTGTACACCATTATTCACTTTTTTACCAACTACGGACGCCTTTGCTAGCGATTGTGGACTATTTTATCGAGAATTTCAACCTTCCACGCAACTCTCGCCATTTTCTTTGTGTTTCTGCCACGTTCGCCATTCTTCGTCGTCGTCTCGGCTGTTCGGCTTCGGTGAATTGGCTGTGATTCGACCACTTTTCCGCCAGATGGCCACCGTCCACCCGGCATGGCGAACCCCATTAGAAATCGCAATATTATCCGATTCTCTGAAATTATTTCCTCTCATTTTCACGCGTATTTTCGCGTAAATCATCATTTATTCGCCACTTCTTGAGAATACAGACATCATGCGAATTTTTTCAAACATGAAATAGCTGTTCATTAATATTGTTCTTAACTATTCTGTATTCTGTTCAATCGATTCTGTTTTCACTCCGAAGAATAGAAGAAATCGTCGCCGCGCGAATAAGTTACGATTTGAGGACTGAATTCAAGCTCTATAGAGGAGCGGAAGGAGCTTTAATAACATATTTATACATTTAAGGGTAGAGAATAATAGACAGAGACTAGTTGAGATGTATATTTATTAACATAAGAAAACTGTATTTATCCGTGAGGACACACAGCAGTCACAACAATCCTAGGAAACTGATGATGTCGGCAGGAAGTTGGCCAACTTTTTGCAAATCTCAGGAATCCCTCATAGAAGACGTCGGTCATTCAATAGAGTATACATTATCCATCAGAGAGGTAATCACAGTACAACAATTTAGAGATGAATTCATGAGGTGAAAATGCAGTGTCATAATCAAAACATCGTCAGTCAGAGTCTCAACAGACGTGCTTTATAAGAATAACCCTCTTTGTCGTTGGCAAGAAAATGTATCTTTACGCTCTTGTTGTTTTCGGTCAAACACCGATTCCTTGCTTTCAGATAATGATTTCTTCTCCTGCACATCCTCCTTTTATTTGATTATTAAAATTTTAACAATAACTTCTTGCTGTATTTTATTAATATCGTCTGAATTCATGGTAATGGAAAAATTAAATAATTTGTAACTCAATATGGTAAAAACAGTTCATTAACATTCTATTTTCCATTTGGTTGCTCCTGTTGCATTTTTTTTGTGGACAAGCACTGTATTCCTTTCTGGGGTACAATCCTTCCCCATTTCAAATCTATTCGCTCCCAAAAACTCCGAAACTGCAGCTGAGCTACAATTTCTCCAGGGAACATATAAATATCCGGGATAGTATGAGTTTTTTAGTCTAAAACTTGCACCATTATCTGTAGGCTGAAGTTCCCATTCTAAATTATAACCTACATTCCCTGGTATCCACGTGAATGCTCTATGATTTCTCGAGTTAAAATTATATAATTCGTGCCCAGTATATAAGTAATCATTATAAAAAGTACTTTTTATATTAAACAACCTCGCATGTTTTATAGGCTCAAAATCCCAAGTCCCAAATCTAACTGGATTGCCAGTTGTCCAGGTGAATATTCGACGTCTGCGGGGATCCCATAGGAAATATTTGCCTTCAGCATACAGATACTGATCCCAGTCCTTATTTTTTATCCAACACATTTTTCCACCCCAGATTAGATTTCGCACAGTAAAAGGTAGATCATTCTTGAGAGTCGTGAGTATATTTCTATACTTTTCATTAACATTATTATAATTAGACATTTCCATACATGTTTTGACTTTATAAGCGAGCATCAGCAACTGATAGCTGTCTAAGTGATCATTTCTTTTCATCTGCTCAAACAGAGATGAAAAAGAAATAATATTTAGCGTTATAGAAGGTAGACTTCGAGTAAAATCTAAAATACGTTCCACGTTGTCTAAAAAATTTGAATAAGATTTGTCTATGAGATCCGGAAAGATGTTTTTGAAGGTTTCCGGATGTCGATTTGAAAAATCCCTAATCAATTCGTAATTTTTGCCATTACGAACCATTTCTGCCCATGCTTGAATGATCTGTTGAACAGAAATTGCCAGATTATTCTTTAAATTTTGAAGTGTTTTGTTTGCATTATAAAAAAGTTGATCTTTATATTTCTCTATGGTGTTTTTAACACGATAATCGAGAATCATAATTTCGGGATTAAGCAATTGTTTATCGTCTCTTATTATTTCGAATAGCTTTTTATAGCCTTGCACTCTATGTGAAAATAAGGGACATTGATGAATAAAAGTTATTATATGCACTACATTATCGGGTTTCTTAAAATTGTAAACTTCCTGTATGATTTCTATCAAATGATCATGATTCGCATTATCACCTATTTTGTTAAAGCATGTTTGAGCACTATCAAATCTTCCACTGCTTACTTCTGAGGCACAGAATTTGCTTGGCTCTTCATTTAATACGACAACAGCTGTCTTCAGTGATCTCTGCAGGTCTTCAATATCTTTTAAAAGTGTCTCAAATTCTTGCTCGTATTCTTGTGAAAGTAATATTTTGATGTTTTCAAGCTTTTTTATAAATATTTCTTCAAACTCTGACAACACATTCAACATAATAGTGCTTTTATCCAGTGAAGTACTATAATTAAACTCTTTAACAATAACACTTTTAAAATAATTATGAGTGAATGACAGTAATTTCACCAATTCTTCGCACTTATGTGAGTTATAAATAACAAGAGAGTGATTGTAATTATAATGATTAAAAAATCGATTGACCCGATTTATTGAAGCTTGCAGTTCATTTCTAAAGTCAACGAGATTTGCTGGTTCAATTACACATATGCAAGATCCATCCAAATGAAGAGATCTAATTGTACGCTGAGATGGATTATGATTAGATTTTTCTACCAAACGCGTATTGTTATGTTCATTGCTGAACTTTCTCGAGAGAGCTTCAAGATCAGAGCTTATTTTATCGAATTTGCTAAGTATTTCTCGGCGAAGATCTTCACTAATTCTCACACGATTATCAAATTCAGAAATGTCTGTATTTATCTTTTGCGATATTGCAGGATCTGCGTGATGATCATAATGTTGAAGATGAGAAACATGAAGTGTTGTTACTTGAGTCGCTAATCCCAGAAAGAGTCCCAATGTCATAAGTTTCATCACACCAAATGATGATAAAGGAAAATCTCCTTTTTGTCTTTGATACACATTATCCATTATAGACGAATTTTAAATTATAAAAGAACTTAAATCACTGTTTTTTGATAAAGTCTAATCTAATGTCACATTGGTTGCGGTCAGCAGAAACGCGCTTTCAGACACAAAAACGCCTTCACATTTTTACACATATAAATTAGTTTTTTTTGAGCATTCTTCAGTTTTGCTATTTTTATCTAAGCACAGAAACTTTCTTCGTATATTGACACAAACTTCATGTAATCCTATGGAAAATATTCACTTAAACAATTACACTTTTCAATCATCAGTTTTCAAGAATTCTTTAAACTAGGTTTATTCCCTAAGGTTCAAATTGCAGTCCAAATCACTTCTTGAGATAAGCACTGAAGTGAAGATCAATCCGTTCCACAGACAAACTCAAGGTAAAGTGGCTGCTCACGCACGCTCAATAAGTGTCTTCTCAGCTTTTTTGTGAATATGAGAGGGGAGAAAAGCGCGCGCAGATGTTTATCGAATCTTGCGTTTCTCACATACATTGACTAGTCATTAGATAAAGAAAGTAATATATATATATATATATATATATATATATATAGAAATTATCTTTTAATTGTCAGTTTTTAATAATTTTTCACTCATTTTTTTCAGCAAAAGTATGATTAGTATTATGGATTTAACTGATTTGGATTTAACTATTCGTGAGCTAGAATAGTTTAGATTTATTTCTCTAATTAAAGAAGCAAAAGACGAATAGGCAAAGACTAATTTTCAGAAACATATATGTATTTTCAAATGCAAGCAAGCTGAGAATTAGTTATCAACATTATCGAAATTCGGAGTTGAGCGTTCGGGAGAAGAGAAACAGTCGCAGGCAACAGATGACATCGGCTGGAAGTTGGACAGCTTTACGGCAATCTCAGGGATCTGCTTATGAAGGAGACGCAATTATACAAAAGACATAAGTCAATAGAAACCCTGTGATCTTACATCAACTGGAGAAGTTTTCAGCAACTGTGAAGAAGCGATCGCAAGTCCGCAATCTGTGTTGGGAATATCAGCATTCCAGGCTGAGAATCAAGGATGTCAACAGCCAAAGAGTGAATCATGATGGGCAATAAATGCACTTTATCTGAGCAGCCCTGTGCGTCTGACTTTCCCAAAGACAAAATAAGTTAAAACCTGAGCAAGAAAGAGAAGAAAAAATAAAAACAGTCTAAATTTAGTACACAGTTAAATATAAATCAGTCTATTAAAACATAGATTTCCTCAAACATCAAGTTCAAAATAGCATCAAATATTTTTGGCTTTAGGCCATGAAATTCAACAACAAACAATACTTTCACTTTACCTGCTGCAGAATCGGTCTTAAAGCATTTCAGCAACGGTGGCGAGAGTTTGTTCTTCTTTAGAAAATCATACAGATTCTGCTCAAGTGAGATTCTTGTGCTGGGAGCTTTCGAAAGCTCGCACAAAGTTGAACTCATCGGCGTTCTATCGATTCTCAACTGATGTAATCAGTGATGGAAAGGTTGATTTCCCAGTGAGAAGAAATCAGCAGATTTTCCTTCTCAAGCGATGCTTTGGATATTTTTCATGTTTTTCATCTGTTGGCGCGAAAATGTGTCTTCTCAGTTTCTTTTGATGATCGTTCGAACTTCAATCTTATTTAATTCTAATAGATTTTCTCCTGCACATAATTCTCTTGTTATTCTTCTTATTACTTTCTCTAGTTCATTTTTATAAAATTTTGTTTTTCTTAACACTTAACAAGATATAATCATTGCCTCCGAAATTTCTGTCTCCCAATATTTATCGGCATTTTTTTTACAATTTCTAAGATCGTAAACATACATATGTATATACATGGGGAAAAAATACATCTATTTATCTATTCTCATTCTTTGTCATTTCGTACAATTGAAAAATTCCTAATTTAGAAAGTTTTACAATTCAAATTTGTGAAGAAATAAAATGAGTTAACAAATTATAGACCATTTACTTTGATGCACTACTGTCTCCCAAAGTACATCAACTTTCCAGGCAAACACTTTGAACCTCTCTGAGTCATAGGCGTTTCCAGGAACATACAAAGGATCGTCATAGTGATCGTTTACTAGCCTAAAATATTGGCCATTGTCTGTTGGCTCGAGCCTCCAATATCCAGTGTTTACTATATTCTTTGGCCTCCACGTGAACACTCTTCTGCACAGATGGTCGTAATCGTGATCTGCATTCGCGACATACAAATACTCATCGTAGTGATCATTTTTTATCTTGAACAATCTGGCATTATCGTGAGGCTCAAAATTCCAGTCCCCTTGAATGACTGCAGTTCCAGGTCTCCAAGTGAATATCCTGCGCCTGTCCGAGTTGAACGCAAAGTATTCACTTGCGGCGTAAAGATACTGATTCCAGCTATAATTCTTTATCTCGCATCTATGTCCATCCCAAATTAGATTTCTCACGGCACTTGGAAAACTATATTTTAGATTCCTGAATATATCTGTATATTTTTCATCAATATTATTATAATTAGGCATCTCCATGGATTCCTTGACTCTGTAAGCCAGCATCAGCAGCTGATAGCTGTCTAGGTGATTATTTCTCTTCATCTGCTCAAACAGAGAGGGAAAAGCCACACTGTCATCTTCTATATTAGGTAGATGGCGAATAAATGATAGTATTCTTTCTGTATTGCTTAAAGAATTTGCATAAGATTTCTCTATGATTTGAGGCAAGATGCTTCTGAAGGTTGCAGGATATTGATTTGCAAAATCTTTTATCTGTTCGTAATCATTGCCATTACGCGCCGTTTCTGCCCATCCTTCAATGATTTGTTCAACAGGTTTTGCTAGATTGTTTTTTAAATCCTGAAGTGTTGCAGTATGTTCAGGACGATCTGCATATTTTTCCATGGCATCTTTAATATAATAATCCAGTATTGTTACATCGCGATTATACAACTCTTCATCGTCTCTCATTAATTCGTATATTATTTTATAGCCTAGCATTTCCTTTGAAATGTAAGGAAGATCGTACACAAACTTCACAACATTGTCAACATAACCTGGATTCTTATATTTGTAAGCTTCTTTTATGATTCTCGCTAAACATTCATTATTATTCTCTAAGGCAAGTAAATCTCGAAAATCTTTTAAAGCACTCTCAATTCTACCACTAGTTATTTCAGAAATACAAGACTTTATTGTTTTTTCTTTAAGGCCATCAACTACTTTGTTCAACGCTTTTTGCATGTTTTGCATGTCCGTTTTAAGATTGCCTAATTGGTACTCATATTTTTGAGAAAGAGATCTTTTGAGGTTATCAAATTTTTTCGTCGATATTTCCTCAAGTTCTGACAACGCATTAATCAAAATAGTCATATCACCGATCATAGCGTTATTTGCAGTAGCTTTTATGAAACCATTCTTCAAATGATTGTGAGCGCAAAGCACTAATTTTATTAACTCTTCACAATTGTCTGAGTCAAAATTTAGAGGACAATTAATATCATCATTAACTGTGTGATCAACACGATTTAATGTGACTTGCAGTTCATTTCTGAAGTTAATCAGCGTAGTTTGTTCCACTTCACAAATAGAAGATTCATCCAAAGGAAGAGATCGAATTGCGCGATTAGATTTTCCGTCTGAATGCCCATCAATATTTGAGCTAAATTTTGTTGAAAGATCTTCAAGATCAGAGCTAATTTTATCGAATTTGCTAAGTATTTCTTGACGATCTTCTTCACTAATTCTCACACGCTGATTAGCTTCAGAAATATCAGTAATTGTTGGATTATGATTGATTCTTTCCGTCGAATTTCCTTCTGGTTTTAAGTCTTTTCCAGTGCTACTAACTTCTGATGCATCAACAGCCGCCGCTTGAGCAACTAATAACAATGTGATTAGTTTCATCGTCCACAATAAGGCCGAAAAGCTAGTAAAAAAAGAAGGCGACGATAAAGGAAAAACTCTCTTCTGACTATGATAAGCAAAATCCATTGTGAAATGTTAAATTAAGACGGATTGAAAGTTTATGTAAAAGTTGAAATTCTGCTTCGAAAATGTCTTTTCCTAAGATAGTTTTATAAAATACAGGCAAATTATTGCAAAGCAAGGCTATTTAATGTCGAAATCATAGACTTCGTCAGACATTGAGACGCCTCAACATTTTTAATTTAATCGTTATGCAAAGATTAATTGACCTATTATTATGAGTTCAACTCTCTTTGCATATCGACATAAACACAAAGTGCATATAATTCTTTTGGAAGTCTTCCTTATACAAAATTACGTCTTGTATTGTGCTCACACAGAAAGAAACACTCTCTTTTAAGCTCACTGATATCCATAAACAAGCATATTTGCACTAAGATTTAAATGGATCCGGATTCGCACAAAATATTGCATTTATTTCACATTCAATTGCAATTGACTTTGGCTTGGGGATAATCTATATTCACACGAGAGCTCCGCAGTTACAACTGGAGATTTGAGATTGATTTCCTCACTTATAAAGGCGATCTTCTTTCCTCTCTTTATCCCCTTCAATTGCACAACATCTAATCTGGAGATTCCATTACATTTTTTTTCTTCGACCACAGTTATTTCCATAAATCCATTAAATACAGGGTATTTAATACATTTATAAAGTGTGGACTCTACAGCGGTTTAAATCAGACTAAAGCTTCTACTTATTTGCAATTGTAGCGCAATTTATACTTCTGATAATCGCATTTGAGGTCATGTTGGAGCATAGAAAGCATTAAAAATATTGATAAATTACAATTCCTGGAAATTCTTATCTAATACAAACAACGAAGATGAGCATTTCTCACTTTGAGCGGAAAACCCAATGTTGAGAGGCATTTTTAATTAATTAATAAAAGCATCGAAGTGTTATGCAAAGCACATTCGACTGCATTTCACATATGACATGTTTACACCAACGGGTTTTTCCTGTACAAAATACTTTTGTGCACTGATTTGCATCTTATCTTGAAACATTAGGATTTTCCGAGGTTTTTCCACGGTGACTGAGAAAATGTGACTTTCAGTATACCAAGGAACTTGATCAGTCCTAACAGTGTCTTATCAGATAGAGAACATAATCTCATCTACCGCGCAACGAAGTATGTTCAACAAAGTTGCTTGAAATGATCTGTATAATTGGGCACAATATTACAAGTTCTACTCTGGGTTTCTTTGACCAGTGAATCAGGATGAGAGAACTGATTTACTGATTCCATACTGCTTGTTTCTTGTCTCACAAAGTTAGTATTATCTTTCGGTGTGGCATAAGGTAATTGCCCTTCTTCGCAATGGTTTTGTAGTTCTGAGTTTTGCTGAATAAACTGTTGTTGAAGATCAGGTAACGCTTTCTTTACCTTCATCAGTAATTCATTAGCCTGAACTTGAGTAGACATTGTTGCTAGTTTTCTGATATTTTGTTGAACTACATGTTGAAATAAGAAGTCTGAAACACCGTCTAGCTGTCCTTTAGCCAACTTCCTGCGCGTTGTTTCCAGGATATTTGTGTATAAGTCAGTATTTTCCAATAAATCAGAAACAGCTTTTCCAACCCCACAAGTTTGAGCATGGATTGCCAAGTCACCTATAAATGCATCTACTAATTCATGAGCTTGTATATTCAGTTTGATTGCTATTGAAGGATCATAGCTCGAAGCTGTAACCGCTTTTGGACGGTATCCTGTCCATTTCCTTGCCAATAATGTGCCCCAGGTAAGCAAACCATTCACGTCAGTTCTATTAATCCATTGATCCCCCATTTCTAGTAACGTTGGGCCGGTTGGGAAATTGTTGGAAGGACTTTGTTGTTCCGAATGCGATTCTAGCAAGGTTTTACCAAGTGATCGTTGATCAATGGATGACTGTGATCTGGGGAGGAAATCACTTGGAGGAAGATGTTGATCTTCGTTCTCTTTTGAGCTTGATAACCAATTAATCGATAAGAAAGACAAGACCGTTGTCAGTACGTTTATAATCATATTGAAGGGTCGGAATTGTAGTTTACTGCTTCCCGAAGATGCAGCAGAAACCTTAGCATTTCTTACATAACCTAATGATCTCTTGCGTCGGTCACTTGGCTTGGGCCTTTTGCGAGTGTCACCTAAGAATGAGCTGGATGCTCCACCGACAGCAGGAGGAGGCGGAAAATTTAGTATATCGTCTATACTAACTGGCTGGGATCTTGGAGAAGGATGATGAATGGTTTCAACATCATGCACCTTAAATTTGATCCCTGGTTGACAACACACAGCCACAATAGGTGTGTAAACGCCAAGATCAGTGACGGATGCTAAATTAGATCCATACTTCTTCACTTGTCGGTTTCCTTCTCCAAGTTTCGCATCATCATCATCTCCTTTAGCGTATTTCAGCTCCATTACAAAGATGCCTTCTTCGTGTATCTGACCATTGGGCTCCTTTTTCAGTACAGATATTATAAGATCACTTCTGCCCTCTTTGGAAAGATTGGCTTCTGGAAATACTTTCATAATAATTCCCTGATCCGCTGTGTTTACGGCGTGACCCATAAATAATCCTTGCAATACAGCTTGAAAATCACTCTCACTGTTAATGATGTCTTTTATAGATCCTAGAGATTTTGATAAGCTTTTCAGTATATCGTCAGGAGCACCAATAAAGTTTGTCATATCTACAGAATTTATCTTTTGATATTCAGCTTTTCCCAGATTAGAATTAACATCTTTTTGTTTTATACCTTGAAAGTAATAATCACTTGCATTGGTTATTTTGCCGACACTTCTTTTCGGCTCAAGAGAGGACCAACCATCCTTAGACTTGGGATTTACGCTTATATCAAATCTAATAATGTTAGAAGTGTCACTTATCTCACTGGGAAGTTTAATTTTATCTTCAATCTTTATGTCTTTAAATTTGAACTTATCTTTGCGCTTTTCGCTGCTTTCAATAACATTTAACATTACCCATTTGTCTCCTTCCTGAAAAACAAATGTCCTGAAATCCCCATTATTTTGAACAAGAATTTTTCGATCCTTCTCTGACAAAATCTCACCTAAAATTAAGTTGCTCATGTAATGGTCATCGCCTTTAATTGCTAAGGGCGATGTAGAATAGTACAAATGCTTCAACTCTGTCTCGAAGTTATTAGCGCTGCCAACTCCTTTTGTGATCTTCTTCAATTCCTGCATAAATCCTTCTATTCGTGGTATATCTTCTTTTCTTGTCGTAATGGCGCTATAAATATCTATTTCAGAGTCGAGTTTAGAATTGATTCCAATAACTATGGCTTTCTCAGCAACCGTCCTCATACTGAGATTATAGAGATAACCGGTACCGGTTACCTGATCCGTCGCCTTACCAGCGGAAGTGCTATCTGCTTTAAATTCAAAGATTATCGGAATAGCGTGCCAGTTTTTATTGCCATCCGGTCCATTGCGAGAGAGAAGCAGCATATCAGCATAACCTCTCCCAGAAATACGTTCTACGTAGACATCTAAGTTGTAGCGGTTTTTAAAGTTTAGGGCCAAGGCTCCATAGAAAAAACCATGAAATCCGGATTCTGAGTTCAAGTCAAAGCCAAAAGTTGACTTATGATCGTAGTATAATTTCAACACATCTGTAGAAAATTCTACAATTCCTTGTTCTACTTTATTTATGTCAAGACTAGAAATTTCACTTAAGGTCGTTTCGTGAGTTATCGTATCTGCCACACTTATAACATCATCATCAGTTGTAATCTCCACTTTGGGTTTCTTTACACTTGGACTTCCCCTCGGACTCGTGTCTTGTAGTGCAATTTCTGCTAGTTTTATAATGTTTTTGTCAAGTATAGTCTCCACTTTAGAATTCATTGCGGCATTCGCAATAGTTTGTAATTCACTATCAGTTAATGCGTTTACTTTTTCTATTTTCTTAATCTTATCCTGCAGAGCTTTCACTTTATCGGTATTATAAATGTCAATATTTTCTAAATATTGGACTAAACTATTTTTTCTATCTGCACCTCTTATTGGTTTTTGTGTTGCAATTACATCAATTAAATCTTGCAAAATCACTTTCATTTGATTTGAATAGTTTTGAAAGTATTCACTTTTCCCAGTTGATGAACTTCGCATGGACAGTGAATTATCAGTGTGTATATAATAAACATTTTCTTGTATATGAGTATAGATGCTCCCACGATCGAATTTCTGATTTAATAAATTGAGCTCTATTTCGCTATATTTACTCACGCCATCTAACCATTTCTTAACATGTTCATGGATTCTTCCTTTCTCGCCTTTTTCTCGCCCAAAAGTCAAGTTACGATCTTCAGCAATGAAGGTTTTCAGTACTAATGTATTACCTTCTTTAAACCCTGTTTTAAGGAATTTGTGTGAAAATAATTGATGCCCATTAGAGTCAGGAAGATTCACAGTCTCAATGTTTGCATAAATAACTTTCCCACTAGTTTTTTGCATATCAGGCATTGTTAAAATGGATCCTAAAATGAGATTTGTGAAAAAGTCTTCATGAGTAGGAGCAAGAATATTTGGGGTTTTATTCAAGAGTAAGGTAAGATTCTCTGCAAATCCTTGAGGATTGCTTGGATCAAATCCATTGGGATATCTGGGATCTTCGCTGGTGTTTGGTTGAATGAGTTTATATTCATCCCCTAGATCTACACCTCTGGCTATTCCCTCGTCAAAACTTTTGAAAAATTCACTTATTAATTCAGGATTATGCTCTTGTTTCATATCCTCCATAGGTATAAAGCAAGGCACCGTTCCGCGTTTTCTACGTCTAGAACCTTTGCAATTAAGAAACAAAGCGTCTTCCTCGTCAGGAAACACTTCCTGTTGTTTTCTAATTGTTTCTTCACCCTCCGATTTCCACTTAATTAACTCTGAACCTTCTTGAACTGTTAATTTTGTCTCGCCTAGAATTAGTTTTTGAAGCTCCAGTGGTGGACGATTTTCTCCGCTCTTCCATTTTTGAAAACCTCCCTGAATAAATTTCTCAAACTGATTTTTTATTGAAAGTGGCTGATCGTTCAATTTAGATATCCATAGTGTTTTTGAAGTAAATATATTTTCTGCTAAATTCTGATATTTTTGTCCTAAACGTGACATTTGGATAAAATCTAATATACGACTAACCGTTCGTGACCAATTATTATTTATTTTCTTTCTAAGACTATGTATCCCTGCATTGGATGGCTGCTTCACTTTAACATCGCGTATATACTTCAATGACTTCGTTATATCTTTACCGAAGAAGACTCCATTCAGTACTCCTTCGTAAGTCGAAAATGAAGCTAAATTCCATTTAGTAATGTCGAAATCTCCATTAGCTGAACTGCCCATAAAGTATGCCATTACTACACCTGTTGTAGCTTTGTACAATGGATGCTTGGAGTCCTTTAAGATAGATTTTAACTTTAACTGGTTCTGGCCTGAAAATAAGTACTTTTTAGGGTTCTTAGCTAATCTGCCGACGCCGCGACTCATTTCCATGACATTCTGCGGCCATCCCATTCCGGTGTCAAATCCATCTACTAAACCTGACCAGGTCGCCGGATTAGTCCAATCCCACTCCCAAAAAGCAAAGTTTCCATCGTTAGCGGAGCCAGCACGATAGTACGCTAAACCACCAGCACTTGCATAACTTACGGTTAAAAATACGCCCTTTACAGCACGTTGACCAATGCCTATAGCATTCAATGCCTTCAAATTGCCAAGGTACACGATAACTTTACCGCTATTCGCAAAGTTATGTGTTATTCCTATTCCACCAGCTATTCCAGAACCAGCGCCAAAGCCTTGAAACAGCGAACTCCAAGTATTCGGTCGGTCCCACTTCCATTTAGAAGGATCCCAGCTTCCTGTGCTCGCAGCAGTTGTTAAGTAAGCACCACCAACTCCTAGTCCAACAGTAGCAGTTACCCCAATTGCAGCGCTACCTGCTAATCCACCAATAGCAGCAGCTGAAGCTGCAAACCCCACTGGTAATAGGGCACCAGCTATCGCCCCACCTCCTATGCCTAAATAAGTGCCTGGATCTGTAAAATCCCACTCCACTGGATTCCAACGGTCGTTAGCTGCTGCTCCGCCTAGATACGCACCAAGAACACCTAACGCTAAGCTGATTAAAAGAAAAGCCAACTCTCCATCGGGGTCGACTTCGGAGATTGGTGAGTTACCAGCGTATTTATACGGGCTAAAATATTGGGCCTTTGGATCGGGCTGGTAAAAACGACCAATACTTGGATCATAGAGTCTTGCGTGATAATTATAGAGGCCAGTTTCTTCATCCCATTCTTGGCCTGTATAGCGGTATGAAATGTGTGCTTGTGGATCATTGCCATAAGAACGCATAAGACCACCGTATGGCAGATAATCATAAGCTGCTACGACTCGGCCGTCCTTGATTACCAGTCGAACTGATCCAGAATGATCCGTAGTGACATTATAAAAATTATTATTGCGAATGAATCCTATGAGACCTCTAGGCCCATAAAGGTAAGCTGTAATCACGTATTGCGTTGAGCCATCTAGATACTTAGTTTGTCGGTCTATAAGAACTCTACCTTGTTCATCACGAAGATAGTGAGTTTCCTGACTAATTAAACCTTCCGCATTTAACACCCGTTTCACCACTCTTTCGCCCTGCGCATCATAGTAAAAACGCAGAGTACGACCGTCTGTAAGCTTGATGCGAGTTGTACGGCTAGAAACTGGATGGTACTCAATATGTTGAATGTTTTTATGCAATGCTTGAATCACATTACCTTGCTCGTCATGCTCCATTGCAAAAGGCTGCTTCAGACTGAATGCAGCCAACCAATGCGCATTGCCTTGATCATCATGTTTCATGGATAAAATCTGTTTCACTCGTGATTCTATCGGCCAATCTAATTCTATGCGATCGATTTGATTCGTAACATCACGATAAGCCAACTCATAACGATCAAAGCCTGTATAGAATAGGTGATGATTGCCATTAGCATCAATTTTTGTAGATTCTACATCAAAAGCCGTTTGTCCTAATTCATACGAGAAGTGGTGCGATAGCGTTTGCACAATCTTCGGTATAAAGACAGTATATTGGTGCAAAGTAGTAATAAAGTGGCTGTTCAAGCATCGTGTAAAGTCGGAAATTTGTGTTGGTAAGTAACCTTTATCAAGCAGCATTTGACCGATTTGGTTTGCTATTCCTTGCTGCCAATTATAAATAAGCCTAGATGAGGCTAAATTAAGATTTTGCCAATGTAAAAAGGTTGCTGAAAAATCCACCAATGATAATGTCTTTTGGCGACTAATTGCTGATATAATTAACCGCTTAATTGGCTCAACATAAACCACATACTTATCATTCAAGGCTCTTAGATCAGCTTTTAAATCTGCGTTCCGGAAGAATGATTCGCCACGTCTACCAATTGCAGTCGCTGGATCATCGCGTTGTTGATCAGTAATTATATAATCAGCGTCAGTGAGTAGTTGCCAAATATGTTGTGATTGTTGCTTATTCAAACCGGGAATCTTTTTAGCAAATGAATCTGGTTGTAATGGATCGGTCAGATTCTCTACATCATCAATCAAATATTTAGCTTTAGTTAATTCTTGGTGATTGCCATAAGCATAACGATGTCCGTAATATGTTGGCTTTTGCTTCTCAGCCACCAATCTAGCCATTCGACGACCCATTTCTCCTCCGCAAACCAAGGGTAGGGCCGTTTCTGCATCGCGAATATACAACTTCATTGGTTGGCCGTTATCAGAAAGATGACCTGTTCGCTTTAACGCTTTAACGCATACTGCAGAATAATTGCCTCCCAAATCATTTTCGTGTATTTGAAACCATCTTCCATCAGCATTTACTGGCCAATTGGCATTGAAAGTTGCTTGCATTATCATGCCATCGCCGTAGCCAGCTTGACCATAGCCTTTATTTGCATAGGCGATATCTTCAGTAAGGAAAGGATCCGATATTTTCTCAAGGAATCCAGGTGAATTGTAGTGATAGTTTCGGGTAAAGCTGAGTGATGTGCCTTGTTGGTATTGTTCACTAGCCAATTGACCAGTAGCGTGATAAGTAAATCTAGCGTAACGAGTCGGGTTATTAGGAGTTCCTAGCCCAGTCAACTGACCTAGCCTATTATAACTGTGCACTACATGCAACGGTTTACCGTCAAAGGCTACAGGATATATTATCTTCTGTAGTTTATCTTGTGCATATTGCTTTTCAATGTTATTAAGTGAATCAGAAGTGGCTTCATTTAGTATTGCATTTTTAGACATTACTTGCTGCAGTGCATCAAAATGCAATTTTTCAATAATTACTTCGCCTTCATCAAGAGTAATGAACTCCTTAACACGGCCACGTAACAGTGGATCAAAATGACCGTCAGAATAATCAAATGTTTGATAATCTATGGCATAAGGTAAATGTGTGCTTTCTAAATGTTGACGTAAAGCAGTGAGAGATAAGGGGCGATTTATATGTCCAGTGCTAATCAACTGGTCGTTACTATCATAATTGAAATAAACAATCTTTTGAGATTCATTGGTGGCGCCTAGAGAAACCATAAAACGCTTCTGACCTGCAGCGTTGTATAAATATTCAGTTGTGCCACTATCAGGCGTAATCTTGCGTATTAAATGGCCATATTTATCATAAACAAAGCGAGATGCTAACGCATATTGTAATTGTTTCTCCGCAGGAGAAAGGTGATCCTCTCCAAATTTCCAGGCTGTTAATCTTATGTCAGTCTCTGCTTTTTCATGATATAACGGCGGTAAGATTTTTATTAAACGCTTTTCCGTATCGTATTCATAAGTACTGAGTAAATGGTCAAAGCTTGGGACTCGCACATATTTAGCTACCTGATTATTAGCTTGATCAAAAACGAAAATTCTTAAACTACCATTTGAGGTATGTTCTACTCTTTGACGGTAGCCATTATTCGATGGAAACAGATTATCAAGAAAAGCTAAATCCGAATGCTGACTTACTTTAGTAGAGTAACGACCAGTAATTGAAAAATCTGGACCAGGCAAACCTAAATTCTGTTCTTGATCTAATGGATTAGGTGCGTATCCAGTGCGTGTGTAAGCTACCCCTTGATCTGATGGATTTAACCGATTAACTTCGCCTTGAAGGATTCCTGTTTGCCAGACGGATTGCTGATTGTAAGTATTTTTATTGCTAACAAAGTCTGATCGATAAGCTAGAAGCGATTGGCCTGCATTACGATGTACTCGTGTTGTTTTGGTAGTAATAGATTTACGTCCCAACGCATCATACAATATCTCACTTACTTGAGCTGTCGTAGCATCTTCCAACTGAATTTCCTGCGTCTTATCACCAAATGCATTGTAATAATTGATTGTTGTCTGAGGGCGATTCATTACTAACAAGTCTTCAACTAGAACTTTACCATCTGCTTCTATTCCAAACATTGACCATGGAGTTGATGAAGTTATTGGCAACGCTTGGTCTACTATTAATACAGCATCCAACCATATCCATAAGTAATTTTCTTCAAGCATGACAATTAATTCACCGGCTGATGGCAATGGAGCAATAAGAGATTGTGCATTTGGTATAGTTAAATCAGTAAAACCATTTGATTTCCGAGTGAACTTTAACCTGCCAATTTCTTTCCAATTTAGCGATAAAGCAGATCCCGACTCTTGAAGGGCAAAGTAGCATCGAATAGCAGCACTCTTGTGATCAAATAAATTTGTGGCTGCCTGAATTATGTGTTTTCCTGACTGTTTATGCCATAGTTGACCTGGAGCAACATTCCAGACGGCTGGATTATCTAATTTCCATCGAGTGCGCCAAGAATTTCTATCAAAAGTTTCATACGATCCATTCTCTGGTTCTAATGTTATAACATTAGGTTTGGAATCAATAATGTTTCCTCGTGGGGAAGGTACCAATTTGCCTGTTCTGCTAGATGAAGAAAATTCTTGCAAATTACCGTCTTCATCTATACTGGCAATTTCTTGATCTAAGCGGTTATAAATGGTTCTAGTGACCAGACCATTGGCCTTAATAACTGCTGTAGGTTTGTCAGTTATCGGATTGTATACAGCTGCTTGAAAATCGTGAGTAATGGGTGAGAAACGAATATGATCGAGGTCTATTGTCTGATTATCTGGAGCCTCTACTCGTAGAACAATCTGTAAGTTAGCTTCCTCTTGTGATGGTTGCACACTGTTGCTTTCTGTGATTGCATTATAGTTAACATAGTCTCGATAAATCTGTCTCAATACCTGAAAATTCAGTGGTAGCTCAAGGTAAAACCAGTCGCCTATTTGACGCTTAGTTTGTGCACTTAACGCAATAATTTTTTGTCCAGTGATGGTACGAATAATAGCCCTAAGATAGGGCACTGTTGTATCTAACGTCAATGCTGCACTGCAGCGTATCCAGCAAGCGGCTAGATAAGTAGTTTCCTGATCACGTGGCTGGAACAATCCTTCCAGAAATGATGGTTGATTTTTGAAAGTGCTTTTTAGTTCCAAATAATGTTCCCCAACGAAGGCAAAATTTCCTTTAACAATACGGGCCCGGTTGATCCGCCATGAATTTGTTGCAGAGTTCGCAGCCGGAATACCAATCTGGTTATTCTCATATGGTTCAAAGCCGTAGTAAGCAACCATTTCCTCAGCCAAGTCGTATGGTGAGAAATCACTGATTAGCCTTTTTCCACTGCGATCTAATAATAGCATTGGATTAGAAACGGGTTCAGTTTCATTTGCAGCTTGCTCTACAGATTTTTCTTCGGGTGGCATAAGAACCTCAGTACCATCAGCATTGAAACAACGATCAGTGTTGGTAACATTACCTCTGTGATAAGATCTCGTTGCTTCTTGCCAACCATATGCGACTTTGTTATTGCCTGGTATTATTGCTACTGTTTCATTATAGATTAACGCTCTCTGGTCAGCATTAAAAGAACGTTCATACGCTGTTATTCTTTCTATATCACTAGCACTCAATGTCACTCGATTTACAAATGATTCCATCTTAGATGGAAGTAAAGCAGAAACAGCTCGCACTCGACATTCTTGGGGTTCAGCGTGTGTCGATGTAGTTGAATTGGCTACAGTTAATAAGTTCTGGTAATCACTTCCAGATAATAATTGTTCATTGTCAAATATATAAAACCGACCTAATGTTTGCTCGTCTTTGAATGTTAGAACTTTAACCAAGTTCGGCTCTGGATGGTAGGCTATATAGTCAGGATATTGATTAATGATCTGATCTGGTGCATATAATTGCAGTGTCTCTAGCGGCTGGCCTTGTTTCTTTTGATCGCTGCCTTGCCTATATAGTTTAAATAAAGATTTATCATCATTATCTGACTCTAAAACAAAGTGTTTCCCTAGAATTCCAGTCAGTTGAGTAGGTGTTGACTCTTTCTCCCATCCAGTTCCGGTAATGCGTAATAATGTGTCATTGCCAATATAGACACCTTGATTACTAATCTGAGCGATGTATAAACTCAAATTAATGAAAAATCTCTTGTTTAGATTTTCTTTCCAGTTCTGATTAAGATGTTTGATGGTTTCTTTTACCCTTGAGTCATCTCCATTTCTAATGTTCTCTATAATATTTTTATTTCGGACTTTATTATTAGTAATTATATTTTCAATAATCTTTCCAGAAATACTTTTAATTTGAGCTTTAAAACGTCCTTGCTCCTTGACATAAACAATCTCGTAACCACTGCCATCGAATTCAAGTTTATCACTTAGTTCATTAACGTTGTCCCGCTCTATTTTATATGTTTGTTTCTTGATAATATCATATTGTGAGTCTAGTAGAAATAAGTGTGTGTGAGACGAAAGTCGGCCATGATTTTCTTGAAAGGTATTGAATAGAATAAAATTGTTATGTATTTGCAGACTCCTCTGAGTTATTACTGTTACAATTTGTTGCCTAATGTCACTGTCTAATTCAAATAAATCCAAAATCTGACGTGCACTATAAGGCAGATTCTCTAGAAGTTTCTTCTTCCATCCAGTCTGAGAATCAAAGTAAAATAGCCATAATTGATGATCATCATAGCCAACTATTAACTTCTTGTGTAGCGCGAGTACTGTAATATCCCGAGAGACAGTGATTGAATGCTCACTCCAATCTAAGTGATTTTCTGCGCGTTTGAATAACATAATATTATTTTTAGTGGAGTCTGCAACAGCAATAATTGATTCGCTATATTGTACTAAAGCTTCTTTGCTGAACTCAAACTTTGTAGGATTTGTGGACCAAGTTTGTTCATGGCGATTATAAATATATAGCGATTGTTTTTGGTTACTTTCGATAAATATAATGAATGAATTTTGATAGACTTTTACAGCATAATCCTTAATTTCTGATTCAGACACTGGGCACGACAATTTTGTGCTAATTGCGCAGTCTACAATAATTTGAGTCATTGCGCGATTCATAATACGCAAGAGAACTTTGCCAGCTCTTGGGTCAAGATCTCGGTAAGTCATAAGAGCATAGTCTGATCCATAAGTTATCCTAGCTTTTTCTCGAGTCGGATAACTACGTACGGAGGTGAGTGAAGGTGGGGCAAGAGACTGATAATTGAAATGAACTGTTGACCCTTTTGATACTAATGCACAGCTTTGCAGAACTTGCTTGTCTAATATAGTTTGATAGGTAAAGTGCAGTACCGGTTCAGTATGCGATAATAAACGCTGTTTTATATCAGTTAACAATCGTTTCCCGTCCTTGATTTGATAAACGAAGCTCAGTGTTTGGCTATAGGAAGAGGTAGTAAGGCTATATCCTTGTAAATAATGAGACTGCACAAGTGATACTGGAAAAATAATGTTTCCTTCATCATCTACAGGATTATGTGAGGTATATTCACTCTTCTCTCTAAGTGCATAATCTAAATTAAGCCTCAAATATTGATCATCGCTGATGCCTTTCAGTCGCAGTGCAGAGTCATATGTTTTACCACCAGCTATCGTAGCTTTATCTTTCTCATAGTGGTAATACAGCATCCTTTTGCTATCCTTATCGAGACGCATGTTTAAATACCATGCAATTAATAATGGCTGCTGATGCGCTTTATCACGACCGATGCTACGCCAATTAGGCCAACCCAAACTCCATTGTAGCGCATCTTGCACCACACTATGTTTAGCTTTGCCATAAATAGTTTGCTCTGTTTCACTTTCAATTATCCAACGTTGTTCTGATTGGTGATAGGAAATAGTTATTTGCGTTCCTTCAGCTTCTTGCTGCAATTGAAAATGTCGTATTCCTTTTTCATCTGACAAAAATCTTAGACGCTGTGGGCGACTTCCAGTCATTAAGTAGTAGTGTGCGTCCTCAGGGAAAATACTGCCTTGATGGTCAACAAAGATATAGTCCTGTGCCATTGGCAATGACCATCCTATTCCGGACACATCAGAAGTTGTAACTCGACTATTATAGGAAAGGGACAATTGCAATTTCCATCCTGTAGTAGCAAAGATATCGACTAGAGGTATGTTTAAATGTGCGTGACCACTAGCTGGATCCACCGTTTCCTTAAGGAATCCGTCATTCCATTGCTCAGCCCAGCGTAAGGCAGGCTTTTCAGGAAGTACTTGACGAGGAATTTGTTCAGGGAATAAGTCATTCCCACGGATAGAGGGACTGTGAGCTGTGTTTACTGATGTAGTAAGTGTAGTACTGGTTGATGGTACAGTAGTGGTGGAAAAGGGAATAACTGGAGTTGGTTTTACCAACCCCCATTGGACCTTGCCTTCTGCATCTTGCGTAAGTACAGAAGAGTAGACTATTGCAGGTGTCATTGATGGTAAAGCACAAACCACATTTGCATACCGCTGTGCTCCAATTAATTGTTCAGGGCCTAACAAAGTTTTCCAGCTATTATTGGTGACATCAAAGCTTAATGCTGTTATTCCCCGTGGTCCAGTAAAAAGTAAATCATCACGGCCATCACTGTTTAGGTCTGTTAGTTGTATAGAGTTCGCATAATGTGGTGACCAACCATATGGTTGAGTGAATTCATTGTGGCGATGTAAGAATCTGTAATCCCTCTGATTATCATTATATTGATAGACAAACAAACCACTGTCATTTAAGTGAAGAATATCTTGGTATATTTGATGTGTCAAGTCAGCAAAAAATAGTTGGTCTTGAACCCTTGCTATAATAGAAGTATTAGTCACTTGTTCCAGCAAATAGTCAGAGTTAAATTGATAAAATTCTAATCCCTGGCCAGTTCGCAGTCCAATCACTTCTGAATCATTGTGTCGTAATCTGGTTGCGAAGAACTTATTTTCGGGAGAACTCCATGTCTGAAAAGGGACGTTAACTTTTAAGGGTGACAAAGGAGGTTTATTAGGTTGAAGTGTTGATGCATAAAACTTGATTCTTCTATTGACATCGCGAGTCATTACTCCGACATACTTTGTATCAGGATAAAAATGACCCCATAAAAGGTCCCCACTGAAAAACTCATTGAATTTTATATCTTCCTTCAACAGCTTCAATCCTGGTTTAGCTGGATCTAATTGGTAAAACTGTATGCCATTCGGATGACGCAGTAATATAATGTGTTTATCAGGGAATATTTTGTCGGTTACTAGCCATGGGTAGCGATCCAATGGATAGTTTCCCGGTTGGTCAAAAACTAACTCACTCCACTCGCGACGCCATGTTGCGGTTGATGGCACATATTTGTAGCCAAGCAACTGACGACCTTGACGAACACATAAGATTACTTCACCACTATTAAGTCGGATTGGAGAAATGTCGCCTATCTTTTCTCCATCAAAACCACTTATAGTTTGAGTTGACAAAGAAAACTGTGTCATGATTTCTCTGATTTGTTATTTGCGGAAAATGTGAGCTTAAGAAGTCACTTTAGAAGAGGATCAGTGTGTCGCTGTAGTCTTTCGGGTGGAATTTGGCCATATGGTGGACTTTAAGATGTAATGTTGCGTATCACAATTTACTTCCCTCACTTCACTTTTCACAATTTGCCGGTGTTTCTCTTCAATTTAAAGACTTTTTGGTCTTTCAGAGTTTTTTTCTAAACACTTTTTACTGCTTTCTCTTCTTAAGACATTTACTCACTGGTGAGTGCTCGAGAGCAACTGAGGATTCGCACTGCAAGTAGTTATTTTTAAAGAGGCACGTTTTCTTTGTTCCAATCCTCTGATCATTCTTCTACAGCGTGCGATTGCCGAAAATAATTCGCACACTTTTAGTTTCATTTGATCAATGGTAGAAGTCCCACACTTTCTCAGAATCAATTTGGCAAACGCGATATTTCTTCGTGAACTCCACTTAGTGTGACTGTTCTGTGCTTTCCTTGCAAAAGAAAGTTTTCATTTCAGTCTCAGCAATTTCATAGTGACTGAGATGTTGACTAAAAACAATTTAACACTCTATCCTCCATTCTGCTAGTTTGCCTTTATTTCCCCCCAGTAAAACCATATTCCTATTTGTGTAGCAATCATCCCCGAAATACCCTTTAACATCTCCTCCAAAAATCCCTGTGAAAAACGCTCCTATAGTGTTTATTGGGGCAGATTTCTCTTCCCAAAACTTTGCAGTACTCATGCAGTCTTTGAAAGGAACATATAAGTTTCCATGTGAGTAAGAATTTTTTATTATAAAACTATCACCATTATCTCGAGGCTGAATTTCCCATTCTCCATCGTGTTCTACATTTCCTGGTATCCACGTAAATACTCTTTTAACATTTTCATCCCTAGAAAACGGACGTGACAATTCCGAAGTATATAAATACTCATTCCAGTGACTATTTTTTATCCGAAATAATTTTGCATCTTTTATTGGCTCAAAATCCCAAGTCGCTTCTGTAACTGGAACACCAGGCATCCAGGTAAATATACGACGTCTGTTTTCGTCCCATTTTAGTATAGAAGCAGCATAAAGATACTGATTCACAAATTTACTATTTAGCTTGCAGTTGCTTCCACCCCAGATTAGACCTCTGATGGAATCCGATAGATTATTTTTCAGAGTTATTAATTTATTTTTATATTCCTCGTCAACATTATTATAATTAGGCATCTCCATGGATTCCTTGACTCTGTAAGCCAGCATCAGCAGCTGATAGCTGTCTAAGTGATTATTTCTCTTCATCTGCTCAAACAGAGAGGGAAAAGCCACACTGTCATCTTCTATATTAGGTAGATGGCGAATAAATGATAGTATTCTTTCTGTATTGTCTAAAGAATTTGCGTAAGATTTCTCTATGATTTGAGGCAAGATGCTTCTGAAGGTTGCAGGATATTGATTTGCAAAATCTTTTATCTGATCGTAATCATTGCCATTACGCGCCGTTTCTGCCCATTCTTCAATGATTTGTTCAACAGGTTTCGCTAGATTATTCTTTAAACTTTGAAGTAAAGCATAAGATTCATGATAACCCTTTAGAAGGGTTTGAACTTTGTAGTCTAGTTCAAGTATACTTATTTCGCGATTATTTAACTTTCCATCGTTTCTCATTAGTTCGAATAGTTTTTTATAGCCCAGCTCTCTATGCGAAACCCAAGGAAGATCCCACACAAACTTAATAATATTTTCTACATAATCTGTATTCCTATAATTGTAAGCCTCTACTATGATCTTAAACATAAGCTCATGATTCTCATAATCGTTTAAATCTCGAAAATCTTTAACTGCACTTGCAATTTTTCCACTACTTATTTCCGAAATACAAGACTTTATTGTCTTTTCTTTAAGATCATCAACAACTTTATTCAACGCTCTTTGCATGTCTTGCATGTCTGATTTGAGCGTATTTATTTTTTGCTCAGATTCTTGTGAAAGTGATCTTTTGAGGTTATCAAGCTTTTTTGTAGATATTTCCGTGAGCTCTTTTACCGTATTTTTCAAAACAGTCATTTTACTGATTAAAGCGTTATTTGCAGTAGCTTTTATAAAATCACTCTTTAAATGATTGTGAGCGCAAAGCACTAATTTTATCAACTCTTCACAATTGTCTGAGTCAAAATTTAGGGGACAATTAATATCATTATTAACAGATTGATTAACACGATTGAATGTGGCTTGCAGTTCATTTCTGAAGTTAATCAGCGTAGTTTGTTCTATTTCGCAAATGGAATATTCATTTAAAGGAAGAGATCTAATTGTACGATTAGATTTTTCGTTTAAATGCCCATCAATATTTGAGCTAAATTTTGTTGAAAGATCTTCAAGATCAGAGCTAATTTTATCGAATTTGGTAATTATTTCATGGCGAAGTTCTTCATTGATCCGCACATGCTGATCATCTTCGAAAATATCAGTATTGATCTTTTGCGATATTACAGGATCTGCCCTTGCATGAGGATGATAAGGTTCAGGAGAATAAACACTAATTGCCGCCACTTGAGCCACTAATCCCAGAAAGAGTCCCAATATCATAATTTTCATCACACATAAACTTGAAAAATCTCTAAAATAAGGAGCGAACAAGCAAGAATATGTTGATTCCATTGCAGCAGTATTTATCTATAATCATCAAAATCACTGATAAAGACCCTAAATTCACACGATAGTTCAATAGAGATAGGTTTTTTGGCTTTTTTGTTTACAATAGGCAAAGTTCTTTTTCAACTTTTTCTCTGGTTAACGGAGATGTTCTTCGATCAAGCGCAGAACTCGGACTGCGCTCACGCTATTCACTCAAGATTTTCGTCTTAAGCTGCGCAGATCAAACACTGTCACACACACGAATGGAGGTCGAGTTGTGAGTAAGTGAGAATGAGACACGAAATATTCAATATATGTAATAGCATTTGTGTGCAAAGCACTGGATAATCTATATAATTCAATGAGGCAAATAAACCAATCAGCACTCTATTTTCCCATTTCTCTCTTTCCCATTTTCAAAATTCGTTCCTAAAAACTGCAAAAACTCCGAAGCTGCAGCTGAGCTACAATTTCTCCAGGGAACATATAAATATCCGGGATAGTATGAGTTTTTTAGTCTAAAACTTTTACCATTATTTGTAGGCTGGAGCTGCTATTCTAAGTTATAACCTACATTCCCTGGTATCCACGTGAATGCTTTTTGATTTCTCCAGTTAAAACTTCAATCTCATCTAATCTTCATCCTTGTTTTTAATCCAACACATTTCTCTACCCCAGATAAGATTTCTTACAGAAAAAGGTAGATTGATTTTTAAAATCGTAATTTATTTTGTACATATTTCTTCAGTGATAGATAAATGTCGCTCATAAACAACAGTCAGCGGTCACAGATGAGCTCTCAGCTCAATGAGCTAGTAAGGAGAGGGAGGAGGGCAAAATTTAACAGTGAATTTCCCATTCACTTCCTTCCGGAGCGAATTTACCATTTTTAACAAGCACTGGATTCCGTTGCCAGTCACAATCAACTTGCCGAAAAGGCGCAAAGACAAAATATACAGCATTAATGGGACAATTTTGTTCTGGAGCATATAAATATCCAGTGTAGTGTGCGTTTGCAATTTTAAAACCGTTGCTATTTGGCTGAAGCTCCCATTGTGATTCAGACCAGTCTGAATTTCCTTTTGGTATCCACGTAAATGCCCTTCTAGAGTCCTTATAATTATAAAAAGACAAATAATATTTATAAAGGACATCCGAAGTATATAAATACTCGTTCCAATAATTATTTTTTATCCTAAAAAATCTTCCTCCTTGCACAGGTTCAAACCCCCAATCTCCTTCGTAAACAAAATTCATCGGCTTCCAGGTTAATATTCGACGTCTGTCGGAGTCATAAAGATATTTTGGACCCGCAGCATACAGATACTGACCCCATAAATAATTCTTTACCTTACAACTTTTTCCATTCCAAATTAGATTTCGCACAGAAGAAGATAAATCATTCTTGAGAGTCGTGAACATAATTCTGTACTTCTCATCAATAGTGGTATAAAACTGCATCTCCATACATTCTTTGACTCTAAAAGCCACCATCAGCAACTGATAGCTGTCTAAGTGATTATATTTTTTCATTTGGTCATACAGAGATGAAAAAGAAATAATATTTAGCGTTATAGAAGGTAGACTTTGAGAAAAACTTATAATACGTTCCGCATTGTCTAAAGAATTTGCATAAGATTTCTCTACGAGTTCAGCCAAGATGTTTTTGAAGGTTTCTGGATGTCGATTTGAAAAATCCCTAATCAATTCGTAATCATTGTCATTACGCACCATTTCTGCCCATGCTTGAATGATCTGTTGAACAGGAATTGCCAGATTATTCTTTAAATTTTGAAGTGTTGCATTATATACACGACGATCTTTATATTTCTCAATGGCGTCGTTAATACGATAGTCGAGAATCATAATTTCGGGATTAAGCAATTGTCCATCGTCTCTCATTACTTCGAATAGCTTTTTATAGCCTTGCACTGTCCGTGAAATTAAGGGATATTGATAAATAAAAGTTATTATATGCACTACATTATCGGGTTTCTTATCATTGTAAGCTGCCTGTATTATTTTTATCAATTTATCATGACTCGTATTATTGTCTAATTTGTTAAAGCATGTTCGAGCATTTTCAAGTCTTCCACTGCTTATTTCTGAGGCACAGAATTTGCTTGACTCTTCATTTAATACGACAACAGCTGTCTTCAGTGATCTCTGCAAGTCTTCAATATCTTTTAAAAGTGTGTCAAATTCTTGCTCGTATTCTTGGGAGAGTAATATTTTGATGTTTTCAAGCTTTTTTATAAATATTTCTTCAAACTCTGACAACACATTCAACAAAATAGTGCTTTTATCCAGCGAACTTCCATTGATAAACTCTTTAACAATAATACTTTTTAAATAATTATGAGTGAATGAGAGTAATTTTACTAATTCGTCGCACTTATGTGAGTTATAAATAACAAGAGAATGATTAAAATTGTAATGATGAAAAAATTGATTAACCCGATTCATTGCATCTTGAAGTTCATTTCTAAAGTCAACGAGTTTTGCTGGTTCTATTATACATATGCAAGATCCTTCCAAATGAAGAGATCTAATTGTACGCTGAGACGGATTATAATTAGATTTTTCTACTAAAGGCGTATTGTTATGTTCATTACTAAACTTTCTGGAAAGTGCTTCAAGATCAGAGCTTATTCTATCGAATTTGTTAAGTATTTCAAAAGATGCATTTTGAGACATAACAAAAACTCCTGCATCAGCCCTTCGATCGTATGCTTCAGGAGAAGAAACATAAACTGTTGCGACTTGAGCAATTAATCCCAACGTAATAAGCTTACTAAAAAATGAAGCAAACGATGGTAAAAAGAAGGGTCCTTTGTGATCTTGGTATTGATTATCCATTGTACAGATATTTAATACTTTTTGCCAGACAGTTTTTATTTGCTAAGGAGCCATCTGATAATCCACTGCAAATCCTTGGGTTAATTTAACCGCAGTTACAATTGGATTTTAAAGTCAAAGACGGGGTTGTTCTTCAAAAATAGGAAACTGTTTATTTTTAAGTTTTTTCACCACTATTTTTAATTCAGCACAGCAAATTTCTTTACAAATCGACACAAAGACGACCATTTAATTCTTTTGAATATTTTTCACATGGAAAATCACTTTTTATATTGCTCAAAAAAAAGAAAACTTTCAAGTTCACTGGTATTTCTTCAATTTATTCATTTGATTTCAAACTGAAAACTGTTCTTTCACACTTCCACAATTTGCGGCTCTTCGCTGTTCACGCACGCTCACTATAAGCCTGTTCTCAACCCTGTGGAAAAATACAAGAGAGAGAAAATTACCGCGTGAAGATGTTCTTTGCTTCAGCACAAACCATTGACTGGCGCAGAAGCCGAAATATTATCATATTCGCAAAATCGTTTTACTTCTTCACATCTACATTCGAAGTAAGTATATTCACAGATGCCACCGCGTCTATCAGCCACATAGATATTATGCTCGTTTATTTCAGTGAATAAGTTCAGCCAGACTTTCTCATATTATTCCATACAATTATTCTGCTTTTCTATTCCATTTCTCTCTTCTGCACAGCAATCGCTACTTTAGTGCTACGCGAGGCGCTCAGCCGGGTTCCCGAGCCATTTGACAATCCCGTCCGAACTGCTAGAATAATGGCGATTTTGTCTTGTCATCGTGCGTTTCCGACAACTTAGTTCATTTCCTGTGAAAACTGTGAAACTGTGTGAAAAATTGGTGCAAGGCATTTTGATGTGAAAAAAATGTTTATAACGGACAGGGAATGTCCAAAATAATGTGCCATGGATCAGGATAAATCGGTAAGTGGCTCAGGCGTCGCGCCGAAGGCGCTCTCGTGCCATTTATGTAACGAAATCGTCGCCCGCAAAAATGTGTCTCACTCTGCTGTCCATATTTTTTCTCGGGCTCCGCTGTTCGCCACTTTCCGGCCAAGTGGCCGCGCGGGGCGTGCGGCGGCGGGTCCCCGCCGCGCCACGGACTTGGGGCCAGCGCTGGGGAATTGCGGCGAATGGCGGCGACAGCAGAGAAATGCGTTAATTGCATTTGGTGTCAATTTCAATCGATCCTCGCCTTTTCTGCCCTCCATGAAGTGACACGCCGATAAATTGTAAATCGGCGTGAATGCGCTCGAGTCTATTTTTCGCGCTGCCCCTCGCGGCGTCGCCAGCGCGGCCGCTGAGCCCCCGCGGCGGGCGATCCGGGCAATGTAGGGCGGTGACCAGTTCAATGTGCAAATCATTCATAACCTATAAAAAATCGCCCCTTTGCAAGCTTTCTCCGGGCCGCTTTTCTGCTCGCTTCTTTCGCCGCTGATCCTCTGCGCTAGACTTTCTCGTCTTTCTAGACTTTTCGCTCCACCATTGGAAACGTTTTTGGGGCATTTACAGTGGACGCCGAAAGTGTCCGGACACGAGATGTGCCTTTTGTCTGTGGGAATTCGAGTCTTTTCTCAACGAAGGAATGATTTCAATATGACGAATTTTTAACCCTTCGTGGTCGGAAAAATCAGATTTTTCAAATAGACTTTAGCTTTTCTGAGCAAATTTGTGTTTACAAGTGTTCAAAAAAGATTGCAATGAAGAATTTTCCAGGAGAACTAGAAAAGCATATGCTCGATGACACTTTCGTTTAAGAGGTTTAAGATAAGCTAACTAGCCCTTTTCTGACACCAATTTCTTTGAAAAATCACTTATTTGATCTCATATAATGAATTTCTTAAATATTTATTTGATATTCGATGTAAATCAACTCGAAATTACGCCTTCACGTCATACTTTCTCGACCAAAACCTTAAAGAAAAGCATTAGGAGATCTTTAAAGTCACTGTTTTAAAAGAATATGAGACAAAATAAACAGATTTTAAATTTAAAGTTGAACTGAGAATTTTTAAATTTTTTAAACTGAGTTTCAAATGCTGTTTTGGACAAATTTAAGTGTTTTTGGTCTTCAAAGGATCCAGAAAAGCAACGTTTATTGCATGGAAATGCTTGATTTTGCCATTGATTAGCAAACTTTCCGACTTAAGTCCAAAAACGGATTCAAACAATTACGATTATGTGATAGAAAATTGTATTTAAGAAACGATTATTGTAGAATATGAACACTTTTTAGTACTCCAAAAGAATTTCTTAATATTGAGAGACGAAATCTTACTTTTCTTTTACTCTTATGGACAATTTCAGAGTCTGGATAATGATTGTTTTTTTTTATATTGTCTGTTATTGTCTTAAAACGTTTAAATTCTTTATGGTTTCGTTTTACCTTACAAATTATTCTGAAAGGCGAAAGAAACGATTTTATCAGAATAAATATCAATATCTATCACAGCATTCTCTGCTAAACGAGAAACAATTGAAGCACAGAGCAGAAAAGTTGTGGAAGTCACTGTAATTCTGTGGTTTTGGCAGTGAATTTCGTAGAAAAAAGATCCCACGTCACAGTGTTACTAGAAACAAGTCCAACTTGATGGCAATTTCGGATGGATTCTCTTGGAAATGATGCAACTCGTGTGTCTCGCTAATCGATTGTGCATTACATAATAAAATATTATGGTATAATTTTTTGCCAATGCAAAATTCCTGACGATAGAAAGGCGTATAATTTTGTGCATCACTTTCATGGCCATCGACGCTGTATTTTGCCTGGTTTGTAATATTAGATGAGTTTGTGCGGCGGAATGGCTGTGCTGGGAAGGTGAAAAGTCGACCGAAGAGGCACAGATAATCTGGGCATGTTGTAAAATGTAGGCGAAGGGATGAATTTGAGAGCAATAATGACCGGTTTTGTGTGACTCAACAATTGTTTTGTGCATCGAAAAGGAGAATCACTCGGACTTTTCTGTCTGTGGCGTAATTTATTATTGATAAGATAAGAGAAAGAGAGGAGATGGAAGGGAAAATGCTTTCTTTTCTCTCTACAATTGGAGAGTTTTGTTGTCATTTCGCTGAGAATTTGGTTGCAGTTTGACCTCTGATTCGGCCGATTGCTGACGCGTATCGCTTTTTCTTCTGTCTTGCAGGCGACACAGGAGTGCTACGAATTCCTAGACCTTTCTGATGTCGATGATACCGAAAGAAATCAGCTCGCGACAACTTTGTATCCAAGTGAGAAGCAACAAGCGCACGTGTCCTGGGTGCATGGTGCTGTGCAAGGCCAGCACCACAGACAGCAGCAGCAGAACCTCGGCGGCTTCGTCGGCAGCGAAGGTGTGCTCAGGGTCGCGCCCCAGTCGGGCGAGGGCAGTTGTCGCCAGGAGATCGAGCATGATCCGGCGGTGATCAACAGCTGGCAGGAGTCTACATATGGTAAGGACGGGCAAATTGCAGTGCGTGTGGAGAAGAACAGGGACTCGCCACGAGTCCTCAAAGTGGCCCCACTTTTCAGTCCATCGATATTTTAAGGAATTCGAGGACAATTTCTCCGCCTTTGATTGATTTTATATCGATTGGAGGACAATTAGTACTCGCGTTGACGAGATTTTCACATTTATCCTCATTTTTCTCTGATTTCTGAGGTATTTTATTCAAAAATATATCAGTAGATTAATTAATTTGGTCAGTAAATTTATGAGATAAACTTCCTTTTTCTATGCTCAGCATTTCTTACTAATTAAATGGCATTTTATAAAACTTTTTGACCAGGAGAAAGTTAATAATTTGATTGTTTTAATTAGAAATTCTTACCAAAAAGTCACAATCAATTGTATTTTTAGTGTAAAAACAGCTCAAATACTGACCGAAATGTTTTTCCCCATTAAATATGTGACTTAATTTCCTTCTCATTTTCCTTCAGAAAGTCTTCTGCAATTTCCATTTCGACGAGTGCCTCAAAAACTACCGAAGCAAATTGAAGTTTGAGACTTGAAATCTCTTCACAAAATCTCTAATTTTTGAGAAATTGACTGAAAAATGAAGAATTTCGAGACAAATTGGTAACATAAAGTAACCAAGAGTCAATTTTAAATAGTTTTTGTGTACTTATGTCCACAATTTTCCACTTTACTTTTATCAAATGTCGACTGTGAACGAAATGCGCGACAAAAAGTCGACTTTTGATAGTCTTGGAGGCTCTTGTCGATTAAATAATGTGTTCTAATTCTGCAGAGTTTTCGATTCTATACACAATATGAACGTAAACATTGCGTCATTGTTGTGTTTTCACTTCTCTATTCTCAATAGTCAGTGTAAAATCCTCTAAATTCATGTATTTCTTGACTTGGCCATAAATCAAAGTGCTATTTTTGCAAAAATTTGTCACGCGTTTTCGGGTTTATCGGAGCTAATTTGCATTGCGAAGCACACTGAACCTGAGACGCCTCGGCGATTGTTGGAGTGCAAGATTGCCTCGTGGCGAGTCCCTGGGCGAGAAGAAGTCGCCCTCTGGAGTCCTTGAGCGCTGTCCTAATTGATATGATGTGAATTGTGTTAGGGCAAGCCACGGCTACGCCATTGGTACGCAGTTTGATGCCGCGTTTGATACCACCTTTGGCGGCAGCGGCGGCGCTCCCCATTTATGCTATTGTGAAACCCACTCTGGCTCCCCTGGCAGCTGTGCCTTTGAGCATGCCGGCCGTTGCGGGCGCTGCAGGTAACGAGTGAACATTCTAAAACCACAATAATATGTTTTTACTTTGCGCCTTATCCTAATTTCGATGCATTCTCTTGCGTTCTGTCACTGAAAAGAAAGTCCCAAGCCGATATTGGAGAGTGTTTCTGTTCTGAAATTTCTAGCCAGACTTTGGATTTTATGTCTTGATTTGTGCAATGAAAGCAATGCTTTTACCCTTTCACGCCCTCAATTCTGTGAATCTTTGGTGAATTATTAAATTTTTGGTTCAATTTATGTCCTTATTTAGCTTGAAATTCATGTTTTTACAAGATTTTGTATTGACAGTCAATTTTATGATAAAAATGATGAGTTTATTGAAAGGAATTTGGCATGAAAACCAACAGAAACGATAAAAAACGAACTGTCGCTTAAAGAAATAAGATCTTTGAGTTCTTTTTTAGTTTTCAGACTGACAAATTTGCTAAGAAATGAAAGAATTGTAAGGGAATTTCACCATCTTTTTGATGATGATTACTTTAGAATGTGCAAAGCCATTAGTTTCACTAGTTTCCGATTGAAATTTTCATGATTTCCTTGCAGTTCATCTTAATGTAGTCAAGCTAATGGCAGTTTAAGAAGATTAAACTCACACTGTATCGCTATTGAATACTGAAATGAACGACAGTTAACCTTAGCCAAGATAACAATGCTTTCCTGGATTGCATTTTTTCTATTGATTTATCAATTTTGCTTGTCTTGTTTTTACTGCAGAAAAAAAACAGACTTCATAAGTATAAATGATTCACATTTTATCGCTAAGTTGAATGCCAAATATCTTTACATTTAGTGGATGATTTGACAAAATTGGGATTTATTTTGAATTCTCATCTCAGAATTGAGGAATTTTGCGATCTTCAAGCACTCATAGAAATCTTCCTTTTGCTTATTGCAAGAAATATTCTTTGAATTTGGGTTTATTTTTTTTAACTTTGTCCTGATTTTAGAGAAAGAGATAGAGAGAGAAATTATACATATTTTCTATATTTATTGTTGGGAGTTTTTTACGACGGCACTAAATTCGCGTTTTATTGCAGTGAATGGCAATAATTACGAAAAGACACCATCTGAGACAGAAACGGAATCATCTGTGACGACAGAGTACACGGAATTCGTGCACCATCAGCATCATCCGCCGCCGCCGTCCCACCAGGCGCCGCAGCACCAGCCGCCGAGCACAGAAATGTCGCCGCATCAGCATCACCAGCACCAGACGCCGCACCAGTCACAGCAGAGCTCGGCGCCGCAGCACGCCAATCTCGCTGCCATGTACACGTCCGGCGGCCAGGGCGCGCAGCCGGCGTACCTGCCGCAGGGCTCGCACATGTACCAGATGGTGCAGCCGACCATGCCGCCGGGCAACGTGTACGTGGGCAATATGACGGCCAACGTGAACGTGCACAGCTTTCTGGGGCCGCAGGGCTACTTGCAGCCCGCGTCGGCATTCATGCCCGGCGACGTGGCGCCGCAGACCGTGGTGGCCACGTCGCACGACCAGGCGGCGGTGCACCAGCCGCCCATGGGCAGCATGCGAATGGGCGGTCCGCGCCGCGGGCGTGGCAACAAGTCCGGCGGGTCGCACAGGAGAGCTGCGGAGCGCCAGGAGCAGCACCAGCGGCAGCAGCAGCAGCAGCAACAGCAGCAAAACTCCGGCGCGCCGCCGCAGGAACTGATGCAGCCGCCCATGATCGATCCGCAGCAGCAGATGATGGGCGGCCAGGGCTACGGACAGCCGCACTACTACTACACGCAGTACCCCAACTACTACACGCCGCACACCGCGATCTCGCACGCCGCGGCGCAGCACGCCGCCGGGCCGCCGCTCTACCACACGATGCCGCTGTACCCGGGCGGCCACCAGATGGCGTACGGCCATCCGCCCAGCATGTTTATGTACCCGCCGACCATGATGTCGCCTGAGTACGCGATGATCGACGACAAGGGCGACGAGCAGATGGGCGACGGCAACCTGATGGGGCAAATGTGGCACCAGCAGATGCCGATGGAGTACCCCATAGAGCCCGGCATGGGCGCGGCGCAGGCACAGGAGGAGTTCATGGTGCAGCCAGAGCTGCTGGAGGACCCGATGAGTGCCAATGCCCTCATGATGATGTCGCCGCAGCAGACGCCGGCGCAGCCGTCGAGCCACCATGTGCTGAATCCCGACGTGGCGAACTTCATAACGATAGAGCAGCAGCAGCAGATGAAGGCGCAGCAGAGTCAGCAAGTGGAGTATCCGCAGAAGGCGTCGCCGGTCAAATCACTGCCAATTGCGGCTGTCGTGCCGCCGAGCGCCTCGCCAATTCCCCCAACGCCGGCGGCGCCGGAGGAGCTCAAGATGCCGCAGACTGAGAGCGAACAAAGTGCGCAAGCTGAGATCGTCGTCGCTGTGGAGAATGTTGTGAAGATCGAAGCGCCGGTGGAAGCGCCGCCGAATGCAGGGTCCATGGAGGCGCCAGTGCAGAAGATGATCAAGGCTGACAGCGAACCGCCGAGCATCCTCACCAACGTGACAAACATACAGAATGTGCCAAGTGTTGCTCCCAATAACAACAACAACAACGTGATCAAGCCAATGAAGCAAGAGGAGACGAATCGCCTGGTGAAGATGACGAACGACAAGCTGATGATCAAGAACGATCGCGGACAGAAGCCGCCCGCGTGGAACAAGAAGAGTACAACGAGTGTTTCTGTCACGGCGCTTCCTTCGCCGGCGCCCATCACGACGTCACAGACGCCCATCAGCAATGCTGACGTGAAGCAGGCCAAAGCATCGCCGCCGCCCTTCGCCAATCAAAAGCCCGCACTCGTGAAGGTGAGCAATGTTTGGTGGGAATTTGTGTGTTTGTGTGAATTTTCCACAAGGGAAGTCAGCGGATTATTCTGCAAAGAATCAGGAATAATCAGCGTTACGCCTGTGGAAGAGCATTTTCATATCTATTGTCGCCACAATTTTTGGGGCTATTCTTGTTCCCAAAGCCGTGGAGTGAGAATAGATTTGGAGTGTGTTTATCTTGAGAGTTGATCAATTTGGCATATAAAGATTGATCTTAGTAGAGAAACGTACAATATCTTCTTCTTGTGTAATATTAAGCTTTCATTCAGATCAAGGGGAGATAATGCAACTGAAAATTGTATTTTTCTCTGATTTCTAAAAGTTTGTAGCATTGAAATTGACTCTCTTTTCTTGAAAAGAGCTTTTAAGATCATTTCACACCGTTTGAATAGTCAATTGATTTCAATACCAAGAAATATTTAGAAGAATTCTCAGTAAATTATGAGATTAATAACTAAAAGAATAGATAGACATGGATATTTGTGGATATTTAACCACATTCAGTCCACAATAACTATTATTTCTCCCTTGATTCTCAGAATCTTGCTTCTTATTCACACTCTTGTGACTTGTCAGACGAATATGAAAACTCTGTAGCATGAAATTGATGGTATTTTTGGTTGTTTAATTGCAGACCTTGTCAAATGCCACGGCACAAGTGCCAAAAGTGATTGAGAACTATACAAAAGCACCAAATCAAAATGAGCAGCAGAATCCTGTTGCGCCGACAGAAGTTGTGGCGGAGAAGAAGGCGGAAGTTGTGTTGACGGCGGTCAATAAGACAGTGCAGGCGATTCCAATGGCACACAATCAAGTGAGTGTTGAGGCCAAGCCAGCGACTGTCGCCGTCACGACGTTCGAATCGAAGCAAGTGGAAGTTTTGCCACAGATTCAACCCCAAATTGTTCCAGTGGAGAACAATGTTGTGCCTGATTTGATACAAATGGTGACAACGAATGGCACAGCGACTGACTGTGTGGCGATCGTGGAGAAGAAGCTCGAGCCTGCGCCTCGCGGCGGTCCGGCCGCCGTCACAGTGACAGCAAGTGCGCCGCCGAGCAAATCCTGGGCGAGTCTCTTCTCGTCCGACAACTCTTCTGCGTCTTCCATGCTGGCGGGTTCGCATCCGCTGAGTGCGAACAAGAAACCTGTGGCGAAAGTGCCGCCTTTCGAAGCCACGCAGACGCTGCCGATCGACGGACTGTCGTACTCAGCGGCGTCGGCAATGGGATTGCCAATGACTCAGGCGTCGTCGTCGAAAGTGGCCACAGTCGCCGTGAAGGCCACAAAGTCAACTGTCGATGATCGCAGCTTCAAATTGGGAGGTGAGAACTGAAGAAATGCATGTTTTAGAGAGTCTTTTACGGTGGTTTTGATGCCATTTTACTGAAGAAATGTTATTTGACGACTTGTTTTCACACTCGTAACTAGAATTGTGAGGGAAATTAATTGTAAGTCGATGTGTTTCTCTGTATAAATCTCAAAAAGTTCCTCAACGAGATTAAATTGAGACCTGAATTGGCGAAAAAAGTCGCGAATTCCGCAATATTTCATTGAAATGAAGCAGAAAAGCATGAAAATTCTATAAAGCTCTTGGAAATATACCTTTTAGCATCTCTTCAATTCTGATATCTTTGCAAATAGATGCAAATTCATCAGATTATATTGATAAAGAAGTGATAATAGAAAATTATTGAAAAATCATGCATTCTAGGACTAAATTATTAACACGAATACCTCAAGATTGTGTTAAAGACGGCTTTAAACATTTTCCACACAAGCATTTCACTGGAAATTTGGCCCAGACTCTTGGCTAGAGACACTGAAACATTGTTGTTATCTTGCAGAATTCTTCTCAAAGTATCAGATTGACAACAGCAGCGTTATCTTGTGTCCTCGCGGACTGACCAATCGATCAAATTTCTGCTACATCAATGCCATTCTGCAAGCGCTCGTCGCCTGTCCGCCGTTCTATCACATGATGAAGAAGATTCCACTTGAGCCGCCGGCATTTCGCCAGAAGAGCGCAACGCCCATCATTGACGCCATGTAAGTTGAGAGAAAATGCTTCTCGAGAACCCCTTCTTTTAAGCCGGCTTCCCAAAAGAGCCTCTTGAGCTCTGTTGTTTTGGGCAAGTGTGCAACGACGGGGGACAATATTCTCTGGCGTGTGTATGATAATTTCGATGAACTCGTGTTGGAAATAATCAAAGAAAAGCCAGAAACACTGCTCCAATTTTCCCCCCTTACAATGCTGAATAATAATTGATTCGGTTGTTGTGTTTTTCAGGGTGGAACTCGTGTCGGAATTCTCGACAATGCCGCCCGGCGCGCGGCTGGGCAAGCGGGAGAAGGGCTCGAAGGGGAAGGACGAGATTGATTTGATGTGCGACATGGCGTTCGAGCCGACTGTCATTCACAAGATGCTGAGCAGCAGTCGCTCGGAGTTCCACGTTGAAGGACGACAGGAGGATGCTGAGGAATTCCTCGGCTTCATCCTCAATGGATTGAATGACGAAATGCTCGAGGTGAGTCGAAATCTGTCTGTTTTGCTGTGTACTTCAAATGCCTTGAATGGTGATTTCTCTGATCGACAGCTGATGAAGTTGGTGGACAAGCAGGCAAATCTGGCGAATGGTGAGCAACAGGCGAACGGAGAAGTGCAGACTGAGGAGGGCGGCGACGATTGGCAAGTGATCTATGGCAATCGCAACAAGGGAACGGTGACGAGGACAACGGACTTCGGCAGGACGCCAATCAGTGACATCTTCGGTGGGCAGTTGAGATCTCGCGTGCAACGCGAGGGTGATCATTCAACTGATGTCATTCAGCCTTTCTTCACGCTGCAACTCGATATTGAGGTGAGGAATAATTGCGTTTCTGTGGAATCCTTGTGAAACAAGTGAATTCTGTGTCTGCTTAGCTATTTTATAGTAGAATTTCCCATATTTTGGTGTCTAGACAACTCTGGAAAGAATAAAGTGTTTCAGATTGTCAGTCTAAGAGGCAAAATATACATATTGACCTCCTAAATAATACATTTTATATGAAGGAATTCTAAGAACATTTGCTTTTTGTAACTTTAATAAGGCCAAAAAATGTTCTCCTATGCGAAGGCAGAAATAGGAAACATTTGCTGAATTAGCGAAACTTGTAACATCAATTTTATCTGCATTTCAGTCTCTTTCTTTTGCTCACTCTTTGCATTTTTTCATAAACAAACATCTTCTCTTGATTGAGCTTTGCAGAAGGCGGAATCTGTGAAGGAAGCGCTGGAAATTCTAGTCGTTAAGGATCAGTTGGAGGGCGTGACGTGCTCAAAGACAAACCAGGAAGTTGCCGCGTGGCAGCAAGTGACGCTGGAGAAGCTGCCAGTCGTGCTGATTCTGCATCTTAAGTGGTTCGACTACAAGATGGACAGTTGTACGAAGATTCTCAAGACCGTTGAGTTTCCGATAGAGCTGAGAATAGATGCAAGTGAGTAGAGATGATGATGATGATGATTTTGGTGGGTGATAGAAATTGAGTGTGTTTCTTTGTTTTCTGCAGAAATTCTCTCATCGAAGAAATGTGTACCAAAACAGAGACAATACAAATTATTCGCTGTGGTTTATCATGATGGCAAGGAGGCGTCCAAGGGACACTACATCACGGACGTCTTCAATGTCGGCTATGCATCGTGGATTCGCTATGACGACAGCACCGTGCGCTCTGTGTCTGAGCAGACGGTGCTGCATCCGCACCTGCCCAAAGTACCCTATCTGCTCTACTATCGGCGCTGTGATACGATTGGGCCGCAGGGACAGCAATCCACGGCGGCCAAGTGAGCGTCGCGGCGCCAGTGAAGATGAAATTACACGTAATACAAAAAATATCATTTCCCAGGAAGAAGAAGAAGAAGCAGAAGAAAATCTTTAAGTGTTATGTTGTTTTTTACACCATTCTGTATAAGTAATTGAAATCGAGTCAAATTTATGTTTTTTCATGTGCACATGCAGTGACTTCGAGATTGTCTCAATGACTCAATATTGCAGTGGAATCATTAAATCATTGATGGTGGACAACGATTAGCGTTTTGATATGGCGTGTGTAACATTGAGAGAAGACTTTGAAGACGCTGCATGTAATTTATAAATGAACAATTCACTGTACTCAAAAATGGGAAGATGAAATGGGAGAATATTAGATGATGTAAATAGGTGAATGAGAAAGGTGAATTGATCGGTCCTGATGCCAAAAGTGTTGGAACAATATATTAAAAAAAATGAATAATAGGAACTTCAGTGAGTGAATGGGAGAATTAGAAGCACAGAGAAAATTTTCAGTGAAATGTGTGTAAATAAGAGAGAGAGAGAGAAATTAAGTGTGAAGAGAGACTGCGAGTGACATATTCTGTAAATATACAATTAAAAGACTATAAACTGTATACACATGTATATGTATTTCATGAATTTTTATCAAAACTATTCATTGTTAATGTGAAGAAGAAGAAAAAAACAGGGGGAGAATTAGGAGTGACATTGCTGAGGGCGTCATATAATTGAATTTGAATTATAAGGAATATAAGAAAGGATAATTATTCTCTGTAGTCACGCTAATCTATTTTATTTACGTATACGTAGAATTAGATTTATGAGTATAATGTGTTTTTTTCTTTTCCTCAACAAATCGAAATTTATCATCATTTATTATTAGCTTTGTGTATTTATGGAGAATATAATTTGTAATTCTTTGGCTGGACTTGCTTGCTTGCGAAGAGGATGAAGAGAAAAAAAAGAGAGGGAAGACAAACTAGTCTAAGTTTTGCAATTATGGATAGCATAGAAGGCAAAACGTAGATTAAGTAGGCATGCATAGGATTGAAATATTTATATTGATGATGATGAAAAAAAAACCCATTTAATAATTTCCTCTTTATTATTGATGCAGAATTTGGGTACAGGAAGTGACTTTTATCAGTTAAAGAAAAATACCCTCTAAAAAGTTCATATTATTATTTACTATTGCATAAGTAAAATTGTTTTTCGTACTTCTATTTAACGTTATAATTATGAAAGAGAAAATTATGTCCTAACACATTGTGAAGTGTGTGTGAGAGAGAGAGAGAGCTTGAATTATTGCATTATATAGTGATTGTTTGGAGAATGTTTCCTTTTTTTCTATATGAAATCCTAATAAGTTTTGCATTAAGGGAAATTGTTGAGCAGCAGGAGTATCTTTTAAGATTAAGAGAGGAAAAAAAAGGATGAGCAGAGACGTCAAGGCTGTGTAATTTTTGTTTGTTTATCCTTCAAAAGCTGAAAAAAGATAGAAAGCGAGAGAGAGAAAGAGAGAAATTCGCGTGAAAGTGTGTGCGAAAGCGACGATCCTACAGTGATTGGGAGGATTTTGTGTAACATTTGGATCCAGTGTAATTCTGTGTAAATAACTTAGCTTGCTGATGAGTGACTGATGCTGAGCGACGAGAGATCAGGAATGTTGTTCTGAAGAGGAAGAAAGAAACGAATGGCAAGATTGATGAGCAAAAGAACACCTTCTGATCAAAAAAAAGAAAAGAAAAACACCGAGAGAGAGACAATTTATTGTGAATAAAGAGAGCGCGTTTTTTTTTTCATTCAAATAAAGCCATTTACAATGAATTGATTTAGCGAAGGAGGCGCGAAAGAAATAGTTACTTGTTTACTGTATTTACTATTACATATTACAATTTAATATATATATATATATTTTTGTAAAGCTAACTAAAAGAGAGAAAAAAAAGTGTAAAATATTGGGGAGAACATGAAGATAAAAAAAAACGTGGAGGAGGAATGAAATGGTTTGAAAACTATTATATACAAAAATGAGAAAAACAAAAAGATGATTTAGACGTAATAGGAATTTTATATAAATAGAATTATGAAATTGAAGTGAAAAGTAATTCAGCAAAAACACATCAACCTTTATTTTTAGGAATAAAATAACAATTGTAAAATCATTGGCGAAATGCGGACTTTTGGCGCTGCGGGGAGAAAAAAAACTCAGCAATTTGTGAGTTTCTTCGCGAGCATTTTTTAATGATTCTGAGAAAAGATTGTTTGCTGCGAAATACGTTTATTCAGTAGAACCAGAAAGCATTTCTATGTTTGGGAGTCGCGTGAAAATCGATAGAAAGACGCCTTTTAGAGAGGCTCAATTGCTTAATTGCGCAGCCAAAGTCACAGATTTTTTTTAATTTAAAAGAAAATGATGAATTTGCATCTGTATTTGAAGTGAAATTCATGCAAAATGCGACTGAAGTCACGATTTAGTTGCATATTGAGTTATTTTCATCACAGCCATGATTTCGAGTGCGTAAATAACAATGCAAATGTCAGCCTGAAAATATGCTGAAGTTATGTTTCTCGCAACCTTTTTTCCTATCAATTGCTTTTCACTCTCTAAGAAAGGATTAAAATCTGAGTTAGTCGGGATTTGCAATACCTTCCAGGAAGGCTCAAAATCCTTCCAAATCAAGCCTAAAGTCGTGACTTTGTCAAGGAAAAATGCTGATTTTCGCGTTCATTTGCCTGAAATTTTACGTTACGCCACTGCGCGAAATACAACATTGTCGCGATATTGTGAAATGCTGAGCAGTTTTATCTCTGAAAGCGCCAAGTTCAGCGATGTCGCCTTGGTAGTTGAAGAAAACACACACTTTAGCGACGAGAAGAGAGACAGAGAAATTAAAAAGCTGAATGTGGAGAACGACGAAATGCATAACAGAAAGAAGGAATATCATTAAACAGACATACACATATAAAGAAAAAAAATATTGCAGAATATTCACAATACTTATTATATTAATAAAATAAATAATAATAATGATAATGGATGATGATTTACTATTAAAAAAAAAAGATGAATAGATAAGTGCACTTATATAAAAATGAAGAGAAACGAGAGAAAGAGAACATATTAATACATATTATATATTCCTTGGAAGTAACAAATAAAAAATGAATGAATCTAGTTCTACATAGAAACAAATTAAGGAGAAGAGCATGAAATATGATGCCACACACACAAGGAAGCGCAAGGGTGGAATATAAAAAGAATCCTTACAATCTTAGGGTGGCACCCCTTGAAAATATATGTATTGTTTTTTTTTCTTTGACCGTAAGCGGGAGAATGGGTTTAGATAGGAATAGTAGGCGACAGAGCGAGAGAGAGAGAAAGAGATATTGCAGAATTCGCTTCGAAAAAAAAGTAACATTGTGAGAAGACACAAAAGTTTATATTTCATTTTGCTTTTTGTCATTATACATTTAAAATAATAAAAAACAGGAGAGAAAAATTCATACAAAGAGACGAAATCAAGCTAAATAGTAATAAAAAAAAAGAGTCGCGAGAAGTAGAAATACAAAGAAGACGAAAGGAGAGAAACAAAGTGGAGAGAAAAATGGCAAGACAAGATAATTAAAATGAATAAAACATAATGCAAAGCAAGAAGATTTCAAATAATAAATGTAATTGATATTTAAAGAAAAAAAAAGAGAAGAAAAACCGGCTCGTATAATTTTCTTCTGGCCCTTCTTCGCCCTTCCATTCTCATCCCGCGCGCGTCTTATGATTTAATTCTCGGCTTTTGTATGTGGGATGACTATGAGTCTGTCTCGTTCACTTAATCGATTTCGGCGGTGTGCAAGTGCGCGCTAGAGTGAGAGGGAGAATTTACATAATTTAGTATTGATATTTTATGTCGTGCGAGAGAGTGGGAAAAAATTTGAATAACTAAAGAAATTGCGCAAATTATCGAAAAAATTGGCCAATGAAATCGCAATCAAATCGCATTGGTTACTTCCGGAGGGGAAGTTCGTGTGGCACTTCGTGTCGATCAGTTTCACTGTCGGCTGTCGATCGGGCGCGCGCGAATTGTCGCGAAGAAATATGAATAGATAACGGACGTCACTCTTTGCTTTGGCTTAAAATATAAAAGAGCGCGGGACTTAATGACTGGCCGCAGTTCCCGCGATTCCACTCACGAGTTGCTCTTCAAATTCACACTCTTTCTCTCTAAATAAGTGACTCATCCAATAATGGCGGCTCTGATTGGAAACATCCCGGAGTTCTATGCCGGCGCCCAGGATTGGAATGTCTATTCGGAGCGCCTGGAGCAGTTCTTCCTCGTTAACAACATTCCGGACGACAAGAGGAGCGCCCTGCTCATCAGTGTGATCGGCAATGACACGTACAAGGCGCTGAGGGATCTCTGCCACCCGCAGTTGCCCAAGGACAAGCCCTTCGAGGAGCTCTGCGAGCTCCTGAAGAAGCAGTATGGGCCACAAGTGTCGGTGTTTCGGGAGCGCAAGAAGTTCTACACGTCCAAGCAGATGGAATATGAGGGCGTTTCCGCGTGGTATGCGCGCCTGAAGACGCTGTCTGTGGACTGCAAATTCGGCGACAACCTCGAGACGATCCTCATGGATCGCTTCATCAGCGGCCTGCGGAATCCCGTGGTGCTGGACAGGATGTGCGAGGAGGACGAGACGCTCACGCTGACCAAGGCAGTGGAGCTGGCGGTGAACAAGGAGAGTTCCGTGGTGGACAACGGCGGGCGCTACAATAGTTACAACAATTACAACAACTACAACCAGAACCGGTGGCAGAACCGCCGCGGCCGCGGACGCGGAAGAGGCGGCGGCCGCGGAGGCTGCTTCGGGATGGCGGCACCTGCGAATGATCAGGCTTCGGATGCCGGCGACATCGCGCCAATTCTGTAGTCTGACGATCGATTGATTCTTATAGAATAATGTATATTTACCTGCACACGAAAATAAATGTGTGACGCAACATGATGTGTTTCCATGGTGCGTGAAGGTCAGAGAATGCTGACCGACCTTGATGTGTGGTCAGTCGGTTAGTGGGAGAGAATCGGGAGAACGAGGCGAACGGAGAGAACACAAAGCGTGTCTCGAGACACCATTCCTCACATGGCACGCAATTCTGTGTGAATGGTCAGGGAGCGCTTGTGGGTTTGAAAGTCAAGGGGAACTCTCGGCACAACATCCCACCCCCGCACGCCGGCCGGAAGGCCGGCCAGAGGGTGTGCCACCCTCCCTTCGTGCCAGAGATACGAATCTGCCGGTGGTCAGCTTCACCCGCTCGCAATTGTTGTAATTCGCAAACCCTCAAAGTGGCTTTCCAACTTCCCCAGCCTTTTATCGGAAAACGAAAAGGCATTTTCAGGGCATCTGTGATAATAGTGTGTTATCATTCGGCGCGTTTTCTATTTGCTCGCCTTTCTCCCATGTGTGAAAATGCTTAAGGTAGGAATTGCTCTGCTAACAGGATTGCAGCCGAATGATAAATAATGCACGAGAATTTTTAACTGTTCATCTTTTATTTTGTTTACATTTTTAATATTCTATGAAAGAGAAAGAAAAATAAGAAATATTTGGGTATAAATTCATGTGAAATCCCATGTAAACATATTTAAAGAGAAATTGAACTGCAAATTGACTTTATATTGGATAACACGCTTTAGGGCAATTTATTTACGTATATTTGCTTTTAATTTTATATGTGTAAACCTTGTAAAAGAGAAGCATTAAAAGAATCACCTTTTCTAGAAATTTTTTTTTCGTAATTGATTTAATATGAGACGAAAATATATAAAATTTGTTCCTAAGAGATTTCTAGTTTAATCTTTTTGCAATTTTGAAGGTTATTTTAAGAAAAAATGAAGGGTTAAATTCAGTATTTTGGGTTATTTTATAAAAATCTTAGGGGTGTTTCTAAAACCTTTTTGGGTTGATAATTAAGAATTTGAAGGGGTTTAATTTTTAAAACACCGGAAATTATTTTTTTTATTAAAAAAAATGTTTTGTCAATAAAAAAAACAATTTATGTTTTCTTAAATTAACCCACTTATTTTACTTTTTTACACCAATATTTCTCTCCGTGTGCATTAAAAAAGACAAACGTTAGAAGAAAATTGTGACTTTCATATAATTTCACAATGTTATGAAAATCATTTGTAGACGCAAAGGCAATAAAATATAGAATTGTAGCTAAGTTACCAGTGAGTATAAACAGAAAAAAGGGCGGGCTTAGCCCGGCTCAATTACTCAGACAAATTAATAAACATTTTCTGTATCAACTATTAAAGATCTAAAAAATACTTTAACTGCATTGCAACAAATTGTGAAATAGAGAGAATGATGAATAATGCATACAAAATGACACAAAAGCCCAAAAGCAAATAAATAGAACAGGGAAATTCCATTAGTAGACTGTTCTGTACTGAATTAAATTCATTCTATTTTTCTTTAATCTAAAATACATCAAAGAAAAATATTATTGATATTAAAGATTCCATGAAATGCCCCAAATTCAACAAAAAAAATCGCCAAAGCGTCATACATCAAAATGCGCAATCATGTTTATCTCTTTTGTATTTTTCACCGAGGGAATGTACCCAGATAAGACTCTATTATTATTTGCCATATAATCATGTTATCGGCTTCATATCAATATCTCGATATCGACATGTTTCACAAGGGCAAGAAAGGTCTTTTCGCCGTGCCAATGAATGCCTCGTTTTCCACGGCAATTTCCAGGACTCGATCGAGTGTGACATTTTCATCCTCGTGGAAAATCTTTTCCTGAACTCGCACCTCTTTCAGGCCGCTCACGAATCTGTCCCTCAGGAATTCCTCCTGATCGCGGCCGGCGAAATTGCACGCTCGCGAGAGATGAAGAAGTCGATGAAAGAACTGCTGAACATTCTCGTGCTCCTCTTGGCGACTCCTGTGGAAAGTCACGCGATTCCTCAGAGCGCAAGAATTGCGGCTGTGTGCTGAATTGTCGAGGATGCGGCAGAGCTCGTGGAAAGTCATCAATCTGGGATCTCTGGGATGACAGAGAGTTCGCAGAGTGCGCCGATCCTGCTTGCTGATTGCTGTCAGGAGAAAGTCCACCTGAGAATCCTCAGGAATGGCTTTAGCCGTGATTTCGCGCTGGAGTGTCTGTCGAAGAGCCATCGCTGATTGAGATTCAGGGCGAGATTGGGACAGAAAGTCGGGCTCTGGCCATAGAAAGAGCAGAAATGACATCACATAAAGTATCGGCATTTCGAAAGCGAGCGCAATTCAAATTCCGCGAACTCTTTGAATCACTCATCGCGCAGGGGAAGCACTGGCCGACGGCGGGGCAGGGCGCCGCGGCCACAGGAAAGTGGCCACAATGTCGGCCAGTCGGTGGTGGGGCGGCGCGTATAAAGGCAGGTGGTCGGGAGCGCTTGGCTTCAGTTTCTGTGGCGTCTTGGAAGGGTGTGTGCAGTAGCGTAGTGCACGAACATCGCAGAGGGCCCCCATTTGGGGGGGCGCCCTCTCCGGCCAACGGCCACGTCAGCAGTCTGGTGGAAAAAATCTCGGAGAAGCCTTTCAAAGTCCAGTCCTTGGATTGTGAACACTGTTCGGATAAGAGTTTTTCTGCTGTAAAAAAGTTGCAGAGAGTTCGAGAAAAACCCGATCAAGGTAGGTTTTCGCCATTGCACTCTGTGTGTCTCTCTTTCCCGCTCGCGCCCCTCTCCCGCCGCCGCTGTGCGAGTGGAATGCCCCCAGAACCCTCTCCTGCCACCACCTCCCCACCCCCCACCCCCGCCCGCCAAGTCCCGAGCGCTGTCCCGTCTGGGACGCCGTGGGGACCCGCGGATCTGTGCTGAGGAGCGCCAATTGACGGTATTTTGCCATTCTCTTTCTCCCCCCGTGGCGCTGGACAACGCAGCGAAAAACGCGAAGAGAGAAAACTTCGGAGACAAAGAACTGCGCAATTGAACGGCCATTTTGAAAGACGCCCATGACGTCAGGCACAGAAACTCCCGTTGGCCAGAGAGGTGGATTTTCGACGAGATGTGTGTGTGAACGAAGTAGGAAGATGCGACTCTGATTGCTGCCCGGCCATCAACGGATTGAGGTACAATTCTGAGCTGATATCTTTCTCAATAATTAATCCTCGCAACTTAGATTGTATATATTTTTGGAAATTATTGTAGAAAAATACTTCGTATATTTGAGGAAATATTTGATACCGCCCTAATGAGATGAGACTATCTTGGGGAAATATAAGAAGAAAAAAGAAAACTGAGTATATGATGAATAATGATGAAGTATAATGAAGAAAAAAAAGCATAAAGTAGAATTTTGATTTTGAGCGAATAACTTCAGATTTAAACATAAATGGATTATACGTAAGATCAATGATAGTAAATTGATGATTTATGAATTTATATTCGCAAAATACTATGCTGATAATGAGGTAAAAAAAGAGAAATAATAAGACGATAAGGTAAACACTACATGACGACGAAAGGTATACAAAATCATTGATGAATTAGTGGTGTATAAAGAAAAAAAAATCGGCCAGAGCAGCCGTAAATGATCACGATGAAATAATATGATAAATCACGAGGAACTTGTTGAATATAAAAATGATTTACACGAGTGAACATGATGAAATGCTATGAAAATTGATAAAAATACTAACTTTGACACGCGGCGGCGCTCAGACGCCCCGCGAAGCGACGGGGGCGCAACGATGGTAAGGGACGGCCGGACTTGCGACCCCCGGAGCTTTTTCGTGGTCGCAAGTGGATAGCGATTATTGTCACTGCGACATTGATTTGCATGCCAAGATGTCCACTTTGATGCGATCGACGATTATTCATGCTGAAAAGAAAAACAATCGCGCTGCGATTTGATGAATTCTATACTGATGGATTTCCAATCCAAACCTATATAACATTACCAACGGAGAATGGTACTCGCAATATGATTAACAAATCACGACTAAGCAAACATGAAACACTTTATTGAAAAATGTAAAATGGTATTACTGACTTCGGGCTCTGCTTCGGCCATTGAGTTCATGATTCTTGAGTATAAAAATTGTGTGCTAATAACATCATCATCATGAGCGCGATGACTGAGCAGAGAGTGAATCAGAAATCACTTGAATGACAAAGATTTCAGTGCGGACAGGGAATCTTTAGCATTGATACACAATTTTCAAAAAAAAAATGAAACACAAGTAAAAAAATACTACATGAAAAAATGTATGGTTCAAAAGAAAGAACCGAAGAAAAGCGTAATGCATAAAAAAAAACCGTAAAAGGGAAAAAAATGCTTAATTTGAAATTGCACATGATGAAGAATTGAGCGATAAATTACATAAGAGAATATAAAATCCAAAAAAAATGAGAAAAATCTAAGTAAAATAAGACAAAAATAATGATAAAACAAGAAAAAACCCAAATGAAAACTATAAGATGAAAAATGTCATTTAAAAATACTTAAAGTTCCTAGTAAAAATAAAAAAAAATAGTATTGTGAAGTAAAATTTTAAAATGTTTGAAAACAATATATAAACTTATTAAATGAAATTTTGAAAAATGAATTAAGAAATCAATGAAAAGTAAACTAAATAACTATTTGTGAAATTAGATGAGCAGAAAATTCATTGAATAAAGGAAAAAAAAACAAGTAACTAGATGTAACAGAAAAATACATATGTGTGAAAAAATTTTGAGTCGTTGAATTTCATGATAAAAAAAAATATGTAGTGGAAAAAACCAAGAAATGATGAAGAAACATGAAGGAAATCAATGAAGAGAATATGAAATGATAATTGAAAATTCGAGTCTGACGAGATTTTATTTGTTTTTTTTATAAACAAAACATATGTTTTCTGTTGATGAGAAATATTTTGAAACGAAAATTGCAATTTGATTTTTATTGTAATATAAAGAGAAATAAGTCACGACATGGATTGGATATTTTTCACCGTGCCCGGAAACTTCTAATTTGCCTTCGCATTTTCAAGAGTGAGTTTATTCTTCAAATATATACCCACTAAATGATCTCTCCGGGGCTCGTTTGGTGTGCTCGTTGTATTTCGAGAAGAGACACACAAAGGAGATGTGAAGAGGAGCGTGGAAAATTTCTGAAATTGGTGATAATTATTTAATCGCATGGTCGTGCATTATTTCCTTTTGTTGAAATATAATTATATACGTATTTTTTCGTTCGAGAAGACAATGTAATTAATGATAATTTGAAAGGGAAAAATGTTAATGGACTAGATTATGCTTTTAGGTATACAATTTTTGTGCAGTCGGCTCTGAACGTAATAAAAGCATAATTATGAGATCAATGAACTTGAAGAAAAATTGAACAAAAAAATTATAAAATGAGAGAAAATCAATAAATGAACATAAGAACCGGACAAATGTCCGAGAGAAAAAACCCTCAAAAACACTGGCCTTTTTCATTTCCCACTTCCGCGTTCGCGCCTCCACAAAATGTGGCCCGCTTTCTGGAAATATGGAAACGCAATTGCTGATATAACGGCGCTGAGAGGCACTTCTTTATATCGCGGCGGTGTCTGGAGACGACGCGCGACACAGCACAGGAAAAAAGCAGCCAGAGATGCGCATGTTGAAATGTGTTCCCCAAATGTTCTAGAACATTCCTCATCAACGCGTCGGCGAAGCGGAGGAGCGAATAATTGAGTGTATTTTAAAGTCATTATCTCCATTTTCGACAGTTTAACGCGCTGGATTCGCTGGGAATTATTTTTACCTTCTGTAACACCTCAGATAAGATTGTTTGCAGACGGAATTGGACGTGGCGTTGATTCCAGCACGGATCAATTAGGGCTTTTCTCCGGGAAATCATGCATCGATATGTTTGGAATAAAGATTTATGACGACTTATTTGTTGTTTTTCTCCAATTATGATAACACTTATGAATGGATTTTATTCAGATGTTCGAAATGGAAAACTATATTTGATGCTTTCTTAAGCACTGATGTTTTCTTATCAATGTCTTCACACCAAATATTGGTGTGAGTTAGATTTCTAATCAAGAGATAAAAAGGGGCGAAAACAGCAAACAATACAAAAACACATACGAACGTAAGCGTTTTAGCAACAATTTACTTAATTACCAAAGAAGTTATGAAAGAAATTAAAAACGCTGTTTCTCATTTACAATGATTGTTTACATTGAGCGATGAACTCAAGGAAGTCTACTTTGCCAAACTACGCATCAATAAATGGGAAAAAATGTAGAGAATATAAATAAATGAATATCTTTAATGGCCGAGATCTACTAGATATTTCACCCTTCTCATCAGAAATACATATAGATATTCTCTCCCTTCTTTATCGCGGGGTTGCGCACTCGCGACATTGTCTCATAGCCATTAAAAAGTGAACCCTCTTTTCTCTGTGCTTCGCCACGACAACTTCTCTCCAGCAACTGCTAATTAGTCTCCTCGGCGATGAGTGCGCTTCAAAGCACACGGCAGAATCTCCTTTTATTGCGCTGATTGCGCCCATGACGTGAGTTGCGAGGCTTCATCTCCACCTGCGACGGATTGATTTATTTTGCATAGCGCAGCTGAAGAGCGAAGAAAGGCAACGCAACTAATATATCTTGCATAATGCCATCTTCCGCTCGATTTTCGTTTCTCCCACATTAGCACCCATTCACTGTAGTTTGTGTCTCTGCTAAATTAATTGTGGTACTTATTTACATATACATCGACGCGTGACAATTTAAATTTCAGCGGCCGCGCGCCGAACATCGCCAACGACACGAAGTCGCCACAAGTGCGGGCGCTCTTGTTGCGTTGCGGAAAAGAGTGTGGATTTGAGCAAAAACAATTGCTCACATGCCAACGAGGGTGGTTTAAAATTGATGAAGAATTGCCACAAATGAAGGGGTGAATCGGATTTGCGCCGGCGAGCGTACGAGAAGCACGACGGAAAAGGTAAACAAACTGTTTTCTATGGAGACGACCACCTGTTGCGCGGCTGTCCATGTCCTTTCAGAAAAGATAAATTTTGCTGACCTTTCTCTATCACCTCTTCCCACCCTCCGGGGGACGTGGCTTTGTGTGCGGCGGTCTCTTTGTGGGTCACGCAGGCCATTTCGGCCAGTCTGGCGACATCTTGCGCGCGAAAGGACCCAACATGTCCGAATTGCGCGACTGCGCTGTCCTTCGACGGCACGTCGTGTCGCAGCAAGGCGCCGCCAGGGGGCCAGGGAGGACGAGAGCGCGCGCATTCACCAGCGCTGGAGTTGGTGGTGAGTTGCGGAAAATCCACCCCAACCAGTGAGAGGGACAAGTTAATTTGTTCTCTGTCCCTTTTTAAATATAGATATTGATTCCGAAGCTGGAGCCCGACATGGGCACGAGTGGCTCCACCGCACACAATCGCAAATCGGGAACCCTCTTCTTTTGCGATACTGTTTAGGGCGGTTCCGCAGACCAGACTTGTAGCCGTACAGAAAATCGCAAATATCACACAGTGAGTACTTCATTATCCATTTTCTCACAAGCTTCCATCCGCCAGCGCGTCCGCCAGACACCCATCGACGTGCGACAGAGTGCAAGTGTTCAGTGCTCGAGGTGGAAAATCGCGGTGGAAAAACTCGGCGTTCACCAGCCTAGATATTGCCAAAAAATTGTGTGGCGAAAAACACCCCCCAGTGAAACTGTGCCCTTATTCTGCAATCTCTCCGACTGATTTGAGGGGGCGCGCGAAGAGTGTGTGGGAAAAGGTGTGAATATCGCATTCCGGGGCGAGAGAGTCACTCTGGCCACAGAGAGGGTTTATGTAAGAAAGGCGGAATGTGTGCGGTGAAAAAAGGACATCTTACGCAAATTTCATAAGCTCGTGCAGGAGCCATGAAAAGTTGTGATAAAGTAGCGAAAAAAAAGCACCTCCCGCGAGCCAAACCGCAAGTCTCTGAGGTGAATACGGAGCGCGAGAGTGGCCTGGATTTGTAATATATGGCGAAATGGAGTAATTTGCAGGACTTACAGCTGCAATATACACAGTTTAATATCTAGGTGAATATTGCTGGCGTGCGGAGAGAGTGAATGCAAAATATCCCCGGATGGATATAAAAGGCGCTTCAATGGTGTACAGAATTCATTCCCATTAATCCTCTCATGTTCATTTATAGAGTTCAGTGCCTGTGAAGTGGCTCAATTCACCCTGTTATATGTATATATATGCTTTTTTCTCCTCCACTTGCGTTCAGGCTCAGGAGACAGCTCATCTCCTCATCTCTCAACCGCGCCCGCAGAGCTTCGACTTGGTTCTGAATTTTGGGTAAATTTCTCCTCTCTCTCTCTGCTCATGTTTACGATTATGGCCGTATCACTGCAGAAAACCCTCCCTTTGCATAAGCTGCACACTTGCCAATTGCCATAAATTGTAGGTCGGCTAATTGGGTGAGATGGCGACCTATGCAATCCACTGATATCGTCTCTCTCTCTCGCCGCGGAGCGAGAGAGAAGACAGTATCAAACTTCGTGTCAATATTATATTGGTGTGCCACCTTAAATAAAGTGTAACACACATTCCTTGCACACATATCGATGTTATGGCTTTCCAAGAAACTGCTTCACACCCTTGTAATTGAAGAAATGAATGCATGTTTATGCTAGCATGCATTGTCATTGCAAAATCTACTGTGTAATCGTGAATTTTGAGCACAATATTGCAGAAAGGGTGAGTTTTGCTAGTGCTTCAGAGACATTTTAGGCGGATTTATTTGCCACACAACATTTTGATCACACAAGATTCCACACAAGAAACAATCCCGTGAATTTTCTCACAACTGCAGTGCTTAATATGATCAAAAATGTCAAAAAGTCTCTCCCATGAGCTAAATAATTCAAATGCCCAGATAAGAAGTTGCAAAACTGAGCAAAAAGGCTGTCAAAAATCACCCTTGAGTTTGAGACGTGCTAATAAACTCTGGCAATTTGTAGTAAATTTACTACAATATGCAATAAAGCTTGCATGTTTAGAGCAAGTTTGAGAAGTCATGAATTTTACAAAATGAAAGCTCTGCCTTAAAGATTCTGGGAAAAGTGCACACACTTCGGGATTTTCTCACTATATTAAAGGGTTTTGCGGGATTAACCCTTATCAAATTGATCTTGCATAATATGAAGCCGCTGAAGGCTAATCAAAAGTGTGTCAAGAGTGAATTTTAATTTCGCACTGTTTTATTGTGCAACGCATAGAAATAATTTCCCCATTTGCCGCTTTGCCATCAAATTTATTCATCGATTTTCAGCGGTTAGTCGAAAATCATTCAAAAGCTGTCGCGTGCAGTGGAATGAGAGAATGGAGAGAATGCTGCAAAAAGTGAGAGAAAATGAATAATTAACATAACTCTGAAGACAGAGAGACACTGAATTACTTACTCTTTCGAATGCATTCATTGCACTTCACTGGAAAGCAATTGACATTCTCAACGTGACATTCGATTATTTCCCTGAAATCTCCCGATGTTTCAAGCCTCAGTTTCCAGTTTTCCAGACAAATACGATCGTCTCACTCTAGTCGTCGACTTCGTGCTGCAAGTGAATATCGCGAACGTGGAAAGATCGGCACTCGAGCTCTTCGACAATATTTTCATTTCACAATTTATCTCTCTCTGGGTTTTTACCTGTTTTTTCGCTCACACTCACCGAAAAATGTGAGATCAACAAGGTTCTGTGCTTCCACGATTTGTGCTATCAAGGGCGACAAAGTGCCATTGAATCGAGTGTGAATTTCACCTGAATTCGAATTCATACGATCGCATATCACAGGTGAATTCTTGATGAGTGCTGAGCGGCTCTTGAGTGCTTAATTGCCCTGTTGAAGTTGTACAATTGAGCCTATAAAATTCTTTGCTCTTATCAGAGTTGCGGTGTTGCGAGATGTGTTAATTTTGAGTTTTTTCTAAACAACTGTTAAGCCACATTGTAATGTTTTCTTTTGCACAATCTCTCTGATACGCCGAAGAATGCGGAGAAATATTCACAATTAAATCAAAGGCCAGAATTATTAATGTGTGTTGAGAGTGAAAATGTCAGTCTCTCTGTCAACTCACAAAGTGCTGTTTTTGCTCTCCCTTTGCACAATTGCTTCGATTTGAGCTGATAAAAACAGATTTTGTCAAATTCATTTAGGCGCGAAATCAATTATATTTTGCAAATGTGTTTGTCATGCTTGATTAATGACGTGCTGTATTGTTTTTCTTCCTTGCAGGACTCGCTGAGCGAATTGAAGTGAAAGAAATGCAGTGATTTCGTTGTGAAAAACATGAACCGTAAACACTAAAATCTAAATGGTATTCATTTGAGTGACGCAAAGTTAGGACATAAAATCAAAATATAGTAACTTGTTGAAGTCTAGCGAAATTGGGTGAAAAAAAAACAAGTGATTGGCAAATTTTTTTTATGCACACGTCAGAATAAAAGAATCCAAAAAATAGTGACTGAAAAAAAGCACAGAAAAGCTTCAATTGCTTTAGGATAAATTTTTGACGAGAATGGCTGGCATTAACGTTCAGGTGAGAATTTATGAGCAATCTTCATATTCTTAGCATTTGTGGACTCTTTCTGAATGCATTTTCATTTTGAAATTGAAAAATAAGAACTACTGAAATTACAATTCGGACACTGAGAAAAATGCACAATATTGTTGAGTCATTGACTTCCTTAGAACATAATTGGCCAAAAGATGCAAAGCTCAAAGCTTTCATTGGAATTGTTTTTTTTTTCTTAAATAAGAAATCGGCTTTCGCAAATTTTGAAATTTCTTTACAATATTGTCATTGTAACAAATTTGAAAATTGGCGCAATTGTTAGGTGAATGTAATCTTGAGGAAATGATCATATAATCATCTTTGCTTAATTTAGGTTCTTTTACCGTTTCACACGACATGCATTTGACTATATAATTTCATGCGACTGCTACATATATTTATGCAAAATATCATTACCACCATATGTAAAGATGATTTACGGAAAAATTGATTGTCCTTAGTTTTATTGGCAGAAGTAATTTTTCTCAATAATTAATCATGAGTTTGCTGCAGTTTTGATGTCTTGTAATCTGATAGTAAGTGATTTTCTTAACCAGATTGAGAGAGTAATATATTTTATGTATCTTTTTCTGTATATCCAAATGCACTTTCTGAAGCTGGCCGTTTGCGTGTCATGGCGGCAAATGGCAACCCCTCGATGATCTCCCCTTCGTCTTCCATTTCAAACGGCCCAGAGCCTCAATTGCCGCCATTACCGCCTCCCCTTCGTTCGGCACAAGTATTGCAACCGTTGTCAGTATTTCCAGGTTCGCGACTCAATTCTTTACACACCATTCTGAGAATCGTTTTTATTAGTTAACAACGCCAGTTAGATGGGCAATGACACATCGAGCGCACGCTGAAGAAGGACTTCTTGTGCATTATTGATGTCCTTATTGCACTGTAATTGCTATGTATCCCTAATGTAGGAATGTGACTCAGTTTATTGACTCCTATTTTGGCTTTTCTCTATCTTCCACTATAATTTGCTTCACCATTCTGTGCATTCTGTTCATTCTGTGCGTGTAAATCACATTGAGATGCGTCTGTTGCCCATCAACTGAGCGGAATAGAGTTTAGTTCTATGCGTTTCTGTACAATGTTGCCGCACAGAGAGTATATATATATGACATTGATATACTGATTTGCAGAGAGATGTTCACAACACTCGTTCCTTGTTATAGATGTTCCTTTAACACAGGCAGACAGTGGTGAAAAAAAACACACGATTGAACAATGCAAATTCACCGACTGTCTGGGAAAAAAAAGTGCTATGCGAGCCACCCTTTCACATGAAATTAGGTCGCTGAGTGCAGCATTGAAGCGCGAAATTCGGTGCGATTCTGTAATGGCTTTTCTCGAGACTCTCCGAGAGTGTTTACATTGGCACAGAATATTTACAGGAGTTGCTAAGAGAATTACATGGAATCCACCCAAGAAATCTCCGTTAGTCGTTCAATACTGCACTACTTTGGCCAATTTTTTCCTCTTGCAATATCGTGCATATTGCATTGTAAGCCTCAGCATAATTTGGCTCAGCGTTACGTGAAATCCTTCCTATATTTTTCTTCCAATTGACTTTTTTGCATTTGTTCTTTGTATATAGCGTCACTGAGAGAGAAATTGAGAATTTAATGCATTTCAAAATGAGCTTTTATCGATCTGTGAACGTATTCTTTAATTCTATTATAATTATTCTGAGTGCCGTTTTCTAATTCCTTCTTTTCGCTTTCAAGTTAACGACCCTTATCGACGCTTATTGATATGAATTCAGTGCAAGTGGCCTTTTTTAACATAATTTTAGGGGGAAAATACTTAAAATCGACAATCTAAGAACTCATTATTCCATATCAGTCCTATTTTCGCCCCTGAAATTATGGTAAAAGAATGAAATTGCACGCAATTCGTATCGATAATTGTCGATAACTTCCTTCACTTCATCGTGTAAGGAAGCAAGTAGGATAACGTACTTATATTATTGTATATTACACATAAATTCAATAGTGGAGAAGTAACATTTCTCTCTCGGTGATTTTTCCTCAAACTCGCTATGAATTTATTCTAAAGACCTATGAATGATTTTGGTTTTTTAATTTGTATGCGATTTTTAGTCATTCTTCACCTCAATTTAGTAGTGTTTCGATATATATTGATTGAAATTTTTCTGTCACTTTGTGTACTTTTATCCTTGTTTCGATGTGCTCCACACACTTTCCAATAGTGCTTTTAATAATCTTCCTGGTGTGTTTTTTCTGGCGTCCGTGCAAGCGTAGTGATGTGTGAATTTTAATTAAACATTTGGCATTGCCGCGCTCGTCCTGTGCGCGCTGCTGCACAGCGAACGCAAGGCTTTTGTGTTTGGCGGGCTGTGGGCGGGCTAGAATCGAAATAACCTACAATGCTGGACTGCTATTAATATGTGTGTTCTAATTGAATTGAATGCAGTGTCAGCTGTGAGTGAGGAAGCAGCGTATGATTATGTTTTTGGTGGGCCGCCCGTGGATAGACCGGCCCTGTCATCATCACTCAAGCTGACCTCACCCCCCGCTCGGCTGCGATCAGACGGTAAAAGTGCAATTTGTGACGAGTGTTTGAGTCTCATACATGTGGTCTACGTCTAAATGATGTTTGTAGATCACAAAAGTGGCCTAGAAGATGAACGTCCATATCGTCGATCTTTTGGACATGCTCCGAAGCGTTCAAGAAACCTAGTTGGATTATATTCGGCCGTAAAGGGACATGGGGAGGACGAAGCCACTCTTCGACAATTGCTTATTGAGTATGTATATCGACTGTTTGTATTCACAACTCTATGACTTATTTACTTTGAGATCAAATCCTTTCTGTTCTTTGCCTGTTTTCTGTACAAAACTTTCCTCATTCACGGGTAATGAGGAGGATAACCTTTGCAATTAAGCCCAAAACAGATAGAAGAACTAATGAGAGGAGAAGATAACATACAAATTCATAGAAGATAGAGACACTTTTCGGCATGACATTGCTGATTGATGGTTAAATGTTCCTTTCTTTACTTCATCATATATATATTTTCATTTTTTCGCACCTGTGACAATTTCTCCTGTTTGAGGTTCATTTTGCATTTTGTGTCTTGCTAGAGGAGTTCTAACATTTGCACTCATTTGAGTTATTCATTTCAGAAGCAGTAATTTCTACATGTGAATGTCATATATTTAATTGAGTATAAATTTTCATTCGATATAGCGAAAAATGTTGTTTAACCGCAAGATTGTGCGTTTTGACATATTTCAGCATACAAATGTACTCTCGTCAGCTTATTTTAACTATAAATGACATCCAAAATGGATTAAATTTGATACAATAATTGAATTCAATCTGTCATAAATATGATGACATAAAGAAGTCCAATAACATTTTTTAGCTATTTCACATTAGGATGATTTTTTATCCTTATTTTCCATCATATCCGGATAAATGCTCAACTTTTCGCCAAGCATTTCTGTTTTCTTTGCTCACTGGAAAGGCAAATGATTAGGAAGTGATAATAATGAAGATATAAATTTTTGTTTAAGTCCTACGGAAGAAACAATGGAAGGTCTAATTTGCAGGTATGACCCTAAAAGCATCTTACATCACAAACTATCATAAATATAATTACGCTCGTTTTATTGAATTTAAAACTGTTTCACGACAGTTGAGAAGCCCTTTAGTATTGAATGTTTTTTGTAATATATTTTCAATATAATTGTAATTCAAATTATACCAAATGTGTTAATTTTCATAATTACTGTACTCGTGAGTTAATGCAAGTGAAGTTTAGCTGGCAATTGCGAATGGTTACTTGCTTTAAATATGGACATTCTGTTTGGTTACAATCTTTATTTTATAAAAGGAATATACATATAACAAGTGAGAAACTGTCTCTCTTTCGTTTCCTTTTTCATTGTTTTTTTTTCCATAAATCTCTATATGAATGTCAGAGCAAAGGAAGATCATAAATGATATACAATGCTAAAGAGAGCTTTTAAAATAAGCTGATGATGAACTTTTTTGTGATTTATCTGCGCTAAATATTTCGTAAAATCGGTGTGACCAAGTTTGTGAATAGATTTTGTGCATTTCATCATTGCATTTCCTATTAGTTTTCATAGCATTTACTTGGGTTTCATCCTCCCCATCACCTTTTCATATACAAGCATTTCATCGATGATTAGCATTTCATGTTTTTTTCTTTGGTTTTCCTCCGTTTTTTCTTGGTTTTGCGAGCGTTGCTGATGAATTACTTACATTAACTGCATTTCCTCTTTTTCTGTTTGTAGATTTGCATAAATTGGTCAGTTAATATGAGGCTGAGTGATAATAGAAGATGTCAAAATTGTAGATTATTTGCAAAAGAAAATTTGGACATTCGACAAGAAGAAGAAAAGATAAACTAAATCAGACTCAGTGACATGCAAAGTGAAGTTGAATGTATAAAAAAAAACTTGTATAAGACAAAAAAGAAAAGATGAAATATGAGGAAAGTTGTGCGTGACAGATTTCAATTATGATGCAAAAAAAACCATCTGTTAAAATGCTAAAATTGTTAAAGTAAAGCCAGAGCGAAGAAGAAATTGTTGGGTGAAAAAGACACAGAAAAAGAAAAGTCAATCTCATCATCCCTTACCATCATCTCTTCATCTTAACATAGTTCATCATCAAAATGATGGGCACTATGCCTCCAAGGTATATTTCTTTCATTAAACTCTTCATGCATTCTTCATATTGTTTGTTTTTTCACTCTTCCTTTCTATTCTCTCATTATTATGTTTCGTAGGTGTGATTGCGAGTATGTTTGCGTAAATAAGAATGAAAGCTTTTCCATTTAAGTGTTTTCCACACACACTCACTCGCACACGTTTTTCTCTATTGTGCCACAAGACGCGCAAATAGATTCTGTACACTGCAAATTTTAATTTCCCAACACACTAAATATTTAATGACAATGGCAAAATTGTTAATTCGATATTGAAGCTGAAACAATCATTCAATTTACCTGGAGATATTTGAACCTCATGGCCAGCGAAATGTACTAATGAGGATAAATGTTATTTTATTGCCAGCTTAATATCCTAACAATGTTCTTTTTAATTTGTCTTTAGTATCATTGAATTCTTAGAAAGTCACTAAAATCCTATATATCCAATCATGTTACATTCTAAGCGCGGAATCACACCATGTCAATACGAATTAAGAACTTATTGTAGTGAAAAACAGTGTAATTTTCTGATTTATTGGCTAAAATTGTCAATTTACAGAGTCATAGTGTGATTCCTCTGTAAGAAATCCTATGAAATTTTGCTTCTTGATTCTCCCAGACGAAATAAAACCGATCTAGCTTAGCTATTTTGTCAGGGAAGTAAAAGTAAACTCCAGATACTCAAACATAGAAAGATAATCCTTAGCATAATCAGCAGAAGTGATGCTGAAGATTACTGGCTAAAGAGAATGTCTTCTCGTGTGCTCTTCCTCTCTTGTAGTTTGCAAAAGCAAGTTAGCGTGATGAGTATGAATTTATCGGCAAAACTGGATGAGCTGCAACGTGGTGATCGTCACATGGAGACAACTGTTGCCCTGTGCGAGATTCGATCTCAGCTGCAGGAGCTCACGAAGTCCGTGGAGAGTTGTCAGAGTGAGGTTTCTGAAGTAAGTCCTCCGTCACAGCGGAATTATGTATGCAATTGAAGTGTGGCATGAGGGTGAACGATATGTGAGTGCATAGTTTGAGTGGGTGGTGGACGTGAAAGGCTAAATTTATAAAATTGTAAATGGGTGGAGAGACGAAATTAAATCATATGCCGTGATTCGTGCTTTCCAGGTTAAACGTGATATGGTAGCAATAAAGCATGAACTGGATACAGTTCAACAGGTCAAGGAGGAGATCGAGGAGCTGCGAGAGTATGTGGACCGTCTTGAGGAGCATACGCACAGGAGGAAGTTGCGATTGCTGGAGCAAGTTAGTGCCAAACTCACGTGCAGCATTCTCTTATAATTTATCCCACCCAAATAAACCCGTATTATTTTCATTTTCCACTGTGTTTTCTTTATTTATGTGTGTATTTTTTTATGCTAACTTTTAACCGTTCTTTCACGCGGAATCTAATGCCTTTTCACCCTCTTTCGCAGGGGTTAACATTTTTCCTGACATACGCAATATTTGCGGCTGTGCTCGGGATGCTTCAATTTGGCTACAACACGGGAGTCATAAATGCGCCGGAAGTCAATATCGAGAACTTCATGAAGGATGTATACAAGGATCGGTATGGCGAGGACATTACTGAGGAGTTTATTCAACAATTATATTCAGTGGCTGTGTCAATATTTGCCATTGGGGGCATGCTCGGGGGCTTCAGTGGCGGCTGGATGGCGAATCGCTTCGGAAGGTGAGTCGCACTCGATTTCTCCAAGAACTTTGCTGTTAGCGAGAGATTAGAGTTTATTCTGTAACAGCGCAAGGTCTGTTCTGCTCAGACTTAAACTTAGAGCAAAGATTCTGGGCTGAATAAGCCACAGAAAATACTCTATTTCTCTGCTGAGACTCGCTGAAGCTCCTTGAGGAGAAGCTTCTGAACAAAAGTGGACTCATGCTTATCTTCAGAAATTTATTTTTACAATAAAGCTCTTCGATTTACATTTTCAGTACAATTCAGAGTTGATAAAGCTCTCAATTGAACAGCAATTGTTTAGTCCTCTAAAATAAGGGATAACGACCTTAAAACAGCACATATTTGTGCTCTTAGTCGCTAATTTATCTATTGCCCTTTAATTTAATGCATTTTCATCTGAAGATTTACCGCTTTTCTTTTGCTCTGTTTGCTCTGCAGAAAGGGTGGCCTCCTACTCAACAATATACTCGGCATTTCGGGAGCATGTCTGATGGGCTTCACGAAGATGAGTCACTCATACGAAATGCTGTTTCTCGGAAGATTCATAATTGGCGTCAATTGTGGTGAGTGTGAAGAATGGCGGCTGAATCACTGGCCAGTGTATTGATTGCGCGGGCATTTTGCAGGTTTAAATACATCTCTCGTTCCAATGTACATCTCTGAAATCGCTCCGTTGAATTTACGAGGTGGCTTGGGTACTGTTAATCAGTTGGCTGTGACAGTAGGTTTATTATTGTCCCAAGTGTTGGGCATCGAGCAAATACTGGGTACCAATGATGGATGGCCAGTGCTTCTGGGCCTGGCCATTTGTCCGGCTGTTCTGCAACTTCTGCTGCTGCCCGTGTGTCCGGAGTCTCCGCGATATTTGCTGATCACGAAGCAGTGGGAGGAAGAGGCGCGCAAAGGTGAGTTGCAATCTTCCCGCGGTTTTTGTTTTGGTGAGTATCGCTTGATGGGCTTTGTGCTCTTGCAGCTCTAAGACGCCTCAGAGCATCCAATCAAGTGGAGGAAGACATCGAAGAGATGCGAGCTGAGGAGCGTGCTCAACAGGCGGAAAGTCACATCTCCACAATGGAACTGATCTGTTCACCGACCCTTCGGGCGCCGCTCATTATTGGAATTGTTATGCAGCTTAGTCAACAGCTGAGCGGAATTAATGCCGTTTTCTACTACTCCACATCCCTGTTCATGAGTTCTGGCCTCACGGAAGAGAGCGCCAAGTTCGCCACCATCGGGATTGGTGCTATTATGGTGAGTGGCATTTACACTTTCGCCAGGAATGCGCGCCCCTAAAAGCTCTCTCCTTTTCCCCTGAATAGGTTGTCATGACGCTCGTCTCCATTCCACTCATGGACCGAACTGGGCGACGAACATTGCACTTGTATGGACTCGGTGGAATGTTCATCTTCTCCATTTTCATCACAATCTCATTTCTGATTAAGGCAAGTAAAACTTTCTTCCCGTTGCTCGTTCTGAGAATCGCACACGATGAAGATGAAGCGACTTGTGGTGCTTCCGTATCGAAACGGCAGGGCGGCAAAGTTCAGTTTTGCAAAATTATCAATGCCAAAAACGGCATAAACATCATGCTTCAAGTCACTTTTTAGCATTAACAACATTTGCCGCTTAATTGGCGCCATTTAAGATGAGCTTTTGAAAAGCTCACAAAAAGAGTCTTAATCTGTCAACTTGTGACTTGTTTGAACAATTAAGGGTTTAATTTGAGCCAGAATACTTTGCTGCCCTGCATTTTTGTGCATTTGCAAAGATAACTTAAATGGTTTGTATGAACATTTACAATAGTAGACTAATGAATATGAATATCAATTTTATCTAGTTCTATAATGTGATTTTTTTATTCCTTTTTGCATTTTGACCATTGTTAATCAGTATATTTGAGTAAATTTTAAATTCTGCATGCGTTTCACACCAACTAAAGTTGATTATTATTGAAATTTCCGCATACATTTTACATATTGTATGCATTTATTGATAGAGTGAAGAGATATTATCACTCTTTAATAACACTTACTATAATGAGGTCAATTTGCATGAAAAGTAATTTCTATCTCTTAACTTACAACATAAAAACTACTAATAACCAACTTTCATTCACACTTACACGTTAATTTAATACATTTCTATCTATTTGTCGGTGTAGGAAGAGAAATCGACTCTTATAATCCTAAAAAAAAGAACACAGAACATTGCTAGTGAAGTTTATTTGTTGGTTTTCCCTATGATTAAAGTGTGGGTATCAATCTTCCCAGTGAGATCTAATCAAATATCCAATTATTTCTTAATGCTTAAGTTGAAAACATCAAAATTACGAACGTTATTTTCATGTCTAATTTACATTGCAACTCTGATATTTGTATAGTTGTGAGATATTTATGGAATCTGTTACTTAAACTAAGATTTTGCTACACACTTACTATTTATACGTAAAAGTTTTGCCATGAGAGAGACGATATTATGTATTTTCCTTTATCTTTTCCTTTTCGAATTTGGTTCCTGAATGTGTGTCAGTCTGTCTCGAGTATTAGATTCACTTGATCTGGATATTATTTCTTTCGAAACAACAGACATTTTTAGATGTACAATATTTTTGGCTTTTATGTAATCAAACAGTTTTCTTTGGAGAGCGATATATGCTTTATGCTAATGAGCTTGTACATATGTTTAATTAGGAAATGAAGACGTTTCAGATTCTTCAATTTTTCCAATATTTCTTGCTTGTTACAATTTTATTTACTACCTCTTGATTTTTAATGCAAAATACTGTTTAGTTGCATTGATGAATGAATATTTTCTGTTGTATAGAAATAATATCTTTCAAATAAATGAATGAAAGTCGTGACAAAGGAACATAATTATTGGAATTATTCACTCAATAACATTCTAATGATCGCTTTGATTGAGAAATTTCATTCATTTATTTGCGTCCCGCCCCTGTTAGAAGAAGAAATTCTCGATTTGTCAGGCTTTCAATCCTCTGCAGAAATATTTATACTGAAAAAAAAGAACAAAACGATACAAAATGCATTTTTATTTATGATTTCTATACCAAAAATGATTTATTTTTTACTCCATTTTCCAATGAGCATTTTTGTTTGACCATCTTAATCACATTACGCAATTTTTGTAATTCGTTTGTGACTCTCACATATCATTATAATTTCTATATAAAATACCTTAATACTTCACATGAACAAAATGTATATAAAATACACAAGAGATGAAATTGATTGATTAAGAAAAAAATGCACATTCGGATCTTTTGGATAAGGTGAAAAACGTGATGTAAAAAGTGAATACTTGAAGCCGATCTGCGATTTGGCGGAAAACCTTGAAGTCAAAGTGATTTTCTTACATTATTTCGTTGCGATGAGAGGTTTATAAATTGAGGAAACTGATACACTTTACACAGCGCTTTAGCGAAACACTGTAAAAGTTCTCACATGCGAAAGTAATTTGAATAATTTTATTCATTTTTATTTCATATTTTATTTCAGTTAACAAACTTGTAATTATTGTCTCTCTTTTAGTAATCTAACATTTGATTCATCATGATTTTCCTAACATTTACTAACATGTTGGTTGATTCAACTACATAAAATGTGGATCAATTGTGGTCAGACTTCTTCACGCAATTCTTATTAGTTGAATCAACTGCAAATGGTCGAGAATATAGGGAAAAAGGATACGCAAAATAGATTTATCGAGGTTTATTTTTAGGACATTCCATAATCAATTTTTTTTCACCCCCAAATCTTTGCCACATTTTCTGTTTTCCACACACTGAATTCTTTTGGTAGCTGTCTTGAACGATCATGCCTTAATTAGACAATTTTCTTGCGCCTTTACGACAAGGAGACGAGTCAATTACAAAACACTCGTGACTCTCAACATCCAGAAGAGTGTTGAAGCATTTTTGATCAATTTGATACATTTTTTCATATGTTTTCATTTCTTTTCCCAACCATTTTTTGCACTGTAGTTGAGACAGCAGAAAAGGATAAACTGCAAAACACAACACAAAAGCAAAGAAAAAGTCCGTGATAAAGACACAAATATACAGAAAAAATATACTTGCCTCGATACGAAGTATTTGACAGGCAAATACACAATTGACATGATCATTGAGAATACTTTTTCTTCCCATTCTTTCTTTCCCTTCTTCATTTTCTTTGATTGTTACATCCGTTCATGGGTTTTGGAAGGGATCAGCGAAAAGCCTCCCAATATCGAGAATCGGTGATTACCGCCTTGTATAGGAGTTTTTTGGCTATGTGCAGGAAATGATCGACTGGATGTCCTACCTGTCGGTTGTATCAACCTTAGCCTTCGTGGTGTTCTTCGCCGTGGGGCCGGGCTCCATTCCCTGGATGATCACGGCCGAGCTGTTCTCGCAGGGGCCGCGCCCCAGCGCCATGGCCATAGCAGTATTAGTCAATTGGATGGCGAATTTCGTGGTTGGAATTGGATTCCCCAGCTTAAAGGTGAGCTCAATCTCATTTATTACAATTTCAATTCGAACTACACCATAAGCGGGTTAATTTTTGCCACGTTGTGATGGGAATTCGACCTACAAGTACGTGTTTAATTGCATTTGAAGTGAAAAGTTGAGTTTTAGGGGACAATATTGATTAGAAAACGCTGTTTTTGCTACTTTTCCTCACAACTATTAAATTAATAAGTTTCTAAAACCCATTTCAGCAACTCCTTGGTATTTTCTCAAGTTTACTAACGCCTTTTTCTGCCCGTCTTCTTGCAGACTGCTCTGGAGAATTACACCTTTTTACCATTTAGTGTGTTCCTAGCTATTTTCTGGATATTCACGTACAAGAAGGTTCCTGAGACGAAGAACAAGACATTCGAGGAGATTCTGGCTCTCTTCAGACACGGCAACGGAAGGTGAGTCGTCATTTCTTCCACAACCAACCATTTGTGATGCAAAAAAGATCCCTTTCTTAATTTTTTATTTCTCAACCCAAAGATTTTCCACAAAAAAGAAATATTATGTGACACAATGAAGGTCCTCGAATTGGTGAATTTCAGAAACACTGTATTTTTTTTTACAAATTCATCCATCACTTAACCGAATATGGTATCAATTTCGAAGACTTTAAAGTTGTTTTAATTCAAAATGACCCATTCAGAGGAACTTTGCGTGGTACAAAGTTGTATGGGTAAGTGATGAGAGTTGCCGAATTTTCTCAACACTTTTGTTTACAACTTTTTCAAACTTCCAAGAGCTGAAAGCAAGTAAAGAGTGCATGAATAATTTTTGATAAAGAAAGAAAGAGAGAAAAAGAACCAGAACGAGAAATATCAAAAAATATGGGTGCAAAATCGATATTTTGAATTTAAATGTTTTCTTTTGCAATTCTTTAATTACATTTTCGTAATATTTCTCTTTACTTTCTTCAATATTCAATACATATAACTTCATTTTTTTCCACTCATGCCTTTAATTGTGTATTCTTTTGACAATATTTAATTGTTAGTTTTGTCTTTATGATGGAATATTTCTGTGCATGGCAATAATTTCTTACATTAGTTTATTTTATACTCTTGGAAAGTCAGAGAAACAAACGAAAAGTCGGTCTAGTTAAGGGAAACCAGTTTTCACAATGAGGCTAATCATGTTTTAAAATGTCAGGAGTGAGGAAACAATCAATACCAACGACTCTCAGATTCAGCTGACCCCAAACTTGCCGATTGAAGACAGCAAGACACGATAAATCGGAAAATATCTTCCTTGTGTCGGGATAAATTTTGGACGAGTTTAGGTTTAAGTGTAGAATATGTTTGGTTAAAAATCTAAAGGAGCAGCACAAAATTCCGATCATAAACTGCCATGTTGAAATCCATCCCAGTTTTCCTTGTTTTATTCCTTTGGTTTTCTTAAGTTTCTCAGCCTTCTTTGGACTTTGGAATTTTAAAATAATTCTCAAAATTCAGAAAACAATTGACCTAAAGTCTAAAGAAAGTTGAAAAAATTTTCTTTATGTATTTTTTCAAAAAATTTTTGTATCATAATTTACTCAATTTGTTTTCTTGTCTTGAAATTATGTTTCTTTTTATGTTATTTTATAAATAAAGACATTTGCCACAAAAGCGAGTTTTCTGTTTATTTTTATCATCATCTTTCATTGAAGCATTGACAGATTTTTTGGCCAAATTTTGCGATATTATCGCGAGGAACCATCAAATCATCTTGTCACTCACGATCAGCCATTCCCTGAACTTTAATTTCTCTCATCACATTTTTCTTATCTTAGCGCAATGACACGTTGCTCAATTCAGTTCTTGTCACACACAATGAAAAGTTAAATGGCAATTTGTGCTGTCAAATTTATCACTTACATCTTACGTAATCGTAGAGTGTGCGAATTTCAGGAGTATGCTAAACTGCGTAAATAGTTTGGAGCCACAGAGCATGAATTCTGGCATCGAGCACGCAGCGCTGATGATATCCGAGGAAAAGACTCAACATGACTCACGTAAGGCGCTTTTTTGATCTCTAACCTTCCTGAACTTTGACACCACGTAGAATTTATTGCGACTAAACAAGAAATTTAACGCCTAAAGTCAAACATATTTCATTACAAATTAAACACAGATATAAAAAAAATGATTCTTGAACCAGAAGGAAAAATTATAATAGCCATTAAATATCATTATAATCTCTTTCATAAAACTTTCCTTTTTATTTGCTGATGTATCGTAAATTTTTTTCTCAAATACTAGATATGCTTAACATAAATTCATTAATAAGAAGAAAAAAAATTGTAACATCGTAAATATTCAGTGTTTTTTCTGTATTTTCATGTCATTTTATTTCTGTACACAAAATTATATATTGAAAATTGTTCCATATATATTATTTAATTGGCAGCATTGCGATGTTTAGTTGGTCTTTTTTCCGATTGGCTCTGAAAAGAGAGATTTTTATGTTGTTCATTGACATTTGTTATGCGGTATTTGTATGAAATCTACATAAATATTGTTACTAATTGTGATCAATTTTCCATAATTCCTTGTGTGCCACGTGCATGTGAAGTCTTATCATGTCATTTTATAATTTTGATGACTGCATTTTCTATAGAATAAACCATATTTACATTACATTTATACCTCATTCAACGTGAGATATAAACTTGATTGTGCAATTAAATGAAAACTAAACGAAAAGAATAGGAAGAAAAATGTTAGGAAACGTGGTCTTACTTTTCAGGTGATTCTAAGAGATAATTTATTGTTACAAATATTTTTGCTCTACTTTTTCCATAAACAGCATTATATTTTTCTTGCTCTTGCAAACTTTCTTCATTACATTTACCTGGAAATTCTGATGCGAATTCTTTCATTCATAGTTGAGGCACACAATTATACAAAATGCATTTGTTAAAGCTATATATTTTAGGCCATAAAACATGAGGAATTTAAGCGTAGACTCGCTCAATGAAACAATTCGGAGAAGCTTTTGCTGATGAGATATCTAGATAAACTCACTGCGTGAACTCTTTGATTGTGTGAATGTTTCATGAGAGCGAAGCGCGTGAACAATCTGTATTATTGCACGGGAATGCAAATGGCCGAAAATGAAGTGTTTGGCACAAGCCTGGAGCCCTCAGCGATGGCTCTTATGACGGACGGTGAGATTCCACTGACGGACAGCACGAATTTGTTGGGGCCGTCGAGTCTCGTAGGTATTGCGCCATATCGGGTCAGTTATGGGACCAATTCACCAATGCCAAACAGGAGGGAAACGCCCAAGAGCGTGGCACCGCGGGACAGTTTCCGGAGACATTCTGCCCACGGAAGAATCTGCTCACAAGGTACAGAAACACACAGTGCACATTTCACCTCAAGATAAAACCCTCTCATATTGAGACAATCAAATGATGCCAAACACCACATGAATTGACCACTCAACACTAGAGATATCGTGTCACGAAATCCCATCAATAATCACACATTATCGTCCTGTTACTGTATTATTTTCATACTTTACAATCTCTCAATAACTCAGCCTCAATTCCTATATACATATATATTTGGGATCTCTCGATGTGGAACCAAAGAGAACTGTCCACAAAAAGCGTTTTGAGTTGTACAAAAGAGAAAAAAAAGAGTCAAAAAAGCTGCAAGACAAATTCTCCGTTCGTTTTGTACAAATTTTACCATCATGAGCAAAGAGAAGAAAAGACATCACGAAGATGCAGAAGATGACTTTCTGCACGTTTCGCTAGATTCTGGGACACTCTGTTGACTAGAACTGTAGAGAGTGCAAATTGATACTTTTGTCTCATCTCCCAATGCGAAGAAAGCCAGGCCAGAAGCGGGAGAGAACATCCATGAATGCACTTTTGCCACTTCAATTCCACTTCAATGACAATGGAAAAAAAACAGCATCTCGTAGCGAAAGCTTTTGAGGAACTTTCTCAAGAGAACCAGATGAACAATTTCTTTACTCATAATTGTTCGAACGATCTTACACGATTCACACACGATCCGGACATTTCGATCTTAGTTTTGCTTCTCGTTCATAAATTAGCGGATCTTCTTATGCACATTGTAATTATTATAAGAAAAAAAAAACATATTGATTCAGGTGAATCAAGTCATTTATACAAGTTTCAATCATTTGTAAAGTCTACATTTTTCTTCTATATTCCTTTAAGTGCAACAAATTTTACAATACATGCAAAAATGACGTCCTCGACTAGTCATTTTTCCTCATCATTCAATACAATAACCTATGAATTTTTCATCCTTTTCTACTGTTTGCTAACAAAAGTTTGGGGTAAAAGAGGTGATAATTTAGAAAGTGTTAAACATTAATCGCTTCATGGGTAAATAAGGACAAATTTGACTTTAAGAACAGAAATTGAGGTCTTCAAGCGATATATTGAGCTTCTCAAAGTGTTTTTTATCCATGAAGGAAGCGCATAAATGAGAGGAATTTGAAGAGAAATAATTCATTCATGTGTTTTTAGTTTATAATTTCAATCCCGTCACAAACACAACACGAGTGAACATGGAATTCCTAATGTGAATTTAAATGGCACAAAACCTTTGCTATTCACGATAATTACCATTGATTCTAACAAGGCCCTGTATTTCATATGAAAGTTCTGTGTTGGGCACGCAATATTCAGCGACAAATTGTAAGGAAGGTAAACGCAGAAATGAACTGCAACGGATTTTCTCCTATTTTCAATTCCTTCAGTGTTACAAATAATGGTTGGTAATTTTTCTCAACAAACTTCTTTTGGCGTAAAAATCTCAGACGCTCTATAAAATTTTCTCAACTCTCTTTCTTAACATTTTGCACGTTTATTTTTTGTCTACTAAAGTCGAAAATGTATTTGAATCGGTGATGAAATCATGAAAAATATGGGGATAGAGTTTGCGAAAGAGTTTACAAAGCGAAATTACTCTGTGAATACAAAATTTAGAAATGATCACATAGTTATGTAATTAATCCTGCTTCGCATGATGCTGAAAAATGCATGCTAATTTTACTCGTTGAATGAATGGAATGCAAATTTTTCCGAATGTATTTTTCCGTAGATTTGACTATTTGCTTTGACATTTTTTTCTTTCAATCGTTGAGCAAACAATACAACGAATAGTTTAATTGTAGGAAGAATCACATCCTCAATGATATAATTTGTATTGCTGTGCAAAATCCGGTGGCGATGCGCATTAATGCCGCAACTTTGTCGTTTAGCCGCTTCAGAGCGCTGTTCCGAAGGCGCGAGAAATGTCCAGCAGGGGCGGAACGCTGTCTCTGCGCCCCATCACCTTCGACAGGGAGCAGTTGCGTGCCCGAACAGCGGACTCTGACTGAGGAGCGTCTCCCCGCCTAGCGGCAGCAGTAGTAACGGCGCCGAGGCTCCCGCGGCGGCTGAGGAGAGCACGGCCACGCCGCCCACCATGAGCGCCCGCGACGACGACGCGGACGCCGTCAGCCTCACGCCCAGCACCACCTCACGCCGCGGCACATGCCGCCGCCACCCGCACCACCAGCACCACGGCCACATGCACCACTACCGCCACCGCCGCACGCCGTCCACCTCGTCCACGGCTAGCTGCCGACGCTCACACAGCCCGGCCGCCATGTCGCCACCGCGCGTCGTCGTGGAGCGCTGCTGCAGCGCCTTGGACGACGAGGTGGAGCGCTACTTCTACGTGCAGAACCGCCGCTCGAGCGGCGGCGCCGCCATCGTGTATGGCTCGCACGGCTCGCTCAGCCGCCTGTCGCGCTGCAACTCCATGCGTCGTCGGCGGAGCCACACATCCATCGTGGCTCCGTCCGCGGAGGTGCAGCGCACGCCCGTGCCGCCGCGCTCCTTTCGCGCCATCAGCCCCAAACCTGTGTCTGACGGCGGCGCGCGCCTCCTGCTCACGCCCAGCAAACTCACCGTGGAGTCGCGCTGCAGCTCCGCCATGAAGTGCAGCAGCAGCGACACGAGCGAGCTGCCCGACTACGTGTACACGCCGTCGCCCATCAAGTGGCACTTTCCATCGGACGCCGAGAAGATGAGCGACGGCAGCAGCAGCAGCGGCTCCGTGGCGTCGGCGGACTCCCAAGTGGCGGCGAAGAAGCAGCCCGACGTGAAGACGGTCTCGATCTGGCGGACGGACAATGACGAGGCGAACGCCATCATTTTCCACCACGAGAGCGAGATCGTGGAGAACTGCTGCCGGCCGCCGCCGGCGCAGGACGAGGAGACGGACTCAGACACGGACTTCCGGTGCGACGAGAAGCTGAACAACCGCGTGGCCAGTAATCCGCCGGCCCTGATCGAAATGTCGCATCGCAACAGCTTTCCATCCGCCAATCTCACGCTGTATCGCATCTCATCCGACCTGAAGCGCTTCCAGAAGAGCTCCAACTTCAGCCACAACAGCAACAACATCAACGTCTCATCCAGCGGGAAGCTGACCAACTGCGAGCCGTCGACGAGCCGCGCCCTGGTCGAGCAGGCGGCCAACAATCTCACGGACATCTTCAGCCGGAGCCTGGAACAGGCGCTCCTGCGCAGCGACAGGGACACCAAGTTCATCAACAGCTCCACATCCGCCCTCCCGCACTGCACGGACCTCCTGTTCCGCGCATCCCCGCCGCTCACCCACACCGCCGCCGTGCACTCCCTGGCCAGGCGCTATGACAAATCGCCGGCCAACATCAGTCTCACCAATCAGAATCACTTCACGTTCTACTTCAACGCCGACCGCCGCCAGTCGGTCAACGTGCTTCTGCCGGCCGACCCGGAGGCCGCGCAGAACAGCCCCACTTCCAGCGACGAGGCCATCCTGGACGGACAGCGCCAGGCGCCGCTCCATCGCATCCGGACACTCTCCAGCGCCGTGGGACTGTCCAGCCTCGTGCGCGTGGTGCGGCGCCGCGCCAGGAAGTGCAGGGACTTCCTCCGCCGCGGCTCCATCAATTAGTCATCCAATTCACAGCGTAGAGGAGATGTAGTTCCTTGCTGAACCTTCCCCGGCGTTAGTTTGTTATAAGGTGAGGAAAGGAATATGCCAAATCAAAATAGACCACTTATGAGCATGCATCGCATAGAGGATAAATCATTCGAGGATCATTGCAATCGCCATTGAATCAGTGCTTCATTGCCGCATAGTTGATTGATCGTTTCTTGAGTGAAAATTGCATTGATTCTATCCAAAAGTTAGCTTGAATCACAGCAAGATAGACGACACAAGTAACGAATTATGCGGCAATTGGGCGATGATTCAATGAAACAATACAAAGAGTAATGCGAAAGTGAATAAATTCTAAATTCTCATAGTGTATGAAAGTATTGAATATGCAAAACTCTCCACTTTGTGCACTAGGGAAGATACTTTTAATTATAGTTAATGCATAGCGTATGATGTAGGAAACACACCCATAATTAGGAATATGTATTTATCTCATTACTTAGCAAATTACTGATGTCGAACATTGGAAAACACGGAAGTGAGTGTGTAGGTTTGTGTTTGTACATAAATAGGCTAGGTCGTAAGGTGTTCATGTGGGATTAATAATGGTAAACAATATTTAGGATCTTTTGTACGGATTTCACCTGAGTTGAACATTATGTGGCTTTGTCTTTGCACAAAAAAATGGAAACTAAAAAGGAAAAATATTGAAAATTTGCATAGAAGATGAGAATTTTAGGTAAAATATATATATAAATGAAAAAATATGGAATTTCTGGTGTAAGATGGAGAGTTAAATGAATTGATTACGAGGGTGAGCAAGTGGTTTTATTATAAAATGACGAAATCATATATAAGGAAATCGTGTATAAAGTTCTCTATATAGCAGAATTGACTCACTCAGAGGCGCGTAGAGAGAATCTTTGACATATAACGTTATATTTTCTAGTGAATACTCAAAGTAAAATCCAATAGTAGGATAAAATTGTAGGTCCGCAGAAGTGTGTGGCGATGATGTTGTATTTGATATACAACGGGCGGGAATTGATTTGCATATAGCATGATACCAGAATCAATTGCAATTAATGGAAGTGGAAGGTGAAAAAAGAAAGTCGGTGGGCAAGGCGAGGACAGGCAATAGAGCAGGACAAGGTTGGAATCCTACAGTGCTAATGCATTTATCACTTTAAACTAATTGTATTTATCTTCCTTGCCAACACTTTACATCGATAAATAAAATTCGACGGCATAGGAAAGAGATATCTTTATAACGTTGTTCATTCATATTATATATATACATAAATAAATGTTTAACTAAGGAAATGTCTCATAGCGAAGTGGAAGAGAGAGTATATAATAATGTAAAACTTCATCCGTGTATGAATTCCATTAGATGAAGAGAATATTTAACAATGAGCGCGCGGAAGGCAGAAAAAGGAAAAAGAGGAGACTTTCGAGTCAAGCTAAGCATCAAACACCAAAAAAAAAATTAGGTACTATTTGAAATTAAATAAAAAATGAAAACCTACTTGTAGAGTGAAGAGAATTCAACAATATTATAATGAGAATACGTATAGTATAATGAAGAAAAAAAAAAAATATAATGTCATAACGAGAAAAAAGAACTTTGAGAAAATTAATTGCACTGCCAAAATGGTTTTTTTATTCAAAAACAAGAAAACAAGATTGATATGGAAAGTAAAAGAAATTGATATTATACATAAACTTTAGATGACATAATAATGAATTATACCATTTTATGAGAAAATATTTAAAAAAAAGAAAGAGAGAAACTATAGAAAAAAGTGACATAGAAATTAGGTTTATCATGTAATGAACTCAAGGTGGAAATTATATTTGCTATTTCTCCTCTTTGGTTTATCAATCGAACAATTCAAATTTGAGCCAGTATTGACTTTTTGATAAATATCTGTGTAGAAAAGAGAAAAACACAATTGATTTTCAATTTTATTCCACATTTTGCTAAAACAAAAATCACACTTGCATTTCGTAATCAATTGAAGGCGCGATATTTGAATAGCAAATATAAACACCTGTATCTAATCTCCATGTAAAATATTAGTACAGGACAAGAATGTGTAATATTATGTGATTGTTTAGTGTGTGTTGAGATGAGTTGCATAAGTGAAAAGGGTTGTTTTTCAACTAATATTTTCATTTCTCAAGATTCTGTGGTGCTACAGACTAAACTATTACTTGCGTAATGCTTCAACATGTACATTTACGGTAATTTTGGGCCTATCAAGCTTGAATTTCTATCGGAAAAAATTGAACAACTCAGTTTGCAATTTATCAATAGAAAAAACACTCCTTCATCTCAGCCAACAGCCAGAAAATGCCCACAGGAATCACGCCAATTCGGGCCTAGAAATCGCTCATAAAGCACTCTTCATTTGCCTATCTGAATTTCGTGTGTGGGAAGAAGGGAGAAATCAAATGAGTAAAATGTCTTTAAAAGCAATAAGTTTGATAAAACATTCTTCATTCTCCGTAATTAGGAAGAAAGAAAAAAGATGGAGTGTAACGAATATTCTGCTCGAGAGACGGAAAGAGTAAAGTTAAAGTAGATGAATTAATACTTGAAATGATAAATGATACAAGATTATATATAATAGTTGATAACGTGGGCCAAAGATGAACAAAAAGGTTAAAAAAAAATAGAACATCCTCTTTTTCAGTCACCAGCACAAAACCCTCTAAAAAAAAAGAATCCACGGCATTTCTGGAATGTGCATTCATGACACTTTGCAGCTCAAAATAGGAAATCCCCCAAAAAAAATCTGTGCATTTGTGGACATTTCAGAATTGCTGACCAGCAAATTAAGAGAAAGGAAATTGAGAATTTCGCGAAATTACATCATAAAGAACTTTTTGAACAATGAAAGATTAAGAAAAAAAAAGTAACTCACGTGTTTCAATTATTGACATTATTCTAAATGTACATAAAATAAAATTACTACATATTATACATAAATCATAAGGATGTAACTAAAGAGAACGTATAAAACATTGTCTTTGACGGATTCTGTTGTTCCTTCAATTGCTCAATTTGTCTCTATAAAGAAAAAAAAACCTTTTTACATTCCCCTTTTTTACTCCCATTGCATATCACGATATTTTCTTCATTTTCCACACAATCTCATCAAATCTATCCACAAACTCTCTGTCACTCTCTTCATCCAATTTTGTTATTCTATAATACGAGGAATTATATCTAAAAAGCACTTTACGCAAAAATAAAATTATGTGATCTCTAAAATAATCTATATGATTAGTTAAAAAATATATTAAATTGAAGATATTAAAAAAAAGAAAACAACTTTTCGAAACGAAATATATTAAAAGAGGAAGGAAAAGAGAAAAAAGAAACATTGAGGACACATAAAAGCATACCAATTATTGGAAAAAAAGTGAAGGAAATCTTCTATACTGACAATTAAGAAAAGGAAATATTAACATTTTATTAGCCCAAGGAAAATATCCAAATATGAAGAGAAGATATTGTATTATATACAGAACAATATATAATAAAAAATTGTACATTGCAATAATAAATTACGAAACAATAAACTAAAAGGAATAATAAATCTCAGTGGTTTTCTTCGTCTTGTTGCGTGTCGAAAGGAGTAAAACAAGTTTGGTAGGATTCCTTCAACAAGGTAAATTTCTTCTCTGTTTTTATTAGTTTATATCTCAAATACACAGAAATGTTTTCTTGTTTATAAAACAATTAAAATACACTCTAATGTCTAAATTTTTCTTATTCTTACGATGACTGAATTTCAATGATCGAGAGAGTTCTTTATTTCAAGCATTTCTGATTTCCTTTTGATTTTACGTGAAGTTACATATCTATTTTATATTAATCTACGTTAATAAATCGTGTTCTTACGTCTGAATTCAATTATATTTATATACGGTAATGATTCTATGAATATTAATGCTGGATAGAATAGTTTCTTTGCTGTGTGAATGAAGGGAGAAAATCCAGTGTTTGAAAGCTTAACGACGCTTCTTCACCGCAAACACACATGTTTTGGTATCGTAATCCATCGAAAACGCACATTTCTGCTTAAGAGAACGGTTATTTTACGTGTTATTTTAAAGAGACTTCATTGGATGATGAATGATAGCCGCGCCCAGTCGCTCCTTAGGCCGCCGGAGCGCTTGAGACTTCCGGCGGGGCGCTCGGTGTGACTTCGGCCGGACAAACTGGGCAGCAATCCGTTGGGGATTTAGTCGCTGTGGCTCCGTTGGCGCACTTCTCCGTCTCCGGACACTTGTCACGCACGCAGTGCACTTCGCGGTGTCTGCACTCGCACTGCGTGCACGCGTCCTCCTTCCACACCTCGTTGTTCAGCCGCCGAATCCCGCCCCAGTCAGTGCAGTGTCCGTGAATCTTCTGCACTTTGCCGCTCGTCGCCTGGCACGTCGCCTCCAGCTTCTTCAGCTTGCGCCGCATTTGCTTGAGTGTCTTCTGGAAAGACTCAATGGTCATCTCGAGGCCCTCAATCCGCTCGTCATTCATGTCCACCCAATTGCTGTCACTCTCCTGTGCGGCGCTCTCATTCAGGGATCTTCGACGACGCACAAGTTCACCGCTTTGATGCGGACGCGGTTTGCATCCGCTGCAATCCATCCAGAAGCGCAAATCCATCTCGGGAATCTTCTCGCACATTTTCATGCCGTCTTGCAGGTGCGACAGCACAAAGACATCCTCACTGATCTCAGTGATATTGTCGCCATTGTCGCACAGCACGCGAGAAAGTGAGGATTGCTTGATCTGGACAAGTTGATCGGTCTTGAAGACCGACGGATTCTCATACCAGAATCTGTCACCATCGCGAAGACGACAGAATTGCTCCACCAGCAAGCATCTGAACAGCGGTCCAACCTTCCCACCAGCCACCTGATCCTCCAAAATTCCTCCCACCCAAATGTCCACATTGCTGGGATGGCCGTAGATGTCTTTGAGGCGCTTTCGCACCTGTTCACTGGAAATCTCCGCACGGAAGTCATCGAAAGTCGTCGCCACGGTGAGATTGCAGAATTTCCTGAACTCATTGTACGTGGGAATGGCGTGATCTCGTGATCGCTGAATGTTAATCGCCGCCAGATCCAGCGCCACAGCGTGAGCAGAGTGGAAGAGCTTCTCCGTGAGCTCCACATTGAGATTCTCTTGTGGCTTCTTCAGCTTCGCCGGCGTGAGGAAGAGGCCACGCATGAGCGGATCCACGCCACCCTCGTAAACCAATCGCCAGGGCGCGAAGAAAGCCTGATGCAGCGGCAAATGACCCTGCGGAATCTCCTTGTAGTTGGCGTCATAGCGATGGAGAATGGGATTGATGAGCGAGTGGCCAAAGCGAAGAGCCGCCGTGGCGAATTCATTAGCAATCGAGGGGTTCAGCTGAGGATTGTACCCTTGATACTCTCCCAGCATCTTCACTCCTTCCTCGCCCAGAATGACTGGCAACCAGTGTGCGTAAGTGATGTGCTGCATCTCAGCTCCAACGATCTTCCGCGCCTCATGATACAGTGTCTCTCCGTCCCAGTGAGGATTGTAGAGTCGCAACACGTCAGCAATTCTGTTGTGCTCCCGGAACCAGATCGTGTGCATGGCCAGAAGACCAACTTGCTCCTGAAATTGTATCGAAAAATCAATCAATTGCGCTTGAAAGATAGCGAATTAAACTCACATTCACTCGAATGTCTCCAGCTGTGAAGCAGTTCACGTTGCTCTCGCCAATCTCGCGACGACAATCAATGCCATCCGTCGGTGAGGCGAAGGGCAGCAGAGGCTTCTGTCCCGGGAAGTGTAGTCCAATCCTCAGTTTCCCCTCATCGGCAGTCATGTTGCGCAAGTCGCCGGCGAACTGCTTGGAATATCCATAAACTTGGGAAGCGTCCAGGAAGGAAGTGAGCTGATTGATCTGCTCGCGAGGCTGGATCTGCCCGAAGAGCACCGATGTCTGTCCAGAGCCGCAGATCGCGCTGGAGCGCACAAAGTCCAGGCAGCGCCGATTGCTCACTCTCACGTCGTCCGCTGGCACTTCGATGGGGTAACAAGGAGCGGCAAAGTCGCATGTCTTCTTGCAGTCCACGCCGTCCCAGCTCTCCGAGCTCACAGACGGAATGGCGTGGTCGAGATCGTGGTCAAGAAATTGGCCCCACTGCATAACCATATGCGTGATTCGGCTGTCCGGCGTGATCTGCTCCGTGGCGATCATCTTGCTGGACACCAGGCGAGCGCTGGGCAGCGGAAATCCATTGTACAACCTCCCCTTCGTCCAACCCACGGGCATGCTCAGCTCGTTCTCGTACACAGGACTCAGGATTCTGCGGAAACCCGTCAGCGAGGCGCCCCACGTGGGATTCTGCAGATTGTTGCACGTCCCGTCGACCGTTCTGTATTTCCCGTGGAAGCACATGTCCGTGCAGTTCGGCTTCAGCCGGTGCGCCTGGCATCCCGACAGGCTGGCAATCAGCTCCAAATGCTCGGCGGAGAGCACTTCCGTGTAGTTGAAGTCCGTCTTGTTGGCCATCATCACTTTGCCGCTGTCAATGTTCCTTCGGATGTTCACCAGCGTCCTTTCGTACACCTCAGCAGCTCTGGCCAGTTCCCGCGAAGGCTCATTAGGGAAGCGGAATACGCGGAATTTCTCTCCGTAATCGTGCGTGTTGCGAGCTTCGGGCGAAAAGAGCGATGCCACAGTTTGATTAATCGCCGTGTCCACTTCCTTGAACGCCTCTGCAAACGCCATCCGCACGAACTTCTCTCCCGGTGCAATTTCGTCCGGTTTCCTGCGGAAGCCAAAAGCGGCGGTTAATTAAAAATCCATCAACGAGAGAATGAAGAATTGCCAGCATTAAAATCTGCATAGTTTATGGTGTGGACGCAGAAGTCGAGCGGAAAATAAGCAAAGCATATGTTTTGACAGTCTTGACTCTTTTTCATATTCTTATGTCTTGTGAGATAAATGTGAAGACTTTCCAGGGAATTCAATAGATTTGTTTCAGTGCTTGAAAATTAACCAAACATTTTCTTCTTTTGTTCCTGAATAATTTGCAGATAATCTTTAATATGAAATCTTGATTTTTGCGAATTTCCACTACGGATTTCTTTCTAACTAAGAGACTTTTAAAAAATTATTATTAAATTGAAATTAACTTAATTTTTCTACAAAATACCGAAGGTAATATCTTTATTCTCATGATATTCCGCAAATTTTTAGTGCTCATGTAATTTTAATATAATATTGCGCTGAAATATTTAGTAATTTCACATTATTTAATGCATAAATGAGCAAAAATGAGAAACTGGGCCTTATTTCACCGCTTTTCAGTGTATTTTTTGTCCTCTTCACACACTAAGAATCCTAAGAACTCAGATAAGAAGTCTCATCACGCCGCAAGGGAGCTTCGCTGCTACTCACCTCACAATTAACAGCCCTTGACCTGTTGCTCTGCCAAATCTGCGGGATTAGAGGAGGCAAAATTAATTAGAGTTCTCGGCATATTACGAAGAACGCCTTACTCATTTGTGATGGAACACTCGTAGCGTCCTGAATCGAGAATCGTCACGTTGGCGATGTGAAGACTTCCCGACTCGGCAGTTCTGAAGCGATCCGTGGGAATAATCGTCCTTCCGTCCTTCTTCCACTTGACCTGCAAAAGCGGAGCGCATTCAATTTCACACACCGTTTAGCCAGGATGAGGAGCTGCTGTCTCACCTGCGGCGGCGGTTCGCCATCCCCCATGCAGGGCAGCTCAATTGTGGCGCCCTGAAGAGTCTCCAAATCGTACGGCTCTATGATGAGATGAGGCGGATTCGCGATGCTGTGTATCTCCACAGAAGCCACCGTCTCAGATGATCCCACTGTATTCTCCGCCACGCAGATGTACAAACCTGCAAGATTTATCGCCATTGCGAGCGAATCCTCATTCGGGAAATGGCACTTTTTCCCTACCTGAGTCAGATTCCTTGGCGTCTCTTATGTGTAGCTGATTGCCCGTGAGATAAATCCGGCCCGTGAACACAATTTGCTGGCCATCCTCGTGCTCCCAAGAGATTGTTGGACTGGGATTTCCCTCCGCCTCGCAATTCAGGACAACTTCCTCGCCCACTCTCGCCGTGTGATTCTCCGGAGTGACCACAAATCTCGGAATCACTGCCAAGAGACAAGCCAAAGAAGAGTCGCATTAGACATTGTCGACCATTTGACTCCACATGAGCAAAATATACACGGCAAAAACTACCCAAAAGTATTAATTTACAAAGAATTCCCTTCATGTTTTCCCCCTATTTGCCCCCAAAAATTTGCAAAGAGATAAAACATCTCGTCCGCATGACTCTTTTTCCTGGCAATTTGCCCACAAAAGCATATACAGAGTGGATGAATATTCCTTGTCGGATGGAATGCGAAAAGAAGAGACAGAAGTAAAAATCGTGCTCACTTTGGATATGGATATGAAACGATTTTCCACCCTCTGCTCAGTCACTTTTCACTCTCTCTCGCCCGCACTGAAAATTCCACCCAGACGCACACGGCAAAAGGGGAGGACAAAAGCTGCCAAATCCAATAAAATCCACAAGACAAATCGTTGTGAGAAGTTGTGAGAAATTAAGATCAACTTTTTCACACTTTTCACAAACACACACACACACACTAAAGCTCATCCCTCACGGAAAATCCCTCCGCTCAGGGTGAAGAATTACAGATGATGACATGGTTGAAATGAGGAAAATACCAAGTCAATAAGTAAGATTACAGTTTTTCTCTCAAAAGGTGCTGAAGTCGTTACATTAAAAAGAGGAAAGAAAGAACAGATAGAAGAGGAGAATTCTGTTTTCACCGAGAAAATAGAGATAAAGTTTCGTCCGAAACTTCACCACATGTTGTGTGTGTGGCTTTAAAACATGAAAATATTTTCCCTCAGCATTCATGGTTTCATTCTCTCTTAGGTTTATGCTAAACAAAGTCTGCATAATTCTACGGATTCTCGCAACGTATGAATTTAAAAGTATGATATTTAATACAAATTAATTGCACATATTCATGGACAAAACTTTCCAACAGCACTTTTCTACAATGGAAATTTTCACCTGGTGCTTTTCTACCTCAAAACCCCTCAAAAGTGAATAAATTTGGATTCTCTCTCTCTCTGTGTAAACGAGAAATATGCCGAAAAAAAGAAAAACTTTCTCAACTTCTCATTCAAAAAAAAAATAACACAATTTCGCAAAATTGTATTTACATTCTCATATCCGGGAGTCTCTCGACAATCCGTGCTGATGATTAAATAATCCTACGTGCTGAGCTTTGTGTCTGAGCTGCAGCTCTTTCCGTGTAGTTTATGGCTAATAATACGGGTTTAATTGCACACAAGAGTTTGGCCAGGAGCGAGAGGGAAAAAATCGTGCAGCATGTGTGGAAAATGTTCGTCGGTTTAATTACTTAAATTCCCATTGATTTTTCCCATTTTTCCCGCCAATCCGCCCACAAATCACCCGCATGCGGAATGCCAAATTGGCATCCACATCAATCGGATTCCGAGGCAAGAAGGAAAACAGCCTGAAATTGACACACTCGCACACACACTCAACCAAACATTGTTTGCACACATTCACTCAGCAAGTGCGTGACTGAACACAACATATTACTTATTATCTAATAAATAATTTTTACAACTTTACCGGAATGAGGAGAAATCTCTATTACTTTTGCTGCATGAAAGAGTAGGGAAAAGTTAGTATTGTTCTTGGTAACAGTTACGTTTGCAGTGGTGCTTCAGTATGTATTCAACTTGATTACATCTTTCACTTCAGTATTATTTTTGATATGGTTAAAAGAAATTGTGCTGAAGGGGAAAACTGCCCCTCAATGTCTTGAAAAGTTGCATTTAAACCTGATGGAACGAAAAGAAGACTTCTCGTTGCTCAGGAGCAGAAGGTATTTTCTGGAAAGAAAAGGATCTTCCAGGACGACAAGAATACAATGAAAGAATCATCGCATCACAAGTAAGATAAAGAGATGAAAGCTGTGGTGAAACATAAGAGAAATTGAAACTTTCATAGAGATAAAGAAAAATCAAGACAGAATAGACATGAACGCAGATGAGACCACAACAGTCTTCTTAGAAGCTTCAGGAGAAGTGAAGGAAGTAATCAAGTAAGACTTAAGAGACTTATAAAGTCAAGAGTGAATACTAGACTACATTTTAATCACGAGAAAGTAAACTTTCTGAGGGATAGAAAACCAGAATAAATTCAAATCTCTATTCAGCCAAAGATGTAAAGTTAGAAGAATTTTTTTTGAAAGTCTTTCATTATGTAATAGTCGAAAAATCTCACTGTTGTGAGCTGAAATTCGGCAAATAACATCGTTTTCGACCTTATGGCGCTTGTAAATCTCAACTCAAAGTAGGATTACTTGTTGGAAAGTTGGTAAACATACAAGATTAAACAGTCCACTATTGCTATACGACATGCTTCAGTGTAACAACTGCAAACTCCTCAACATTGCAATCTCTTCCCCATCAATTCCCGGGAGACTTAATTTGTGACACTTTAGGACTTTGAAGCAAAATAAATTGATCCATTCATTCCCATCGCACGCCTTCGCTCCGGCACCATTTTTGGGTCACTCAATTTATCACGAAAGGTGAATTCTGCACAGGATCAATCAATACATTGTTCAAGAGCTTTCCTTACAATCAATCATGAGCCAGTGGCGGAAAAAAAACACTCACCGTCCACCATGATTTCTGCGCTGGCGGAAATTGTCTCATATTTGTTACTGACATCGCATTTGTAGGTCCCAGAATCGGCGCTGCTGGACGGTTCGATGGCCAGTGAACCGTTTGAGAGGACGTGATGGCGCTGAGACAATTGCAGTGGAGAGCCATTGAGTGACCAAATAACATTTGGTTCCGGATCGCCTGCGAGGAAATTGAGAGGACGCGAGTGTGTTGAATCAAGAGATGGACTAAACACAGCATTTGAACTCACCTGTCGCGCGACAGTGCATAACAATGGCTGCTGGCGAGTCAACAAACAGATTCTGTGGCTGCTCGATGAACTGCAACTTTACTCGCTCCTCCATTGGATCCAACTTCACCGCTTCCGAGTGTGTTTCGCCCATGATATTGCGCGCAATGCATTCATATGAACCAAAGTCCTCCTGAGTCATGTTGGCAATCTCAATGGCGCCATCGGACATCACATGAATCCGAGGATTTGCCTTGTCCACCTCATTGAAGTTCTTCATCCACACAATGTCAGGATTCGGAGCACCACTGGCTTGACATGGAATCGTCACCGATTGTCCCAGCTGAGCTCTCAAGCTCTTCGGCGAGGGAGCAATCTTCGGCATTGCTGTGGAATAAAGAACATGTCTTTCTGAGTGGAAAAATCACTTTAGAGAACCGACGAAGAGAGACTCACTGCAGTGCAAATCGCTCTCCTTCACCACGTAGATGTTCTTTCCTGCCAAGTTGCTGGGTGAGGAACACGTGGCGGCAATTTGGAAGTTGGTTGTGGGATTTGTGAGAAGCTTCAGCAGCCACAAAAGGCGACAATCACACTCCAGGGCGTTGCCATCGAGACGGAGTCTTCTCAGGGACTTCATGCCATTGAGCAGACCCTCCGGAACCGTGGCGAGGCGATTATTGTAGAGAAAGCTGCACAAAAGTGTAGTGAATGGATTCTTTCTGATTCAGTCCAATAAATTACCACCAACCCCAAAAGCAGAATTGCATTGATATTGAGAGTATAATGTCGAAGAATGATGGAAGAAATTGCTCAATGTTCAGTGCAGAAGTTATACCAAAAGTGTACCTCTTTTGTGTGCACTTGACAAGGAAAATTGATCAGCGAGGGATTTAAGATAGAATATTTCACACAAACACAGACAAATGCTGTGAAGGGACGGAAAAGCAATTTGACTAAAATATGGCCATTAGTGGACAAAGACGTAATTTTCCTCACAATATTACAACAACATTGTGTGTACGTGAAGAGAAATTCGCTGAAATTTAGGAAGAGCGACATATTCTTAGTCTCATCTTCAGCCACATAAACTTCCTTGGTCTCATTTCCCATTCCAACTCACATTAAGTTCCAGTAAATCACTGTGTGATAAACAAGAGACGACACAAGTCTGGCTTGGTGAATTTCGGGCGAACGGAGGAGAAACCATTCATCCATTCTTTCCGCATCTCGAAAACAGTACACAATAAATGTGACCACTTCAATGTCTTCGAAATCACAATAAACACTCAGAGAAAGGACCTCGCAAAACACTCAATGCAATAGAGCTGTTTATGAGCTTCCTTCAGGGTGAAATGTGCTAAAATTTGTGTCTTACACCCTAAAATTGCTCTAATTAACATGCATTTCTCAATGATTTACTGATTGTTGAATGAAAAATATTCAATTTCAACTCTTTCTCTGCATTTCACCTTCAAATTTCCACTTGATTATCAATCTATTCATGACTTTCAGGAAAACTCGTGAATATGAATGATTTTCTCGAGTGCATGTTTGCCACAAAATATAGTGAAAATCTTGACACAATTGAGTTCTGGAAAAATTTATAAAACCCATTGAGAATTCAGCATCCATTTCCATTTTTCATCGTGTGTCTTCCCAGGAAATCCGAATGATAAATGCACCTTTCACCGCAAATGTGTTCTGTAACAGTGCACACGCATTGGCTAGAGGATTGTGTGTTTTTTGTGTGACGCTTTCAGTGCTATCAAATGCTAGCAATTGTGATAAAGTAGAGAAAACAGTTTCCAAAGAAATATATTTACAACATTGTTTCTCTGTGATCTTTCGACTCTATCGTAAAATGATTATATGCAACTCAGACAATATTGCTGAGCTCTTTATTTTCAATGTATAATTTTCAAAGGGATGCGAAGAGGAAGAGTGCTCGAGAGAAGAGACAGCAGGAAAAGTTTAGTGATTCCGTCTGTGCGGTTGGTTAGAGGCCAAAAGGAAATTGTCCTCGCAGAATACTCACAGTCTTGAGAGATAAATTAAATTGGCGAATGCCACATTACTCAAATTGCTGATTTCATTGGATTGCAGATATCTGAAACATTCAGTAGCCGCCATTGGTAAATTGACAATATCATTAATAACATTTCCACTGAATTGTTCTGATAATTTCTTCCACACTTTGTTGCCACATTTGTGTGTGTCAACTCCAGCAATGGCGTTGCACACAGATGGAATATTATGCAATGCAACATGAATATGTAAAATCTGAGCATACTTACAGACTCTGCAGTTTGTTCAAGCTCGCGAAAGCATTCGGCGCCACACGCGAGATGCGATTGTTGTTGAGATAGAGATACTTGAGAGATGGCAAGCCTTCGAAGGCAGCCGCCTCGATGCTTGACACTTGATTCTCATTCAGGAAAATCGTATGCAGATGTGTCTTGCCGTAGAAAGCTCTCGATGGGATTTCGCGAATGCGATTGTAGCGAAGATCTCTGAAAGAGTGACAAAAGTACAATTGTGGGCGAGAGTGTATCATTCCTCAAAGGCTGCAATTTGCAATAATTCACAGTCACATCTTTCTGTACAATTCCCAGCATTGAGCATCACTCGCTGCGATGGTGGAAAAATTATGCAGAGCATCATTTGAGGACCATCTGCACGTCTCCACTTCATCCCCCGGATCGTGTGCATGGCACTCTCTCTTGCGCCCCCACCAACCATTCGGGAGAGGATCTGGGCTTAAGCCTTGAGCCTCTGGCAAAGGTGACTCTGGCCACTCTTCCGGCAAGACGCCGGGACGCTTACGAGGGTAGAAAGAATGGGAGATCAAGGCATAAATAGACCACTCTCGGGCCTCACTTTAATGCCTGGCTGAATACATGAATTTTCCATGCGAAATATTCGCAGGGTTGGCGGGATTTTAATACAGACGAGTTCTTGCATGAATTTGCAATTCAGATTGTAACACAAGGAAATACCATGAAAATATACATAAGGGGAATTTTTCTATTTTGCACTCCATATCACAATCCCGGAAGCATTAGCTACGCGGCCACTCAGCAGTGAAAAACCGCCCCCAATCCACACCAGGCGCGCACAAGACGTCTTCATACGGTGAGGAAGCCGTAATGGAATCGTCAATGGCACAACACTGTAAATATTTTCTTTCACTCCATTCGCCTCTAAAACCCGCCCTATCAGTTCAGCCAGCGAATATTGCGGGGGTTGAGGGATATTTTGAACAGAGAACTCAATAAAAATACTGCCTAGCTCTATTATTTCTGTTCAAGATATCAACAAAACTTTATTATGATGACTCACAGATTGGGGAACTCACTCTTAGTCGTAAAAAAAATCACAAAAGATTCATCTGCATGGAATTACAGATGGGATTGCATGGTTTTCCGCGCAGAACTGAATACAGGGATTATAATTGGCAAAGAAGGATGCAAAAGAGGCGGCGAAATCGGCAATATTTCTTTGAAAATCACCAAAAACGCGTGAAACTTTCAGAATGTTGCTGCAAAGTCATCAATTCACCATTCCAACCCACCAAAATATTCTCTTTTTGAGCCATTTGTCATGACAAGTGATATTTCTATATTTGCTTTTCACTTAAAATCACTAAAATGTTGAAGAATTCATTTGATTATAGCAAATTATAGAAGACATCTTTCGCATTCAAGCTTCAAAATCAGGCTCTTTTATTATTAAAAACTACCTCAAGAAGTTGTGTTTAAAGTATACCAAAATTCCACTTGAAATACTTTAGGATTGTCAATGATCTGATACTGATTGTGCAGGGAATAAAAGTTTTCTTGCAGCCAAATCACGATTTTAACGGCTTTTTGAGTTTCAGATTTTTCTCTGTGCACAGAAATTAAGACAAGTGCTATGAAAATTTCCGGCTTTCAGCACCTATTAAAGTGCAGAGTCACTCACTGTAAACTCTTGATGCTTAATAAGGCGAAGTTGTTGTCGTTGTTTAAAAAAGTCCCACTCAGAAGTGACTTTTGATTTATTACACTTTCCAGTCCAGCAACGCGTTCCCGTGCGGGACTTTGCCATGGAAAAGCGCCCATAAAAGTTTGTGATTTATAAAGGAAGAATATTTATTCATTCCGAAGCACACACACACCCCCGCTTAATGCTCAAACAGTGTATGTACAAGCGGGCGGGAAGGGCAAAAAAAGACTGTCCAACACTGGCGAATGCTGACCACAAAACTGCACACGGACGACATGGTGTGATTTTATAGACATTTTTGACATAATTCATAGGATTTCCCCAGTGTGAAAGTGGCTGTGCAATGCCAAATGGAGATGTCTCGTCACTGCAGGCGCTCGCATGTGACTGTCCGATTCCACTGAGATTTTCCGATACGAATAAATAAAGCGAATCAGACAGTTGTGACATCACAATCATATTTCATCCACGATGACAAGCATTCGCTTGTCAAGGAGTGAAAAGCAGAGGAATTATAATTTCACTCGGTGCGCACCACTCAATTATTGAGTTTAAACTCTGGAGAATCCTTAAGGAAGATTTCGTGCACTTACGCCAAAATAGTTCCGCCGCAACCGACGGTGTTCTCAAGACGAACTCTGGGTTTTCTGGGAATTTATATGCAAAGCCATTTTCAATTTATCTAAGAGGATTTTCAAATGACATAAAATATATACTGGCACGTCCGCTGCTGAAGTTTCTTTGGCCTTATTTACGATTTTCCACCCACTATTTGGAACTCCGCCCTTTATTTATCTATTATTTAGCAACTCACGTCGTCAGCATTTGCCAGCGTCTTTAAAATTGCACCAACTTCAGCATAATTACATAAACTATCTCATGAACAGACTGCACAAGACATGATCGGAATTCTATCAGTTTCCTCCAATGAATTCAGCATAATAATGAATGACTTAATTATTCTACCATTTTTAGAATCTTTTATGTAGATTATATTCCAACGGAAATATTTACCATTAACAATTCATTGAACTTATTTGCCTTTGTGCGATGAAGTGTATTATTGACATGGAAATGAATAAATTCCCATTAAATTATGCAAGTATTGCAATTCATTCCAATTACGCTGTGCATTTTGGGTAGATTAAAATAGATCAAAACAACACAAATATGGAGATAAATTAATGCAATGAAACCACAAAAAAGTTGATCTCTCTGCAAAATATTCACTGCATTGATTTTACAAAATAAGCAATTAATTTTAATCCTAATATTCATATGTAATAATAATTAGTTATTTTGACCCAAATTTCATCTCATTCACAGTCATCATGAATATATTTTCACTGCTTTGCCGTTTGTCAACAGAGAGGAAAATGTTTAGGAATGGAAGGAGGAAAAAGGGGTGAAATGTCAATTCCGGTTTCATGGCTTTTATATGTGTTTCTGTTATCCCTTTGCCTGATTTCATTCTTCTCTGCCTCTGTGTCCGGAAATACACATAAAATAAAATCACTGAAGCATTTTCAATGGTTGGGAAATCATTGAAAAATCCCTGATTGTGTGAGACTCAAGACGAGAGCAAAAGCTCACATTTCTATCGGCATTAAGCAGTAAGGAGGAAGACAATTCGACGTTATTCTCAATTAGCTGGAGCATTAGTTTGCTGAAGGTGTAATTTCTCGTAGAGCGCCTCGAATTCCTGACTAAAATTACCCTGTGCAAACACCCTCCGCCCCTCGAACAAGGTATCAGATTTGCGTCAATTAGTCCTGCCCAATTCTCCGTGCCCGCATTCAATTCCCTCCCTCGGCAGTGATGCGAGAGATGGTCGCACCAAATTCAATTTACATCCACTAGACAAAATTAATATTCTGCATGGAATATGGCTCCGCACAGTTCACCTTAATCATGTCTAGGTGTGGCAATTGAATTATGAAATTTGCATTTTTGAGCGTAATTTGCTTAATGTCGATATTTGGCCAAATTTCAATACACCCGCAATTTACGATGTGTGGCTTAAGGTTGAAAATTATGAGAGCAATTTCAATTCTGAGCGCAGCGAGAGAAAGATTGCAAATAAATGAAATACACGGCGTAGAATTTTACTGTCTTCAAAGCGCCGCCATTCTGGCAAAGATGAATCCTTCTTCTTCTGCTGGCGACAGATAAGGCGAGAGAGACATCAAAAAGTGCTCCTCAATGAAAATATCTTCACATACCATTAAATTTTATCACTTTTCTAGCACGTAAGATGAAAATGGCGAATTGTCTAATTTATCTCTTTCACCTCTCTCGTTTCTCCAGCAGAAGGCATTTCAATTTATCCACCCCAAAAACCTCTCTCGAGAGGTGCGAGCTTTCACATTGATTCCACGCTCAATGACTCGAAAAATAATAGCTTCTCGTGTGTCGTGTTGTGCAATAAACTATTTTTGGGGCACAACTCGGAAATACACAGCCTTGAATAATTCACCATTAATTGCTAAAAGTCAAGGAGGTTTTCCCGAAGAATCCCATCAAAAGATGCTCTCAAAACGCACCACTGTGAACTTCTCCCAGCTTTCAGTCTCTGTGTATATTATAATGATACACAAAGAGCAGCAAAGCGTGTCATAGAGTGTGAAAACACACATGTTTGCTCTCGCTTCTAAATAAAGAGAATCGCGCAGTGTGAGGAATAAAAGAGGAGCTGCGCTTTGCAGTGAATTGTGATGGGGTTGCAACACCCCTTGGGAATCCACTTCCACCTTTGCTCGCTTTCGCACCTGTGCCACTGAGTCGCATTTGTTGAACGTCACACGAAAAGAATTACCGACGTGGAAAGTTTCCTTTTCACGCCTAAAGACTCAAATACAATCCACTGGCGACCCTTCACCTCCCACCCTCCGAAACACGTGACATTCCGCACGATTTCGGCGTTCCGGACTCCGTTTCATCCCCATAAGTTCCGCCAGAGACAAAGAGACACAGTTGATGAATAGGCACAGGTCGATTTACAGGCGCATTTTGCAGCAAGAATCAGTTCGGCAAAAGAATATTTCACATCACTAATTTGGCGTGGAAAAGCTGAAAATCTCACACAAATTGTTTATTATCGCTTCACGTCTGGGTGAAAACCACACAGCAGATTTTCCAAGCCACCGACTTAATTTCCTTTAATTTCCAACCGAGAATTATATGCGTTTTGCACATCTTGGCGAGTGAGAATTTGTATGTTGTGCGTGATTCGCATGCTAAAGCGCGCAAACACCAAGACGATGAAGACATATTAAAGAGACAGAAATGCGAAATTGGAGGATGTTAAAGTGGCTGTGAAATGCTGGGAAAAAATGACTTTTTCATTTCTCTCTTTTAAAGCCAATGTGTTGTAGAGATAAAGCTCTGGGATAAGACACTGTGCAGAGACACGGAGGATTAATTAAATCGCTGTGAAAGCTATCGAACCCACGCATCTGATGCTATCCAACTTGCTCACAATAAAAGTTAATACACAACAAACACCCACACTGAGCATCACGTTCAATTTCTGGCGACAAAGTCGCCTGAAACATCCTCAGCACTCGATGTTACCTTTGCCAAGGGATATTTATCTATTTTCGCAACAACATTTAAGCGAGCGGTTTCTGTTTATTATGCTGCCAAGCGATTTTTCGCTCTTTGTGAATGTGAATTAAACACGCAGACAGAGAGCATAAATGGAATCGGAAATTTTCAAATCAATATACATTATGTATTTTCCAGGAGTTGTAATTGGGTTGAAAATAGATGAAAAACGATAAAAGCCTTTGAGCTGTTTGATGTGAAAGAGGAAGTAAAGATGCTTTATTGGAAAATAAATGCCTTTCAGAACTACTTAAGCTGAAAAAAGATCACTAGAAGGGATGAAAACTTGTGTAAAACGTACAATATTGTAAGCATTAATAACTTCAAATGGTTATAAACTGGATTGCATTTCATTTCAGCTTGCGCAACACAAAGTTCAATAGAAAAGATTGTCTCTTTCCTTAACCGAAACTGTGCTATTTTCAACTATTCCGCGACAGGAAGTCTTTCTGCAATTTTCCCCTTGGGCAAAGAGAAGGTAAAATGCAGCTTCGTCGCATTGTGCGAAGAACGGAAAATGGTGGGAAACTATCGCGGAGCTCCGGAGGGAATTCTAATGAATTTAATTTAAAATAAATTCCCCACACTGTCCACGAACTTTTCAGTGTCGCTGCAGCCGCGAGAGACTCTTGTTTGCGGTGGTTTTTTTCATACTTACACAATGTTTGTGTCTGCCGGCACTTCTGGGATGGCCTGGAACTCCAGCCTCGTGCATCGAACGGTCTGCTGAATGCAGCTGCATCTGCCGGGACATTCACCGCCAGCGCCACTTCCTGACGCCGCAACGACAATGAAGACCACGAGCACTTGCACTGCACAACTTTTCACCATTTTCCTCGCTTTTTTTTCCCGTGTTCTTTTGCTCAGCTCGCCGGAGCTTCTGCTCCTCCTCTGCCACAGGTCGCCCGCTCCTTGTGCGCGCCACCCAAAAATGCAATTTTCAGTGGGGCAAAGAATCTGTGTGTGCGGAAAGTTGCAGAATGTGCAGAGTTAATGGATTGAATGGGCGATTTGATGGGGGAAATTGACAAAATGGGAAAAGTATTCACGATACATTGAATATTCTTTGGTAGTCAAACAGTTCAAAGAATTCTATTAAGACTTTTAGTGGGCCAAAGCGAACAATGCAAGCTTCGTGAGCTTCTGAAACTCTTCTAAATCCTCGCCAAGAGGAGGATTTTATAGTCTCAAAAGGTGAAAAGCTCAGTGAACGAATTGAAAAGTAGATTTTTCCACACAAAAAAGGGGTTTTCTGTTCTTTTCTTGCATCTTCACAATGCATTTCGGGATTGTTTGACTAACCTTAGAGCCAATTCTTTCCCCCAAACTGCAACCAAAAGAAAGAAACCAGAAAACTTTGGTAATTAAGCTATAAGTTGGGTTTCAACATAGAATCACGAATTGGTGAAGAATTCATTTTCTAATTAAGTTTCTTGTTTCAAGTTGCAAATTTATGGAAAATTCCTAATAAAATAATTGGACTGCTTTAAAAGAGAATAATGAAGATTGAGAGGCTCTTCTTACGATAAGAGAGACAAGATTAGACCACGCGATTTGTCCAGAATAAAAGGGCCTGAATCGCTAAAGATTCTGCACAGAATTTGGGGAAATGATAAAAAGTGTTTCTCCAGAATTTCTTCCACATTATCTTGCCATAATTTTCCACTTCTCCGCTTTAAACTAATAGCTTTTCGCCTTTAATTTTTTCCAGCTTCACCCCACAATGAGTGGGCGATACAATTTCCGGAGAGCGGTGGCAAATAATCGATTCTACGTGGGGGTTTCGATACCCCTTTTGCCACGGGGCGCCGCAGAGTACGAGGAAAAAAATCATGTTGTGCAGAGCATAGAAATTTGTAAGGCAACAAAACCACCAATTTCACCACCAATCGTGCAAACACATTGAACAAAGTCCCTCTGTTTCTTCTATTTGGTCTGCAAACTCCCTTTGATGCTTCACCAAAACCAATGAGATTTCCTCGCTCTCTCTCTCCTTCCCAATGTAAAATTGCTCGTACGTGTTCAAAATGCTAAAATATTCCCTCCTTTTTATGTTCCAACTGCGTGTACAATTCTGGGGTTTTTTTGCCCTCGCCGTGTAAGTTCAACAACATTCAATTTTTAAACAGAACGGAATTGCGGAAAATCTTTTGATCGATGTGTGATGCTATATCTTCTCTATTTTTAAAGACAACTCGGAGAAACATCAGCTCTGCTAGTAAATTGACGCACAAGAAAGCCACCAAGTGTTTGTGGCGAGTTTCGCGAAATTACAGCACAGCAGAAAAATTAGAGCGCGAGTCGAGAAGAGTGGGAATTTCTGCAGCAGACAAATTAGTTTGGAAATTAAATTTAGATCTCACACTCGCGTATCACTTGGCAGAAGTGCTCGGACTGGAGAGCTGCTCTCGAGAGTCGTCTGGAGGAATTCCTCACACTCCGAAGCGCACTGAGAGACGACGGTCTCTGGTGATGAGGAAAAAGTGCTAATTTCGCACAAATGAGAACCTTGGGAGGAAATTAGAAATAGAGGAGGAAATGTAGAAGAAGCAGTGCGATAGTGACCGCACAGTTTGGTCCGATATTTCTCATTTTTCTGCAATCCGGCGAGAATGAGATAAACATGTAATCAAATTTACGCCGGATTTGGGCCTATCTTGGAAGGGAAGTCGAGGCGGCACGAGTTTGGGTCAAGAGCGCGCGTTTTTGTCTCGAGGAATTGTGCTCATTGAATATTACACTGCAATTTCACGGTGAGTTAAGCACTGGCATCGCTGAAGCCACACTCTAGGTGGCACAGAGATCTGAAGCTGCACTCGCGCGACTCTCTGGCCAGGTCCTGCCGAAGCGGATCTTCTGTCCACAGACGCCAGAAGGAAACTGAGCCAACGACAGCGAGTCTGCAGTGGGGATTCAACTGGCTCCAGCATCGCAGCTTCGGCTCGCGTCTCGGCTCTTTCTCCTCCCGGCCAAGTTGCACTGATGCCGTTGGCCTGACGGAGATGGCGAGATGCGAGTGCGCAGCTTCCACTGGCGAGGGTGAGGCGCGCAGCGGGCGAAGTCACGCCAAATTCGATTGTTGTCCCATTGGACGCCCGGAGGACTGAGGATTGAGCACCGCATGGGGATCAAGCGGACCAGAGCTGGAATTAGCTTCATTTCCCACTTTTTCGCACATCCATTCACTGAATTATCCTTGCATGACAACGGCGCCCGAATTGCAATCTACCTGGATGCATTTGTAATTCCCTGCGCTATTACGCAATAACACAACCCCGTAATTATTCTCATGCTGCAGAAATTGGGATCGTGGCAATTTTTACCCGCGATAATCAAGGAAAGTATGAATTTTTGGTATTTCGCTCGCTCATCTGAAGCCAATTTGAATTTTAATTGAATTTATATATTCGTGATTTAAAAACATCGATAAGCATCTGCTCTGATTAGCTTTGGAATAGTTGCAAAACTCCAGAGCTTCCGACACATTTTGGCCACAAGTCACGGCAATTTGGTAGTTTTCCAATTGTTTATGATCACAGAAATACTCAAATTATTCATAACTTTGAAGCTATTAGACTTCAACAAACGTTCTTCCATGAATCAAATCACATTAAACCGAGTCAAAAGGACATTTCTTTGGCCAGCAAGGAAATTCTGAGAACCAAAATTATGGAAACCGGAAGAGAAGAATTGAGAAAAAGAGCATTTAAGAGTGTTGAAATAAGATCTTTTGGCTCACTTTGATGTGATTTGACTTTCAATAACGCGTTATTTAGCTTCACAACTATTCAAGACACAGAATTTGTGGTTATTTGAAAAGTTTAAACTTGTCGTATTCGCAGTATTTATAATATAAATAGTCAAGAATACATAAGAAAATTGGATTGCATAAAGAAAGAAAAGGCAATAATGCTTAATATTGAATTACCTGAAACGAATTTTGCGGCCGTGTTTAACAATAAACAATTCAGTTCATTCAAAATTGTACGTCTCACGAATTCCAGTGACTTAATTCTCGCGTCATTGTTGTGAAAAGGGGGAAACTTTTGGTAAATATTTCACGAGATTTCCCAGCAAACTGACGTTATGTATCATTCAAAGCTTCCGGCAGTGGAAAATGCAGTGGCATCGCTTCTCAAGACAGTACTCAAGATCAATATTGTGAAGATTTATCAAGTTTCTTGACACACTTCAACGTTGAAATATTCTTCGCTGTGTTTCCTAATTTCTCCTCTAACATCAAATCTCGCACCGACTTTTCACGCGTGAAGCGAGACGGAAGGAAAAACATGGAAAGACATGCTGCGGACCTTTCCCAACAATCACACGACAAATTACATTCGCTCTTCGTCCCCTAAACATGGTAATTACGCCACAGAAATGCTCAGCTCATATTCCATTCTCCTGAGCTCGGTGTATTATGCCATCGGGGGTCACTTTATGAATATAAATCTGTCTATTAAAGTGGAAATCATAATGAAGATACTAATCAATAAATTGTGCACCGAGCAAAGACACACCGAGCGCCGTTGTTTGCGGCCACAATCGAAAAAGGAATCGATCAATGAGGAAATTTAATTGCATAATAATTCACCCCGCAACAACTGATAAATCACTATAAATTGTCGTTCATGCTTGATTTTCAATTGAACATGGAAGATGCGAAAAAAATGTCTATTGGCCACTGAATGGACGATAAATTAAAAAAAAGCATAGACAACTCATTGGATAAAAGCAAAATGAAAAATATTGAATCATTCATTGGAGATGTTCGTGAAACACGATGTTTTATAATATAATTTCTGATTAAAACATTGTGCATTATTTGCATATTTTACATATTTTATCACAAGCAATTTAACTGAAGATTTAATGCATCACAATTTATTTTTTTCACCCAATTTGTGCGATGAAATATCATACATTTTTCCAATTTTTTTTACAATACAAACGCAATCACAGAAGAATGCGTGAAACTTCAGCAAATATAAGAAGAATCATCGAGCAAGATAAATGCTCAAACGGAAAGTAGAAAACTTTCCTCGAAATTCTGACGGAAAATTCTCTGTGAAAAATTCATCACATTGATAAGGAAATGATTTAATTCAATGTCATGTTCGCAAGACAAGCTGTCACGGTGAAAAACTGGGGTGAACAAATTTACGAAGATGTGAAGGAAATATGGAGTTTTTCTTCTCCTCTGTAAACAACAAGTGAAGAAAATTTTGCATAAAAATATTTCACAGCGAATCTCCGCTGGAAAACTTCTTTGCGGGAAGCTTATTTATTTTATTCTAATGCTTTTCACTCCCTTTCTCTCTCTCTCTCTCTCTTTCTCTGTTGCTTCATTTTCCTCTCGCCGTTGTGGGTTTTTGTAATAAAAGGAGGAAAAATCTGAGAGATTGGAAAAATACATACGCAAGTGTACAGCAATGTTTACCACTTTATTCCCCTTGATGACAAGCACACAGTGAGCTTAGCACAATGCCTCATCGATAGTGTCTTGGAAGTTGAGTATTTATTGAAATATTCTATGCATAAATTAGTAGAGAATTCTCTTGCAAATTCACACAGAATTTCACAATGTTGAGGTCGAAACTGTTCTTAATCTCCTGAGACTTGCACTCAAATTCTCAATTAAGATGATAAACTTGTACAGGAGAATATCATGACTTGTTATCCAGATAAAATCAGGAAGCATTTATATGCATGGCAAAAGGATTCCTCATGAATTGCACAATATCAAGATAAATAATTGTTCTTAGCTTTCCACTCGAGCATTTAATTTTTGATTTAAATTGCCACAAATTCACCTCAATTCAATACATAAATCTGAAAGTCTGTTTCATAATTCTAATTCAAAACAGGAGAATAATATGCAAACACACCTCGATATGAGATTCCTGCCAAGCCAAAGCAATTCTTCGGGTCGTAAATCGTGAGAAATTGTTGGCGAC